CATTGAATTCCTATATCTCGAGATCGCCAAGTCTACTCTCAAGTCCATCAATCATCGATTGATTCACACCTCATCTCTCCTGGCTCTGAGTAAGAGAGATTGGCTGATGATACCAGTGACCAGTGCCGATGCGAGCGTTCTGAAGATACGTGACAAGGGTAGAGAGACCTTTATCTGACCATAAAATGCGATCAAGCGTGCGTTCTGAGATAGGGATGATTCAAAGGCAATATTTCGTACATATCTGCAGATGGGACAAGAAAGAAGCACATGCTGAACTGACTGACTGCTAAAAAATCCCGCAGCAGCACTTTGGAGAAGGTCAGATTTTTCTGCCAAATCTTGCGAAGTAGCTGTTGAAGGAGGAGTCATGCCCAGTGCGGAAGCTCACAATACGGCAGGCGACGCTGTGTGGAATATTCTCAAGTGGCGTATCATGAGAGAGCCGAGGTTTGCCTTCATATGCACTGGAAACCTCGTGCTAAAATTTGGCATTTCATCCATCAAAAGCGCGGTCATCGATTAGCTTATAGAGAAAGCGCGAAGAGCAATCATGATTGACCCGGTCGGGCGATGAGGCTGCTTGAGTTGTTAAGCACAGAGCGTAATTGCGGCCATTGACATCGGCAGCAGGGCAAAATTGGCAGCAGAGCAAAGCGAATTAATCAAGCTGAGGATTAAAGGCTAGTGATATTTCTATTCTGTATTTCAACTAATATTCTTAATAATAGTCTGTCATAACCTAGTTGTTGCAGCGGACTTAAAACAGTCATCATCAATAGGCTTGATAGTATGCATGACCTGGACAACATTTTTCAGTCGTACTCTTCTGTTAGCAGCCCATGTATCTTCTTTCCCATCTGATGATGATGATGATAAATCTATGTAAAAGTACGCGCGCGACGACTAGGCTATGACAGACTTCTTTCTATCTGTTGTTATAGTATTACAATGGCCAATAATACATACATATAGTCCGAGTCTGCAAATGTTGCAATATATTGTGACTTGAAGAGCTTTTCACATTAAATGTCTACTATTGACTCGCTTGAATGAAGTAAATAGCTTGGACAGTTATTTATTGTCGGGAATTACTGTGAAGTGTTATTTTGTTTTTCTAATGCTATGAGTTTACTGATGATGATGATGATAGATTTCAAGTCCGGGTGTGGATTTTATAATTAGTGGATAAGGGGAGACAAACCGTTATCATAGCCTCGTTGCTGTATTCCGAGTACAATATACATTTATCATCATCAGAAGAGACTCCTACTGGGTTGCCGTGCCCTCTGTGTCTAGCTGATACACTCAGATATTTTAAGCGGATATTTTGAATTGAATGATTCAAGCATTAACATAGTGGAAAATCATCAGAGAAAGTTTGTCATAACCTAGTCGCTGTCTATATATTATAAATGAAGCGATAGCCAATCATCCCGTGTAAGCAAGTAACGGAAATACTGAAGGGGGCTCTGAAAAATGGGTGATAAGAAGGAGTATCCAGCCGTGACTCTACCGTAGTTCCTCCGTCCTCTCCAGATCTGAAGGAGCCAGTATAGTCTTTCAATAGATTCGCTGTCATCCATTCTTCCCCTGATAATTAGTCAACACAGACTGCTGAGAGGGGAGCGATGAGGGAGAGATAAAAAATTGAACTCATCATCATGATGAAGAAAAATGACTGGAGAGCAAAGATCGGGTGGGAAAAGCTACTCGGGAGCTTCAAACGACGAAGGCCAGTAGAAGGAAATCTATGTGACGCTGGCAATTGAAGGATTGACGAGAAGAGGAGCAGAATTATTAAGGATCGAGTAATTACCATTCGGAGTAGCGTCGGAACTCAAATCGTCGAGACTAGGAGGCGTCAAGCGATGGTTCCGCGAAAAAGAAGCCTATCCACTGATACGAGTTTTGTCGGACCTCGCGATTGGCTGATACGTTGAACAAAGAGGTGACAAGCTTGATGATTAAGCTTGCAGTCCGTAGAAATCGCAGGTAGAGCTGACCAGACCAGTCTTGTCGTCGCCAAACGCAAAACGAGCAGTAGGATAGTCGGCGCATCTAGAAGTGCATAGAGAGGAGTGATCCAGAAGAGAGCTGTGCCAAATTGTAAAGATTGTGAAAAGAGGCCGTGCAAGAAAAAGACTGAATATGGTCAATACTTAGACGAGCGGTGAAAGCAAAGGCTTCGCCTAAAGTTGGACCGGAACGTGCCCGTTGAACATCAGGATATGCTGCGCTAATAGCCTGAGCGGACAACGATGGAACACGCTGAGGATTAGGAGATAAGCCTCCAGATGAAGGCCGGAAATCTTGTCAGTATCCGAGATATCGAATCCTAGAACGTAGTGAATGGTCACAATTTATCGCGTTGTAGATGTGGGGTGGACACGACAGAGATAACCTCTGTGGGAGGGCTGTAAAGGACAGCCGTTCCAAAATGTTGACAGAGGCCGTGACCGCAGCCGTGGAAGTGTCAATCACCGAAAATTGGCGTAGTCTGAGGGTGATCAAAAATACCGTAGCGCTCTTCGTAAAACTTGAGGGCCGCATTACGATGAGGGTCTCAAGACATAGTATGATAGAGGGGGGTCTCCGCTCAACGGGTAGAATAAAGCCGACGAGCAAGGTGCAGCATGTGTCTGGAGTCAATAGAAGAGCAGTAAATTCTACTTTAAGGGGCGTTATTTGGAGACGAGGCAGTAAAGAGTTGTCTGGAAGCGTGAGAACTGTCTGCAAAGCGATGCGTCGATGTCGGAGGCGAATAATATCAAGAATAGGGTCTTGGACGACAGTTTCAGAGTGCTTTAGATGCTACCACTCCATATCATATGTCAGCGTTCCTGGGTTTTCATTTTGAGTGGTGTTGGCCGGAAAAATGCGTCAACGACGTCTACAAGTCTCACTTTCCTACTAAAGATAAATAAGCGCTGCTGCTGAATTATATTATTGTGCCCCAAGGTGTTCGTAAGTTATTGATAGATATCAGAAACAGCCCAGGTCATGGGAGGGGTACTCTGTCGAAAAGGAGGGTGTATGGGAAGTGAAGTATTTGAAAGCATTTTACATATTATAATATCTCTTGCGGTATTTTCAGGTTTCTTACAGCTAGATAAGAAAGATCTATAGTGATATTGGCTAAGCTCAATTGGGCAAGGATGTTTGACTCATGCTAGCTCAAGGCCTTATTCAGCCGGTCTATATAGTCCACTCAAATCTGACATAGAAGAATTTATGTTATTATCTAGAATTTTCCGGCAAAATGATATCAGATCTCACTTTGGCCCCGGCCGAAAAATGCCCACAGTTCTATATTATATTGTGTCAAGTTGTTCGACCCTCCCAGCAATCCGGCGAGCATTAAAATTGGAAATTCATATGATCTCCGTTGTTCCTTCTGACTCCGCCCGTTTAGAAATTGGCTATGCGCTCTATAACAGTCAGCAAACAGTTATATCGATGCACAAAGATATCAAGGGGCTTTCAGACTGCGCAAAATTATATAACAGGAATGTATTGTGTTGAATTGGGTTTGATCACTTGATCGCTACCCGTGGCAAGTGTGCCATACAAGAACGGGGTTTTCGTCGCTGAGATAGAGCTCCCTGGTAAGCATGCAAGCTTTGTAAAAAAAGAAAGTACCAACAATTGAGAATGCTCGATCTATGGTGCCGAGAATTAATCAGTGCAGGATAGCTTGATGACGTGTTTCCCTGTTTTTTGCCGAGACCAGAGATTTGGTTATGAGATAGTGAGTCTCGCTCGAACCAATTCTGGGTCGCCCTGGAGACCAACCGTCAGTCCGCTTCTAGTTTAAAGAGGATGCAAAGGCTCAGCCAGTGAAGCTAGTCTCATCACTGCAGAATCCATCAAACAGACCTCCAGAGAGAAGTTCATCGGTCTTACTGCGCTCCGGGCACGAATGATCTGTGAGCAGTCTCTCTTAGTTATTGGCGCAGCAGAAGGCAGATAAACAGAGGCAGTTCGATCGATCGATATCAGCGAGCTTTTGAAAAGGGGTTGAGGGTTGATGGCCTTCTCCTCGAATCCAGTCTTGATAGTTGAAATAGCGGTATACTGTGCTCAGATCTGTAATATATGATTACTCGTGGCTCATGCCCTCTCCTTGCCCACGACAGAAGACACAGCACAGATGGGTATCAGTATATACCTCCGAAATCATTCCCTTCCAAACACCTCCAACATGATATTCTCCGGAAGTTCGTGAGCGTGCTGGTTGCTTTGTTCTTGGTATAAATATATTGGCGGAAATTATCGTCGCAAATCTAGTTTGCTACATCAGCGCGTGGTTTGACAGAATCGCGGGGGTAAACAATGGCACCGCGCGCTCATCTGATGGCTGATTGGTACTCACACGTGATATCAAAAGCAGATGCTGGAATTCCAGAGTTAGAGAGTTGAGTTGCTGGTCATCTAGAAGATAGTGATGCAGAGTCGATTCAAGAACATGTGTAGAGCCGCAAAAGAAGCTGAGCTAATAATTTGCACTGCTTATTGATTGACTGATGATCAGACCACCTCCTTCCTCCCAGTCTTGAATCGATCCTATAGCAGTTTTGAGTCGTTCTTTGCTAGTCTGTCAGTCTTTCTTCGATCTATCAGTCTTGGGCGGAGGTGTTGACGATTTTGTCTGGTGGATTTAGTTTAATATTGAGGTTGCGAAGTCAATTTATAGTTTGTCTTTCTGTTCATACCCTGAAAGCAATATTCAGCACGTGTCCTTTATCAGTCCAGTTCGCTCGCATATCTCTGAATTCTTCGGACTTTAGCTGTATCTAGGAGACACCATTTGGTCCATAGAAATCGATTTATTTACACCGAGAGTATCAACATAATTCTAACAAATCTTAGGTATGGTAATACCAGTGTATTAAGCACCTACGCACTAAACTAAAGTCCTTCTACAACTTGGGAAATTCTGTCTCGTAGAATCAAATCAACAACAAACCAAAACGAATGATTAAGAAGATGGGAACATCCTAAAACACGGAGATATAGTTCTGGATTCTTTCCTTTTGGTTTTGGGCAATCTATATCTGATGTCAGCTAAAGGCGAAATTGGTCTACTTAAGGATAAAGTATCACTCACGCATTCAGCAATCCATGTGATGTTTCGGATTTCCTGCTCCTTCGCCTTAACCCACGCCCAGATGGCACTATAGGTGAACTGCTGGGTGAATGCATTTCTGCACAACTCCATCTCGCGGAGATAGAAGTGGTCCTCCAGCGACTTGTTGTTCGACGTATCGAAAAATCCCTTGTAGTCACCGACAGACTCAACCGTCAAACGAACCTATTGTATATTAGTCAAATCAATTCAATTGCTGCTTGGAGAAGCGAATTCAAAACCATACCTGCTCGATATCGTCTGCGGACGCAAGGGCCTCAGTTCCCGCGGAGTACAGCTTGCCAAACTTGGGCGAGAGCTGCAAACGTTCCTCACGAGTAATTTCTGTGCCGAAAGAGTTAAGACTGATATTGATGACACGACGGTCAGCCTCGAAGTCCAACAGGGCGCTCATGATTTCGTTGGAGGGGTTGGGCAAGTTTTTGCAGAAAGCGTAAAAGTCTTCCAAGTAAGCCCGGTAAAGCGTGTTTCGGATAATCTCGATGTTAAGGTCATCCAAGTCTGCAGCCGACAGACAATCTTTGAAGTAGGGCGCAAGAGGAGTGTCAATCAAGACAGTGTTGTATAGCTCTTCGACATTGGTGGCCACACAGAGAGCAGGGAGAGATTCGAACCATCCAAGAGGGTTACATCTCTCCAGAAGCTCGTGCGTATCGCGTTCATGAAGAGTTCCAGTGATTAATAAAGCAACATTGTCAATCATGTACGCATATGTGATGTAGTCCATAAATTTGCTAAGCGGCTGGACAGCTTGCTTTTGGATGTAGCGGAACTCCTCTATAAGCTTCTCATTGGCCTTCTCAGCAATGATTGAGGTAGATAATGAGCCCGGAACGTTGGCTAAGAAGTTACCGTAGTCGGTGGCAGAAAGCTGCAACTTCAAATCTATATCACTTGTGTTAGATTTTTTGGGATCTCTCAGTAAAGGATAACACTAAGACTGACCTTCAAGAGTGTCGCATTGAGTCAAGTTGGCATAGTTGGCACCGGTGAGAAGCGCGGAGCGATAACCGCGAACAATTCCCTCGATGTAACCGCTATCATGGATGTTAATATCTTCAGCATTATTGCGAGTTCTTTGTTCTCCAAAGATACATAAAAACGTAATGAACAACAGGAATTCCGGTGCCACTTACTTATCGTTGTTGAAAAATACACCCTCCATTTCAATTTAGAGAATCAGCTGGCAAAAAAAAAACTGCTAGTGGAACACGTCAGCGCGCTTTCGAAGACTAGAGCGCACAGAGATATAATAATCAAAAGAGCGATCGATAGCACTAGGAAGCAGATTAGAGGAGGTACTTACCAGACAATGAATTTGGTGGTGGTGCAGATAAAGATGACCTCAGGACGCAAGAACGAGGCGAGACGGGTAGGGAAGAGATTAAGACTCCCTCGGGCCACCTTGATTGATAGTGGTCTCGAGATACGGACTGGACAGAGCCAGGACACGCCGAATTGGGAATGCGCGCGCGGTTGCATACTTATGCCCCTACTGCACAAGTTCTGACAAGAGCATGAGTACAAACCCCCCGGATGGTGACAGAAAGTTTGTCTGCAGCGCCGGCCGCTTGTGAGGCGCGCAGTCATATCAATTGAGCGCGCATCAACGTGTCAAGTCGCGGATCGGATTTCGATCAGGTGAATACGAGTCAACCTGTAATGCATATATACACCTGAAGTTGTCGCAGTTGATCTATTGGATAGTTTCAGAAGCCTCTGCTTTTTGGCGAACAGCGGAATGGATTCTCTGGCGGAAATCATAGCGGGGAGATTACCCAAGGATTTAGCTGAGCAAGTGAAGTCAGGCAAAAGCGCAAATGAGTATCTTCGCCATCTTCGAGAGCTACAGGTCGACTCTCTGTCTTCGGAATCAGCTACTCTCAATTCAAACCTCCAGTCGATTGATCGATCATTGACCAAGTTGGCTATCGAATCTCGCCCAAATCTGATTGCAACCTCTGCTACTCTAGAGTCGTTTACCAAAGGCTTCAATTCTCTGACAACGTCACTCCCCGATCTTTCACATGCTATGCCGAGTCTCGAAGAGGACGTCGTTCAGTTTGAGCCTATCAACGATCGCGGAGCATCTGCCACTTTGTTCAGTAACGTGGACAAGGTGCTAGACATATTAGAGCTACCGACTCTGATACTTACGTGTGTGCGCAACGGATATTATGCTGAAGCTTTAGATCTGGTTGGGCATGTCAGAAGGCTGGCAATACGTTACCGCAATGCCAAAGTTCTTGCGATGATCCAGGACGAGGTAGACAAGGCGCTACTGGAGATGACAACTTCGCTGCTGAGGCTCCTTAGAGAGAATGTTCAACTACCAACGGCCATCAAAGTCATTTCATATCTCAAACGTCTCCAGCCATTTCAGTCTTCTGAGAATTCTGTGTTGGAACTACAGCATATATTTCTATTGTCGCGCTCGATCCACCTGAAAAGTCAATTGAAATCTCTGGAGCCGTTGCAGTCTCTCCCCGAAAAGTATCTGAGACGCTATATAGAATTTTTCAGAGAATTCGTTTTCGCGGCAATCATTGGCTTCCGATCTATTTTTCCTAAAGAAGGAGATACGGGCCCTATCAGAGACAGAGTGGATGATCAGCTGCTACACGATGAATCGAAGAGTACGATAAGAGAAGCTGCAGGTGTTACCGTCGATAGTGGTGAACAGTTGTTGTCATCATTTATCTATGTGGTGACTATTGAATTACGGCAGACTGTAAAGCAGTATCTGCCCCTGATTTCTGATAAATCGGTCTACTCGGCTTTATATTTACAGATAATATATGCTTCACAGTCTCTCGCGAGAGTTGGGGGCGAGTTTTGGAGTATTCTGGCAGACGATGAGGATCTACAGTTTTATGCTTCTGGTGACGACAAAAATCCTTGGATCTCGGCACTGGAGAAACAAAGGGAATTGTCCAAAAAATTAAAGCCAAGTTAAGAATATGGAAGGAATCTATCATGTACTAAAATACACTCATACTATGCATTCATCATTAATCATCATCGCTCAAATCGATAACACGTCTAAACACCGGCCTAAGTGGAGAGATAGGCGTAGAAATAATATGCTGAGAATGAGAAGGCGGTGAAGATGACAGCGAGGGCGAGGAAGATAGATTTATAATGCTTCCGGGAGTAGAGGGCATCTCACAAAAACTTAGTGCTGAAGGAAGAGACAATGGCTTGGTTTCAGTCCTCCTAAACAAGCGGTCAGCAGGTATCACAAAGCTGGTTTCCTGAGGTACTAACGTTTTCTCCACAATTTCCTTAGTTCTGGGCTTGATATTTTCCTTGCATGTTTTGTTCCGCTCTTCTGAGTTCGATTTCCCTGCTTTCCCTTTCCAAAGCATATCCAAATTGGTTTTCTGTTCAGGCAGGCGTTTGGATTTTCGCGTCTTTGTAGCTTCAAAGAGAGAACTGCGGTAATCTTCAAGCACGCCTTTACCACTTTCAGACTGCATAAATATGTATTCAGCGACCCAGAGCTTGCGGGGCTGGTCCTCGGATTCCAGTTCTGAAATCATATTTGACTTCTCACTATCCACTACTGCTGCCATAACTTGACAGTAATACATGGATGTGCGGACTTCCGTCAGTTGTAAACGGTCATGCACCCGAGTTCCATGGATTTTGACTATGGATGTATTGCCACCGGCTAGCTGGCCGATGGCGATTGCTGGCGCCAGACAACTGACAAATTGTTGCAGAGTGTAGTTCATGCACGAGCTTGAGAATTGATGAAGATTGATAATGATCGGTTTCTTGCCCCATTCTATAGGTTCTGTAGGAAGTGCAACAGCAGGATTCATGTAAGATTCAAAAAGATCCCTTGAGGGAAAAGACTCATCAAAAACGATTGCCTTGTGCTTGTTGCTGAACTCGTTGTTCTCGTTGTTCCGCAGATTTCTTTCTAGTTCAGCTTTCCAGTCTTGTAATTTCAATGGAAGCCAGTCACACGCAATCAGCTTTTCGCCATACCCGGCCTTGGCTATTTCTTTGGCGGTTTTGATACCGCAGCCCTTGACACCTTCTGGACAATAGTCAGCACCAGACATCATTGCAGTCAAAACTATGCCTGGTCTGGTAAGATATCTACTGTCATTCGGACTAATCCTGAATGCAGTGGCAAACAGAGCTGCCGGTGATTCTTTTGAGCCCAATCCTGAATTAGAGGAACTCCTTAGTAGGTTGCGGCAGCCAAACATTAGAGCGTCAACATCATCTGTGAGCACGAAGTCAACCAACCCCTTCATCTCAAGCAGAGCACATTGAGCCTCCGCCTCGCCAGGTGCTTGAATCCAAGTAAAACCAAAATCGCTGATTAAATTTTTCATCCATCGAAAATCCATAGGATTGGTGATGGGGACGCGCTTATTGCGTTTAAACTCTGGCTTTTGGGGTCCATCAAACACGAAGACTGCATCAACGTGAGCTTTGAGTAGACTGTTAAGGCGAAGAAAGCACGTCCGCTGCTCTTGGGCTTTTTGAGAAGCACGACTGCCAGAAGTAGATGTCCTGTATCTATTATGGTATCGCCAGAGGTCAGCATCAACAGCTAAGCGAAGTTTGCGCTTGTGCTTTCGCAAGCACTCCTCATTGAGTTGCGATATGCCTGATGATGATCTGTCAGCGGACGCTTATATTATCGCTCAAGTAAAACACTCTTACAAACTTCTTCACCGTTCTCCTGAAACACGTCCCATAGACTGTAGAAATAGCAACAGTCAGTAACAGTTCGTAAGTCAAAGGTCGATTAAGATTGCCAGGTTACATACTTCTTCACGCCCATATATATTAATGATATGTAATTTTGACTCAGTACCACAGCAACAGTCTCAAAGTGGCAGTGCTGGATAAATTGGCTAGATCAAAGATCGTTTCTGCTTCAGGATCAGCTACGATACATGGTTATAGCAATCTGCAGTTGTATTGATTGAAGACATGTAGTTAGGAGATTGCATGTCACGTGAAGTAAATAAAGGTGCACGTGCCTCGCAGGTTTTTTTTTTCAAAGTCCCAACCTCCCAAGCTGGAATTTGGTGTAGGAAGGCAAATTTCTTAGTATCTGCCCGTCCCAACTGAAGAAAGAACCGGTACAACATCACCTATCAGTACAAGAACTTTACGTCGTCATAGATCCGTTTGTCTGACGGGCCGATAGTTTGCCTGGTTTTATTGAGAATGGTAACATTGAGCAATGAAAATTCAAAAAGCGGTGAGGACTGGAAGCTAACTTTGCAATAGATCATCAAGACCCTAAGCAGATCTTCGGATACGTACTTACCTGCGAGAAGTACGGAGGTATCGAGAATATCTCGCAATCTTGATCCTGAAATTCATCCTTTTGAACGTGCTCGTGAATACACGCGTGCCTTAAATGCGACCAAACTTGTATGAGTAGCCCTTGTGTGCTTTTTTCGGGAGGAAGTACGCAACATCTATTAACACTGGCTTTTTTAGGAACGGGTTTTTGCTGCACCTTTTGTTGGCCAACTGGGAAACGGACATGGTGATGGCGTGTACTCTTTGGCAAAGAATACACGCAGGATAAACGCTGTTGCTAGTGGAAGTGGAGACGGTGTTATCAAGCTCTGGGACTTAACCTCTCGAGAACAGCTTCTGTCGGTTGCTGCTCACAAAGGCATAGTCAAGGGATTGACAGTCACCTTGGATGGCAACTTATTATCTTGTGGAATGGATAGCACTGTGAAACTATGGGATGTACTTGCATCCAATGCTTCCGCCCCTATCAAAACTTTTCTAGGATCGAGCGGATTCACTGGTATAGATCATCACCGCTCAAGTCCCACGTTCGCAACGTCGTCTGCAAAAGTCGAAATCTGGGATCTCGGTCGTTCAAAGCCCATAGCCGATCTATCTTGGGGTGCTGACAACGTCAGTACAGTCAAATTTAACCAGTCCGAACAGTCGATACTGGCGTCGGCTGGAAGCGACAGATCTATCATCATTCACGATACTCGATCCAGCTCGCCAGTTCAGAAGCTTGTAACAGCGATGCGCACCAATGCGATATCGTGGAATCCGATGGAAGCATTTGTTTTTGCGGCTGCAAATGAAGATTACAACACCTATCTATATGATATGCGGAAATTGTCGCGGTCGCTGAATGTCTACAAGAACCATGTGAAGGCCGTGATGGATGTTGATTTTTCTCCTACAGGGCAGGAGCTTGTTACGGGCTCCTACGACAAGACAATACGCATTTTCCGAACTCGAGATGGCCATTCGCGTGATATATATCATACTAAAAGAATGCAGAGACTGTTTTGCGTTAAGTATACGATGGATTCGAAGTACATCATATCGGGTTCGGATGAAGGTAACGTCAGAATTTGGCGTGCGGACGCAGCATCCAGGTCCAATGTCAAATCTGCTCGTCAGCGGGCAAAACTTGAATACGACGATGCCTTGAAAGAGAGATACAAAAATATGCCGGAAATCCGGAGAATCAGTCGGCACCGGCATGTGCCGGCACATGTTAAAAACGCAGCTGATACTATGAAGATCGAGATCGCTAGTAGAGAAAGAAAGGAAGATAACATGCGCAAGCGCAGTGCGAAGGGATCTATGGCTTTCAGTAAAGAGAGAGAAAAGCATATTGTCGGTGTGGCTACGAAGGATACCTAAAGGTCGATTTGTGTATATTTAGGCTTAATACATATAACGTAACCAAGAATAAAGCAGGAACAATAGTCGTCTCTCAAATGCAAACTCATACTACTATTTTATTGAACTCCTCGAAGTAAACTGTCGCATTGTTTCGGCATAAATATATTACTAGTAGAATACAAGAACTATTTTAACGGCATCCTAGTTTTTTTCTTTTTAAGATGGCCCCCGTCCAGTCAAAACAATAAACATTCTTTGACATCACAAATTTTTGGTATCCCCTGTTTAGAAGCGCAGCTTGGTGAAAAACCACTTGTTTCGTCCGCTCTGTATTAATCGTTAGCACTTGCACTTGCACTCCATACAGAATTCTAGGTAATATGAACGGTGTATACGAACCTGGTATCTCTCCTCGAAAGCCTTCTTGATGGCCTTCTTGGCGTCCTCACGCTGGGAAGGCTCCTTGAAGGTGTCGTTGGAGACGACGTTCTTCAATGACTCCAAGTCAAGGGTGTATCGAGTGGGCATGAGGTGGTTGTAGTTGACAACTTTGATGAATGGCTTTATCTTCGATCTCTTAGCAACCTTCTTGGATCCCATTCCCTTGGTGACCTTCAAAGGGTAGCGCTCAACACCAGCGACGAGAGCATGTCCGAACGGATGACTCTTGGTGCCGTCGTCCTGGGGCTTGATAATAACGACCTTCTTGCCGGCGTATCGGCCGTTGACAACGATGGCTATTGCAGTTAGCATCACAAAAGATCCACGAGATATTATAAACGCGTTATATGTAAAATGCTATCATTCAATACATACCAACTTTGCCCTGCTTCAAAAATTTGGAACCCATTTCTTGTTCGACAATGTAGACCTTCGTGATGTACCGAGCCAACTATTGAGAGCTGTGCACTTAGTTGGAAGAGCATCTCGTCGAGTGGTTGTGGTGCTAGGGCTAGACTAGGGTTAGCTGCCGTAGCCCTAACGTGACTGGTTTTTTTGCTCCCAACCCGTTAGTAAGGTATTAAGCGGCCGATATACTTCACGTGATTAGATATCACGTGAAGTAAAGGATGCCTGTAGGTTTTAACTTTTCGAGCGTTCTCATGTTGAGCAGATAGCTGTACGCGTTTCCGGGACAACCAGACTCTCGATGTAAACAAACAGTGCGCTCATCTACTGCTGGTCTCCTATCCCAATGAGCTCAATCCTGCCGGCCCAGCTGTAACACCACTTGCCTCGGAAACCTCTTCTGCCTTCTTTTGCAATACTTATCAGCAGCCGACATCTCACCTTATTTGTTCTATTGTCTGCTTTTGCAAAGCACTCTTTCTTGGTTCGCGGGAAACTTTACGAGTTTCAGCCAGTAGCTCCACCTTTCTAGTAGGATGAGCCGTCCTCTATCTGGATTGAAACACTCCGAATCTTCTCTATCTATTAACACGCTACCGATGTGAGTTTTTGAAATCCTTTTTGGTTCAGTGAATCCTGCAACTGACCCGTTGTTCAAAAGGTGGGATTCTTCAGATCCCGAGAGGCATCCGCCACCTCTCCCGCTAGCTACTGATTCCCCAAATTTGACCTCGCCCTCACGATCTGGAGGCTCTTTTTTGCGGTCACGGAATAACTCTCCCGTTCGTCCCACTCTTCGGCCTATCTCTCAGTCGGTTGCTAGCTCTAGCCAGGCATCCGATATTCTGTTGACCGTTGGTAGAATACAGGAGCAGTTGACAGAACTAGACTCTACAGTAAGATCATCGGACTACACAATTAGAAAGACTGAGAAAGAGATTGAGAGTCTGTTAAGGAGGTCCAAAGATAATGCAGGCGATCTTGGATCGTTACGCGAGAAGGTGCTCAACACTGAGAATATCTTGCATGAGCAACTAAGCAGTATCACCAAAGTGTTGACGATCTCGCCCAAAACCCTGGCTGATGATATAAGGGCGTTTTTTAATGATGGATTGAGAACCTCCGATTGGTCAAGCTGCTTGGATAAAGTCAACAATTTGGAAGAAGCTATGTTGAAGCTTAGCCCAAGCTTCAATGTGCTTCAGCAGAATTTGGGGAAACAAAGAGCACAAAGAGATGAGACTCTTAGTCGTTCAGACTCACAATCTTATAATCGTCTGACTTCCAAGATTGATGAGATGAGTGAGCGCATCAAGGATTACTCCGCTTCTCTCGATCATGTTTCTAAGGGACTAGAGTCAGTGACATTGAGGAATGCTGAGTTTGCTGGCGTCGAAAAAAATTTGCTATCAACTCTTCAACAAGTGCAGACGACGCAGCAAATTATTGGTCAAGCGCACGAAGAACGCGATGGTCGATCTGACCAGACCTTACGTCAGTTGGAAACGGTTCTCAGTGGAGAGCTGTTGCAAAAGGTGAAAGGGCTGGAGAACAATGTTGAGAATAACGCCGGTCGTTTGGAGATGATTTACGAAAATGGGCTCTCGCTATCAAACGCTTTGAGTGAGGGAGATATTTACGAGCGTTCCGAGTCAATGAAGAAGGTGATCTCTTCCCTCGCGACATTGGAAGAGCAGATATCTGGAATTCGACAGTCGTTTGACTCCGATCTCCACGCAGCCTACCAAAGTCATGCTGCCGTATACGAAGAACGGATTCAAGATCTTTCAATAATCCAAACTGCAGGATTTCAAAAGTCTGATACTATCCTCTCAACTGTTGCTGATCTAGACTCGATTATTCGGTCTCAAAGTGAAAGAAGTTCCTCGTCAGCTACTCAAACAAATGCGAAGTTGGACGAGATTACAAGTGATATCAAAATGATGTCTACCAACATTCAGCCGTTAACGTTATTGCCAGAAATATACGCCAACTTTATTGAGAATGCTACTCGGTCCGCTACGAGTCTGTCGGATGAGCACTCAAGGTTAACGAGCGAAGTAGAGACTCTTCGTCAGCAGAAGTTAGACATGGTTAAGGAGCTTGCTTCGCTTGATGCAACTGTAGCATCTCGTGCGAAAGAGCTGAAGATTCTCGAGGATAGAGCAGAGGCATTTCAGCAAAAACTGCAGACGAGTATTATGTCTCAGATTGAGTTTGCGACAGTATCCAAGACAGGAAGCTCAGCCGGTAGAGAATTTGCTGATAAGGTATGATATGCGTCTTTACTATTTACTGGGAATTTGTGGAATGCTGACTCTCCAGCAGGCGATTTATGAGGATAGATTGACTGAATCTCTCAATGAGAGTGGTGATGAAAGCGCACAGCATGATACAAAGTCGTGGTCATCAAACGATGGATCTTTTAGCAATTCGGAGAGATCTCGAGACAATCGACAATCATCTTGGAGTCGCAAGCTGGGAGGAATGTTCAGCGCTGGAAAGGAGAATGAATTGGTCATCGCTAAAAGAAGCACAGGTCGTAAAGTACGAAGTGTGAGTGAGCGGTTGAATTTTTGAGTCAATTGAGAATGCTATTTGTGCGTAAACGACACGCCGAAGTAAGGTTTCTGTTGCGGTTTTTATGATTTTTAGATTTGGTAATAGTATGATCTCAGGAAAGCTCTATGTTAAGTCAATGAATAATAGAGGTAAATACAAGTGTGCTCCTAATACTCCGTAGAAGAATCGACTACGATTCTCTAGCATGCTTCGTCATGCTCGGAGTCACCACGGCTCTTTTCTTCGCCACATCTGACAATTCGTAGGCCTTTGAATTTCCGTATGAATGACTCGCTTGGTGGTCCGTAGGACGTCTAGAGCTGGATATGCTACTAAGAAGTCTTTCTCCAGCGGGCGTCAGAATCGTACGATGTAGATTGCGTCCACTTTGAAACTTTGGAATTGACTCCGAACTGTTGCGCAATATTGGTCCTTTCCTTTCAGTGGTTGGTCGCCTGGACTTCTTGGCAAGAAGCCTCTGATGTAATTCGTCGCGCAGAGGTGTTTCCGCTAGTCTGAATTGTGAGCGGATAGGTGTTGACGGCACGCTACCCCAGGTCATCGGCGGAGCACCTAACTCTGATGGTGACGGCGATGCCGCACCAGCAACAAAAGAATATCCTCGGACGTTTGGTGAGCTGTTCATGGAACTGATAGATACGCTCGGAGAAGATATCCGCTCAATCGCATTTGAATATCCTGTATCGGTAGAAACCTCTGAGTCAAACCGGGTGTTCACTGTTTTGATCTTTTTGTGTGCAGCTGCTGTTAGGGCGGTTTGAGAAAGATGTCCAGTAGCCGGTATAAACAATAGGTCGTTTCGGGCGCCAGAATATTTGATCATCGGTGCATTTGGACGATTATCGGCCATAGTGATGCTTCTCTCATGTATCGAGGCATCCGCAGACGCTGGCCCATTTTCCAGATAGGCTGTACTTCTTGCGCCGGCAATCTTATTGCCATTCCACTGCCAGTGATATTTCTCTCGATTCAACTTATTTCGACTTTCTAGTAGGTGTTGGAATGATTCATTGTCCTCAGAGGTATATTTTTTCTGAAACTGGTCCAATGAGAGCGATAGATCTGATATATTTAATCTCGCGTCACCGCTCGCTTCACCATTGGAATCGAGACGATCGGAAGGTTCGGTGTCTTCACCCATATCATCCTCCTCAAGCTCGGAATCATCTTCAGCTGAGTCGAAGTCAAGCTTGGCATCTAACCCACTTTCGTTGAATCGCGGAGTATCTGCCCGCGGGCTTAGCAGGTGTGAATTTTTCGGTGTGAGATGTCGCATATATCTCTCTTTCTCGCAAACAGCCTGCAGCCGCTTCCGCTTCTTCAGCTGCCGGTTGAACTCTTTTCTGACTCCATCAGGAGCCTCGAGGCGCTCCAGCCGTTTCTTCAATCTTGTCGCACGGAAGTCATCGCCAGTAGATAGGGCGTCGAGCAAAGCTCCTTGACATTCCAAAATCACCAAGTCCGGAAAGTAATCTCGCTTCAGAATATTAGATACTGAATCAACATAAGCATCTTCTTCAATGACATTTTCTGGTCGAGATGAGGTTTTATCGGCAACCCCAGAAAGTTGCAACTGCTTATTGGATTCGCTCTGTTCCGCTGATTCTTTGCGTATAAGAGACATGTAATCGTCCAAGTATGTATCAACAGAAAATTAAAAAGCTCAAACCAAGGATCGAGGCAAGGGAGACGGTATTATGCCGTTTTTGAAGTTGAGTGATCAAGTGAAATCGTGAATATCACTGATACAGCTGTAAGGCAGACTTCGTAGTTGGGAGAAAAGAAAGCACACGTGCGCCACACGTAAAAAGAACTCGCCCAGATATTTTCAGCCGAATAACGACTAACGATTCGTTTTTTGATTTTCAAAGATATGCGATTCAATCTGCGTTTGAAATATACATTTCCTGTACTCAATGCGCACAAATTTCAGACCAGAAAATTTGCAACATCAATAGTTGCTAGGAACGCTACCGATGCTGAGTCTTCACGGATCAGATCTCTCTTTCTAAAGGGCTCGACAGGACAAATAGCATTTGCTCAAAGTGTTGAACAGATTCCAGATTACAACGAAACTCCTCAAGTAATAAGAATTTTTTCTTCTGTACGAAAATGCGAGATTGTCATGATCGCGTTATTAACAAAGATCTGGCGTCTAGGTTGCATTAATAGGGAGAACGAATGTGGGCGTAAGTACCAAATGTTATCTTATAGACCCGATATATATACTGACATATTTGCTGCTTGTTTTTGCAGAAAACATCACTTATTGGATCACTATTATTAGGTGCTCCTTCAAAACAAAAAGGACTAAAACCTTCCAAGAGACCCGGAAGTACGAAAGCTCTTGTCTTCCACTCATTCAAGAGAAAAGCCTCAATCAGCAAGGAGATGATATTGGTCGATCTACCTGGATATGGCTACGGGTCTCACATTGATCAAGGAAAGATGATCGAGAAATATCTTAGCTCATCAACGAATTTGCGGGCGGTCTTCATATTGATTGATATGAAAGTCATGATCAAATCAGCCGACCTGATGGTGATGGATCTGCTAAACCGTTTTCGAGTTCCATGGTATATAGTGGGTACTAAGTGGGATAAGGTCAAAGGCTCACATATCCCAGGTCGTGAACTTGAAGCCCGAACTAAGCTTTTGAGCCTTCTGAAAGATGATACTCGGCTGTACTCCGATGAGATTTTGGTCACTTCATCACAGGTCCCAAAGAGCGTCGACAATCTACGTCTTTCTATTTTCAAGAAATGTGGATTATCGATATGACATATGTTCATAGCCTTGTACAATAACTACAGATGCTACGCAACAAAACAAAAATGTCTACATACATGACCCAATAATCTCAATGAATCCATGCCCACGCTTAAATTCCAGACTAGTAATTAATTAATCATACACTATACGCCCCATCAATCCTTCTACTTAACCGTCAAGGGGCTTCTTGGCCACGAAAAGCATCATGGGCGTGAAGAGTTCCAACTGGGAATTTACGTTAGCAATTATTCATAGATTTAATCAGCAAAGTAAGCATACCTTAGCACCCAAAACCAAGTTAATAGCTGCCTCCTCAAGGGCCTCGGTCACCTTCTGGGATCCAGGGGGAGCCAGATGGAACTTCTCCAAAAGTCCCACAGACTTCATGGTCACCTGTCTTCCCAACCAGCTGGTACGGAAAATAGTGGCAACATCTCCAAGGGTACGGCAGTACTTCCACTCGCCGCTCAAGGGATAGTACCAAGGCACATCATCATTCTTCTGGGCCAAGTCCTCTTCATGAACAATCTCAAATCCGACCGCTTTAAGAGCATCCCGAGCAACACCAACCTTGTACATTTTCGGGATACCATCACCAATCTCAATGCCGTAGCATACCTCACGATGGACAGGGTTGGTTTCATCGTACTTATCAGTCATGACCCATTCGTAGACTCCGAAAGTACCACCCGGCTTCAGAACTTTGTAGATCTCACCATAGACACCATCAAGGGTGGGGGCGTGCACCGTAGCCTCAATGGCATATACAGCATCGAATGACTCCGGCTCGAAATCCATTTGCATGAAATCGCCTTTCACAAAGTTCAGCTTATCAGCCAAACCGAGCTTCGTGGCATACGCATTTGCACGATCGACCTCTGTGGAAAAAAATTAGTTTCTTCTGTTACTAATTGGCTTTAGACAATAAAGAACACATACGGTAGTCGTTGTTATTCAGACCAGTGACGTGACATTCGGTGAATCTTGCCATCTCCTGGGCCGGACCACCAACACCACATCCAACATCAAGAACCTTCATTCCCTTGTTGAGTCCCATCTTGAGGGCAAGGTAGTGTTCGTGTCTGATTGCACGTTAGCTTTGAGACCAAAAATAAAACTGAGGATAATTATTACCTGGCAATAGACTGCTTGAAAGCCTCGCCCTTGTAGAAACGCGAAAAATGGAAAGATGTACCCCAACCATACTCGTAAACTGGAACAAAATTCTGGTCAGCATTTATCACATAGCAAAAATTAGGCAAATATAGACTTACAGTCAGTCACAAGATTGTAATAGTGCTTGGTCAAAGTAGCGTATTCGGTAAGACGACCCTTTGAGAATTTAGTCAGCCTCCACAATCCTACAAGGGAAAATACTCATTGAGCTTACCTTCTTGTCTTCTTCAGTCTCGTTACTAGGTCGCTTGTTATCCCAGAACTTGAAGTACTCATCGACAGCGGCCTTCTGAGCATCGTCGTTCTTGCTGATAGCAGACATAAACCCGGTCTTGGAGGCGACGTCCTTGCCGTGCATGACCTCTTTGAACTTCGCATCGGTCTCGCGGTCCTGGACCTGTGGAGCGAACGTAGACATGACTAAATATAATAAAAGATTTGTAGAATTGAGATTGAGCAATAAAGAATTGAGACAATCCAACAAGGGAGACGCGAGAAGCGGGAGCGGAAGGAGGTAGGGGAGAGCGTAAGTATTTAAGGCCTAAGCGGAGGAGACCCGAGAGGCGACTCGGTATCGGATTTGGCATCTACTTTTTAGGAGTGGGCCGGCGGGACGGCAACCCGAAACCGACATTCCTCAGCTATCTCTCACTCGTATTCGCCTTAATTAAAGTTCAGGAGCCGAAAACGTCCACACCAATTTTGTCTCTTGTTAGCATCCTGCATCCTCAGACGAATTGGTCTTAAAGCCTGGGCTTATCCATGGAGCCTGATAACTGAATTTCATGGGCAATCGATAGCCAGATAATAAAGATTTCACGAAACTTGATTCTTACTATCACAACCGCTTGTCAGCTAGATAGTTGCTCGTCCACTACGGCGTAATCTTGCCTTCACTCATCCAAATACTTGTAACTTTTCTTCTAAAAGAACGTATCGTTTAAATCGTCTTCGTGTTCTTCCGCCCCTTTGTAAATCAGAGGCACCCATGCATGCCATTATAATCCATGGATCCCAGCAGCGCAGTATGAACAAAAAAATGCTTAGTCGTCCGTTGAGTGTATACCGTGCTGCTCTATTTCTACGATAATTGCCTCTGTTTTCAAGGGGTGTCGGATAATATCGCCCTGTCTACATAACAAATTATAAAACTGGGTGTTACTGACAATTTGGTATTGAATAAAGTGCGATTAAAAGCGTATTGGTCGAATGAAATTTGACTTTATGTAAGTCAAGTCTCTAATTTTCGTCAACGCGATTCCTTATGGCCCAATGGCAAGGCGTCCGCCTACGATGTTCATCACAGCAAAGTGAGCGGGAGATTCCAGGTTCGACCCCTGGTGAGGAAGGAAAATACACCTTCTTCGCAAAGACGCGGATTTTTTTTTAGTCCTATGAATCGTAATTTTTTTTTCGATAAGGAAGCATACAGTTCCTCATAGGTTCTTCTAATACGATTGACTGACGAAGTCAATTTGTTCCAGCATTATGTCTATTGGGTAATATCTTGTTATTCCCAAGACTGGAATTTATGATTATTGATGCCATGCATTTAACCAACGACAATATAAAAATACACTAAACAACTCTTATGTACAGATAATAAATACTTTCCAAATTCCACGAAACCTTCAGAAAAATATGTAGAAAAAAAGCCAATGTCGTTCGAAATGGAGACGTATTATGACGAGACAACTTCGAGGACGAGATTTATGCTAGTTCCCAGTGCCCACAATCCAATACTAGCAGCTCCAATTACTCTTGTCATTCTCCAGCCACTATAAGGGACCCATACTAGATATAGCAGTAGGTTGAGGAAAAGGGTGGCGGCGGAAATGATCAGGGAAGGCGCGATCTCGAGCTCGTACGCATCGCCGTCCGTGTAGTCAGATATACCAGGCAACAATATTAGGCCCGAAACACCAATTCCTACCAGGATATTCAACATCGGGCTCCCAAAACACGCACTGATAGCCATCATAGGATAACCCATTTTGGCTACTGTGACGTTCGACACATAGTCTCCTAATGAATTTCCCTGTACTCAATTGTTAGTTGCCGAGCTGCTTCACACTGACAACAATGATACATACCAAAGCGAACACTGTTAATCCTAAGATGGCATCGCTAATGCCAAAAATTATGCCATAGGCCTTTAGAACACCGACCGCTTCAACAGCAATTGCAGAAATCCAAGATATACTGATTCCAAAACCGGCGAAGCAAAGAATGGGAAGAAGCTTTGTGGGAGCCGAATTGCTCTCCGTGAAATAATATATACCCAAAAATAACACCAATCCGGTAATTACTGCAGCAGAGAGACCGTTGGAAAAATTCTCAGAGTCAAAAGAATTCATAGAGTACACCACAATGGACGAACATAGGCATTGGACACAGAGTAGCCACTTGCTCCAACCTTTATAGAGTGGCTTGCCAGATTCGTTATCCTCATGATCTCCCGCATTATCGTGACCATCTAGGCTCGAAGTGTCAACGCGGAGGATGGGAACGTCATGATCACTGCCGTTCGCATAGTCTTCGTCAGGATGGTCAATTTCAATAACTGGGATGGTGACTGTCAGAAGCAATACTGTAGGTACTGCCAGGATACTAATGAATCTGTTCAGAGGCGTTTTTTCACTGAATTCACCGATAGTTGGAAACAGAGTCTTCTTGATATCTGCCCAGATTACTTTCCACTGAGAAAATATCGAACCCTGGGACGACGAGATTATTGACGAGTCAACTTCGGAGATGTCCGAAAGATTATCTCGAGAAATGCTAAGACTCGGACTAGCAGAAGGTAAACTCAGGTGCTGACTGTGACTCAAAGGAGATAACATGGCATCTGTTTCTTGCATACGATCGTCATCAGCCATCAGATCATCCTCATGAAGTCTACTCGAGCCAACTGGAATCTCTGGTGGCTGTAGCGCGGACGTCGGCATAAAAGACAAGAAACGGTCATATGGCGATGGCGAACGAGGTCGTCTGTCGACGGAGTTAGAGCGTGAGCGAGTCTCTCGGCCTGCGCGTGATTGTATCGACCCGGCTGTGAGAGGACCAGAATGACCACTTCCACTGGTCACTAGCGATAAGGACGGTCGATGTGCGCTTGAGTGCTGTGCCGTATTTTCGATTCTGTACATTTCATATGGAGGCCGTCCCCCTCTATACCAGTGGTCATCGGCGGCTGATGTAGGAGACAGGAGTTTGGAGTCTCTCGACCCAGAAACGTTATCAGACGAATAAGAGCGGTTGTGTTGAGGACGAGAAGTTTCGGTTTGTGTGCTGTTAGAATGCGGAGATTCACTGTCTGTGCGCAGCGCCGCGGCAGCGTGTTGGTAATTTGTTGATATCTGCATACTGTGATGCCTTCTGTCTTTTGAATGATATGCTGGGTGCCCTCGGCTTGTTGATCGCGAGAGTCGCGAGTACAGTTTCCCTGGATTTTCGTCTGATAACGTGTTACTGGTCAGACGACCGCGCTCAACTGCAGATCTCAGATCCAAGGCGCCAATTAGAGAAGCTCTGATTGGAGTGGAGGAGGTGAGATTTCCTGGAGATTCGCTGTAGCCAGGGAGATTATTGGTAGCGGTATCCCCTTGCGGCCTCCGAATGTGCATGACTTGGTTGATATTCTCATGTCTTTCATCATTTATTGGTCGAAGAGCGTAGCGATCAACAGCACGCTCTATCTCCACACTTGTTGCCAGGGAATTCTGGGGCAGTAATGGGGCAGACTCAAGGTCGTCTGCAGACATCACGCCCCCGCTGTTGACAATATCAGAGTAAAACGAAGGAATGCTGGTATTGGATAACGAAGGTTGAAGGGGAGCGCCATAGACATCATCGTATGAGCGGTTTCCGGCATGCAGTTGAAGACCCCGCGTGAGCCACCAATGCCAGGAAACAACGAAAACAACGTAAGTCAGATAGAACCCGACCATAGCCGCGCACTCCCACCAGGCGATATATCCATCGTGCAAGCAGTACATCGCGAATGCTACCGCGACAGTGAAAAACCCAAGATCTCGTATGAATGATGCGCGATCAACCGAGAAAGGACAGATGATTGCCATAGAACCACCGACGACGGATGTTATAAATGAAGCAGCTCCTATCAGTTCACCGACAGCTAAAGATCCACTGCCAGCTTTCATAGCAGCATATGTGCTGAAAACATCAGGCGAACCATTTCCAAGGGCAAGTAGTGTAACACCTGCTAGACTTTCAGACATGCCGAATATCTGAGAAATGGTGTTCAAATTGGGACAAAGAAAGTCCGAGGCAGTTATTCCGATAGTGGTAAAAACGGTTATCAGCCAGATAGAAAGGATGAGAAATATTGGTAGGCGGAGAGTGGTCGGAGAACAATAATAGAACTCGATGTAGTTGAAAAAGCCGATCTCGTCATCCGTGCAGTATGTTTTTGCAAACGCGCACTGATCGGCGACCTTATTGATATCCTTGCACTACACCACCGGGTTAGCAACACAAAGCATTGATACTCTAGATCAAAACGGATACAATCTTACCTCAACTTCGTTATAGAAAATGGAGTCAGTAGACGAATAGCTGATCGCCGCTGCCTTTGAAACAGCTGCGGCGGAGTGCTCTAATGACGTGATCGCAGCAGTCCGCACCATATTGAGATACAGAACACCACACAGGCATGTTCCGAACAGCAAGAAGCATCGTAATACCGAGATGCGTCCGGAACGGCGGTGAAGTAAACTCATGTTGGTGACCGCGCTGGATATTCTCGATATCGGCTTTGGCTCGTCGACTTCGCCGTCAATCGCAAAGCAATTTAAATAGTACTCTCGAGATCAAAAAAGACGGATAATTTATTCATATTGTTTCCAAAGTCACATAGGAAACCCTCCGACAGGTCAGTGGATCCGAATGAGTTCCGCCAGACTGAATTAGAGTAGGTGTGTGGAGTGAAGATCAAAATCGAGATACTTCGACAGCTGATAGAGCTGTGACTCAAGATTATCGCCTTGTGTCCTCGGTCACCAATCTCAGTGTGGCCGTATTTTAATTCCTAATCAGATTTTCTCAAACTTTATTTGCCCGCCAATCTTCGGAGGTAGGGTCTTAAGGTCACGTGATGGCCTTTGTATAGCCAGATCTGCGAATTGAGCGCGTGCTCAGATTGTTTATCGCAGACATTGTCCACTATCCGGGGTTTACTCTGGAAATGCGTTTGAGGCTCTACAAACAAGTCTGGGCCGACCAGATGCTTACGTGCTATTTCAATAGATGACTCGTGATTACCGCGACACCTAGCGTGGACAGCGGTTGAGAGAGCCGAGTCTCTTACCACTACTCTGTGTGCTATTTCTCCAGCGATTGAGCCGAAGCAGTCGCTTATCAGTTACGATCAAGGCAGTTGGAGAGATGATAACCGAATTTTTAATCACATTCTGTTACTCATCGGAAAGACTATGCTGCATTGGTTAGAGATTTTCCTCTCTTTCGGTATAGTACCGCGTTTCGTCGAGTCTCAACAACGAAAACGAATCACCGCAACGGCCATGCTGTATATCTCCTCTATCTCAAGAGTGCATAAATGACACACTCTGCAGTATTGTTCTAAAGGCTTACCAGCTGTCGATGAAATATACATCGAACGTAGCATGTGCTTGTTTAATCCCAGCCGCACTCGCCCAGTTTTGTTGTTGCTGAATGATTACATAATCCTAGGTTTGTTGTCGTTGCTGTGGCAACGACACGCCTCCCAAAGAATCAAAACAAATAGAGCCGCACTCGTTCCCCATTACCTACTTCACATCAAGACCACCCTCTTTCTTACCTTTATCGCGCTCAGAAACTCGACCACCGCGCCAACCGAGTATCAGTCATGGCTCGTCAACAACAAGTCCCTGTCGCGGGTACACCTAGTTCCTACCGTTCGTCATTAGGTTCTCGGAGGAAAATCAGCGGACTTGCTTCTTCACCTGCAAAGTCGAGAAACTCCAATCTTGCCGATCCGCTGACTCTGAACGACGACAGCCACGAGAAAAGGATGCGCAACAGCTCTCGTCGAACTGCTGTTGATGAGGCCAACAGAAGCATCATTGCAGCTGCAACTCCTGCGAATAGATCTCTATTAGAGAGTGATTCTGCAGAGAATACTCCCAAAGTGCCGCTTTTATCCAATTTCGAGGAATGGATGAAGCTCGCCACCGATAATGTGCGTTTTTGAGCTATTTGTATATCTGACTAGGCAAGCTTGCGTTCTGACATAAGTTTAGAAAATCAACGCCTCCAATAGTTGGAATTTCGCGTTAATCGATTACTTTCACGATATGTCTCTGCTGAAAGAGGGTGATGGCATCAACTTTCAGAAGGCGTCATGCACTCTTGATGGATGTGTTAAGATCTACACATCCCGCATTGACTCGGTCGCTACAGAAACTGGAAAGCTTCTCAGCGGTCTTACAGATAATGCATCCAAGCAAGCTGCCGCTTCTTCCAAGGAAGCTGCATCGGACGACGAGGATGACGAAGAACAGGCGACCTCCAAAAAGCCAAAGCGTCGTCCCCACGCAGACAACACTCTAGTCAAAGACTTTGAGGCTATTCAGATCAAGAAACTTGACTTAGAAGTTTCCATCGATCCCCTTTTCAAAAAAGCTACTGCCGACTTTGACGAAGGCGGTGCCAAGGGCATGCTTCTCAACCATCTATCGATTGAGGGAAGTGGACGGGTTGTTTTCGATACCAACACCGATATCAAGCATGATTCATTTGAGTTGGACGCCGAAGAGAAAGACCATGGGCCCTCTAAGGAACTCGATCTATCAGCACTGAAAGGTAAATAACTACAGCGTCTGCATGTACTGCCGTCGACTTCCAAGAAGCTAACATATCGTAATTCGCAGAACGCTATTCTAGTAACCTGCTGGTTGATATCAATGAGACATACATAAGTCCATCCTTGAAAGACTTTGAGTTTCCGGATGATTCAAACACGGTACCTGTCGATATTCCGTTTCTCAAAGATTTCGAGGCAGCCGAGGACGACGTCTTTCCGCCAGCTGGTAGCAACGATGACTATGTCGCTGGTGGCGCCGACTTTGCAGAGGCTGAGGAGTACTCAAATTCCAACCCAGCCGTTAAAGAAGAATTTGGAAATGGCGGTGACCTTTGGCTGGAGAATATTAGAAACGGATCTCAGGTTCCCGAATTTCACGACGACGACTACTCTGTCAATCTGGATGACTGGGAGGATGATGCTGATGATGCCCGGGCACCCGGTGCTTATGTTCTTCAATTTGCAAAGGAAGCTCAAACTAACTCTGCGAGCGAGTCCAATGACATCTTTGCATACTTCGACGAAAGCATCAAGAAGAACTGGGCTGGAACTCAGAACTGGAAAATCAAACGTGTCATGAAAGGGGCTTCCGACTCTAAGAAGCCAGCACAGACAAGACAGGTAAAGAAAAAGACAGAGCTTGTCATCGATTTCATCGCTCCCAGTGTGGATGAGGAGAGTCTATTTGAATCCGGCAATCCAAGCAGCATTCAGCTTTCCCGATCGCATTGGAGATCTGAAACGAGAAACCTGCTACCCGACGATATCAACTTCAACTCAAAGAAGCTTTTGCGACTATTCTTGAAGCCTAAGGTCCAGCTCCGCTTCATTAGCTCTCGGGACGCGAAATCGAGAAGTAACAACGGTATGCTGCTACGTGCGGATACCGATGTTCTTGCTGGTAATTCCGAAGGGACCGCTAGAGGATTGTATGACGACGATGGAGACTATCTCAGACTCGGTGATGGCGATGATGAGTCCGACACTTTGCATGGAGCAAACTACGATGCCGACTTCTTCGCGGAACCTCTAGAGGATGCAGGAATTGATGCCACCGAACATCCCGAGCCTCAATTTGTCGATGCAGTTGATGATCTATATATGCTCGAATCTCAGACAACCAGGACTGGTGCGGATCCAGAGAATAGCACTATGGTTGGTCAGGATATTTCGATGTACCCTGCCGGCAACCAAACCGAAATCAGAGACGAGACCGAGTATGAATTTGGAAGCCAGCTTGTTCTTAGCAACAACCGGTCGTATAAAACAGACTTTGTTAAATATGCTCGGGTGGCCAAGAAGGTGGATGTCAAAAGGCTGAAGGACAGTCTATGGACAAAACTTAACACCGAAGAATTCGAAGCAGCAGCCAAATCGAGTGATCGGACAATTGACTCTGAAGAGAAGCAGTTCTCAGAGCTGGTGGAGGGATTGACAGACATGTATCCTTCCAAAGCACTTGCCGATATATCCACTAGTTTTTGCTTTATTTGCTTGCTTCACTTGGCTAATGAGCGTGGATTGGAAATCGACAACAATGCTGATTTCTCGGATCTTGCTATCAGAAAAGTCCCCGATGTTGAAATCGAACAATATTAGGTAGCTATCTCAGAAGCCTGTTAGATTATAGCTGCAGAATATTCCGAAATTACTGCTTTGTACATTAATAAAGGGTCATAAATATAATACATAAACAACGAGCTCATTCCTTCTTTCATTCTCGTCTGCTGATCACATTCATCAGATTTGTACACTCAAACCCTGCCCCCTTTGCTAAATCAACGACTCTGACACCATCTAAGCTTAAAACACCGACTCCTAATGCAACTAGTCTGATCTCTGTCTCATGGATCGCTCCCGGTCCGAGAGGACCAACCCTGATATCATTGACCAAAGACACCAACTCATCAGCTTCAATCTTCCCAGACATATGCATAACGTGCAAAGCAGCATCATCAGCCACAATCGTAGCCGCGTTTAGCCCCTGGTGTTGCGACGAATGCATACGCTGAGGCGGATCGCGTGGCAAGGTTTTCGTGTTGTTGACCTTCCATTTCTTTGGCTGTACAATCAGCGCTATTCGTTTGGAAGAACGCGAGCGGTTCGAGATAAACACTTTCCAAGTGAAGATTTCACCAGCAATGACCTGTGTCGGACCTGTAAAAGTGATATTTAATCCTTCATGCGATATTTGTCGCAGGGCAGCAGAATATGCAAGCTGCTGTGACTGTTGCTGCTGTGTATGCTGATGAGGTTGTGGGACGCTTAGCGTGCTTTGTGAAGCCTGAGGAGAAAGCAGAGGATGGCTTGGCATTTGAGGTGATGCACTGGCACCGTAAGGATTCATATGAGCAGCTGCAGGCTGTGTAGGAAGAGACCAGCTGCCGCTTCCAAGCATAGGAGATACATCGCCCGCTGGTAATGATCCAACACTGGGAGAGCGTAGCTGCTGCATCTGAAGCCATGCGGAAGAGCTCCTACCCGAAACTGATCTCAGGCCCCCGTAAGACTGCTGTCGACCAGCATCCTGCTGCATTGTCATTGCTCTGTTTTGGTCCGCATAACTTTGTAATGAATTAGACGCTCCAGGACTCTCCGCCGAAAAGTCAACGCTGGTATTCCATGTCGTGCTGATCAATGGACCCATAGAGTTGACATCTTCGAGCGCCAGCTTCTCGGAAGATGTGTCTTGCTTTGGCCTCAGCACTGGTGTGTACTCAACCTTTATCGTAACAGACCTAACCATGTCATGTTTACTAGTCAGGGCTTCATTTTGAGATATCCCGCTACCCCTCTTGCTTGATGAGACGCCTCCAGAGGTAGCTGGTTGCGTAGTCAACGACATCAGCCTAAAAATCTCCGATATTCCATCTAATGGCTTGCACCGTATGGGGTATTTTCCTGTCGGAAACTGTAGATGATCTACTTTGCCTCCGACCACCACAAACTCGACTGAGCGAAGAACCACATCCACTTTGGCGTAAGCAGTAACGTCAATGTCCAAATTAGCGAGAACGACATTTCCATCCTCGGAAAGGGTTGCGCTGTTCGGAAGACGAGAGCAGCGAAGACGCATAGTGACGCAGGGAAAGACCGGAATATACACCTTGCTTGCTAAATGAGCCAATTTGACGACCTCAGGCGTTAACGCGGCTCCGGCGAGAGGCGTCACTCGTGAAGCTGGAGAAAGGACTTTTGTCACTGGGAGTGTCGGAGGCGTAGATAGCCTACTGAACTTGACATCATGCGATAGACCTTCCAATAAATTCATACTAGTTAATGGAGCCAATGGAATTAGGTACTCGTCCGTAACTTGCTCTTCGGTGAGGATCGAAGTCTCGGGATCACTATCATCATCAGAGGCCGATGGGGGTGTCCACAAAGAAATCGAGCCACCCTCAAGAGCTTTGGCTCGAAGGCTTGCTTGGGCAGCGATTGAAATCCGGGGCGAGATGAGCCTAGCTCTAGGGCGCACGATAGGAAGCTCAACCAGCCAAATAGCCTCCCAGCCTTGATTTTCGTGGCTCGACTGATTAGACTTTTGATTGACGCAAGAGACATAAATTAGAGAGCTCTGGTCGATGATTGTTGAGAAGATGGGATGACTAGTCTCTTGCAGCTCCTGTACTTTGCCTGTTTGCTGTAATTGAAAGCCAAGAGACGAGTATCGCGCGTTTGCAAAGCTTGCAGCAGAAACCTCCAGTGATATCGCAAAACGCGTCAGGTAGCCTCTGAAGCGCAATGGAGTCATATCCGGTACCTCGGCGAAGGGAATATGAACGCGAACACAAACCGGTAGTTTCTCATCTGAGCTATCGTATTAGCACCTCAATCCCCTGGTGGTATTCTGTTTAGATTTAGTGCAAAGAAAAACCAACCGTAAAACACCGATGTTCTGGAAGGCGCGTGCATCAGCTCCTCGGGATCATTGCGTGGATTGATTGTCGAGTCGGCCAGATCAGGAACGTGAACTTCAAGTCTTCCATCTGAGAAGAGATCCAGACTGTTTCGCTTCGATTGCGCGGTCGGGTCAACCTTGGCCGCCATTGTATAAAGCCCCTTTGCTGTTATATTAAACAGACAGCAAAGAAGAAGTCAATCGCCCAAACAGCTGAAGTAGAGTACTGCGGCAGAAGAACGGTATCAATCTTGAAGCGGTGCGCGACTCGGCGTTCAGTAACGCGGAGAGTTAATCTCACAATCTGTGATCCGAGCTTGGATCACGCCGCGCGCATCCGAACTTCGGGCCATGCCTTAACCTCGACTCAGAACTTCCTGACAGGTCAATTGATTTGCTGCCCAATTTCTCTCGAGGACATTCGACCGCCTCTCTGTTTACGCCGTCTTGGATCTACAATTTTGTTTCTCTGGTTCCAGCTCGAATCAGAACACATATAACTTTGTGTCACGCGATCTACCGAATTGATCTTCAGTCATGGTCAAGCCATCATCATGGCTACGAGGCAAGGGCCTATCCAGCAAGGCGTCCTCGAAGTCGCTCAACAAGCTGGAGGAGGAGTCCGCATGTAAGTGTTTAGTTTATTATTTGTACAGCTTATGGAAGCACGGGTGGCTAACGAATCATCGCTTAACCTGTAGTGTCGACAACTATGGATGCTATGAACTGCATCATGGCCGATGATCTGGAGCGCGCAAATCACATCTTGAACCAAACTGAGCCAAAATCGGCGTTTCCTGCAGTGAGTTGACTAGTAGATATTTGGTTTACTGCGCTAATGGTGCTAACGTATCTGGTATAGCTCGGGCGTGGTGTTTTGGCCTTTCTGTCGGCAACCCTCGGTTTTGAAGCTGATATGATCAAGGATGGTATAAACCTACTTACCTATGTTTTCTTACAAGAACTTCTGTAGCTAACGTTCACTTCAGCTACTGAGAAGCTCAATCTGGCAGAAGCGACAGCTGTCAGATATCGATTGAGGGCCCAGAAAAGCCGTCACAAAGCCAGCTCGTTCCCTCCCGGTACTGAATACTATGTGGCGGTTGCCGAAGCCCACCTCATGGGTGCTGTCGTGTTATTTCTGAGCGAGAGTGCGATCTCTAGTGTCAAGTCGTTTTACAAGCTTCGCAGGGCCTACCAGATTCTTGCTGAGATTTACAACAGCAACCTCGACGAAGGGAGCGAGGCTATCGCTGCACCTCCTCCTGACAAGCACTCTGAAGAAGGGGCTTCGGTACCTGGTTCTGGAGATGGCAGTGAGAATGAGGAAGATGAAGAAGATATTGCCCAGTCTTTGGAGGCTTTGGATCTGGATCTATCCAACGATCAGGAGCTAGAGCATGCTGATCTCGAGAATCTTGAACAAATAGTCTCTGAAAAAGGCCCTATTCAACCAGCTCCCAAATTCAAACCATTTGCAACTTCATTGGCAAAGTCTTCCGGAGAATCGGCTGTCATTGATGAGTTTGTGAAATCGGGTGTCAATCTTTGCTTCGGAGTTTTGCAGTTAGTTATATCAATGATCCCTCCAGTTCTCGGAAAGGTCCTTTCGATCATTGGTTTCAAGGGAGATAAAGAGTCCAGCATCTTGATGCTTTGGGAGGCATCGAAGTCAGAGAACATCCACGGCGATCTTGCCCTCTTGACCTTACTACTCTATTATACGGGACCAGCGCAAACTTGTGATATAGAGGTGGAAGGCGCGTACCCTAAAGAAAGACTGATTGCAGCGTTGGAGAAAACACGCAAACGCTTCCCGAATAGCGCACTGTGGCTCCTGCAGGAATCCCGTATACAAGGCATGAATGGACATCTTCCTGAGGCAATCCAGACTCTGCAGACACCAATGAAAATCCAGATGCGACAGATGGAGGCTCTCGTGGTCTTTGAGATGGCCATGGGTTACCTGGACATGCACGAGTATGAGGAAGCGGCTCGCAATTTCATTTTGATGACACACCTCAATACTTGGTCGCATGCGCTCTACCATTACGTTGCTGCGGCTTGCTATGTTGAGCTTTATAGAGCTGAGATCCGATCAGACAATCCTGACCCAGCTAAGCGGGACAGATACAAAAGGAAGGTCGACAGGTTTCTCACAGACGCTCCTGGCTTGGTTGGCCGCCGTAAGGTCATTGGCCGTCCTATGCCGCTTGAGCTTTATCTGACTCGCAAGATAGCCAAGTGGAGGTCTTGGATGCCTGCTAATGACAAATCTGCAAGTATTGTGGATTACGTCGGAGGCAGTCCGGCAAACGAGATTATGTACATTTGGAATGGCTATAAGCGGATGCCTCGAGAAAAGTTAGTCCAGTCGCTTCAGGAGCTGAATTATTTCCACTTGGCAAAGCCATCTGATGTCGATGTGAAGGCGGTGCCTGAGCGCGAGACGCCATTCTTCAAAGAATACGCAAAGACGATCCCGCAGATAGAGGAGGTAGATGAGCTTGCAGTGAGGAGCTTACTGCAAAGCGTTGTCTTGCGTCATCTGGGTGAACAGGAAGCTGGATTCAAGATGCTGACGGAAGAAGTGATGCCTGTACAGAGACCACAAGTGAAGGGCAAAGAAGACTGGGTTATCCCATGCGGTCTGTATGAGCGAGCAGTATTCGAGTGGGTGACCAAGGGGAAGCAAGGGAAGGAGGAAACAGAAAAGTGGCTGACCAAAGCGGCCAATTACGGCCACGAATATGAGCTCAGCACAAGAATGGGATCACGAGTCCAGACGGGTTTAGAGATGTTGAAGAGCGCGTAGGGCTCTTTTGTGAATTATATATAGAGTGGAGTGGATTGAGTCCGCTAAGTGTCAATATTGATGTACATATGGTGAAATGTTGCGTATCATAGCTACAGGGATCAAAGCAATATTAAAGATATTTTTTATATTTTTTATATCTTAGAGGCTCCAACTGTATGCCGTAATTCGAAATGAAATCGTTGCTTGAGTAGATGATTACGTCATCGGATTTGGGATAGTGAGGCCAGGAAGAGCACCGAAATCTGGTTGATTCGTGCAAGACCAGCAGGCGCCCACGTCGCCTTTATTGCACCCATATTCGCAAGGTACACGTCTTATACAGTGCATTGGTTTCAAAAGGCATAATGAGTAGTGGACAGTTAGAAAAGACCATCAAGCGGGTCCGGCAAAGGTATGATCTAGAAGAAAGCGTTGGAAGTGCGTTGTATAGTTCCAGAACTGACTTATTACAACAAGGATCGCGGATAAACAATACTATGAGGCGCAGCAGGCGATCAAGACTGTCGCAGCTCGGCTGATCAAGGCTCAACACTATGATGATGCAATTGAGATGCTATATCAGGGATCGCAGGAGCTGCTTGGTGCGGGAGAAGGTGGAAGCGGTGGTGAGCTGTCGCGCTATCTAGTAGATACGTACAAGACAGCGGGTACTTCAGTCAATTCAGTCTCCAAGGGTATGAGAGTGTTATTTAACTGTATTTATCTGTATATATGACGATTGATCTAACGTTCTTACGATATAGCTCGGGTGGTGCAATTATTTACGATGTTCAAGCCTGAGGAGCCCCGCCGGAAGGACTTCATACAGGATGCTATACAATGGTCGGCCAGCGGTGAGATCAAGTACGGAGATCCGGAACTTCACCATATATTTGGCTCGGCGTATGCAAATGGTAAGCGTCTCTGCGATATAGAAATGGTGATAGGTGTCATGATACTGATGAGTTTACGCAGAGGACAAGCCGTACGAGGCCGAGCGACATCTTTTGCTAGGTACCAAGGAGAGCGCAACCGTACTCGGAAACCTACTATTCGACTGGTTTGCTGATGAGTCTCAGCTGGAGATGGCACCTTTCTTTATCTCACGAGCGGTCTTGGGCTATCTGTCTGTCGGAAACATCCGTGACGCCGATAAATCGCTAAACATCTTTATAGAACGACTTCTGGCCAGCGGTCTGTCCGTAGAGCGTCAGAACGTGACGTCTGCCGCGGGAGACAGTGTGATTGTCTTCCCTCAACTGCCTCTTCTCGATTTCTTCCAGCTGCTGATTAAGGCGTGTCAGCGACCGAGCCAGGACCTGTTCAGACGTCTAAGGTTCAGATACAAGGATTCCATCAAGGACGCAGGTGCATTCGACGAGGCCCTTGACCGGATCGGAGCTTCGTTCTTTGGAATAAAAGTTCGTAATCAGGGAAATATGCTTCAGGATCTTATGGGCAGTTTGCTTGGCGGTCCTTCAGGTGGTTCGTCCGGTGGTCCTGCTCAGATCGGGTCAGCTTTAGATTAGATTATCTGTCGGATGTCTAGGATCTCTTCTTTCGCACTAATTCAGTTGAAAGGCATATTGTACTCTATCAAAATATTTTTCAACAATTTTTATTTCTATTAACGACCAACTAAAACCATTAGACAATTCTTAGACAAAAGACAATCCCAAAAAGCAAAATTTCTGTCAAGAAAATAACAAAATAATGTTACACAGTCAGTTCCAAGTACTCCAATATATCTTTTTCTTTCTCTGTTCTTCTTCCTTTGGGGTTAATTGCCAAGGGAGGAGGAAAATTTTGTAAATATCACGATTTGAAGAAGTAGAAGAAAGAACAGCGCAGCAATTCTTTCAGTTACTTGTTTTGTTGATCTTGAATAAGCTGCTTTCTCATAAAGTTGGAAAAAGAGGCGGTACAATGGATAATGTTCTCCGGCCAGTGGAGAGTGCACAGGGGATTGCTTATAGCCCAGAGGGGTAGAACGCGAATGCGATGGCGATGATCATGTATGTTCCCAGAAGCATAGCGCCTTCCAGCCAGTTTGATGTTCCGTCTTGGATTTGAGCCTGTAGGTGATGTTGTTAGAATGATTTCTGAAAATACTAATAGTAAGAGAAGGGACTGCATACGTTTGTGATGAAGACCGAAACAAACAGAACAGCGGTCTCGAATGTGCTGAAGAAGAGAGTCATAGGCTGGCCCATGACCCATCCGAGAACGACAAGGAAGGGGGTGAGGAACAGAGCGATCTGCATGCTAGAACCAATGGCAACACCAATGGCGAGCTCCATCTTGTTCTTCATGGCCACCATCACGGCTGTGACATGCTCGGCAGCGTTACCGACGATAGGCAGAAGAATGAGACCGATGAAAGTCTTGGACAAGCCGGTGGAGACGACAAGAGAGTCGATTGAGTCAACGAGGTAGTCGGCACAGACGGAAACCAGGACGGTAATGGCAGTGAGAGAGATGAGGCACATAGTAACCGAGATCTGGGCGGGCTCTTCGTCCTCAGCATCGCCCTCGAGACCCTCGAAGAGAGCGGAGTGGGTCTTGAGCTGGAAGACCAGGTACAAGACGTAGATGATGAGAAGTACGATAGCAGTTCCGCGGGAGACGGCGAGCATACGGGCTTCGCTGAGGCCGCCTGCCTCGACGCTATCAATGGTCGCCCGGAAGGCAGCGGGGATCAGGAGTGATGAGGTCGCAAGCGCCATAAGGGACGACATTGTCTGGGCGACAATGTTTGAGAAATGCTGCTCCTGGTAGTACATACCACCGGCAAAGAAGCAGCATCCCAAGACGAGAAGAATGTTGGAAAGAATCGATCCGAGCATGGAGGCTTGGACGATCAGGATCTCACCCCGAGAGAGAGCAACGACAGCGACGATGAGCTCGACAGCGTTACCAAAGGTAGCATTGAGCAGGCCTCCGAGAGTCTGACCGACGTGCTTTGCGAGTTCCTCGGTAACGAAACCCAGAAGAGCAGCGAGAGGCACGATGGCCAGGAAATTGAAGGAGAAAACCAGGTAGGCCGAACCGTGGATCGCGCCAAAGGCGATACCAATCGGGACAAAGACGAGCAGCACGTTGACGTAGGAAGAGAGAAGCAAGAGCCGGGCGACGTAGAATATGCTCATGATACCGGTAGGATATGAATAAGGAGCATCGTCGGGCCCGATCCCTGATCCGGGGAGGCCGTTCGACTCATCGAGCTCGTCGACGAGGTCGGGAGCGTGTGTGTTTACGAGCGGCGTGGCTTCGACGGAGTTTCTGTGGCCGAGTAGAGAGGTTGTCGAGGTTGCGCGGGGGCCGGCTGGCCGAGTGAGAGCGACTTTGGCCTTCTTGAGGTTCTGCATTGCTTAGCTGTGGTGGTGAAGAGAGAGAAGAGGTGGTGACGGGGACGGGAGAGAGCGAGGCAGGCAAAAAGGCGGCAGATCAGCTTTTTACGATTCCAAGCGAATAGGCAAGCCCCGCGGCTGAGCTGAAGATGAGCAGACAGGGGCCCTAATCCTTACTTGGATTAGCCCTCAATAATGAGCCGCACTGCGCCTTCGACGGGACCGAATTTGGATTGACAACGCGTTTAGAGTTTAAGCTCTTGAGTTTGTGATCTTTAGGGTGTCTCCCCATTGGCAGCGCCCGCAAGTCCGCACTTGCCGCCCGCCGCTTCCGACCCCGGTCCGGCTGCGACGGAGGTGATGAGATCGCGCGTCTGTTTCCTGCTGAGTTGACGTCGATGGCCGTAGGATAGAGCGCGGTTTTTCCGGGCACTGCCGGCGGGAAGGAGTTGGATCTGAGGCCCTGAAAACCTTCGTTTTTGAGGTGTGCCAAGTCTGGACCTCTGCGCGGAAACGAAGGATTGAAAAAGGAGACTTTCGGCGCCGTACGAAGGCAGGGATCCATCATTATGTTCGGCTTTGTTGCGAAAGATCGTGAGTGAGCTTATATCGCACTTGGCTTTACGTACCTTTTGTGTTTCACTGCCTGTACGTTCGCCGATAGTTGGCCGGACGCCGACCTTGGCCTGAATCCGCATCACAGCGCATTCCCGTCGTAATCCTCGTACGTTCGCCGACGTGCCAGACTGTACAAAACAACGTAGACTTCTGCACTGCATCGAGCAGCTATTATTCTCCTACGCCATTGATTAAGCTCAATAGTCAAACGGTCCCCTGGCGTATATGATCGAGCCAATAAACGTAAAACAATTGCCCTAAACCAAAGATTTACCAAAATCAAATTTGCCTTTATAGTGGACTGGCAAGATTTTTTTCTCAACAAGAAGCCTGGCTAGCTCAATTGGCAGAGCGTGAGACTCTTAAGTTCTTCCTTAGAAGTCATCTCAAGGTTGGGGGTTCGAGACCCCCGTTAGGCTCTTTTTTTGCTATTCTTTTATTCTCTATCCTATTTTTTTTATTTCCTACTGATTCCAATTTCTACTTGAAGAGTCATATGCAGTATCATATTTTAACAAAGGAGGCTTTGCAATGCTGTATATCTTGAAAAGGAAGCTCAGACGGCGTGCATCGTCGCAAAAACAAATGTCTATCATAGAACCAAGTTCTCAACACTGGAGTCTCCCACCAGATCCTTGACCTTTGTAGCAACCCAGGTGCTCGCGTACATGTTTGTTCGGTCAATACTCGTCCTCTTCTCTCTCACCTGCGCTGCCTCGCATCTGAAGCCTTCGCGCTCATACACCTTCGTGTACCACGGGCGCTTCGAGGCCGACCGGAACAGCAAACGACCACCCATCTTGATCGCATGGTTCAAGGCCTGGATTTCCTTCGTTGCGTCCACTCCGTCGGTGTCGAACCAGTCCATGTGATCCATGACAATAGCAATCGTCACTGAATGTCGGCGAATGCGGGCAACCACGTCAACAATCTCGTCGGTGTGGATACGGATTCCGTCAAGCGCACCCGGCTTGGACAGTCTTTGGAAGGCTTCCCGCTTCAGATATCCTGGGCAATTCGCGTGCGTATATCTACCCTTAAGACATAGATAGTAAAAGTAGTTGTCAGTCGAGATCAAAGAGCGCTCAATAATCGGGTCCAAGGTGTCGGTAATGTACGTCAAGAAGTCGCCAGCCGTCGATGAAATCATCTCGGCTTGATGAACGGGAACTCCGAGTGCCTTCCACAAAAACATGGGATTCTTGAGCACAATAGATGCCACCCATGGGTTGATAATCGCCGGTCGTACTCTCGTATTGTAAATGATCTTCTGCTCTGCGATTGAAGTGGCCTTGCAAAGAGCATCAACATCTTTAGTACAGTCAGTAATCCAGAAGATGTATCTTGCGATACGAATAGCCCATCGAGTAGATCCGGTATCATAGAGTCCCTTGGCTCCTGTGAAAGTCTTAGTGTTCCGTATCCAATATTGCAGAGCGTGGGACGAGAGCTTGGGAGCAAGCTTTGAGACGAGCAGATTCTCAAAGTCTGGATGACGACCTTCTCCGAACATCTGCCAAATATCAGCATACTCGAGAGTAGAGAATGCAGCCAGCTTGAGCTCTATCAAGTGGTTCTGGTGAGGGTTCAGATCAACACAGTGAATCCTGCGAGGAGAGGTAGGCAAAGCAGCATATGTCAGGACATTGTCTCCTGCGGAGGTGATCGCCAGAACGGTGTCGGTAGGCTTAAACTTGAGAATCCTGTCGTCCTCTCGCGGATCCTCCCAAGTGAAAGCGTAGATATATTGACCAGCAAACTGGTTGTATTTTGGCAAACGCTCGTCGTAGAAAATTCTCCAAGCTTCAGTCTGATAGAAAAAGGAAGGAAGCGGGAAGTTGCGCTGCAAGTTCACTACCGCAGCTTCATATCCTTTAGAGCGCACGGTAATAACACCGTTCTCGTCAACGACTGGAAGAGAAGGTGACGTGCTAACCGGAAGCAGATAAGGAGATTCAGTAGCCATCGCGTCAATCTTACTCGCGCGCTCGGGATCACGCCGTTTATGGCATCCAAGCCAGATATAGTATGGAATCCGTCCGAGCGCAGTGTTGCGCGAGTTGATTGACTTGATAGTGCCAAACTGGTACTCGAGGTAGTCTCGGCGAGCGGGATCGAGGTACACGCGATCAAACTCGAACCATAGGCGCCAGAAAGTGCGAGATAGCCAGTTCACATGACGAAGAAGCTCTCCTCCGAGATTGGTGCGGCCGCAGAGACTAGCGGTTGACTGGGCATAAAAGTCGACGACGGCCACTATACCATTTCTCGATAGTAGCTTCTCAATTCTGTCGACAACTGCGTAGAAGCTATAATACAGAAAAGTAAGTTAGCTCGTATACAGAAGAAAACACAACAGAGAGAAAAGGACGGTAGAAACGTACGTAGGAATCATGGACAGCGAATAAGACATGGTAACGAGATCAGCCGACTTGACGTCGTCCGGCATGGCAAATGCAGTGGCATCGGCGCAGATGACGTGCACGTTAGACCACTTCTTGGCCTGGATGCGCTCGCGAGCAATCTTGCAGAGCGATGGCGAGAGGTCGATGAGGTAGACCGCTTTGAACTTTGCTATGCTCATGTACTGGTCCATCATCTCGATGTTCCAGCCGGTGCCGCCTCCAATCTGCAGGCTGGTCAGTATATCCTCATATGGTGATAACAGTCTTGCAAAAAAATATAGAGTATGACTCACATCGATCCAAACGGGCTTGGTAGCAGTGGACAAATGTGCAGCCGCGAGTTGAAGCCTGTGGTATCAGTCAGAATACATCCGGAACCGAAGAGACTCAAACAGGATGGCATACATCATCTCACGACCCTTGAGAAGCGTAGATCTCGTAATGTCATAAATTGAAGCCTGGCTCTGATAGAAGCTTTCAAGAGCCGCTTGCTGGTCATTGAGATCCGTGGCACCATTGAAGGGCTTGAAGAAACAGCTCCAGGCAAAGATAACGATGCTCTTTGTGTAGGAGAAATTGAGCAGCGCAGTAAGACCAAGCAGTCCGGCAGCAATCACAAGTGCAATGATCATCTTGTTTGCTGAAAATAACAAAGAGAACAGAAATCAGAAGTAGTTTCAGCTCGCGAGAACACAATCGGAGGCAAGAGACAGAACAGGAACAGAAACAGAAACACAGATATCTCTGCTTATATACATCTCTCGCGGTGCTGCACATGTTCACCACGCATGTGTCGCAGAACAAGGACCGCCAGCACGCTGCCGGTCTCGTTGACAGCAGCCGTGGCCGCTCTGCGCGTTCTCGTTGGTGCTCGCCGCGCTGTTGACTTCCTGACGCTCTTCGTCCAATCGCCCGCCCATGCTCCCCAGGATTATTTCACGTGCACGCTTAGTCACGTGAACACGCGTAGCCCGCGACAACAATGACTACGCTCGCGAGCGCTCCAAACCTGGCAATCAAATCAAAACAACAACAATGACTTCTGCGGAGCAGCAGCAGAACAAAACAGAGAGCAGGACAATGAATCCCACAAATGAATCTGATCGGGTCCGAGAAATCAAACGCGCCGGCCAGCACAGCCGTACCTCGGAGCGACCGTCGACCTCAACAATCTCTTCGCGTCTGCTGGCGCCCACAGCGGCCTCTCGCGCGCGTGTTGCTGCTACTCTGAATAACAGCAACGAACCCGAGAAACATGAGCAGAAACCACATGTGCGCAAGCAGGAATCTGGACCCAGCGTATTGCGTCAACGTCAGAGCACCAGCAGACGGACTACCTCGCTACAGTCTTCTACTTCTTCCGCCTCAAGCACCGCGTCAAGACGACCGCCTTCTTATGCTGCGCCTACGCGTAGCTCACTCATGCGATCTGGAAGTCTTTCTACTTCAGCTACGACCACACGTCCTATCGTGCATAAAAAGAATCCCGAACAAAAGTCCGCTGTGCTGTCCGACAACCAAGCTACCCCTATTTCGCCCCACAGTCCTGTAGTGAAGAGAACTTCGTCTATTCAGCATCCTCCGACTAAAGTTCTAGAGGAAAGTAGCTGTCGATTGGACTGGGAGGAAAAACTAGCGGTTTTGACAAAGGAAGCTTCTGAAAAAGACAAAGCGATCGCTGATCTGGAAGCGAGATTGGCAGCACTGGAGGAAGAGCTTAAGAAAGCATTATCACTCAACAAGGAGAAAGATGCCAGGATTGAAAACCTTGAGCATGAAGTCTCTTATAGTCGGCAGATGGAAAGAAGCACTTCGTCGGAGAGCTCGAAATCTAGTCGAAAGAGTTTAAGTACTGGCGTCGATGTTGCTAATATTGTCAAGAAGCTCGATCACCAATCGGTATGTCCAGATGTCTTCCAGCATCATTTATTTGTCTCATTTTTCTTGCTAATTTTTGTACAATTTTAGAATGCTACAGTGCAAAGTAGCGAACAGCCTCCACCCCCACTTGCAAAAGCCAGACCGAAAAGCAGGCCCTCGGAAGATGATACCACTCTGATCCGACTACGAAATGAAGAACTCGAGAGCCAAACAGCTAAGCTTCAGAGTAATGCAGAGTTCATGGTTCGTGAGCTGCAGGCTGCTTCCAACGTCATTCAGAGTCTGGAAGGCGAGCTTCGCGAAAGGGAGGATAGGATCGAAAGTATGGCCGGCGAAATTGCACTTCTAAAGGAGCATGTGGACACGCGGCCATCTGATACGACGCATTCAGTGTCTGTAGAGGAGTCTGGTGATCTTTCGTTATCCGAGGAAGACGAGACTCCGCCGAGTATTGATCCTGTGATCGAAGAACCTGTGGGTGCCGAGGATACTGCTACATTTGAGATTGAGGAAGTGACGCTAGACTGAATTTCCCCGAGAACTCGCTTCATTTACATTAGTACAAGTGTATAATACAACTATGTTCAATTATTATCATACATGTGTAGTCGTCTATTCAAAAACAACCTTCTTGCCCTTAAACGCCACCGGCTTGCTCTTATCCTGCTTCGCTTGCCACGATGGATGTATAGGTTTATCGCTCTTCGCCTCCTTCTTGCCAGGTTCACCCAACGGAGTATTATTAGCATTACCCGCGTTACTCTCCATCTCCCTCCTCGCGCGTCGCTCAAGATATTTCCTCTGCTTTTCTTCTTCTTTAGCCTTACGAGCAGCCTCTTCCTTTGCAATATGAGTAGCTTTCTTGCCGAACTTTTGCTCCCAGATTTTTTGCCGGGCGCGCTGTCCTCGTCGGTTTTTACGAGGCTTGGCGGACGCAGGTCCTCTTCTTCCTTCCTCATCTGAAAACATGTCGTCGTCGGACCCGGGTGAGATGTAGCCAGCACTGAGAGAGGGCAGAACGATCGTTTTTGCTTTGCGGTCGAGCTCGGGCGGGTTAGCTTTCGCTGCGAGCTTCTTCTCTTTCTTCTCTTTCTTCTCTTTCTTCTCTGCTTTTGCCGCCTTTTTCTGTTTTTGGAGACTCTCCTCGTCGTCACTTTCGGACTGGGGAGACTCGTATTCCAGTTCGTCGTCAGAAGGTTCTTCGCTCGAAATTTCGTTATAATCTATAGGTGCATCTTCTGAGTCGCCTGAATCATTCTCATCATCACTTTCGTCACTATTGGCAACCAAGCCTGCGTAATGTTCCATATCCAGCTCGTCTTCGTCATCGCTACCGTCATCCTCTTCGGCTTCGTTTCCAGAATCCTCATCGTCGTCGTCGTTGTCGTCAGCGACCTCTTCCTTCTCTGCCGTAGCAGGGACTTTTGGTTCTTTCTTTTTCTTTCGCTTCGTGTTAAGAGCTGTCTCAACCGCAGTAGATATTCCTTCGATTCCGCTAGTTATGATGGCTTGAACAGCTTTCACTCGGAACAGCCTCGCGATGATATCTAACCGAACATCCTCTTCCTTCTTCTGATCGATCTCGGGCTCTTCAGTCTTGTTTCTCTTCAGCCGGTCCTCCAGCTTCAGCACTGTATTCTCAGGTTTCAAGAAAGGCGGTGACTCTGGAAGCAAATTTGACTCGACAAGAAACTTCTCCTTTTGCAGCTTTTTCAGCAGGTGCGAAGAAGCGACGGCTGACGGATCCAGAGCCTTGATGAGTCGTAGTTCTCTCTCGTGCTTCGCGACTAAATCATTCGAATCCTTCGATCTAGATATATACATGTCAGTGGTTGTGGTGTCATAAATACCTTTGCTTATGTGTTGATAGTTACCTCGCATCCTTCAGCTTTCTGACGATCTTCTGCGTCTCAGAAGTTTTCGCCTTCTTCACCCCCCGAACAAGTTCCTTCGTCCAGTAATAAACCCTCTGCTCGACCAACTTGCGCTTCAACTCGATCGTCCGCTGCTCGATCTCTCCATTCGTAGTCAGACCCTCCTCATTCTGATTCTTGCCTGCCTGTTTCTTCTTCATTCTCTCGACCGCAAGCTTCGTACGGACCAATCGAGTCCTCTTGATGTTCCCGTTCGCGCCATTAGATGATAACGCTGCAGCTTTTGATTCAAGCAGGTCGAGCTCCCAAAGGGGATTCTCGCGCTTCCGTTTAACCATCTCTGTCCTCCTTTGTAAATGTATATGCAGACCGCGCAAAAATACCACGGTTTAGTGTTCTTTTTACAATCGTGGAGAAAAAGTAGACGAGAGAATGAATTTTTTGAAGAAATAAAAAAAGATTCAAGAAAGAACTCCCAACCTCGCGATATGCAGAAACCTTAAATTCATTTTCGATCCGGGTAACAGTACTCGCTTTAGGTTTCTCCAGAATCTGTCCTCGATTGACGAGGAGCTCCGTTCATTTAAATCAATCAGCCCGTTCGTACAGTATTTGTATAGAAATATCTAGTACGAGAACCGGAAGGAATAACAGAAAAATGGCATCTCTAGACTCAGGTACGAGTTTGGAGGAGTACAAACTTGAACTGCTCAAGCAATTCAAGGGTAAACCAATCTCTGAGCTGCCTACCCCGAGCTTTATCGTCGATATGGAGACAGTGCGGGCGAATTGCAAGCGCATGCTGGACAGAGTGGAGGCCTTGGATCTCAATCTGAGATTCAGACCGCATATCAAGACTCACAAGGTACGTTCTATCATATTTTCCAGCCGCGGAATTGGCACTAACACAGAATGAACGGCAAGACTATCGAAATAACTCAGCTCGAGCTCGGCAACGGGGAAAAACACAAGTCTGTAGTCGCATCTACAATCCGAGAAATTCGCGGCGTTTTCCCTCTTGTGGTTTCTGGAATGGTGGACAATGTGCTATACGGCGTTCCGCCTGCCAAATCAAAGATCCCGACCCTGGCCGAAATCTCGAGTAGTATGGCTGCTCATGGCGCCAAGTTGCTGTTAATGATTGACTCTCTTGACCAGTTGCACGTGCTTGAGGAGTATCGGTCGAAGAATCCTGATATACCGGTCTGGTCGATCTTTTTGAAGGTGGATATTGGTGATCACAGAGCAGGACAGGAGGTGACTGCGAGCTCATTCGAGACGCTGATCGAAGAGGCAGTTAGTGATCAGAAGGGATATGTCTCGTTATTCGGATTATACGTACACAGAGGTGCGAGCTACGACTCGTCAGGCGCATACGATGCTCGCGCACATCTACAGCTGGAAGTCCAAGGTGTGAAAACCGCAGCTATGATTGCGCAAAAATACACCTCATCCCGGTTCGTACTTTCGATGGGTGCGACACCCACTGCTCAGATTGTGGACAAAGAGGTCGAAGACTGGATGAAAGATCTGCAAAGCTACGGCGACGTGGAAATTCACGCGGGTAACTACGCCATGCTGGACATCCAGCAGGTTGCAACCGGGCTCGTCACCGTGTCGGATGTAGCGGGCAAAGTTGTTGCCGAGGTGCTTAGCTACTATAAAGATCGCGACGAATATCTTGTTGATGCAGGAGTTTTGGCTCTTGCGAGAGAGCCGGGGAGAATCCCGGGAATTGCTCTAATTGACGGACAGCCGCTCTCCGGAAAACGCTGGGTACTCACCAGAGTAAGTCAAGAGCACGGAATTATAAGTCGGAGAGAAGATGCCGTGAATGTTGCTGAGTCTACTGGATCAGCGACCGAGTCTTGGGGGATTGGAGAGAAGGTTCTTTTGTTGCCCCAGCATGCGTGCATCACGTCGTCCATGTATCAGTGGTATTTTGCTATTGAGAACGGAGTTGTGAGCGATGTTTTAATTCCCTGGAGAGGTTGGTAGAGTAGATTGAATAATATTTGACATATATGATGAATCTACGTGATTCTTCAAATTAATTACAGCATGCACTATATACAGTAAACCTCAATGCATACCCTTCAATCGATTAAGTATTATGCCCAATGTCCCAATGAAAATAACTGTGATCCCTAAACACCTGTATGAAATAGACCAGTAACATATCTGTTATATGAAAACAGAACTGCGTCGCCGCCAACCCAAGAGCCACACTGATGTAAATGCAACTAGCGCAAGTAAGACGCTTATACCCGTGATGAAGAATGTGGTTTGGTAACACTGCAGTCCAAAGCACAGCTTGGAATCTACAGTGTTGTGATCGTATATACCAGCGTATATGAGCTCGTAGATGATAGATCCCACTGCAGGGAAGACGAATAGCACGCCCCAATTCGTTCCGAAGCGCTCAGCGCCCCAGACCAAAGAGACAAGGGTTGGCGCAAGTGTGAAGACAGCGCCATATCCTGCACCAAGAGTCGCACTGACGAGCCAGAAATATTCCCCGTTGTTGACCTCAAGGCCGCCGAGAGCAACGAACCAGTGTCCAAAGGCAAGAACGACGGTGAAGAAAAGCAGGACCCACATTCGGGAGTACTTTGGCCCTCGAGTTGCAATCTGATCTGAGGCTACACCCGCCACAATGCGCATTGCCGACGAGAAGAAGGAGATGATTGCAACATTTGTGGAGGCTGACGGGCCAGGGGTGCTTAGAGATCGAATGATGCTGCCCATATTGTTCAGAAACATCTCACCTGGCCCGGTGGTTGCGAACAGACCGAGCGCCAGGCCCCATGCAGTGATATCCTGCACGAACTCAACCACCATCTGCTTTCTAGTAAGCACATGTGCCTCTGGAATCATGTCGATATCGTCCGACATGGTACTGCTGCTGTCGTCGTCGATCTCGCGCTGGGAGGTAGGATGCATGCTGATGACGTCAGAGTCCATACTGTCTCGCTCGTCCAAGAGCGGCGTCTCTTCGTCTGTAGTTTTTCTGAACGAAACTGAGCTCTTACGAGAGCCAGAACTGAGAGGCACAGGACTATCGAGCTTACAGCCATTACGATAGCCGAACGCCGCGACAAGACCAACTGAGGCAAGAAACAGTGCAAAGAAGATAAAAAGCTGGGGAACGTATACCTCCCCGGTCGTCTTGTCTGTGAAGAAATGCGCGACGATTTGTGACTGCCACAGGCTGGAGAGACCGTATGCGGTGATAGGAAGTCCGAGCGCCAGGCCGCGGTTAGACGAGAAGGTCTTTGCGCAGGCGGTGATGGAACCGAAATAGATGCAAGCGGTTCCGCCGCCGATGAAGAGAAATGATACCATCATGACTGGATAAGGAAGAAGAGATGCGTATGCCCAGGCAGCCAGACCATAAGCAAAGGCAAAGAAGATGGCAGCAAGGACAGCAAGAAATCCGGATCCGTATATGTCTGCCGTAATTCCCACAATCCTAGAAGACGTCAGCCACAGAACACGACAGTATTTCCGGGGTGTAAAGTGAATGCATACGGTGTGGTGAGATACATGCCGACTTCGCCCAGAATCGAGAGAACGTTGACTTGAACCTGGGTGTATCCGAGATGGGTCTGGAATTGCGGGGCGTAGAGCGAGAAGAGCATGATTGAGCCACCACATATGCTGCAGCATGTTAGCACCAGAGCTGCCCCTCAATACTACATAACATAGAGCAAGCTTACCAGCACAGCAGAGCCGAAGCAAAGGTGAGAATCTGCCGATACCGTGTAGCTCGGTCCGGCTTGAGCGCGCTGTCGTCGATATCACGATTAGCCACCGGTTCGGACGGCTGCGGGAGCGCTTTCGCAGCCGGTGGCGGTTCGAGGAAGTCGGCAACAGCGGCATCCGCCTCAGCAGCGGCCGCCAGCGGATCTTCCTCAGGACGCAGAAGAGGCTCTGCGCGACGAGGCATTGGAGAAGAGAAGACGACGCGGTGGGTGAGCGAGGCCGAGACGGCAGCTGATTGCGGGCGAGGAGACAGCGGAGGAGGCAAAAGGGCCTGCGAGATAAGAGAAGATCGCTTAAAACGCGGGTGCGATAAAGTGTCGAGGCGATAGGAAGTGCGCCGCACGCTCAGATAAATAGAAACAGAACTGGTCATCTTCACCGTACCTGCAGCTCATTGTTGCTCTCCGCCTCTGCTGCTGCTGCTGCTTCTACTGATAGGTGCTTTTGTTGTTGTTGAATCAATTAGCACACTCTCTGCTATAGGTCCAGTACCATGGTGCTTCTAGACGCACTGCCGGACGAGCTGCTCGAGCATATCGTAGGGCTCCTTGCACCGCCGTTCTCAACAGCGGCGTCCGTGCCAATGAGACGCGATATGCTCTCGCTCAGCAGGCAAGAAAAAGAACCTGTTCGCTCAAGAATCACTGCGCGGCCGGTCTTTGATCTCAAAGGCTCCCGGATCCTGAAAGCGCAGCAGGTCGTCTCGCCACAGTCCGCCGGCTGCTACTCTGATCTCGCAAATCTGGCCTGCGTCAGCCATCGCTTCCATGCTCTCGTTACTCCACTGCTGTACCAAAATATCACATTACGGGTGTGCGAAGTCAACCAGGCTCTCAACAGTCTGCTCATAGCCGCCCGTGGTCCTTCGGGGGCCTTCGTGCGCTCCGTCTCGATCCGAGATCCGGATCCTGCCGTCCACCCGCGCATCATCAACCCCAAATACCGCAACAAGCTCATCTTTGCATTCTCAAACTTTCTGATGAATTTCTTTGAAGCGCTGTCGATACATCCAACACTGACTAGTTTCCACTGGAACGTCTTCGACACCCTCATCTTTTCACCTTTGTTCATGGACAGTCTCCCGCCCGGGATCCAGGAGTTTACTTTAGACCAAGGCCGCGTGATTCCGCTCACCAAGTTCGAACTAGTCAAGAAGTTTGTCTACCGCGCTCACATGCTTTCGTTCACCTCAAACTGTCTGTACGAACGCCGGATCAGCAAATTTTTGTCGCTCAACTTTGCCAGTCTGCAGTTTCTCCAGCTTCAGAATGTCAATCTGGCTGTATGCTTTGAGTTTCGGTCGCCAAATAGTGCCATGAAGCAGCTGCAGAACCTCGGTACCCGAAATTACAGCGAGACGACGGTGCATGAGATATCCCATCTGATTGAAAACGCGATTCAGGACGGACTGAAATCACAGTCAGAAGAGAAAGACAAAGACAGATTGGACGCGAGTGTGCACTCGTCTCGGTCAGAGAGTCCTCGCTCACAAAACGCAGAGAGCAGCGACAGTGATTCGGTCGACGAATCAGTAAAATCACAGTCACTCAGTCATACTTTAGACTCTCCACAAGAAGAACGGCAGGAGAAAGAAAAGGAACAGGACATCAACATCTCTGAATTTACAAACACTTCAGCAGACCGCCGACTAAGTCTACCAGATGCTCTGCCCATCATCTTCCCCAGCCTCGAAAACGCCTACTTCACCGATTTTTTCACCTCGTCCTCCGTGGCGTCCTTTTCCTGCGAATGGCTCACCCTTCTTTTGGCAGCCCATGTAAACAACAAGAATCTATGCATCAAGTACGCAAGCCGGTTGGTCAACAAGGACGCAATATTCGCTCGGGAATGGGGTCTAGTGCAGCCTGTTCCGCATCTTGTGGGTTTAAATGGCCAGCCGCTGACAGATGAAGAGACATTCAGACGGGCCGGGTACGCAGTCGGAACCAAATCTGGGCAGTGGAATGGGTGGAACTGGGAGTATTCTACAATCAAGGGATGGAGTTTTAGTACGATCTCGAATGAGGATAAGCAGTGAGTTTGTTTGGTTGTATAGCTGTTTGGTATGGTACATTATGCTATGTGTTTGATTATGATTTTTGATTGGTATGGAGTGATTGTTGTTTTTTAATTTTTTTCTTGTTATTTTGAAGATATTCGATGTTCAGCTAGTTCTCATATTGAAATCTACTTTTTCGTATTCCGTCGTTTTTGACACAATGCTCTAACTATGTAGCTACACACGTCAATAATAAACAAGAATATTCTAAAACACAGCTCCAGTGCTATTCATTGACAGTCCACAGATTTGCCACAAACCTCAGTCAGCTCCGCTCCGAGCTCGCGGGATGACGATGCTGCGGCTCAGGTGGAGTTGGGAGTTGGGAAAATTTATTTCAACCTCCGACGCTCTCGACCTTCCTCGCCATAGCATCAAAAGCACACCTTTCTCACCACCAACAATGCAGCGAGCCAGGATATTACGTTCTGGAATAAGCACTGTGCGCAAGAGATGTGTGGTCTCTGGCGTAGAGCTGCGAGCCTCGCGGCTGGCTTGGACACACCCCCGACACAAGTCAACGCAAGCAGAACCAGAGGACTCGTTAAAAGAGCCACCGCGAGTACGAGCACCCGCGCCGGGGAACAAATTCAAGCAGCCTCGCGCGAACCGTGCTGAGTCTGCTAAAATTGCATCAAAAATCTTGCGGGGTGGTTCTGGCACCGTACTTGAAGGGATATTGTCGAGAATCGAGGGCCGGCGGCAACGGCTTGAGAGACTTGCCCAGCAGTCCATTCTCTACAAAAATCCTTTCAACGGCGTTTACACCGCTGGTCACGTTTTCACGCCAGGTCTCTGGCATCAGAACTTGGAGCCTGGAGACCTGGTATGTTGCGGTAAACAGAAAGATTTTGGTGTTGTTGTGAATGTCTACAATGCCGGATTCACACTAAAGGTGGTCATATTGACAGTGACACGCTCACTGCAAATAGTGAACCAGAACGCGGCTTCATTCTGCATCAAGCATTTTGTTCCTCGCAAAGTCGCAGAGGCGTGCCTCGTGCCGCTGACGCTCGACATGTCTGACGTCCTGCTCACGAGTGGCAACGTTTACGTCGATCAGACCGCCAAACGAGCTTCGCTTTCTTCGGACGAGGTTCCAGTGTGGATTGCTCCTATTCAAATCGCTGAGCAGGTCTGTAAAATCATCCGCCATTTCCAGACCGAGGCTATGGCTTTGAATGCCTCTTTGATGCCAATGGCAGAAGAAATCCACCGGGAATTATCGGCGCAAGACGAGTCAAAGATCATGAGTCTCTTCGACATTGCCGATTATATCAGACCTCGGGTCACTTTTGACCCTAAAGCAATCAACGTTTTCTATTTTGCGGTTCACACTCTGATTTCGGAAGACACTATTCGCTGGCAGGCTGGATCATCGGTTGGGTTCAGGCATCTGGAATTTGCAGCAACGAGCAGAACACGGGTGGAGCAAGTCGAGCGAGGAATTGAATACGTTCGCGATATCAACGGCGAAGTAGCAAGGTCATTTATCGAGAAATGTGTGAAACTGATCAAATATTACCGGAAATTTAACAAGTCCGACCCTGCAGAGATCAACGCTGCCGAGCAACCTCACACGACATTCTCAGACTCGGACCAAGCAATCATTCGGACGATTATGTTGCACCTGAGCCTTTACGCCTCATCAGGGGAAAACCAAAAAATTTTTTCTCTCGTTGGTCGGCTGTTGAGAGAGATCGACATGTGGGGGGATTCTGTCGCCTTTGAAGCTAGTACTGCGCGGCAGTTGCTGTATGAGATTGGCGTGCTTCCTCGTTGGGTCGACTTGCGTTCGATTAATGTCCTCGATGGACGTGAGGTTGCAGACTTGTCACAAATAGTCTACAAGAAAGATAAAAACCTGGGCGGCGGTGCGATGAGAGGTGAAGGGATGCCCAAGCTGGAGCTAAAAGACCGCATGGAGAAGTTCCGTCATGACTTTGGTGATCTACCGGTGTACTGTGTCGATGGACCAGGAGCCGAGGAGATTGACGACGGAATTTCGATTGAAGCAGCGGAAGATGGCGCGACGTGGGTGCACGTCCATATCGCCAATCCTACGGCATTCTTCCACAAGGATGATGAGATTATAACCCGCGCAGCATCGAGATGGGAGACCATATATCTGAACGAGGGTTCTCGACCTTTGCTTCCGGCTGAGGTGATTGCAGCTTCAGGGTTGAGAAGGCCAGAAGGAGAGGCTGAGGATTCGCCGCGACCGGTCCTGACGTTTTCGATCAAGCTTGATGCCAATGTTGAGATCATAGACTACGCCGTGCGACCTTCGCACGTCCGAAACATAAAGTCAGTCACATACGGGGATCTGAGCGAGGCTATGAACTGGGACTACTCGCTAGGTGACTATGGTTTCCCGCAGCAGTACGAGCTACCATATGTCGACAACACAGGACGGAACACCGGCACTGCTCGTGTACTGTCAGAGTCAGACAAGCAGTCTTTGCAGCTCGGATTCGAAGTGGCAGAGAAGGTCCGGATCCGACGTGCGCGCGCCGGTGCACAAACCAGGCCGTCGAACCATCTCGGTATTGCGGTGAATGAAGATATTAGGACGGTGTTTGGCTTGATGGAGACTACTCCGTCGGAGCCCTCTTACGAATTCCCGACGCCCGATGCAAACATGCGGGTTTACAGAGATGTTTATCCGGCAAGTTACGTGGTTTCTGAGTTTATGTTGCTCGCGGGCCGCGTGGCGACGATGTACGCAGCGGAGAGGAATATACAGTTGCCCTTCCGTCATGGATTAATTGCGTCGTCAGAAAAGTTGGTTCCGGAAGATTACACAAGGGCCGGATTTCTCAAGTTGATCTATCCCAAATCGTTCAATCCTACAAATACCTGGTACGACATCGAACCAGGCCCGTCGGCCGATCTTGGACTTCTCGAGGGATACGCGCGCGTGACCTCTCCTCTTCGTCGGTATCTCGATATGGTAGCGCACTTCCAGTTAGAGGCGAGCATTCGTGGAGAGGATCCGGTCTACACCAGGGATGAGTTGGAAAAGCTGATCAAGGGATACCTGAAGTTCCAAGCGAGCGGCAAGATCCTCAAACGAGGAGAGAGGGACTGGCGCATGCGTTACCTGGATCAACTAAAGCAGCAAGGCGGCTTGAAGCTGACGGTGATTGTGATGAGCAACTGCTTGTATCCCGAACACACGCCGGGGTTTAACATCGACTACGGCATTCCGGTGTTTATCTCTTGCGACCGCAGGTTAGATCTCAAGATCGGGGACTATATCGTGTGTGACGAGGTCGAGGAGAGCGATCCCTTGCTGGGGCGTCCGATCGTTAAGGCGCCGAGCGAGCTTACGCCGAAGACGCGCTACGAGTTTGCAGAGTGAGTACAAAATTCTGATGATCTGTTCCAGAGCCGATTCTAACGCAAGATTATAGGAGAACTGATTAGGAGCTGGAGTAGTATATAGACAGAAGATGAATTGTACATATATTTGAAAGCAATACAAGCAATATTACATAATCCTTGACTAATCCTTCAAGTTACGGAGTCCAGATAGATTTATGCTGCGGCGCTTCTGTCACTTCTTCACAGTTCCCTTCTGAATAAGACCAAGAAGACCGAAAGACAAGACACCAAAAAGGTCAGCAACCAGAGCGTTCGAGCGCTCTGCAATCGATACTCACCACGTCTGCTTCTGCTGTGTCTGAAGACAGCCAGGCGGCCGTCGAGCGGGAGCCCGCAGCGGTTCCTGTCGCCGCCTGGCAGCCCGATGGCGAGGCTGGCGAGTGCCCAATCTGCCGGCGGGCGTTCACGATGTTTTATCGGCGGCATCATTGCAGGTGAGCCATACTGTGATCCTCTGCTCTCTTCTCACGATCATGCTAACACAACTCGCTCCTAGAATATGTGGCCGAGTGGTCTGTGGAGTCTGCTCCGCCAACTTCATTCCGTATCCTCCGGGCACATACTCGCTCGCACCCGGCGCGCCGCCTGAGCCGGCCGGAACACTGCTGCGGACGTGCGAAGACTGCATCCGCGAGCCAGCAGCTGCGAACCGCGAGATCTACTCGTCGTTCCCGGATGCTCCCCGACAGCCTTCGTTCTTCGCCAAACGGCCGCGTGCCCGCTCGTCTGTTTCAGTCTCGTCTTCCTCCGCCGCCGCAGCGTCATCCTCCTTGCACACTCCCTCGCCCTCCACGTCCTCCTCGCCGGCATCTACCTCGCAAATACAGCAGCATCAGCAGCACCAGCAGCACCAGCAGCACCAGCAGCAGCATCAGCAGCTCCAACAGTCCCCTCGCTTCTCTCCCTTCCATTTCTACAGACCGTCGTCTCCGCGCGCTACAAAGAACTCTGTTGTCGAATCGACGATTCCGATCTCGGCCGCCACCGCCGCATCATCAGCCCCGCCTCAACCTCCCCATCGCGGCTTCCGTCTGATCCGACGCGAAGCCGACAGTGAACACCCTTCCGCCGAAGACGACGACGATGAAGACGACGACGACGACGACGACGACGACGAGGATCGTTGTCCGATCTGTGGTCGCCGGCTCTCGAAATTCAAGACCGAGGAAGAGCGCGAAACTCACGTCAACGACTGTCTAACGCACGCGACGTTCTCTGGCTCACCAGAGCAGGCCCGACGTCGAAACCGCATGGTGGTCTACAAACTCCCCGAGTCCCAGGCAGGCAAAGAATGCGTCATCTGCTTTGAAGAGTTCCAGAAAGACGACCTAGTCGCGCGGCTAGAATGCCTCTGTGTCTACCACCGCAAATGCATCCGAGCGTGGTTCGAAAAGAAGGGAATGGGAGAATGCCCGATCCATGCTGTCCACACCTAGCAATCACCCGTTGCTGCTGCTCCTGCTCATAATCGAATCCTGCTCGCCAGAGCAGTCATAAACATGGTCTAGGCCTTTTCCATGACCATCCTACGCACGAACGTTTCCAATTCTTCTTGTTTGTGTATCTACTTTTATTTTCTCTAGTATGGTGTCGTGGTTCTTTGTTCATTTGTCGTTAATGCTTTATAGTCGCTTAAGGTGCTTTTTTTTTTTTTGCAGAATTCATTTTTTCTTTTTTTTTTCCTATCTCCATGAGAGGCGCTCCTAGGATATATGTTTTGTTGGAGTGAAGTATCTAGTACGGTGAATTTTTTCCTTTATAATAATCTTTTCTCGTTGTTTCATTTTTTTGGAGGACCGAAGTCGGTATATCATGCTTCAAAGTGCTGTTTTGTTGATGCTTTTGCTTTTGCTTTCGCGTGTGCTGTCTGTTCCTTGTAGTTTTTGTTTAGTACTGTTGTCTCATCTCATGTGGCTTTTCTCCCGCGTCTCCTTTTTGGTTTTACATATTCTCCTTTCTTCTCCTCCTTCTACTTCTTCGACTTCTTCTGCTACAACTTCATCGTCCACGCATCGATCAAGGGCGAATGTTTCTTCCATCTCAGGCTGTATCGTTTCCTGCCATGATAGCCAGGTTAACAAATTAGAGATGATATGCGAGCGAGTTTAGATAATGAAATCAATCAAGAGGTTGTCAGTTTGAATAAAATAACACGGCTTAAAAAGAAGTTACAGACAGTATTAAAATAGATAGGTAGGCTCAAGGACTGAATACACAACACACACACACACACACACAATGTACCATATTCCGAAAAAATGACACAGCGCAAAATAAGAAAGAGAAAAGCATTCCGATATCTAACACATAATGAGCGGAAACAAGGAAAACACAGCACAGACTAGTAGTAGTAGTAGTAGTAGAAACTGCAGCACACCCTGCTGGAAAGAGAAAAGAAGAGTACATATATATAAAAAGAGAAATAAAACAAACATGAACTCGCAGAGCAAAACTATAACAAACAGCAGATTTCAAAAAAAATAATGACAAAGGACATACTAATCAACGACGCCTGAAAACGTAAATTCAAATCAAGAGTTCAATTCTACCCTGCATCTTCCTCTTTTTTATTCTTTTTTTTTTGTTCTTTTGTTCTTCTCGCCTTCACTCTTAAGCTTTAGGGCGACGAGGAGGGATGTCGAACTCGCTGCTGGCCTGTTGACCGGGTAGAATTGGCGCGATGCTCAGGATCTCTTCTGTTTGCTCCTCGGGAGTCGTCCCCGTGATTTCCTTGTGGATGATCCACTCGAGCGGCGCGGGGGCTTCCTTGAATAGTCTCGGGTGGCACTCGACGCCCTCCTCCTCTCGCGCCTTGGCTTCTTGACGCTGACGGTCTTCGATCGCAAACTTCTCGTCGGTGGCAACGGTGTGGTCCTTGCGTGCGAGCGCGTTCGTCACCTTCAGCCACAGTCGTCGGGACTCGAGCGCGCCTTGCTCTTCGATCGGTCGCACCAAGGGGAATATAGGCTTGGCCTTGAGGGTGTCGAAAAACACAGACTTGACGCCGGTTTTCATGTTTTTGATCTCCATCACCTCGTTCCATTTCCCGCTGATCTCGTACAGCACGTCTCCGGTCGACTGACGCGAGATCTTGCCCTGGATCGCGTTGTAGGTGCCCGAGATGAAGCCCTTGACTTTGAACTCGATGTCGGCCACGAGGTCGTTGCCGGGACACTTGACGAGCGAGTGGTCGCCGAGCTCGTACTTTAGCTTGCCAATCAGGATATTTCGCGCGTACATGTTTGGCTGCGTGAGCTCGTATTTTTCAGTCTTGCCTCGGAAATCGGTCTTGTCGAGGAACGTGAGGTATCCGTGGCCCTCCATCAGACTGGCGGCGGAGTTGCCGAGAAAACGCGACCGGGGCACAAGCGTTCCGTCGATCCTGATGTGGTTCTCGGGCGACATGTAGAAATAGCTGGATTTGGGGGGATGATGCGAGGTCTGCTCTGAGATGTAATACGCACGGGTATTGTTCGGCAGGTCCCAGTAGCAGGTGAAGTACTCGTTCAGGACCGGGTTCAGCGGCTTCTTGACGGCCTTGGGAGCAATATGCCATCCCGAGAGATACCACTGGAGAGATGTCAGTTGGAGAATGGAGATTAAGATTGTAATTGAAAGTGAGTACTGACTCTAACCACGCCCACGAAGCGCTCGACCGGATCCTCAGAAGCATGAGCCTGCAGAAGCAGGTCAGGGTGCGCAAGCTGATTTGTGATACGCTCCAGCATCGACTTGCGCTCGAGGATAAATGTCGGGAGGGTGATGCGCGACAGGTCGGATCCGGGACGCAGCGAGGCGATGATCGACAGCAGCATGTTGTGCTGGTCTCCTTCGACCTCGTCGATGTCTGATACGAATGTTAGTTAACAGCACGCGACACCGCGCAGTAAATGCGCATTCTGTCGAATAGTCGGGGACATACCATCGACGGAAACGACTTCGAGGTTCTCGTCTTTGTCTGGAAGAGGTGACGTCAGCTATAGATGCTCCATGTGAAGCCGGATGCTGGCCAGCCGTGTCCCGCCACGAACCACAGCAGATCAGAGCAAGATATCAATTACTGCAGCAATGCAACTGACGATAGCCCGCGATCCGCAGCCGGCAGCAGTTGATTCTTTCTTTGCAGAGAACAAAGAAGCGCAGGAGCAGCAGCCAACACAGCCACGTCTGGACCAGCGAAACAGAGAACCACTCACTCTTGCTACCAAAGACCATTATTGTCAAACTGTTTCAATTGCAATTACTCTGAGCCTGGAATAAAGAGCGGACAGCGCGGAAGCAGCGATAAAAGTGCGCGAGGAAGGTGTTTGCAGCAGCCAAAAGACGGGAAATCGCAGGGCTTTGGAGGCTTTCGCAGAGCCAGCGAGCGAGCGGCCGTTTGCAGGTTTGTGAGGAGCAAACCAAACCCTGATAAGCCCAGATAGGCAATCGCCCTGCGATCGCCGAATCGGGTAATTTTTAATGTGCTTATCGTTGTATTGACTATATTGATACAACTGCGCAGTTTGCAGTGGAAAACACTAATAATGCATCATCTGGTGATGATATCCTGAACTCAGCAGAGGCAGGGTTGTAAGGTTGTTGTTACTACGCCGCCCCCGAGGCACCCGCGCCCGCGCTCACGGACGCATACTTGCCCAACACAAGACCGCCCTCTGCACCCGGGCCATAAAAGTAGACCGCGACCCCGGCAATAACTCCTCCGAGCAGGACGCCCGTAAACACGAGCCCGAGCACGTTCCACATCACTTTCTGCCGGCGCATCGAAATCGCTAGTTGCCGCTCGGGCGAGGTCTCCTCCGTCAGCTGGGTTTCGACCGTATGGCCCAGACGTCTGTGCCATGCGCGCTCGGGCGTGTTGAAGAAGGTCTTGCGGGGTAGGAGAGAGTAGAAAGGGTAGACGAGGTATCTCCACCAGAAGGGGACCTCCTCCATAGACTTGACGCTGCTGTCGTCCGCCTCAATAAGATCTCGAACTCTCGGAGCAAGTCGCAGCGGAGTCAGATGCGCGCTCCCCGGGAACCGGCGGGGCGAGGTAGGAGTAAACAGCTGTAGCCCGTCATCAAGCTTCGAGGCAAAGCAGCCATCGATAGCAATACTGATATCGGCGAGGTCAACTTTATCAGCGTCATGATCCTTCATTAGAGCTTTGGGTGGCACCTTGATGATGCTTGCCAAACTGTTGACCGGGGTCATGGCCTGCTCGTCTTTTTCAAGTTTAGTAATATCCTCCCTGGTCTGGAAAGAAGAAGGAGAAGTTCCAGAGGATGAGGACAAAGTATGGTCCTCCTCGACCACAGCATCAACAAACAGCACGCTCGCCTCACTCCCGCTGGACGGAGCCTGAACAGAAATCGAGGGTATCACAGGAGACTCGTTCTCGGAGGGTGTGTCTTTAACAGATGGTATCTCATCGTGATCAGCAGAAGGACAGTCAACAGCAGAAACCTGAGGAAAAGACGTAAAATGAAACGACAGTCTCGAGTCAGCGGTAGAAGGCGCAGCCGCGTCTTTCTTCATCTCGGTCTCGCGCTCGATGATGTCGTCGACAAAAGACACAGAGCTAGTAGGCCTGCCCGCAGAATCAGAAGAAGAAAGACAGCTCTGGCCTGAGGAAGAGGTACCAGACGACAACAGAATCGGGGGAGGAAGAACAGGGTTTTTGTTGCGCGCATAGGCAGAGGTATCAACAGACAGCGACATAGGCGGAGGCTTGACCGACTCGTCAATGGATGCGGGATGCATCTGCGACGCACTCCAGGGCGAGGAGTCTTCCGAGGTCTTTTCGAGTACAGCCGGGGTATCACAGTTCACAAACAGCGGTTTAGCCATCACATTCTCCTCCGCAGGATCAGAACCGTCCTTTTTCTCCTCGTCGGCAATCGAGTTGTAATAAGCAGACGCATAGTCAAACGTGTCCTCAGGTGGAGGCTGCATCAGGTCAATGCTCGACGCGAGCTGGAGTTTGAGTCTTTGTTCTAGCTCCGCCTGTTCAGCCGGCGGCACGCCCGGAGACATTGCGAGAAACACGGCAGATTTCGGCGACTTGCTCGGCGACTCGCTCAGTTTCTCGTTCATGAGGTCGAGAAGGTCTGCGGAGGTGGCACTCGCGGGCGTCAACCCTTTCTCGCCGTCACAAACCGGGTGCAAATGAGTCGGAGAGTAAATACGGTGATGCTGTCCGGAATAATCAGAAAACGACATCGCCGAACCAGGAGAGACAGCGCTGCCCGGCCCGCTTTTCGGTTGAGCTAGGTCACCAGCCTGAGCTGCGCCAGGAGATCCAAGCTGCGGAGAAAGACCTGCACTGGCAGACCGGATCAGAGGTGAGTGGATTAAAGGCGGATAGCGACCGCCGTCGGTGGAGGCGAACTGGCGCAGGAACTGGATTTCGGCGTCGGCCTGGTTTGCGGGCTCGGTCGCGGCGTGCTCGTCGTTCTCGTCGAGGTCGATGTCGAGGTCGGGGTCGATGTCGTTGGAACCGCAGGTGGGACTGTTGAAAGTAACAGCCTGCATGGTGTTGGTTGACTGCGGGTTATTTGCTCGTAGGGGTTCGTGAGTCGAGGGGTGGTGAAGAGGGAGGAGGGGAGGGAGGAGGGAGGAGGGAGGAGGGAGGAGAGGCAGGTGGTCAGCCCGTTTTGAAGTGTAGGGTTTGCCCTCTACCAACTGTCTGCTTTCCATATCTGATCTAATGCAATTTATATATTAATTGTAGAGTAGTTATAAGTTATTTGAATGATGAATAAATTTACAAGAAAGGCTCTTAACAATAAAACGCCATAAAGAAAACAACACATGCGACCCAGCAAAAGCAAACTATGTACATGTACATGAATAAGAGTCTATGCGAGATCAGAAGCGATTTCCGAGCCAGGCTCAAACATCCACTCGTCGTCGTCCAGTTCTGCTACGATGCGCTTCAGATCTCGTTGAACGAGCAGTAATAGCTCTGTGGAGAGTGAGAGTGAGTTAGTCGCGGTAGAGATATGGTGATCTGGGAGGTATACGTACTCTCGTTTTTCTGTAGGTTGTGATCTTTGTAGACTTGTTTTAGATGTTTTCTGACGCGATATTCTCGAGCTAAAAAAAGAAAAAATCAGTTAAATGTATGGGGCTATAAGAGAAGAAGTAGAAACGCACACTCGAGTTCCTGTGTCTTTTCATCAAGCGGAACCTCGGTACGCAGATATACCATCTCCGGCTCATTTGTCGCGAAATTGCGCACGATGATATCACCGCGGTTTTCAAGGATACTGCTCGGGTTCGCCATCATCGGCGCCGACTTGGGCGTGCTCAGCGACGGCGATGATCTGCCGGGCGCGTTCTTGTGCAGGTGCAGATGGTGGTTGTGGCGGTGGCCGTGGCCGTGGTGGAGGAGGTGGTTGTGGTGATTGTGCGGGGCCGGACCTGCTGCGACTGGAGTCGTCTGAGGCGGCAGTCGTTGCGCGGCACCGGAAGATCGCGAGGGCAGTCTTCGCCGAACGCGAGGAGGAGATCCGGCGGCGAGCTGCGAAGGGTGCGATGAGCCGGCCGCGGCGTCGGGCGTGAAGAGCGAGGCCGAGTTAGATCCCGGAGCAGAGTCGGAGGCAGAAGCAGAGCCGTAGAAGGATGTCTCGCCGATGGACATTGGCACAGGAGACGCGGAGAGACGGCCGCGGGCGGTGGGGGTGTCGATGGAGGAGTCCACGGCGGCGGAGTCGAATGTTGTGTTGGAGGGTGTTGTTGCGGGAGCAGCAGCAGCAGCAGCACTGCTGCCGCCGGTTAGACCGCGAAGAAGGCGTCTTCTGACGTCGTAGACCGGCATAGAGAGTTGGGGAGGTGAAGAAGAGAGGAGGAGATGGTGAAGTGGGTTTGTTTACTGTTGGAAGAGGAAGAAGTCGGTTTAGGGCAGGAGCAGAGCAGAAGAGTCGGAGTGGAGATATTACAAAACAGAGGATGATTGTCTTTATTAAGAAGAAATACAGCTGCTATTTCTAATACAAAAAAATACCAAACAATTGAATGAATACAATGAATTGAATAAATACAAAACAATGAATAAAGCAGCAACAACAGCAGCAGCAGCAACGCGATGGCGTCAGACCAGGGTCAGGGCAGAAGACGAATACGAACAAAAGCTCGGTCGGCCAGCGGCTTATCGAAGGTCGACGATAAAAGGCCCCGGAACCCGCCCGTCTGCTTCCACGTACTTCTCCCTCTTCCCTCTCCTCTACCTGCTTCCTGCTTCCTCAAACGCACTCAATTCACCCGCAATGTCTTCTAACCCACCCGGAATCTGCTGCCTGACTGGTGTCAAGCACGGTGCGTCTTCTCTGTGTCGTTGTAGTGCTGTGCTGTGCTGTGCCATATGCTAATCTGTTGTCTTTCTAGAGGGCGAGACCGTCGGCGAGATGGTCGACTTCCACGGAAGTAAGTAGCTCAATTGGTTCTGTAGATCTTGATTAATGCTGTTGCCTTGCATTGAGTAGTTGAGTGGGCTCAGAGCTGTTGCATTGCTGTGCTCTGCCTGCTGCCCACCTATGCGCTGATGTTAAGGCCGACATCAATTCAACCCATCATCACTTCACCACTCATCCCTAACACCCCTCTAGTTCAGACCTACATCTCCGGCGAGAAGGGTACCGGCAAGAAGGTCATCTTCTTGATCACCGATATCTTCGGTGTTGTCTTCAACAACGCCAAGCTGTAAGTCTCCTCTCCTCATCACAACCACTCTCTTTATCCATGTTCAACACCATCTAACTCCTCCAGCATCGCCGATGACTTCGCCGCCCAGGGATACCTCGTCGTCGTCCCCGACCTCTTCAACGGCGACCCCGTCCCCTGGACCTACTTCGAGAAGCTCCAGGAGTACGACCTCGGCACCTGGCTCGGAAAACACCCCAAGGAGGTCACCGAGCCCCTCGTCGAGTCCGTCCTTGCCAACATCAAGGCCGACTTCGCCCCCACCTCCATCGCCGCCATCGGCTACTGCTACGGCGCAAAGTACGTCGTCCGTCTCCTCGGCGCCAACAAGATCGACGTCGGCGCCATCGCCCACCCGTCCTTCGTCGACGACGAGGAGGTCGAGCTCGTCCGCAAGCCCTTGATCATCGAGGCCGCCGAGACCGACCCTATCTTCCCTGTCGAGAACAGAATCAAGACCGAGGCCATCCTCACCAAGAACAAGGCCATCTACGAGATCACCGTCTTCTCCGGCGTCTCCCACGGCTTCGCTGTCCGTGGTGATCCTACCGTTCCCCAGACTCTCTACGCCAAGGAGCGCGCTTTCTTCAACATGGTTGCTTTCTTCAGCTTCCACATGAAATAGGCACTTTACTTTGAATGAGTGATGTACTAGTTAAGACAAATATACTGATATCTATACTATATATACTATAAATATCACTACTTCCTTACCCTCTATAAACATTACTACTCAACACGATGTTTACTACTCTAATAAGGAACATCACTGCCACTTTGTGCTCGCATACTCCATATCCTCCATAAACGTTTTACTACTATGCACCGCCGTCCCACCCACAACTACCCTCAACCCCGGCGTGGACGCGTTAATCTGCGCAACAAGCTTCGCCTCCTCATACGTCACCCCGCCCACGAAAAACACAACAATGTCCGCCGCCTTGTCCCGCGAACTACCGCCCCCCTCGATAAACGGGTACAGGTTCTCCCGCAGCCGACCCTTCACCAGCGCGCCCAGCGTGCGCTCGAGTAACGTCACATGCTGCGTGTACACGTTCTCGACCCCTTGAAGACCTTTGAATCCGGACTGCGCGCGCGAGAAAATCGAGTCTGCTTTGAACAGATCTTCTTGTCGCTCCTTGTCGCCCGCGTACCGGAGTAATGTTTTCAGAGCGAGCAGTTTAGTCGGCGACACGTTCGCGCGGTTGAGTTGGTCGAGCAGCGACGGCAGCTGCGATGGTTGCTCACCGCGCTCATAGCGCAGTGCGTAGAGCGCCACCAGCCTTATCTTTGTCTCGTCCGGGAGATTGTGTGAGAGGAACAGACGGACTTGCTTGAGATCGTGCGCGTGGTTGTCGTTGCATGCCAGGCTCTGCTCGAGCTCGCTGATCTCCAGCAGGTTATCCGTATTCACCCGTCTCGAAAGCTCAGACACAAGCGTCACATGCTTCGTCACGTTTCCCGACAGCTTGCGGAATTCAGGGTAGTCCTCCACAAACCGCTTCATGTCCGCAATGCTCTCGATATTCATATTCGACCGTGTTCGCGCCTGGTATTTGTCAACGTACTCCTTTATCGACGCTCCTAAATCGCCAAAATTCATAAACATGCTGTCGTTGTAGAACGGGTCCTGGTCGGCTGCCAGCACTATCTCCTTCATATCCGGTCGCACGTCCGGCACCCCTGACAGATCCACGCGCCCGTTCTTGATTCCAAGATAGGCGTGCACCATCGCCTGGTACGTCCAGGGCGTGAGAAGCGGCGTCACGGGATCATTCTTCCGATCAAGTATCAGCAGCACTGGCGGCGTGTCCATCTGTCTGAAATCAAACAGCTTGGGATCTTGTTGGATATTGTACAGCGTCTCGATCGCCAGACTCTTGGCCAGAGGACTGTTTGCTTCGTAGCGAATTATAGGCTTCTTCTTGAGCGTTAGTAGCACCGAGGTGATTGCCTCCACCGACCGCATGAACGGACCTGGCGCCCAGGACTCGGGGGCGTCGCCGAATATGCACTGCTCTGGTGCTGAGAGGTTTAGTCCAAAGAGGTCTTTGTTGATTACGAGATAGTCCGCAAATAGTTCCTATACTCCTGTCAGCAAAGCACTCATCGAGCAACTCAAGGTATTCAAGTAAGACAACATACAACCACCGCCTTGACAACCTCGTAATCATCCGCCTCCGCCATGCGCTCGAGCGCGCTCTTCTTTATGACGTTTGAGAAATATAGCTCGTACTCGCCGTACTTTGGGTCCCGCAGTTCGTCGACAATTATCTGCACAGACTCGGTCGTCGGCCGCACAAACACCACGCATTTTAGATGTCGCATTCGTTCTCGGTTGGGATTATCTAGTCGGCTGGTGTGTACGTTGTTAGTTGCTGTAGAGATAAAAGTCGCTGCAAAGAGGGAAGTAGCATACTCTATTAGATAGACCTCGTTCTTCAGCAGCAGCGACTGCGTCGTAATCATCGACAATATAGAAGTCTAGATCAACATCAATATCAATACCAGCAAATCTACAACCTGAACTCGAGGCCGGCACATACGGTTTCAGCGTCGAGCAGCAGGATCTTCATCTTCCCGCCAGACGAGTCATACACCCCGCTGACCTCGTGCGCAGACGCCTTCGTATCCAGCAGCTTGTCGACATACGTCTGAGCAGCTTTGAAGAGATCCATCGTGGAGGACGAGTGTGCAGAGATCAGCCAGTCGAGGCCGCAGCCCTCTGTGGTCGACATCTCAGTCCCCCTAGTAATCTCAAAAAGGTAACTAAGGGGTCGGGTGACGTCACCGCTAAACAACAAAGAAGAAAAAGTTCGCTCGAGCTTCCAAGGCCGAGGCTGCGCTTTGCTTGCTGCGTTATCGCGAACCTGCAATTCAGCGCAATTCGGCATCTTCTCGAGGACGAAAATGATCGGAATCATCGACGACGCGATGGGCGCGGCCGCGAAGCAGATCGGGCTCGATACCGACCCGCTGAAGCTGTTTTTGACCTTTGTGCTTTCGTATCCGCTCTGTGCGGTTCTCAAACGGCTGCCTGATTATACGCCGGTTTATAAGCAGCTGTTTTGTATCGCGTATGTCTGATTGATGGTGGATATGAGTAAGTGAGGGTTATGCTGATTGAGGAATCAATAGTGTCTCTGCGTTCTACCTGCTCGGAATATTCGACCTCAAAGACGGAGTACAGACGCTGATGATCTCGGCCATGGGCACATACGGCCTGGCAAAGTACGTCAAGTCGCCGCTGATGCCGTGGATGGTGTTTGTCTTTGTCATGGGACATCTGACCATCAACCATATCGAGCGGTACCGGTCGCCCGAGGACACGTCGAGCTCTGGGCGCATGGACATCACCGGCTCGCAGATGGTGCTGGTCATGAAGCTCTCCGCGTTTGGCTGGAACGTCCACGACGGCCGCCGCCCGGCCTCTGAACTGAGCTCGTTGCAGAAAGACCGCGCTCTGCCTACCCTACCTCCGTTGCTCGACTACCTCACCTACGTGTTTTTCTTCCCGTCGCTCATGGTCGGCCCCTCGTTCGACTACTCCGAGTTCCGGCGCTGGCTCGACTTTTCGATCTTTGAAAACGAGTACACGACGCCCCACCCCGACGGCAAGCCGCGGAAGCACAAGCGCAAGATTCCGCGATCGGGACGGGTTGCGGCGCGGAAGGCGGCCGAGGGCGTGATGTGGATCGCGCTCTGGATTATAATGTCGAGCAAGTTTAGTTCCGGCGTGCTGTTCACGGACACGTACCTCGGCAGGAACTTTTTTTACCGCGCGTTTTACATGTGGCCGCTTGGGTTTGCCTACCGGCTGAAGTATTACGGAGCGTGGACTCTGGCGGAGGGCGCGTGCATTCTCTCTGGTCTGAGCTACAACGGCATCGATCCGGTGACAAAGAAGCGCAAATGGGACCGCGTGCGCAATATCGACCCGTACAGACACGAGACGGGACAGAACATGCACGCGCTGCTCGAGACGTGGAATATGAACACAAACAAGTGGCTCAAGACATATGTGTATCTGCGGGTGACGCCAAAGGGCAAGCGACCTGGGTTCCGCAGCACTTTGTTTACCTTTGCGACGTCTGCTTTCTGGCACGGTGTGTCGCCGGGGTACTATCTGACGTTCATCACCGGTGCGTTTCTGCAGTCGTGTGGTCGTAGCGCGCGCAGATATATCCGTCCGTTTTTCATGTCGCCGGATTTGAGTCAGCCGGGACCGTACAAGAAATACTACGACGCGCTGACGTATGTGGTTTCGCAGATGTCGCTGCAGTACACTGTGCAGCCGTTTGTGATTCTGACGTTCAGGGACTCGCTTTACGTATGGTCGACGGTGTACTTTTACGTGCATATCGGAATCTTTATCTTCATCACGACATTCTCGCAAAAGAAAGTGAAGAAGTATATCGAAGCCAAACTAGCGGCGCGCACGGAGATCTCCTCGAAGCTCGACAAGCTGCGGTTCGAGATCGAGCAGGCGCGCATCAAGAAGATTCCGGTGGAGGTCGAGCGGGTGCTTGCGCGGGAGCCGACGCTCGGAGTTCCGGATCAGGAGCTGGACGAGGCGTTGGAGTTGATGAGAGGGGAGATGACAGAGGATATTAGTGCGCTGAAGCAGGATTTGCAGGAGTTTAGGCGGCGGGCTACGAATACGTTTGATGATGCGAAGAAGTCGCTGCCGCGGCCGAGGAGTAGGAAGGAGTAAGATAGAGCATATTATTATGTGAAATGTAAAGAAATTGAACCCGAACTCCGTCATGTAGTTAAAGAAGTAGAAAAGAAGAAGCCAAGAATAGTCTGTGGTGTGGATATATGGTACATAAAATGAAAAAAAAAAAAAGAGGAAGCATGGAGATCAGCCAGACAAAGCTGACTCGTACGGTGGTGGCGGCAGATCGTCAGCATCTGAAGCTGTTGGATGAACCGGAGCAGGAGTAGGAGCAGCAGCAGGAGCAGCAGCAGCAGGAGTAGCAGCATATGCAGGCGCATAGCTCGGGAGATCGTCAATGTGATTAATTCCATCATTCATGCGCTCACGAATGCGGACGAAGGACTCGTCGAATTCAAAGGCGCCACCGTCTTTGAATGTGACTGTGAGCTCGAGCGGCACGTTTGGCAAACCGCCGTCCGGCACAGGCAGAACCACAGAACACCACTGGTTCGGGCCAAACCAAGGCTGAACCAGATGCGCGTCGCGAATATTTCCAAGCGGAGCAGCGAAGGAGCGGAAGCGGGCGGATTCGGGCGAATCAGGGAGATAGAGCACGCGGTGGGAGGTGAGGATGAGGCGGCCGCTCGAGGCGTCGAGTTTCGGCGGACGGTCGGTGGTTGGCGCGTGGCCGGGGAACATGCTTGATTCCGAGCCAGCGAGTTTGCCGACGGTGCGCAGACGGAAGGAGGAGCGCTGGGGGGCGCTGTAGATTGTTGTCTCTCCGGGAAGAGGGACGAAGCCGGAGCCGGAGCGGTCGAGCATGACCCAGTTGAGCGACATGGTGATGATGAGTAGATGAGAGTATGTGTAGGTGTAGTAGATGCTGTAGTGATGAATACTATAGTAGATATTGCAATAATAGTTGAATCAACAGAACAACAACCAGATCAAAGCAGATCAGAGCAGGGAAGATGTCGAAGATAGCAGAAGCAGCGGAGTGGCGAGTGCAGGCGATAATGCACCGCCACTGGGGAAGTGCCACCGCCACACTTACACTGCCACAATTAGCGGCAGTCTGATTCGGCGCTGAAGACTCGACTTTGCTGCTTTTGCTCCTCCTCCGCACCTGCTTCACCGTCAAAGAGTCCCTATTTCCCTGTTCTCTCTGTCTGCGCCTGCCCTGCGTTCGTCCTGCGCATCCCTGATATCTCCTCCTCCTCCTCCTTTGCTCTGACGCTCGTTCGAGCGTCCGGCTGCAATGCCTGCAACTGGCCCCTCCCACCCCGACCACGACCCCATCCGCCCCGCCCGCGATCTCAAACTGGACCCAGACGACTCCGCCCACGACTCGGACGCGCCTTCAAAAACGCACGAACACGCCCGTCCGCGGCATTCTGCTCACTCGTCCTCTTCACAGTCGTCCGCTGACAGACGCAAACTTGTCATCGCGTGCATCGCATGCCGGAAAAAGAAGGTATTACTCTCAACCTGCTCGTGCACATCTACTCCGCCAAAGCGAGCCAGCAGCGATTGCGCGACGACTGTCTTTTCCATCGTTCTATTCACTGTTGTTTCAATGTTGCTTTCTATTTTGTTCCGTCGCATTCACTGCTTCAGTCAACTCTTCACCTGTCGTCTCGCTTACCCGCTCGCACGCGCCCCTTCACCATCCCCAATCCTTCCCTCGCTGACTCTCTCCACAGGTCAAATGCTCCGGCGACCGTCCCGCCTGCGCTAACTGTCTCCGTGGAGACCTTCCCTGCCAGTATCCCGCCGTCAAAAACCGAGGATCGCGGTTCGGCTACCATGAAATGCTCAATAAGGTACATAATCCTCATCCTTTACTCCCTCTTTTGCTGTTCTTTCGCGTTCTGCTGCCGCTGCTCTCCCGTTCGACTTTCAATCTCTGCCGTCTTCCCTCGTCAATTTTTCCTGTCAGTCTTGGTGTTTTATTACTCATCACGACACGATCTCAACTCTTGACAATAACCCTTTGTCGCTTTTCGGAGATATCTACCCCTCTACCCTCGGTTTCGTCAGTACCCCGTTCACGCTAAACCACGCATACCCGCCTCCCTCCTGCATCCCCACGCGTCAATTTTTTCACCTCAACCATCACTTTCTCTGTTTCTTTACTTCCACCACCTTGATGCTATATATAGTCAAGTTCGGAGATAACTACAGCCGCGCAGACAGATCCTCTCATCCATGATCGCAACCACTAACTCGTCTCCTGTAGCGCCTCGAGATGATGGAACGTCACATAAAACCCCCCGCTGTCGGCAATCCCTCCTCGCCATATCACGTCTCAAACAAGCTCTCCACAATGCCCATCGCTCGTCCCGCTCCTCCCCCTCTACAACCCTCCACAAGTTTCCCCAACAACAGCTCTGGAAGCAACGACAACCCAGCGGGCTCTGGTTCTTCTCGATTAAAACGCCACGCGGACGGCTCCTTTAAAAACGGTCTTAGCTACGGCTACAACGGGACCCCTAGCAGCGAAGATGTTGACAATGGCTATACTGGCACGGCCGGAAACGTGACCGCAGAGTCCGACACCTCCAGCTCTCGCGATCGGCCTCTGGCCTCCAATCTGTCAAACGTACGGATGCCAGATAGTGAGATAATCGAGCACTTGACCGAACTGTACTTTCGATACCTCAACAACCAGTCCTACGCTTTCCTTCACAAGCCCTCGTTCGTTCCCCGGCTGCATTCCGGACAAGTCAATCCTCTGCTCGTCTTGGCTGTTTGTGCTGTCTCAGCCAGGTTCTCGCGACATCCTGAAATCATGACTCAGCCGAGGTACGCGGCCGGAGAGCCGTTCCTTCTCGAGGCAAGAAAGCTTCTTAGTCAAGAATTTGATGAGCCCACGATCGAGACCACTCAGGCTTTGTTGATCATGGGATTCAGCGATTTCTGTGGATTGAACGGTGGACGCGCAGCCATCTACTCGGGACTGTCGATGCGCATGGCGGCGACTTTAGGTTTGAACAAGGAGTTTGATGATCCCGAGCTGAGTTGGGTAGATCGCGAGATCCGTCGAAAGACCTGGTGGAGCGTGCTGGTTTTTGACCGATTAGCTCATTCTGGGCCGAAGCGGTCGTTCTTGCTCATGGAGGAAGAATGCCAGATCTCGCTCCCTTCCAGCGACCATGCGTTCTTGAACAACATCCCCGTCGTCACAGAGATGCTTTCGGGTGAATACCCTCCAAACGATCCAGATCTACCCCGCGTGCCGCTCGAACTACCTGGGTATCATATCAAGTCGGTGATCATGTGGGGCCACATTGCATCGTACGTCAACATGGGCCGAAAGAAGGAAAATTTCCCGCCCTGGACCGAGTATTCTGAATTCCACAAGCTCGAGCGGGAGATTGACCGGTTTTACTCATCGCTACCGCCCCATCTGGTATATTCGCGGGATAACCTGATTGCGCTAGACGCAACCCAGCAAGCGGGCACGTTCGTGCACATGCACGTTGCGATCCAGCAATGTCTATGCGCCCTGCATCGATGCGTGTACCCCTACGACCATCTAAACTCCAAGTTCGAAGCCCCGCCAATCTCGTTCATCGAGCGCTCGGCAAACAAGCTCACGGCGGCCGCGTGCTCGATCTCGGGTATCCTCAACGACACTTTGCAGGTCGAGGACGTGCTGCCGGCTGCTTTTGTCGGGTTTGGCGCGTATAACTCGGCCACCGTCCACATCGTCAACGCGTTCTCGGCCGATCCTGCAATCTCACAGATGGCGAAGAAGCATTTGACCGTCAACCTCAAGTTTTTGGTTCTGATGAGGGAGTACTGGTCGATTGCGGGAAGTTGGTGCACGACACTCAAAGAGCGGTATTTCCACAAACTGCAGTTGGAGAAAAACCCGAATGTTTCAGAGCAAGGAAACATCATTTCCCGCCCTCCGTCGCCGACTGTTCGGTACGGCACTCTTGATTTCAACGGCAAGGAGAGTAATAGTCCTGGAGCGGCAAAGTCTGATGGCGCAAACTCCTCCGGCGACGGCTCGAATGGGCGACGCACGCTATCGACGTCTGCGGCTACAAACAACAACGCAGTCGCTGCCGCGTTGGCGCAGCATCAACACCAGCAGCTACAGCAACAGCAGGAAGTCGACGAGCGAAGGAAATCGGAAGCACAACGCAGACAAGAGCAGCAGCAGCCCCAGCTAGTCGTTCCTACGCCGACACTAGCCACCGCGGCACAATCGTCACCGTCAAACTCGATGCTTCCGCCTCTTCCCCCCGGCACGTCATATTCCGATACCTTAGTCCTGCCATCGACGTTCCCGCCCGTGGACGACGAGGTTCCGAACCCGTACCTGTACGATTTCGACGAGACCTGGCTCCGCGCGCTCGAGAACAACAAGGACCAGGTGGTCATCGACGCCGACCGCGTCGGCGAAAACTCGTTCCTGGACTTTGGCTCGTCGACCTGGTTCACGGACCCGTCCGTCCCGGGATTCACGGCCTCTTCCTCCTCCTCCACCGCCGCGCAGCAATTCAATAACTCCGACACGCAGCAGCCAGACGTGCTTTCGCAGCAGGTCCAGCAGCTGATTTATCAGCAGCAGCAGGCGCAGCAGGAACAGCAGGCGCAGCAGCTCGCGGACGGAAGCACGAGCGCGAACGGCGACTCGTTTTTTAATGAGATCTTTGGGGATATGACGTGGGATCTTGGAAGTACGGTGAACGCGGGAGCAGCGAGGGCTACTGATGCCAAAACTGCCGTCAAGAAGTAGTCTTTTAATCATTTGTTTCAATCTGTTCTAGAATCTAAGCTTCGGTAGCTACGAGCGTACTGGTCTTTACGCGTTTCTTTGTATGTGTTTTTAACGGAGTTGGCACGTCACTTTTGTTGTTTAAAGGTGATACAAGCAGTTGTATCTCGGTTTACACTCTTTAATTTTTATTGTTGTTTACGGTTTTGGGGGACTCTGGATGTACGATTTGCTGGTAACGCCTTCGATAAGCATTGAGTAGTGTGGATGTAATGTAACCTATCACCTAATCATTTCTCTATCCCATGCAATAATCTCGACCATCAAGTCGTCGCATACTCTGTACAACTCAGGAAGATAATATGATACAACACCTTTCTACTCCATCGGTAATCATACACTCTCTCTCGCCTTTGCTAATTGTTGTTCCGCCCGCGATAAAGCATTCTCGACCGCGACGGCGGCGCGATCGGCGCAGCATGCAACTTCTCCACGAGCGCGATCGCGTTCTGCGGATTCACCCGGCCGTACTTGCGCATCCTGACCTCGGTGTTGTTGTACTCCTCGATATTGGGCGACATCAGCAGGTCGATCGTCTGCCGTAGCTCGGTGAAGGTCGTGAGCAGACTGTTGTCGTCTGTGTCGTCGCCGCTGCGGTGGCGGACCAGGACTGGGTCTTCTGGCGGGTTACTGCTCGCGTTGCTGGTCACGGACGGGTTGCGCGAGCGGCTGGTGAGTCTGTTTCCGAGCGAGGCGGTGACGGTCGTCAGCGCGGCGGAGGACGAGGGCTTGCTTTTCGGCTGGCCGAGTTCGTAGACAAAACTCTCGACGTAGTGCACGTCGCGGTTGAAGTTGTGCAGCGCGGGTTTGCTGATCCGGCGGCCGGCGTGGAGGATGAGGTCGAGCATCGAGGTCGCGAGGTGGTCGAACGCGTCAAAGTACAGAAAGCTCGTGATGGATTTTGGCAGGTGCACGAGCGTTTGGTTGACGAGCGTTTCGAGGAAGCGGACCATGTCGACGAGGTACGAGCTCGGCGCAGAGTTCTCGACCGTCGTTTCCCAGTCATACTCTGCGATTTCGAGAAAGTCGTCGATCTTGGAGTTGATGAGCTCGAAGATGCGTTGCTCGGCGTTCTTGCGCGCCTGCGCGAATTCAGTGACCGCCCGCAGCTTGATCGGTTCAGCGAGGTGCACTGTCGCGGTCTCGTTGAGCGTGTGCTCGATCGCGGATGCTGCGATCTCAAAGTACTCGAGATTGATGAATATCTGCACGATTTCCTCGCGGTTGCTGCTCTTGAGCCGCTTGATCAAGATCGCGCAGACGACGTCGACCAGCAGTTCGTCGACGGACGTGCGCAGGCGCGACTCGATCTGGCCGGGGTTTTGCTCGGTGAACTCGTCTGCAAAGTTGTAGTGCTGGTTGACAAAGTTGCGCAGCTCGGCGCAGGAAAGCGGGTAGACTTGGGAAAATGGCAGGACGCATGGGAATGTGACTTTGTCTGGGTCGACGTCGGCCTGGTACCAGCTGATGTTTACGACTTGTTCCCAGAGTTCGCGCTGGTTGATGACCATCGGCATGTAGTCGTCTTCCATGACGCTCTGGCTGAATTCCTGAGCAAACCGCTCTTTGAGAAAGTCAGAGTACTTGCCAAACAACGAGAGCATGAAGCTATGCAGCCGGACGACCGAGAACTCAAAGCTCTCCATCGTCTGGATGAAGAGACCGAGCAAGGTGCGCACGCGCAGCAGGGTTTCAGGGTTTTGCAAGGTCGGCAGCACGGGATCGATAAGGTCGGCGATGCGCTGACACATTAATTCCCAGAGCGCGTCGACGGATTCGGCGGTGCGGACTTTGTATGCCATGCGGACTGTCGCGCGCTCGACGATGGCGAAGCCGCAGGCGCTGTGGAGGAGGTTTTCGAGCGGACTGATGTCGTCGTCGGTGAAGGCTATTGATTTGGGGAGAAGTTGGTCTTTGTCTTGGACGCGGCCGTAGGCGTATTGTTCGCGGAACTCGTCGAGAGAGCCGAGGGCGGTGTAGATGAGCACGCAGTCGTAGAACGGGGTGAGATCGACTTTGATGTGTGCGTTGTCAAGGGGGTCGACTATAGAACAGTTAGCAAGGTTGAATAGAATGAGGGGAGTCTATGGGGTGAGATTTACAGTGCTCATCGTCATCATCTTGCTCCATGGCAAGTTCGACAGCAGAGTTTAGTTTGTAGAAGCGCAACTGCGGGTCTTTGTCAACTTTAGCCTTCCATTTGCGTCGACGGACTTCTGTGGCGCTGAAGGCAATCATGCCGATCTGAGGAACGACCTCTTGCACGCTTTGGAGCCAGACCGAGAGATCGGTGTGGACGTCTTCTTTGATGGTGTCTTTCATGACGGGCACGGAGTGGCGGATGCGTTGGGCGAATTCGAATTGCGCGACTTCCTGGAGATGGTTTTTTTGCAGGTCGTCGAGGCTCTGAGGGGAGTTAGCGGTAGGTTGAGTAGGATGGCAGGTAGAGGAGCATACTTTGAGAGCCTGGAAGTATTTCTTTTGTTCAATCATCTCGTAGACTTGGTTTGTCATGTGCAGAACTTTGAGGCATTGGCGCAGGGCGGCGGTGGCATCGTCGATATTGCTCCTGGCGCCCTGCGAGTCTTTGAGCATTTTGTTCTGCGAGGGTTAGAATGAGGAGTAGATGATAGAGAGATCAAGAGATCAAAACAGATGATGTAGAGGAAGGGGTACTTTTGTTACGAGAGCGCGTCCGGATTGCTGGATTGATTGGTTGATGCCGAGCACGCTTGAGCGCATTTGTTCTGAATTCTGTTTAACTCTGGCAAGCTGCTGAACGGCTCTTGTGTATTCCTGCTGATTGCTGTTGCAGAGCTCCTGGACCTCTGTTTCTTTCTGGGCGGTTATGGTAGCCAGTCGCTCGACGAGGAGATCGACGGCTTGGGAGTTGAGAGCGTCTTCGACGACAGGGGCAAGTTGTTCAAGGAAGTCGTCGCCTTCGAAGGAGTTGAGGAGGGAGACGGGGTCAGAATTGAGGAGGAGGACTTCTTGGAGGTGATTCATCATGACGTCGGAGGGGTCCTCGGATCCTACGGCGGTGATGGAGGCGGAAGCCGTAGGGGAGAGGGTGGTGGTTGAGGTCGCCATGGGCGCTCGGTGGATTGCTCCGGATGAAGAGATGAGAGGTGGAGCAGGAGAGATGAGAGATAGAGATAGAGAAGGGGGAGATGGGGTGGATGGCGGCTGAGGTTGGAGATGTCGGCGTCGAGGAGGAGCGCAGGGTTGCGTCATAAGGTTTGGGAGTTGAACAGGGGGATGTTTACGTGTAGTGTAATTTACAATACAGTTTGATCTACGATTATGATATAAGAGAATAATAGTGAATAAATGTATTATAACAGTAAATAATAACAGAACAGGCATTCTTGACATTCAAAGCATATGAATAACTTGTCAGATTACCATTCATGCCCGCCCAAGGTCTGTCCTCCGGAGAGGCATAGAACCAAGGGTAGAGATCATCGAAAACCGCTCTACATCTGCAGTAACCTGCAAAATGCAAAAGCGGCCCCAAGGTCAACATCCGAGAGCGCCTAGGATTCTTGAAAAGAAATAAAACTAGACGGTATCTCGGCGAACCCACTTAGGAGAAAGAAAGCTCTCACTCTTGGGCATGAAGGCGCACAACTCATCAACCAAGTTGGATTCAATGGCTTCTTTGAATAAATCAAAGAATGACGTGTACTATAGAAATGATCCTACTGCAGTGGGAGTTAGCAACTGGGTTACCGGCGCATAGAGAGCAATAAGAGAAATAAGAGCGAATCATATAGGGGAGTCCTTACTGAAGTACGTCGACAAAGAAAAAAAGAAAGCTCCTTCGGACGGGGCGCGCGCGGGCTTATATAGGAGCTGGGGGTGAGGGTTAGACACAAACCCTACACAAAATTTTTCGTTTAGGGTTACGTCAGGGTTTGGTGTATTCTGAACTCTAAATGCAAAAAGCAGTCACGCGGTTTACTCGCAGGCGACGAGCGGCGGGATCGATTGGGAGCAGGCAACCACATTGAGCCAGGATCGCGAAGTTGGATTCCTCTAGCAACCCAGTTCAACAACACACCAAGTCCCTTTCTCCCCAGGACATTTATCGATATCAACATGCCGGCGACTCACAGACGTACGTTATTTATTGAATATGAACTGCTTTGTTTTATGACTTGCAGTTGGAATATGAGTGGAGTAACTAACATGAATATAGTCTACGTTAAGGGCAAGCACATCGCTCACCAGCGGGGCAAGCGCAACAGCCACCCCGGCACCTCGTTGATTCAGATTGGTATGTGAACAAGATCTTGTGAAGAGAAGAGGATTCTGTTGGAAAGAAAGCATCTGCTAACAATATTACAGAGGGCGTTGCTTCGGCCAAGGAGGCTCAGTTCTACTTTGGAAAGCGGGTTGCTTTCGTGTACAGAGCCAAGAAGGAGATCAAGGGATCCAAGATCAGAGTTATATGGGGCAAGATCACCCGGGCCCATGGCAACAACGGCGCTGTGCGTGCCAACTTCAGATCGAACCTGCCACCAAAGACCTTTGGCGCTAGCGTTAGAATCATGCTGTACCCGTCCAGCATCTAAATGGGATATTGAATCATGTCATTTTCATGTTGGTAATTAAAGAATAAAAAAGGATGTATATGTCGAAAGAGAGGCGCTATTGCTCTGTCAGAGTAGTAGAAGTGCAAAACAAAATGGGTAAAGGTAGTTTATTTCTATATTTTGTCTTTAGAAGGTGCTGCTATCGACAATAACATCATTGTATTATATCAATACATAGTAGCAAGTGTATTATTGTGTTTTTGTAGTGTTGTATTCGTAGTGAGAGTAGAAGAGAGCGATTGTGTCATTGTGCATTGTTCTTGCAACTGTAGTGATATCATGCGTATTTCCTTTCCTCTCTTTCTTCCTTCTTTCTTCTTGCTTTCTTCTTTCTTCTCTTCTTCTATTCTTCTAGTACTGATAGAATGTTATAAAAGAGAGATAATCGCATTCAGTACAGATACAGATATAGATATTCAGACTGTATTGTACTATACACAATACTAAAATACACTTGTATCCATCGATCTCGCATCCCGGTAACACGCATCAAGCCGTCTGCTGTCGATCTCTTCCTCTTCCATACGCTCGTCTTCCAGAGATTCAGTCACAGTCATCACAGACAATACAACAACCTCCTCAGCAGCTACTTCACAACAACACTCACAACACTCACATCTGTGGCTGACGGATCTGCGTCGTTGACAGCGCACGCGTGGTCCGCTGCTGCTCGCGGAACATCGTAAACAGCACTTTGACATATATAAACACGCGCTCGCCGCCTTCTCTCTTCTCCCTTCTCTTCTTCCCCACCCTCCTCCCTCTTCTTTATCCTCCCCCTCCCTCTCATTGATCATGACTTCCTTCTTCCCCCCAGGGCCCTACTTCGCCCTCCCCTCTGACCTCGACACCGCCCTCGCACCCTCCCACTCCTCCTCCATCCCCTCCCCCATCGGCTCCCGTCGCCCCTCCGCTCCTCTCCCCCTACCACTCACCCCCTCTCCCCCCTCCACAAACGACGAGTCCTCCTTCGTCACCGCCCACTCCCACCGCTCCAGGTCCCCTCTCCCCGACTTTGACGAGCGTCAGGCCATCCCCTCTGCCCTCCTCGACTCCCCTCCTGCCCTCGACCGCAGATCGGCCTCCCAGCGCCACTCCTACCACCCCTCTGATCCTTCTCTCAGATCCTCGTCTCTCTTCCACTCCTTCCAGGGTATCTATCTCCTCTGTCTCTTTCATCTATCTCTCCTATAACTCGCTCTAACTCTCTCAGCAAACACAGACACTCGCAATGCAAACAGTGGCAACAGCAACAGCAACGGCAACGGCAACCCTGCCAGTGGCAACAACACCGCCTTCAACATCACCCACAACTCTCCGGACTCTTCCTACCTCCTCGATCAGCGCTATGACACTACCATGAACTTCGACGGCCCTAGCATCCAAAGCTCCGTCTCCTCTTCTTACTCCCTCAACAGCTATAACGCTCCAAACAAGAAGCCAAAGCAGTCCAAGCCTCACACTCACACCTCTGGCAATCTCTCCATCGTCCGCGAGCATTCTCACTCTTCTTTCACCGACAACTCCTTCACCCCTCGCTCGGAGAATCATCGCCCGCCTAGTCGCTTCCTCAAGATCTCTGGCCTTCCCAAGACTGCCGAACCTGCTTCCATCGTTGACACTCTTTCTGTATGTCTCTTCCCTTCCCACCCCTCTCTTCCCTCTCACTAACATCACAGGCCTTTGGTGAGCTCCGCGGAATCTACAGCCGCGAAATCTCCTTGAACGGCTCCGTCATCGTTGCCTTCTATGACCTCCGTCACTCTGTCACTGCATACAAATCACTTTGCTCGCAGTCAATCATGGGTCACGTCCTGCAGCCTCAGTTCTTCCCAAAGAACTATCTCATCCAGGTTTGTCCCAAACATAAACACTCGATCTGACATACCCCTAACCCTGTAATTGCCTCTTCCAGATGAGCGAGAATGGCATCGATATGCCGTTCTCGACCGAGTATGACGACGAGCTCACTATCTTCTTCAACCCTGGCTCGGTCGAAGATGCGCGGTCGGTTCTTGAAAACTATTTGCCCAGGTTTGGCAGTGTTTTGTCGCTCAAAATCGAGAGCGACACTACCATCTCTTGCGAGTTTTTTGACCTCCGTCACGCCGCAGCTGCTGCGGATAACATCGACGGCAACGTCATTAGGGTAATCTCCATGTTCATGTCATCTCGCTTGAATAATAACTAGCTGACTCAATCTAGGACATCACTTTCTATGTCTCTTATCAAAGCATTGATTATGCATTCTGCCCTACCACGGAGTGCAATGACTTTGACAAACAACCAGGATCATCAGCGCTTGCTAGAGTTTCAAGCATGCCCGCAACCACGCGTCGCAGCACTCTTTCTGTTCACGCCCCTGTATTTGAGGCAGGCAAGCTCACGCTTAGCGGTAATCGCTCAGACAGCTTCAGTCACCAGTCGGCCTGGCGTGGCAACTACTCTGAGCCCTCGAGCCCGCGCGACGTCTACAATCGTAACGATCATTCTGGTGATCATTATGGCGATTATGGAAATCCTCGCGCGCACTCCCGCAATCAGGATTCTAACTACGTGGTTATGGGACCGCCTGTAGGGGCCTACGGTCGTCGCTCGCCTCTTCCCTTTGGGGTATACTCTGATGTCGATCCGGCAGAAGCCTCACTTAGTATGTTACTAGTACAATGCGTGTTTGTTTTCAGTACTAACCTCTTTGCAGCATTCCAAGTCGAGAATGCGCCCACTTCAGGCCGCTATGACGTCTACACGAATGCTACCGTTCCCAAGAACAACGTCGTAGATCTTGAGAGAATTGCTAGAGGCCTTGATACTCGCACTACTCTAATGTTGCGCAACATTCCAAACAAAGTCGACCAGCGAATGCTGAAGGACTACATCGACGTGACCAATCGCGGGACCTATGATTTTTTGTGTATGTCTGTTATTTCTGATATGTGAGCTGTGTGCTAACGGCTAGTGTTAGATTTGCGCATTGACTTCTTGAACAAGTGCAAGTAAGTAACTCAACCAGTCTGATTAACAAACAGCATTATACTGACGGTTTAGTGTTGGATATGCGTTCATCTCGTTCACGTCTCCGGAGGCCATCATCACGTTCGCCAAGGCCAGAGCTGGGACAAAGTGGTATGATGCTTTTTATTTGTCAAACTATCAAACAGTCTTACTGACACTAGCAGGAACCGGTTCAACTCTGAGAAGATCTGCGATATCTCTTATGCAAACATATATGTAACCTTTCCTTGTATTACCTGGTCGATGATACTGACACCTTATACTCAGGGAAAAGAATGCCTTATTGAAAAGTTCCGCAACTCTAGCGTTATGGATCAGGATGCGGCGTATCGTCCGAAGATTTACTACTCTGACGGTCCTCATAAAGGAGAAGAAGAGGAGTTTCCCCCTCCCAACAACTTGAACAGGAAACTACGCTCTATCGCCAGCATTCAGCAAATTGGTATTTAAGATAATAAAAGAGGGTTTAGAGGGAGGAGAGGTTTACGTAGTGAATAATTGCTGACTTTAATTCATGTGCTAGGTCTTTTCCCCCCGGGAAGTAACAGCGGGAACTGGAGACGCGTCTTCCAATCTCGCTACCAGTAACAGTCCAATCTTGCTCTGACATTCTGGCTTATCTGTTTGTTTAACTATACTATTACTCTGTGAACTGTTCTGTCAGCAGGAGCTGTCTAGTTGTCTTTTTTTGTGTGTATTGTTTATTTTTGTTCACATTGAGTTGTTTTGCTTTTATTGATTGAATACTGTAAGCTGAAGTAATGGATGACGGTATTTTGTATCTGGTTTCTTGTGATTTGGCAATAACAATTTGTTGAGTTTGTGGTTTTGAGATTGTTTGTTTGTGGCATCAGACATGAGGAAGGAATAGTTGAGATGTTCATGACTGGCGTTTGGGGCGTTTGGCTGGTTCCTTTTGATTTTAGGATTGAGTTGCCTGGGGGATGATTTTGTTGCGTTTGTTCATATATTGATTTTCGCTGTGAGATGGGATGAGATGAGATGATGTGCTGCATTATTGCTTTCTTGCTGAGAACTTGTGCATGTATCGGGCAGATACGAGAGATAGCTGACAGCAAATATACTACTATATAATTATAGATAACATTTACATTTCATCATCGGCCTCATTACCTTCATCGTCGTCAGGGATCGAGTCAGGATCAGCCTGTTTATCCAACATATCGCGCCACTGCTTTGCAAACTCCGCGATGCCCACGCCGCCGGTCAAGCTAGCGTCGACGACGTCGCGCGGGACCATACTTTCCGAAAACGGTTTTGTGGAAAACGAATGTACGCCGTCTTCTGCCGAGACAAGTCTGAGTTCAGGCGGCAAAGACGAGGACGGGTCGAGCGAGAGCAGTTCGGACCAGGAGAAGGTGAGCGAGTCGGTTGTAGGGGAGAAAGGGTTTATATCCACGAGCCATACTTTCGCAGGCTGCTCGTCTGGTTTGGGGATGTAGACGTCAAAGACAAAGTTCTGTAGAGAGAATTCGGATGTAGCGGGAGGAGAGAGGAAGGCGGAGTTGAAGAACTCGGTGATGAGAGAGAGCAGATGGGCGCGGATCGGGGAGAGGAACGCGAAATGTGCTGACGAGCGCTGCGATATTGCGAGGATGCGGCGGGAGCGGACAAAGATGCGGAATTCGAGCGAGGGGTTGATGTTTATCCATTTCTTGAGGACTAGTTCAAAGTCTGGGCGGGGGGAGGAGGAGGAGGAGGAGGAGGAGCAGGCGTCGAAAGCGTGGAGGAGGTCGTGGGTTATAAAGTTGGAGGCTTTGAGGAGGAGGTAGACGTCATTTGGAGTTACGCATTTCAGCGTGTTTGTCGTCGATATCCAAGCCGCGTCCTGATATTACTTTAAATCAGCATATTATTCTTTATAAGAATGAGGAGGAGGAAAACGTACTCTCGGAGACGACCAGTTCAGCTTCGGCATGACGGAGCCGTAGTCGTCGATTACTTCCCTGATCTTCTGATCCAGCTCCGGAAACGCCATCACGAAGTCGTTCTCGTCGGCTTCGTCGTCGCTCCATTTCAGTTGTTCTGTTTCTGTGGTTGTTGTTGCTGTAGTAGTGGTGGTGGTGGGGTTTAATTCCTTGATCCGTGTATTTCGGTCGTTAAACTCGTCATCTGAACTCCACTCGCCTTCCTCACTATCCACATAAAAGTCAGCACAGCTCACACTCAACTCTCACTCAAGAAACAAAAAACAAACCTCTCAGACGGCAAAAAAATTCCATCAGAGTTCAAATACTCAATAAACCCGTCCTCCAGCGGCTTCAGCACCGTCGCCTTCGGCACATGTCTCCGGAAGATCTTTTGCCAGCTCGAGAATTGGCAGCTTAACACGTCTTCTTGGGATAGTGGTGGAAACTCTAGCTCGTCGGTTTCTGTTGTTGTTGTTGTAGTAGTGGGAATGGGTGATGATGGGGAGGGGGAGTCGGTGACGGAGAGGTGGGTGAAGTCGACGATGTCGTCTAGTTCTTCTTGATCCGAGTCTGGAGGGGTCGGAATATCATGCGACATGATCTCCTTTTATTATCCTCCTTTTCTGGCCTTGCTTCTGACCTCGTTGCTGTCGTGTTGTAGTCGCGTTGTTGTCGCGTTGCTGAATATCAAGAAAATCAAGCCTACGCTCATCAAGTTTTTATTCTATTATCTGACTATTCAGTCAGGTTGTGAGAAGTTTGTAATTGGGAGGTGGTTTGGGGGCCAAAATAGTGTACATGGTGGCGATTGGGGCGGGAAATGTTGTTTTGGAATGAAAGTGGCGAAATAACTGGTATTAAAACTGTAAACTATTACTCACTGCCTTTACTAGATATTACTATAACCGGATATACAAATAAACAAAATTACGAAACAATAATGAAAAAATCAAAGAACTGCATCTAGTCACAATACAACCTCCCCACAGCCGACAGCGCACTACACGACCTCCGATGCACAATCACGTCCACGACCATCAACACGCGCTTCTCAATCTCCTCCAACCTTACCTCCGGATCATACAGCTGCTCGAGCACGTACTCTATCTCCTCGCACAGCGCGCCGCTGACTTTCTTGTCCACGCCGCCCCCGCCGCCGTCGCTCATGAAGCTTGTGAAGTTTGTCGGGGCGGCGTAGGTGCTGAGTGAGGATGAGGTCGAGATTGTGGAAGAGATTGAGGATGATTTGATGGAGTCGCGGGGCGCGGGCAGGCTTGGCGAAAAGGAGGAGGAGGAGAGGGATGGAAAACCGCTGCTGCTGAAACTGCTGATGCTGCTTATACTGCTGTGTTCTTGCTGCTGATTCTGTAGAGATGACTGCCGTTTACTGCTGCTGCTGCCGTTCAACGAAAACGCAGAAAGCGACGAGAGATAATTCGTCGTCGTCGGCGACGGCGGAATCGGCAGCGGTCCACGCGTAAGTCCCTCTGCCGCGCGCGCGATTTTCCTCAACACCTGCTCCGCCAGCCGCGGTTTCCCGCGCGCAGCAAGCCGCATCGCGAGCAACAGTGACTCGGCAGTCAGCAACTCGATGCGCCGCTGCGAGAGCAACGTGTTCGTCGTCAGCGCCGAGGGGATTTGCGGGATCAACGGCAGTTTCGGGATCGCTGCCGCGGATTGTTTCCGGTATAGGCCCGGATTACTCTGTTTTATCCTCAACTGCGGCAGAGGCGGCGGCGCGGAGGGCAAGCCTACCTCGTCGGCGGGCACGGTCATGATTGGAACTCTGAGTACGGCGGTAGATTTCAACGTGCGCCGCTTGCGTGACGCGCTGAATTGGAGATACGACACCTGTGCTTCGAGCACCGGTTTCTCCATCGCGCTCTCGCGCCGCCCGGCTTCATCCTCGTCCTCGGACCCGCGCGTGTCCGAGCTCTGCCGCCGCATGAGCAGCGAGTACGGCGCGAACTCGGACAGCGCGGTCGAGGAGTTGGACGAGGTCGTTGACGAGAAGCGGCCGCGGGGTTTTCTGCTCAGCGGGGAGGTGCTGGTGTTGCGGTACCTTGCTGTTTCGGAGAATCTCTGCTGCTGCAGGGGACTTGAGAAGATGCTGCTGCGTTCGCTGGGTTGTTCGTAGTCGGACGCGTACTCGAACCCGGCGTCACTGTACACGTCGTCAAAGTCATCCCCGACGCTCTGGATGTCGGAGACAATCATATCCCACTGCTCTCGAGGCGCGGCCCTGATCTTGTCGACATCAGGCGGCATCGCAAGCTGCACAATCACGTCCTTACAATCTCCAAACGCGGTATCTCCCAGCGCGACCTCGGCCTCGCGTCTCCCGGACTTGATCCCGTACGACAGACAGCCGTCGACTTTGAGGATCCGCGCGCCGTCGAACGCGGCCGGGATCTTGAGCGTGACGCGCAGATCGCGGTGAGACATGGACATGCACACGGCAAGACAGCGGATCGCGGCGTCGGCCGCACCGGTCCAGTGCGGGAGGTAGGTGTACGTTCCGCGCGTGGCGTTCGAGAACTGGACGAGTTCGCTGGCGTCGTGGTCGTGGCCGATGCCGAACGTGTAGCTCACGATATGGTGGTCGAGCGCGAGTTTGCAGATGTGCTCGACGGCGGTGTCGTGCGAAAGGCGCTCGAGGTCTGAGAGCGGGCCGGTGGCGGAGTCTAGGGATTCGCTGAAGAGCAGGATGCGCTGGATCGGGGTGGTTCGCGATGATGACGATGATGATGATGAGTCTTGTTGTGCGTCGGGGCCATCGAGTAAGAGCGAGAGCGCGTGCTCGAATCCGCGCGCGGGCGCAGTCTGCTCACAGCTTGGTTCGCCCAGCTCAGAGAAGAGTGCGCGCTCGATGCCGGAGATACAGGATGTCCAGCCTTTCCAACTGCGAGGCTGCGGTCCGGACTGCGGCAGGCTGAATGCTTTGGTTGCGGAGTATACGACCACGCCTAGTCTGTCGCTCGAGCCTAGACGGTCGAGTAGCGCGCTGATTGTGGATTGCAATCTGCTTGTCTCTAGTTTGTCTGATAATGGAAAGATGACGATGGAGGTGACTGGGATATGCGGAGGCGCGGTCTTGAGATTCAGCGGGGGTGTAAACCCCAGCGACGCGGACGCAGACTTGATGATCTCTGCTTTCCACATATCCCTCAACTGCGGCTGATTGAACGCGAGCCTGAGCTGGGGATAAAGCGGGCTAGAGAGCGAGAGCACGAGCGCGTAGGGCGACAGGCTTGTGGATGAGTCGTCGCAGGTGAGACCTTTGAGATCCTTGCTGATTGAGATGAAAGTGCGGACCGTGAGCGTCGGCAGAGGCGGCGGCGCGCTGTGGGGGGATGGGGTCTTGCCTGTTGCTGCGGTGCGTTCTTCTTTGACGCAGAGAAGGTGGTCGTCGAAGAGGTAGCAGTCTAGGAGTTGCGCAGAGGTCGAGGACGGGTAGGATGCACATCGTTTGCCGCACATGCGGAGACTTCCAAGTTTTCTGTAAGAACGTTAGTGAAGATGTAACAAAGATATTGATAGAGGACATACTTTGATAGCTTTGGCTTGAACGAACTATCAAGCCGAGCACTCAAATCCCTCAACGCCGCCTCAGTCGAGACCGAGTTGCGATTCCAGATATGAGATGATCCACTAGACGCGACCACCGACGCCCAGTTATTTTCACCGCTGCCGTTTGCGTCGGTGGACGGTCGTGATTCCGGGAAGGGAATGGTGATGCGCACAAGACAGGAGAGACACTGCTCTTTTGTGGGAGAGCGGAAGGCGGCTGCGGAGGCGGGCGTGATGGAGACTGTTGGCGTTGGGATGCGCGAGCGGGAAGGTGAGCGGGAGCGCGTTGAGTGCACAGAAGGAGGAGGAGGAGACGTTCTCGATGCCGGAGTAAGAGGCAACACAGGCAGCACCGGCACCACAGGCAGAACAGGGCGCGACATCACCGCCGCCGCCGCCGTCGGAGGAGGAACAGAAGCACTGCAGATCGTGCACTTTGCTGCTCTGTTTATCTTTGAGTCCGTCGCAGCAACACATTCTCCGTGCGCTGCGTGGCCTCCCGAACACTGCAGCTCGACGACGCGTTCATGGCTGAGCCGGTACTCGAGCGATTCGTCGCAGATGACGCAGATGCCGAGCACACGCGTGCGGATCACGACTGAGGTTACGGGCGTAGTGGTAGCAGCCATTCTTCCTCTTCTTCCTCTTCTTCTTCTTCTTACTCTTCTTCTCTTGTTTACACGAGGACCCCCCCCCCCGCCCTTTTAAACCAGGATCCCTGCGCGGCCGGGCCCACAAACGCGCAGCCGCAATTCGTGGGGTGCCCTAAACCGCAGTCTACCTTTAAACCTAATCCGGAACAGAGTTTAATACTGCAGCGCTCGGCTGTGGGCCGATCTGTGTCTGCTGTGGTCTCTGTGTGGGAGGCGACTGTAGATGTGTAGGGAGTTGTGGTTGTATTAGTTGTTATTGTTGTTGTTATTGTTATTGTTGTTGTTAATGGTTGTTTGTAAGTAAACAAACCAGAAAGAGAGAACTGGACTAAGAAAGAAGAGAAAGCGTACGCGCATCGTCTCCACCAAATCGCACCGCACCTCCTCGACTCATCTTCCTCTCAACGCTCTTGCTGATCTTTAAGATAATTCACCCCTATTACGCCGTGTTCCTGTATTAATCCTCATAGCTGGCTCAATGCGCAAACAAAAGTAAAGTACAAACAAAATGCATCAGTATACTCTTAAAACTCCTCATGTACTCAATCAACTATATCTCCCCATCGCTCTCGATCGCTACTTCCTCCACGTCTTCGTCCATCATGTTCTCTTCTCCTGATGTCCATTCTCGCCCTATACCAAGACCAGTCAGCATATACTCACTCCTCTCAATCAATCTCACCATCACTCACCCTCCTCTCCATTCTCTCCCGCCCCGAGCTCAAACCTAGACACCGCCTGCCGGAGCATATCGATCCGGCCAATCGTAGCCTCGTCCCTCTTACTCGCTACCTCCTGACACCCCGCAACCACCGCGTTCAGCCCATCCAACGGCATCGGCATCGGCACCTCCTCCGCCTCCCGTCTCCGGCCCTGCCGCCATCGCCGCCCACTGAACCGCACAAGCGACCGCACAAGCCGCGCAACTACCGCCTGCCGCTCCCGCTCCTTCTGCGGTTGTCGCTCGCTGTCAATCTCACTAAACACAAGCCGCTCCAGCGCCCGCACAACCTCCCCTCGCACGGCTCGGTTCCAGTGCACCACAAGCCCCGGTGCCCATCCTGGCGCCATCAAAAACACCGCCCGACGCATGTTTTCCCCGCCGCGCCCGAGACTGCACTCGCTGATGAACTCAGCCAATGCCTCGCCGATCCGAGTTACCGTGCTTTCAATCTCAAACTCGGCCTCGCTATCTCCGCTCTCTCCTTCCTCTTCCGCCTCCTCGTCTTCTTCATCTTCCTCTTCCTCCGCGCTCTTCGCGTCCATCGGAAGAATGATTTGGCACAGCCTCTTGCATTCCGTCAACGTCGGCTGATACACAACCATCAGCTGAATCAGGTACTGCAAAAACGGCCGCGCGGACTCCGCATCACTCGCAGACCCGACCGCCCTCGTGCCCGTCCCAAACATGATCCTGATATCGCTCAGCGGACTCCCGTCTCCCCCGCGCACAAGAAAGTCGCTCACTATCTTCATCACGTCCTCAACCGGCACATCCTGCTCTAGCAGCGACTGCACAAACTGGTTGTTCATCTTCCGGTACCCCCGGCACAGCAGCTCGTACTCCGTGCTCGCCAGCGGCAGCTGCATCTCCGATCTCTCCTCCTCATATCGTCCCGCAACCTCCTCACACCGTTGCTCAAGACTGTCAACCGGCACTCTTGCCAAGTCAATCTTCTGCAAAAGCTCTTGCACAATCAGCGCGATTCCTGCAACATCATCCCGGCCGTCGAAAACCGCTGCTATGCTCGCTTGCAACCCTCCCGCGCAGATACACAGCGCCGCTCCTTCGTCCTCGGGTGTGTTGATAATAATATCCAGCAGCAAACTGTTCAGTTCCGCCCAACTTCCCCGTCCTGCTGACGAAGACTCGTTTCGGCAAAGCAAAACATCAAACAATTGCCGCACCAGCGAAAACACAACCCACCGCTGACTATCTTCTTCTTCTTCCTCCTCATCCGACCCAGCACTGCACGACCTCGTCCACAAATCCAACGACCCATACCCGTCTCCGCCCTGGAGCCGGCCCAGGCACGTCTTGATCAACCGCGACACCTCCTGCCGGATCTGGACGCTCGGACACCGAACCAGCAACCCGCGCATCGCAGTCTCGTTCTCCGAAATCCACGCCAGAAACGCCATGCTCGCCCGCTCGGACGCAACACAGCTCTCTTGCATCTTCCCCACCATCTCCGTCGCCAGTCCGCTCTCTTTCGTCCGCACCGCGATCTGGAAAAACGTGTCAAACATCATCTGGTCGTGCGGCGCCCACGTCGGAATTTCGCTCCGATCACCGGCTTTCTTCGCGCTCAGATCCTCGTACGTCGCTGTCACGAATCGCACATGCTCTGCGCCAAACAAACTCCACTTCATCGCAAGTCGCTTGTTATCCTCGTTGATCTTCGCGTACAAGCTTGACCCGCGCATCTCCTCCTCAGCCTTCTCTCGTCTGGCCTCCTTCTCTTCATCCGGCCTGCCCTCAACCCGCTCATAAAACAGCATATACGCCGAAAACGGCTTCTCCACAAGCTCGCCGTTCACATTCGAAACAACCCCTCCGAACGCCATATCCGCAATCTGCGCTTCATCAAACCGACTCGTTTCCGCGTCGTTAAACTCAACCCACCCTTCCTTGTCGCGGATATACGAAAAATAATGCCCCGATTCAGCCGTGCCCGTATGCACCAGCACCCCCGAAATTCGGAACTTATCTGGCGTCTGCTGCTGTCTTTCCTCCTCGCTCTCATCAGCCGACTCAATCGCCAGGCTCGAAAACATATACGGCGAAATATCAAGCTCAGTCGGAAACTCAAAGTAGTCGTTGATCTTACTGCGCTGCATCGTAGCCAAATCAAAATCAAATCGCTTCAAATGGAAAATCAAATGGTCCGGCACTTCCTGCAGACAAATCCTCTTCTCCGCGTCCACATGCGCCGAGCACTGCGAGCACCAGTACTTATTCTCGCCGTCCATAGTTTCTCCCTCGACAAACGCATCCAGACTCTTTTCCAAATCTCGCTTGCCCTTGATATCGCACTGGATCGCGGAAAATGGCTCGGTGCGCTCAGACACGTGCTCGCACTCTTTCGACTTGATCTGAGTCAGAAGCGTGCCTCCGTAGAAATGTGAGATTGCCTCTTTCTTGTCCTTCTCGGCTATCTTCGATTCCAACCGGTCAAACAAAAGATTGTAAAACTCGTCCACATCCATCTGCACCGTGTAATCGATCGGATCGTTTTCAAAGTTCCTGATCGACTGGATGAATCCTCGCGTGTCTAGCACCTTCATCCATCCATACCGCAGATACGCAAACAGTCTCACAATTTCCGGAATCAGATCCTGCGACCCATGGTCGCGTCTGCTCGACGCCTCTTCTTCGACACCGACAAGTCCAAATATATAGCTTCGAAACTCGGTGTTCATGTACAGCTGGTTGACAAACGAGTTTAGGTAGCACGTGTTTGCCAGATTCTGGAGACCGGCGTAGCCAGACGCAGACCTGATCCAGCGCGATCGGTCCGTGTTCCATCCCTCGTGGAGCACATGAGGCGCTAGATTCTGTCAGCAAAACTCTCCAGAATGTATAACAAGATCAACTCACATGACGGCAGCAGCTTCAAAAACAGCGCGGCTACACTCTGCAGCTTGTTACTATCCTCTGCCAGGAGATACAGCAATCGATACAAAGCCGCTCGCGTATCTGGCGCCAAACATCCAAAGTACCCGGCCTCCTCTTTGGGTTCCTCGTTCCTGCCGATAAAGCTGGGAAATAGCAGCTCGATTATAGCCGTCAGCCAACTCTCGTCCGGGCGGACACTGGACTCGTTGCTGCGTCGGTATTCTAGCGCACAAACCATGAGACGGGCATAACCGCTGATGATCCTATCATCTTTGATTTTCTCGAGCGTCTAAAAGTTCTGAATCAGTCGCAAGATAATCTAATCTGTAAACAGTTGAACGTACCTCATTCACCTTGCAGCCACGGATAATTGAAAACCACAGAGAACACAAACCGTATTCATCAATAGGAGCGCGTGTGTCAATCAGAATGAGCCTAAAAAATGTTAAGAATGCACCAACACACAACGGACCCTGGGTAAACTCACTTGAGCAAAGCCGACGAGAAAATAAATAGCGCCTCGGCCTTCTCTTCGGCATCCGAATTCGGCAATGGAAGAATCCCACAAGCCAGACTCCAGAAGTACAGAGCGACCTCCGCGTGGTCTTCAGACTCTGTAGAACCCTCCTGCAGGGCATTTTGGATAAACTCCAATATAGCTGTTGCGTAATAACTTCGCACTGCGACATTCGGCGCGTTCAACATACATTGAGTAAATAGCTGCCTGCACTCGTCCGCAGCAGCAATCGACTTCCAGAATCGAGCATCGCTAGCTCCAGAGAGAAGTAGAATATCCAGCACTCGCTCAGCGACCCCTGACGCGGTGTCATCGGCAATGCTGATCAGTCTGATGACGAAACTGCCGATTTCCTCGTCAACACTAAAGTTCCTCGTGAATGACTGACAATCCTCGCGCAAAAACGCCTTGATCCTCTCTAAAAGCCGCAGGCGAACCAGGTTGCGGACAGATACATCCGAACTCATAGCGAGATCAGGCTCTGTCGCAAATTGCACGAGGCGGGGGACTATATACTGATAGCATTCCGACAGCGTGTCGCGGTCCATTTTGCCTTGTTGGATGAACGAAAAGACGCACTCTAGCACGTAATCCGAGTACAAGGTCTTGTAAGGCTTCTGAGAGGGATAAAGTTGATCCCAGGTGGCGAAGACTTCCTTCGGCTGACTGAAGGTCTCAAGGATTGAAGACGCCGGCCCGATTGCGGTGATTGAGTCGAGCGCTAGAATAGCAAACTCATCTGGCAGAAGAAGGAGTTCGTACATTTGCTCATATGCACCCATGATCTCCATCTCAGCAGGTCGTAGCGGTCTCCAGAGTAACACAGACTTTGAGGCATCGATGTCGGTAGAGCCAGTAGCACTCTCAGCCTCCATCGCTCGTTCTTGAATATCAGAAAGGCGGCGTTGTATTCTCGGATCCTCGTTAGGCGGACCCCTGACGACCATGATAGCTGTCGTATCTCTGCACCCAACATCCTTCAGCGTCCTCATAAAATCTGGCGTCTTCAATTCGCTGCCAAGCACAAACACTCTGAACTGCGTGTCTCCCACGACATTGGCGACCATCGAGAAAAGATCCAGCACATTGTTCTCGTCTCCCAGATAAAATTTCTCTGATCTGGGAGAGCCAAACGTGATCTGCAGTCTAAACTCGACTTGCGCACCTACTATCTCGATGTTCCCTGTCGACGAAGCTGACGATCGGTCAACAGCGTACCTAGGATTGCCGCGGTAAGATGTCAAGAAGGCTTCTAGAAATTTGAAACTTCTTGTATAGATCTGAGCCGCTTCTTGAACATTGTCGCCGTTTGTCGCAATTTCTAAGGTTAAGGTCAGTATAAGACTTAGGAAACGTACATCGACTTGCATACCTCTGCCAGCCAGGGTAATTTCCGTAATACACCGACGAACCAACGACCGGTGAAACTTCTCTATTGTCTCGGTTGGATGCGTGGAGACAAAGTCAGCCTGGTGCAGTCAATTAGTATACACACTCAAACAAATCATCGGTTGAGATTAATGATAACTGACCTCAATAGACAACCAAATAAAAATATCCGAAACTTGAGAAAGACAGGATTCATCCTCAGTCTTCAAACAGAAATGCCAAAACGTATCGAACCCAGGCAGCAAGAAATCTTTTTCTGGAGCGAACTTTTCGGCATCGTCAACTGTTATCGACTCATAGTTGAAATAGCTGATGATGAAACTGCCACACACCGGCGTAAGACGGTCGCTTGGCAGAGTCGCGATTTTGGCAAAACAGTAGTCCATAAAGTCGCAGCGCTGATGAGTTACAAGTCAGAATCCCACTCGTTGCAATTTCATAAGAAAGCACTTACCTCCTGCAAAACGTTGGCGAGCGCGGTTAATTTCCCCCAGAACGCGTCTTTGATTTCGGGGTTGTTGACATCCCTGTCATACAACGCCAGCCATAACTCTTCCATTTCGGTGCGATCGGCGATACACCGTGGATCGAGAGACAGCAATTTCACCAAGCAGTCCTGCCGCAAGCTCGCGTTTAGCGGGTACAAACTCATCGACGGCGAAGAATTCACGCAGTAATTAGACCAGCTCTTTATATTTGTGACAAGAACGTCGCTGAAGTTCATCTGCCGCATTCGGCTCACGAGAATCTGAATATTTGGCGACTCGCGTGGTGGGCTAGGCTGCGTTTCGCTGTCGAAGTTTTCAAGATAGGAGTTGATATACGTCAGATCCTGGAGCGAGTCTGGACCAAACGCTCTGAGGGACGTTACATGACTCTCAAACAGTTCTGCTTTTGACTGGGTATGAGGCGCGACGCTCATCAGCGTGTCGAAGCTGCTGGTAAGTACGTTGACCAGCAACGTTGGACTGACTTTCATTTCTGCTTCTTCTTCTGGAGTGACGTTTCCAGCACGCTTGATAACCTGCAGAAGCACGACGTACGGATTCATCGGGATCGATTGAGCAGCATGCTCCTCTGTCGCTTTAACGGCGTTCGAATGGTACACCGCGACGATTCCTTTGATCAGCTTGAGCACAGTCGGTTCCAGAGTCGTCAGAGGCATTCCAAGCAGCTTGTCAATGAGCCAGTTCAACCAGGTCTCGGGTAACCAGTGAATGATGTTGATGAAGATAGAGCATATCGCGTTAAACATCACCGGATTCTCAGCAGACACCATAGAGTCCCATAGAATGGCGAGGTCTTTCTCACTAATGACCGAAAAGACAGTGAGAAATGCGTAGATCGAACTACCAAACTGGGCGACTATAGTACTATTTGCCTCAGTACTGACGAGAAACTTTGTAAAGCCGCTCGCGGAAAGCAATGTCGCGTAATAAGATATCACAGCAGCTGCCTGTGGCGTCGGCGAAGGACTCCACTCGCGAAAGACTGCTTGTAGTTCTCCCAAGATTGTCTTGATGCCCATCAACTTGTACTCTGGCCTGGGGCACTGGAAGATTTTGATGAACCAGTAAAACTTGCGGATCTTGACGGCGTAGTTGCGAACGGACTCGACGTCGTCCGGGTCTGCGTTTTTCGTCAGAGGCATGAGGGCCGGGTGTGTCTTTAGCAGTTCGTTGTTGGGGAATAACATAACGATGTAGAAGAGGTCCGTGAGCTTGCCCACGATTGACAGCAGGAGAGTCCGATCTGGCGCGTCGGGGCTGTCAACTATCTTTCCGAGCGCGACATCGGTCTGTAGCATATAATTCGAAAAATCAGAGAGTGGGAATTCAAACTGCGTTTGCTGGCCAGTTGTCTCGGCAGGGTCTGAAGAAGAAGATGACGAGGAGCTATCGCTGGAGGAATTGTGTCGTTCGAGAAGACGTTGGGTTGCGGTCATGTAGAGACCGACTGACGATAATAGATCAACGTGCGGAATCACCGCGGTGGCTAGTTCCGCATCGACTTTTCTCTCTGCGTTTAAGATCTCTATACAGATATTAAAGACCCCGTCGACAACTCCGTGCGAGTAATATACCTGCGCAAGATCAGAAAGCTTAGTGTAACTGTCGGGATCAGCCGTTTCACAAAGCGAGTACAGAGAGCGTTCGCTGTCGACCAGGAATTGATGGAGAGCTTTGACGAATTTTGGTGATTTTAGGCTGTCGGGGGAAGTAGTTTCCATAGACCTCAGAAGAGCCAGATCTTGCTTTAAAAGAAAGGAAACAACGTCAACGATATTGACATAAAAAGCGAAACAGAGATTTACTCCAGCCTCATGCCAGAAACTAGCAGGAAGAGGACCACTGGTCTTGTTAGTATAGTCGTAAATAGTGCTATGCCTCAAGAATCGCTTACCTATGGTGCCAGAGGTCCGAAGCGATCTCCGGCAAGGAATCAAAAAACTCATGCGCCAGCTCCCAGTAGTGCTTCTTCTCATCGTCAGGATATGCGAGGAAGACAGATAGGAAATCATTGACGTCGTTCAGGAAAGTTTGTGGGTTCTGCCATTGGAACGCGCGTCTGCATTGCAGTACATACGACTCTATGCTTGTCGGTAGAGGCCGGTTGTCGTCTAGTGCTAGGATAAGCTGTTCCATCATGCTCTGTCCTTCGTAGGCATCTGACGCGGTAATCTCGGTCACCGCGTCATCAATCTGAGTAGGTATTGCAGAGTCGAGCACGATGCGGACAGGAGATTCACTGCCGGAAGAAGACTGCTCGGACACCTCGACGATCTCTGGCAAAGACATCTCGTCAATCTCAAGCATTTCTATCGGTCTGGCCGTCGCATCGGCGTCGTCTGATCCAACACTTGCCAGACGACGCCTGCCGTCGCCAGTTTCAGACGCTATACTCGCATTGACCGTCGGCGGCGATGCCTCTGGCGATCTCTCAGACTCGCTCTCGGACGAACCATAAACACCGACAGCCACGCGCTTGCGCGGCATTCGCTGCTCGAGATCAAGCGACTCGCGCCGCCGAGAGTCCAACGAGTCCTTGAGCATCGCCAGTGTCGAAACCGAGCGATCAAGCGGGAGCGAAGAAGCACCATCAGCGGCCGCATCAGCGCCGGCCGCGTGCTCCGGCACCGGACTTTCAGCGCTCCGATCTGCACTGCTGGCCATTTGGCGGTCTGGAATCACTGGCGGATTATTCGGTTTGCAGAGTGGGATCCGAGGGCCGATGGTGGAAAGACGCGTCAGAAGCTGGATTTGGGCGCGCCTCGGCTATCGCTGACGTCAAACAGTTGGATCTCGCGAATACAGCGGTGATCTCACGTTTCAGTCGCCCAAACAGTTAGAGCAGCTCGTTCCCGTAGCTTGGAAGTAGTGAATAATGACTGAATAGTCTCAATTGATATCCTGAATCAGGCTCGGGATCAGCTCAGGTCGCATGCGGGACGTGTCAATCGCTTTTCCCGTTGGGAGCGAACGATCGGTTCAATCACTTTGCTTTAAAGTTCACGAGTTTTGACGGTTGGGGCTTAAGCTGCGAGTTGAACTGCTTTCTGCTTTCATTGTATTCTATATCGATAGTAAATGCTTTTTCAATTGTTCTGTATATGTTGATTATGGCTGTTATCTAAATTGACTCTCGTAGACCGGCTCATAACCGACTATTAACCATATCCCCCTCCTCAGCAGTAGAAAACCACCACCGGACGACACCTTCAGTGCACACCGACGGGATCTCACCCAGCTTTATCCTCTCCGCAATAACAGGCCTCGTCTGCTCCACCCGACTCAACCAAAACTCCACTCTCTCTGGCGGAATACAGGCAAGCACAGCATCAACATATATGCCGATAAGAAACTGCGTTTTCGGGCCTTTGATTGCTCCACGGATCGCGGGGATCAGAACATCCTCGCCGAACGTTGGAGCCGCCGAACACAAGATCCCGCTTCCTGGCGTGAACGCGCTTGAAAGAGAGCGCACGACCGCAGTGAGCTGCTTGTCGGATATGATGTTTGACTCGTACAGGACGAGAACTGATGGTAGATAAGTACTATGAACGTAGCGAACGTTGTCGATCGCGAGCGCGGGGATAAACAGCGACGCCAAAAAGACCGCGTGCGCCGCCTCGTAGATCCCGCGACTGATTGACGACCCGCTGGGTTTCGTCGTGGCCGCTATAATCTTCTGCGCCGGTTTCACGATCTGAGCCAACACGGAAGAAGGCAAAGGTGATGACGCGGGTGATGACAGCAAGATTTTCTCAGCCGTGTTGAGTTCGAAAAGCAGCTCGGCATCAGCATCTGTGGTCTGTAAGTCCTTGACGAGATCGTCGACGGGCGGATAGCCGCTCGAGAGCAGGATGCCGACGGCGGCGCTGTGTAGGTACGACTGGGCCGCAAAGCCATCGACCGACATGCGATAGACTGTGGTGGAAAGGTTCCGTAGAATCAAAATGATCTGTTTGCTGATATCAACCTCTAAAGCATCCGGGCCCGCAAACATATGCCATTTCCGGGAGGCGCGCGATTGTATTCCATCGGCAAGACCAGTCAGGACTGACACCATAGCAAACGCGGTCTCTTTAGCGGCCTCGACGCGCCTGAAACGCACTGAAGACTCAAATATTATACTAAGCGGTATCAGTGATAGATTGAGATCTGAGGATGTGGCCATGAATCTGTAGAGCTCGCCCGTGAAGAGAGCAAGCGGGCCAGCGTAGGGTTTGACGTCCGCATGCATTTCAGGCGCGAAGAGTACGTTTGCGAGGATTGACAGCAGACTTGGAGATACATGGATCTTGGCTTTGAATGATTGAGATGTGATTGAGTACGCGACCGTGGCGCTGATTGAGAACGATACCGGATCGTCAATAGCCGGTGCGTTATGAGAGATGTTGTTCAGTGCTTCGACAAACGCAGACTGTGTTTCACGCATAGCCCCGGCAACGGGCGACGCGGACATGATGCCAGCCAAAGCGCAAACGCAATGACTAGGAACATTTGCACACGTTGCAAGACCAGCAATCATCGCGTTCACAAACAAGGTCGTATCGTCCTTAGCCGACGGATGCGACACCACAGCTTTCGAGTTTGCGCGCACACGCAACACCGTCCTGAACGCATCGTGAACAAAAAGCCCGACCGGGTGCGCCGTCGCTTGCGTAAGAATCTGACTATCATCAGGCCATATCGAAGGCGAGAGCATGATCATCCGCGTCAGAGCAGCGACATCGCGGGCATATTTGAGATCAGGAAGCAGGCGCACGCAGTCTCTAAGCAGCGGCACCGCGCTCGCAGGATCTGACGAAGGGAACTGAAGCGCAGATAGCAGAGCAGAGAGCTGCCCGGCAGCCACCTCTTCAGCAGGATCCATCTCGTTGCTCGCCGCTCGTCTTTCACTCGCAAGTTCTTGATGCCAATATCGAATAATGACTCCAAGCCGAGGCGCTCGATGACGCGGGGGAGGGGGTGCGGTACTCCACGTGACCTCACGTGACCACTAAAACTGGGTTTCGGTGCTCGGAGCACAACGTCATCGGTAAACACCGAACCAGCGCCGCACCGCCTCCCAGGCACCGGATGCCAGCTTCCATTCCACCTCGCATTCTTCGTCCTGTTCCCATCTTCACGAATCCCTGTTCCTGCGCGCTATTCACAGAGAACCATGCAGCAAAGCGAAGCTTTTCCTTTGCTGACGCGCAGATCGCCGCCGCCGCAGATCCAGACGGACCAGCCGGCAGAGGACGACGGTCCGGGCTCGTCTTTATCACCCGTCGAATCACCAGTGTTGTTTGGCCAGGCTCAGCAGCAGGGTCTCCGCGTCGACCTGCACTTCCCCGGACTCACCCCGCGAGTGATTCATACTCCGCAGCACACGCTCACGCCGACTGCACGCAGCCAAATCTCAGGCCTCTTCAGCACGCCCGAGCAGCGCTCTGCCTCGCCGCGCGGCAGGCTCGTCGAGCACAGCTCCGGCCGCTCAACGCCGGTCTCGATGGCCTCCTCGCATACCAGCCAGCGCGCGACTTTCTCTTCACTGCCGCAGACTCCCACCGATGCCAGTACCCGGATGTGGTATGACGATTTCACGACAATCGACTGGGTGCACGACTTCATCAAGGAGTCGTTCCGCGTCAAGTGGCTCCGCGAGCAGCCTGGCATCCGCGGCCGTCTGCAGCGCATGCGGTATGCTTCTCAAGGCTGGATTCTGGTGTCGATTATAGCATCTTGTGTGGCCGTGCTTGCGTACGGGATCGAGAGTTCGCAGGCGCGTATTTTTGACTGGCGAGAGGGTTATTGCTCGACCAAGTGGTATGCGCCGCAATATGAGTGCTGCGCCGACAGCACAGGGACCTGTCCCGCGTGGGTGAAGTGGAACGTTGGGTTCAGCGGGGCCGGATTTTTGGACTACGGTCTTTTCATCGTGTCGTCTGTGATTCTTGCCGTTCTGGCAGTCTCGTTGACGCTCACGACAGCAACTAATACTCCGTTCCTAAAGACCCGCGGGCGAGGGCAAAAACAGCCCGAATCAACAAACGCAAATATCAGAGAAGGCGCGCCGGTATCGGTTGGAAAGGATGCGGGTTATAGAAACCGCGATGCAGAGTCCAAGACGGTCATGTACACCGCTGCTGGCGGTGGTGTTGTCCAGGTAGGAACGTGTTTCTATTTTTAGCTACTGTACAGCTACTAATAGTCTATCTCCACAGGTGAAAACAATTCTCTCGGGCTTTGTCATTAAGAAATTTTTGGGATCGTACACGCTGCTGATAAAGTCAATTGCGCTCGTGTTGGCGATTTCGTCTGGTCTGAATGTGGGGAAAGAGGGACCGTACGTGCACATGGCGGCCTGCGTGGGCAATATTGCCTGCCGGCTGTTTAGTAAATTCCGAGACAATGACGGAAAGAGAAGAGAGATTATATCAGCGGCGACTGCTGCCGGTGTTGCGGTCGCGTTCGGATCACCTTTGGGCGGCGTGTTGTTTGCTCTCGAAGAGGTGTCGTATTACTTCCCACAGAAGACGCTGTTCCGCTCGTTTCTCTGTGCTGTGATCTCTGCGCTCGTGCTCAAGTTTTTGAATCCGTACGGCACCGGGAAGATTGTGATATTCGAGGTGTCGTACAGCCATGACTGGTATACGTTTGAGTTTTTCGTTTTTGTGTTTATCGGTGTTTGCGGAGGCGTGTTGGGGGCGCTGATTGGAGTTATAAGTACCTGGTGGGGAAAGCGTGTTGCGTCTGTGAGGAGCAAGCATCCTATTTTGGAAGTGGTCGGGATCGCTGCCGTCACGGCCGCTGTGTCGTACTTCAACGTGTACACAAAGAAGGCGCCGACCGAGCTGTTGTATGATCTTGCGCGGCAGTGTACCTTCACTTCTGATCTACCAGGAGAGATGGGACTGGAGAATAGTGACATTCTGTGCCCGTACGCGCCCGGGATGTATTCGAACGCGATCTGGTCGCTGGTGGTAGCGCTGGTGATCAAACTGATTCTGACGTCTATGAGCACGGGGCTCACGATCCCTTCCGGACTATACGTGCCGTCGATGGTGATTGGCGCGTTATTTGGTCGGATGATTGGACTTTTAGTGCAGTTGCTGCAGTACCACAATCCGGACCTGTTTCTGTTCAGCTCGTGCCCGGCCGGTAGTTCTCCCCAGGACTGTACGATCTCGGGTGTATACGCGTTAGTAGGGGCGGGTGCGGTGATGGCGGGGGTTACGCGGATGACGGTCACGCTCGCGGTCATTCTGTTTGAAATCACAGGAAGTCTGGACCATGTGCTGCCGATCTCTGTCGCGATCCTGGTTGCGAAATGGGTTGCGCAGATATTAGAGCCCGAGTCGATATACGACATCATCATGCACGTCAACAATTTCCCGTTTCTGGATAACCAGCGCACGCCAGGATTTTCGTCCACGCTGCGAGAAATCGTGCCAAAGGCTACGATTTCCGCGACGAGCCCCGTGATTGACGTGACGGATAGTCCGTACATCTCAGCCTCTGTGCTGCGGACAAAGCTGAATTTCCTGCAGATGGCGGGCGAGTTCGACGGCTCGCTGCCGATTCTGCGCGCGCAGGTGCTCGTGGGCTTGCTGCCGGGGCCGGAGCTTGAGTTTGCGCTGGACAAGATCAAGGAGAGCACGGCGGCGTCGAATTCGGTATCGTACAGTGATTTGACGGAGATCGAGGACAGCGACGAGCCGATCTGTCATATTTCTGCGGATGAGCATGAGGTGCAGCAGTTTTACCTAGACAGGTCAGCGCATCATCGGGAGTATCACAAACGCGTGAACGCGCGGGATATCAGCGGCGGTGGCGGACAAGCGGAAGCGACGGCATCGGACGCGACGAGCACGGCGACGACGAGCGTGGAGGTGGTGGACTTGACGCCGTTTGTGGATCGCGCGCCGATCAGTTTGGATATCAACTCGCCGCTTGCGATGGTGCATTTGCTGTTTGTGAAGATGGGGCTGCGGATGGTGTGTGTGATGGAGGACGGCAAGTTTTGGGGGGTGTTGCATAAGAAACGGTTTATTGAGTATTGCAGGTTTGGAGAGGATAACATGACGACTTGGTTTTAGATGGTTTTGTTTTGTTTAGTTTTGTTTAGTTTTGTTTAGTTTGCTTGGATTGTTTTATATCTGAGAGTTTTCATTATATGTGGATCTGGAGTATAGTATGTTATGAGTCGGTGGTTGAATGCATGGAATTAAGAATAATCAAGAGTAGACGGTGACTAGTCGGAAATGGAGAAGGAAGCGAGCGGATATTTATCTGTCAGGGAAGTGTACCTTAGCAGTATGAAGGAGTTGTCATGAAGTAGTCATGCAATTACTGAGCGGTCGGTATACGAGTAATCTTAAGACAATTAAGATGAATGAACGCGAGTACCGATCTATGTCGACGGTGCGGGAGACGGAGAAGGGGCCGATAAGACGAGGGATGATAGACGATAAGGGGAAGACTCCTGAGCGTCGACGGGTCGCGGTGGTTGGTTGATGCCTGTGCGTCTGCGCACTGGGCATCGGCAAGATAAGATTACGTTGGTCGAGCTCAGGACGTGCGCGTGCTCAATAAATAAGAATGTCTATATTATCTGGCTATTAAGAGGAAGAAGAGGAGGATTGGAAGGGACACTGGAGCTGAAGGTGGGGAAGATAGGAGGTTCTTATCGCAGCAGTTCGACGGTGCGGTGCATCCGAAGATACGATGCGACACAGATAGCTGTTGCTGCTGCTGCTGGCTGTCATCGGCATCTGCAGTGAACTACTCGGCTGGCTATCTTGCTTTTTCCCCGGTTCGCTGTCAACGATCCGGATATATGAATGAATATAGAAGTAATAGTAAGCACGCAGAGAGCAGAATGTGCTGTGTCGTTGTATCGCGGTGGTGGGGATAATTCCGCTCGTTGTCGGACTGGATCGCCGCGTCGACTACTCCGGATGCTGATACTGTCTCATTATAGTCAAGAGGAGTATATAGATGGCTATATGAATGGATATATTCACAGTTCATTAAGTCTTATAATGCTTACATTCCAACTTATCGTGGGCTCGCTCAGCAGGGAACTGCCGATAGTCGGGTGGCTTGCCCACTATCCCGCTATCCCGCCGGCCTGCTCCTTCTCATTTCTCACCCTCCCAAATATGATATGAGACAACCGACAGTGATTCTGATATCTGTCTATCTTGGCCACTTGGCAGTGCCGTGTAGGGTCTATTGCCCAGCACCGAAAAGGCTGTGAACTGGCCAATAGGAAGCGCACGGTTGGGCGAGCAAGGCCTTATCCCAGAGTTCGGTCCTTATCGCTGCGGCTCTTGGCACTGACCGCTATCGATCAGCACCCGCAGCGAGAGGAGAAGAGAAGGGGCTGCTGCGCTGCAGGGGACCTCCGATAAAACTACGTAGCTGCTATTAAACGTACTTTTAAAAGTCCGCGGGTGTGTCGAGGCGAGTGCCCGCGAGACTGTACCGCGACGACACAAGACTCATGGCGCCTCAGCCTTGCCGAAGAGCAGTGACAGAAGGCAGGAGGCAGACAGGATACAGAAGACAGACAAAGAAGAAGAATTAAACACATAGAAATGACTCTGTCTGCAAATGCAACGATTGGCCATTATGGTGTGCAATCACGCAAGCTCTTATCGTCATCTCACACGGCAGTGATGAGCGAGGCCCGAGGCCCGGCGTGCGCTTTGGCCGAACAAAGGTGAACTGTGCACTGCAACAAGCCACTTCCTGCTCCCGAAGAGCATTCTGCCTCGCAACTCTAACTATCGCCATGTTTCGTCTTATCTTCTGCTGTCCAGTCAAGTATGTCGCTATCGGCTGCGGGACCCGCCAAGAGTGTGCACTTATCCTGTCTTGAATCCTCGTTTAATCAGCGGCCCGGCTTGCGACCGCTCTGCCTGAATGACGACACGTACTCCTCGCATTCTGCCCGTACCTCGGAACGGCCGCCAACTCTGTTGCGCACAGGGAGTGTGCGCTGGGAGGGTCCGCCGGAGAGCCTTGACCGTCGCTCTCTGTGCCGTTTCAGCTGCCTCTTTGTCTGCTCACTGAATGCGATACCAGAACTCATTCTGCTTCTATCGGCGAGGTGACTGCAGCCGCTGTGACTTCTGTATGCCGGTCTGCCCGTAGTGCGGGAACTGACTCCCGCGGTGTGTCGAACTGACTGCCTGGCAGATGTCAGTTCCTATCGCATGGCGCCATCATCCAGCTGTGCCCCGCCATTTTCCTGCAGACCATTCACCTTCGACAAACTAGCAGTACGTCAACGAGACAAGACTACTTACTAGCTCCAAATCTCTGAAACCTTGGCCACAACGAGTCATCTCTCTCATTATAATACTCGCCCGCCATCCACCTCTGCTCGTGTGCCTTTGCTCGTTGTATCCCCGCCCCCATATAAGCAGGCCTTCTCCCCCAGTACGTCCACCCCATGCATTCTTCTCTACTTTATCCTACGCATATCTAATCTATCTAGATGTCTACTGTCATTGAGAAAACCTCAACGCCGGAGGACTCCGTCTCCGGCGAGAGCGAGTTCTACAACGAGAAAAAGGCCGTCGACGTCACCACCACCCCCCTCGACTCCGAACCCCAGCATGAGCACGACGCCGTCGTCGAGCGCATGCGCGAGACCGGTGACATGGAGGATCTCATCGCTGAGGGCTACGCTGACTTCTTTGTCGAGAAACTCGGCATGATGTCCACCGCCGAGGCCCTCGAGGTCCTCCAGTACTCGTTCGAGTACCACCAGACCGATATCAACTTCCCCCAGGCCACCATGGACAGAATCACCCACCTTCTCCAGGGCGAGGATGCATACGGCCAAGGCCCCATCATCTACAACCTCGACCTGCGACTCGAAGCCTCGCTCATGAAATACCACTCGCCCTACCCCGAGGTGCGCTCCGTCTGCGCGCCCACTGACGACCCCTCGATCCCTGTCGAGACCGCCCGCGCCTATGTCATCGGTGTCTTCTGGGTCGCCGTCGCGGGCTTCATCAACCAGCTCATTTACTTCCGCCAACCGCATTTCACGTTGACCTCCCAGGTCGTTCAGTTGCTGCTGCTGCCTTGTGGTCAGTTCGCCGCCAAGTTCATTCCTGCGCGGAACATCAAGATTTGGAAGTGGACGCTCAACACAAACCCTGGACCCTGGACTTTCAAGGTGAGTCCTTGTTCACTATTATTTCCCGTTTTAGTAATATCTTTTAATAACATATTTTTATACAGGAACAAGTGCGTCTCTACAGCTTTGGCTCTTTGTATCGTTGAACTTTATGCTAACTCAACAAAACAGCTCTTCGCCACCATCATCACAAACGTCGGCTCGCAAAACTCCGTCTGGGGCCAGTACGCGCCCGTCGTTCGCGAGAATCTCTTCTACGGCCAGCAATGGGCAGACTACGGCTTCACTGTCTGCATCAACCTCATCTGCCAGTTCTTCGGACTCGGCACCGCTGGTATTCTCCGCCGTTTCTGCGTCTACGAGAGCAAGGCTGTCTGGCCCACGCTGCTGCCTACCTTGCAGCTTAACCGCACGCTGCTCTTGCCTGAGGACAAACGTGTTATCAATGGCTGGAAGATCACAAAGTACCGTCTTTTCAACATCTTGTTGGCCATCACCTTCGTCTACTTCTTTATCCCCGACTACCTCTTCACCGCTCTCAGTACCTTCAACTGGATGACCTGGATCGCCCCTAACAACAAGAACCTGGCTTTTGTCACCGGATCAAAGATCGGAGTCGGTTTCAACCCCATTCCCTCGTTCGACTGGTCCGTCATCAACTACGCAAACTGCCTCGTCGTTCCCTGGTTCACCACCGCCAACCAGTACCTCGGATCTGTTCTCGGTGCGCTCATCTGCCTGGGCCTGTACTACTCCAACTACAAGTGGACTGGCCATGTCCCGCCCAACACCAGTACCGTTTACGACAGATTCGGAGCGACCTACAACCTCTCCCGCGTGCAAACAAACGGAGTCTTTGACCAGGTCAAGTACGAGGCATACTCGATTCCCTATGTTTCGGCCGGATACTACATGTACCTCTGTGCTTCCTACGCTGTCTACATGTTTGCCTTTGTCTACATTTTCATTGGCGAGTGGAAAACACTTACCGTTGCGTGCAAGGGCTTTGTTGCCAGTTTGAAGGACAGAAACAAAACCGCCTATGAGCGCTACAGAGATCCCTTGTCGGTCATGATGCGCCAGTACAAGGAGGTGCCTGACTGGTGGTTCATCATCATCTTGCTTTTGACGTTCGTAACCACCCTGCTCGTCACGCACTTTTACCCCACCACCGTGCCTCTCTGGTCCGCAGTTGTCATCCTGCTCGTTGCCTTGGCGATGCTTGTTCCCTTCATGATCCTCTACGCCACCACTGGTTACTACATGTCCACCAACATGCTCGGCACCATTCTCGGCGGTTACATGGCTCCCGGCAACGGTCTTGCCTGCGTCTTCATCCGTGCCTTTGGCTTCTGCGTCGACGACCAGGCCGAGACCTACGTCGGCGACCAGAAACTCGCGCACTACGCCAAACTCCCCCCTCGCGCCGTCTTCCGCGCGCAATGCGTCGCCACAGTCGTGCAAGTCTTCGTCACCGCCGGCGCGGTCGAGCTCGCGCACGGTATCGAGGACTTTTGCAGCTGGGACCAGGGATCCAGGTTCTACTGCGCGTGGTCGCACAGTATCTACTCTGGCACCTTGCTGTTCGGTGTCGTCGGCCCTAGTCGTATTTTCGATACCTTGTACCCGATGATTAAGTGGTCGTTCTTGATCGGTGCTGTGATTGCGCCGCCCTTGTATTACATCCGCGCCCGGTATACCCGATACCTGCGATTCTTGCATCCTGCTTTGATTCTCGGAGGAATCACAAAGTAAGTTTTTCTACAGTCTATTCTCTCTCTAACACCTTTTGCTAACAAATATTCTCCAGGTTCGGCTCTAACTACAACCTGACCTACTACACCGGCGGCTTCTACTTCTCCTTCGTCTTCATGTGGTACATCCGCACCCGCTACCTCATGTGGTGGTCTAAGTACAACTACATCATCTCCTCCGGTATCTCCGCCGGCATTGCCTTCTCCGGAATTCTCATCTTCCTCGCCCTGCAGTACCACCCAAAGCCCCTGTCCTGGTGGGGCACGACCGTGCAGAGCGCGGGCGTCGACGGCGGCGGCTCTGCTACGCTGTATGATCTGCCCGAGATTGGATATTTCGGTCTCGATCCGGGTACGTGGTCTTAAATCCACTCGCACGTCTTCTTCTTTTCTCTGCTTTTTTTGATTTATGATTGGTTTCTCGTTGTGGTAGATGCATCTTGAAAAGTGTTTTTGTTCTTCATTTGTTTATTTCTTTATGTACATCGATTATTAGTTTCTTGTGCGCTGATATGTTTTGCGCCGATATGTTTTACTTTAATGGGATTCTCTGCTCTTTTCATTAAATCACGAATGAACAACGTACTCGTAGAGTCTTATAAAAAAATTGTCTTCACATGTTTGAAGTAAAGGCATCTAGGTCGGATTTAAGGTACCAGAACCTTATCCGCAGTAAACTTTCCCACCTCTGGAAACTCCTGAAAAAAATCCCTGGGAAGGGATCTCTGATTGATGATCTGAAAGGAGATGCTATCGACGCAGACGATAACAGTCCAAGATATCCGGTGATTTGTGCTTTTTCTTGAAGAACATGACAGACAAAATAACAGCATTCCAGTCGTTCCTAAACGACAGCGAGATCGAAGTCTCGCCCGACCTCGAAATCGCCTACGACGAAGACTCAGGCTACCGCGTCCTTCTCTCGTCCACCTCCCGCGGCAAGATCAAGCCCCGCACTCCGCTCGTGCGGATTCCAAAGTCCGCAGTACTCAGCGGGAGCACATGCTCGATCTGCAACCTGCTCCCGGACGAACTGCAGGGCACGATGGCCGGTCTGGTGGTGGCGTATATGGTCGAGCGAGCGCTGGGCGATCGGTCGCCGTGGGGTGCGTATCTGGCGATGCTGCCGGAGCGGGAGCGCGGGTGTTTGCATTTTTGGACGGAGGAGGAGAGGTCGTGGATTTATGGGACGGATGCGCAGATTATGCTGTGGGCTGCGGACATGGATTTGGATGATCTGTGTATGTTCGCCGGTGATTTCTTTTTCTACCAGCAGAGCGTTGTGCAGCCTCTGCTCGCCGACTCGTTGCGCGAGGCGAATATGACGTGGGAGGAGTTTACGAGTAAAGAAAAGTTCTACGACGCGGCGTCGGTGGTCGCGGCGCGGTGTTTTGAGATCGACTCGTTTATAGGCCTGGGTCTGGTCCCGTACGCGGATCTGTTTAATCATCTCGATGACGAGGATGTGCGGTTCGAGAGCCAGTTTGATGTGTGCGAGTTTTGTGGGGCGAATTCGACGTGCGAGCATGATGCCCAGAAGATGAGGGATGCGGTGGGTGGTGGTGACGAGGAGGATGTGGAGATGGAGGGGATGGAGCTGGATGATGATAGCGATGTTGCGCCGGAGCTGGAAGATACCTCGCCCTCAGACGAAGAAGACGACAGCGACGACTCAGATTCCGACCCCGACGAAAAAGACACATGCGACATCGTGGCCCGCAAGCGGATCTCCGCCTCCGCCAGCCTGTTCGGGACCGAGACCGAGATCTACAACTCGTACGGCCCGCTGTCGTCGACGCACTTGCTGGTCAAGTACGGGTTTGTGCCGGACCGGAATCGGCATAACTATTTGCTGATGAGTTGGGGGACTAGGATGCTGTATAGTGAGAAACACGTGGACTGGCATGGGGATCACGATCATGAGTTTGTGGGGATCATGGAGGGGGTGCGTGGTGCGGATGTTGGTTATGTACAGGAAGAGAGTGAGGATGATGAGGTCTATGATGAGGAGGCGGATAGCGAAGGAGGAGATGAGGAGGAGCAAGAAGAGGAAGAAGAGGAGGAGCAAGAAGAGGAAGAAGACAAAGAAGAAGAAGAAGAGGAAGAAGAAGAAGAGGAAGAGGAAGTAAAGGAAGAGGAAGAAGATCCAGAGCTAAAGATCGACAGCGAAGGCCGCGTCAACATCCACCTCTGGAACCGCATCATGCTTCTCATCTACGCCACCGCAGATGAGCCCATCGACTCTTCCAACCCCGACCTGCTCCACGACGTGCTCCGCCAGTTCAACACCGCTCCCCACTCGATAACCGAAAAACAGCTCACGCCGGTAACAAGACAGGCGCTTTTAATTCTGCAGGATCTTCTCATCAACAGGATCGCGCGGTACAGAGACGGAGGGCTGTCGGCTAGTGAGTATCAGTATATGCTGGCCGATAAGTCGTGGGCAGTTGGCGGGAGTGAGTCTGAGAAGCGGAAAATCATGGCTATGAGTCTTATTGGCCAGGAGAAGGCTATGCTGGAGCGCGCGTTGCGGAGGATCGGTGCCGCGCAAAGAGTGTAACGTTCTCGGATTTTTTACATACAGATAGACATATAGAAGTACATAATCATGTTCTATTCATAAATGCATGCAGGCCTCTATCGTGCTCTAATAATACTTTCCCTTCAGCTCGGGCGCATGTGTATATCCAAGATACCCTCCTTCGCCTTGTTTATATAAAACGTGTTCCTGTCATACGCGCAAAAGTACATAATCGTGTTCTATTCATAATGCATGCAGGCCTCTATCGTGCTCTATAATACTTGCCTTTCAGCTCGGGCGCATATGTATATCCAAGATACCCTCCTTCGCCTTGTTTATATAAAACGTGTTTCTGTCATACGCGCAAACGTACATAATCGTGTTATACATAATGCATGCAGGCCTCTATCATACTCTAATAATACTTGCCTTTCAACTCGGGCGCATATGTATATCCAAGATACCCCTCCTTCGCCTTATTTATATAAAAGGTGCTTCTATCATACGCGTCCAACGCCATGTTCTCCTTAAACTTCGCCACCAGATCCGGGTTTGACAAAAAGTGTCGTCCGACGGCGACGATCGAGTTTGGATGGCTGGCCGCGTACTCGCGCGCCGTCGTCGGATTGTATCCTCCGGCCGAGATCCAGACTCCCTTCCACAGATTCCAGAACGGCTCCGTCGAATCGCCTTCTTCCGCAATCTGATCGTTGTTCCCCGCCGTCCGCGGCTCGACCATGTGCACGTACGCGAGGCCGGGGAAGCGGTCCTGGAGCTGCTCGATGAAGTACGAGAATTGCGAGTACAGCCCCTTCATTCTCATCGCCTGGACTTTCGAGAACGGCGACAGTCTGATCGCCACGTTCTCGGCCCCGATCGCCTCGACGCACTTGGCAACCACCTCGAGCCCGAACCGCGCGCGCTTCTCGATCGACCCGCCGTAGTCGTCCGTCCGGAGGTTGGTGATGTCCTCCATGAACTGGTCGACGAGGTACCCGTGCGCGCCGTGGATCTCGATCCCGTCGAACCCGGCTTTCATCGCGTTTTTGGCCGCGGTGCCGTAGTCCTCAACCATCTGGTGGATCTCGTCGATCGTGAGCGGTCGGGGCTTGGGGCGGTCCGGCATCTGCACGTCGCTGGCCGAAAACACGTCAGGCTGCCTCGTGCCGGGGTTGACTCTTCCCAGATTCCAGACCTGGCAAAAGATAAACCCTTTCTTCGCGTGCACCGCGTCCGTCACTTTCTTCCACCCCGCAATCTGCTTATCGGTGTAGATGCCGGGGCTGTTGGGGTACCCGCCGCCGAGGAAGCTGACGTCCGTTGCTTCCGCGATCAGCAGCGTTCCGGGAACAAGACAGCGCTCGGAGTAGTACTGCGGCGCGAGGTCGGCGTTTGGCGTGCCGTCGTCGTCGCAGCGGTAGCGGGTCACTGGCGGGAACGCGAGGCGGTGGCCGAGCGTTATCTTGCCGACTTTGATGGACGTGAAGAGCACGTCTTCTTCCGACATTCTGCAGGGTTTGATGTGGTGAAAAAGAGGCAGATGGTGGTCAATTGCGTTTAATGCAGTTACGTGAGAACAATGAGAACAATGCAAGGCGAGCGAGTATCAGGTTTGGGAAGGAGGAGGATGAAGGCGCGCACCCGAGGAGAGGTTTGGTTCTCTTTCGATAAATTACGAATACGACGATATCTCGCCTAATCTTATCCGCGCCCGAGATCTCATTGAACCACTCCTTCGTCAAATACACCTCTTTCTGTTTGTATCAGCTATTCAAAGCATTAAGTGCTGTAAGATAATCTGCATCTTCACGGACTGTAAATACTATAAATATTACTTCTCAAACCCCCTTATCGTGACCAAGTCTTTAAAAAGAACCTGTTCGCCTATGCTGTGCAGGCAGCCAATAATAGAACCGCTGTTCGTCTCCGTGACGAAATCTAGAAATGTAAAAATAGAAAGCTGATGAAATCTATCGGGGTAAAGCAAATCGTAGTCGTTTGGTCGTGGTCGCATTTGGGGGCATTTTCTCAGTGAGGTGGGAATTATGTGGGTGGAATTCTACGCGACGAGGGAGGAGACTTTCAAGAAACTTGGAAATAACTTGACTGAATAACCAACAGATCGCCCATAAACTAGATAACACAAAAACAAAGTAGAAAAAGTAACATCAGGCTCAATCACCGGGATATATATATAATATACAAATGGAAAATAACACGCAAAGAGCAAGATGGAATGCAGCGGCGTAAACCAAAAGAGTAACTGACGATTATCTATCTCACAGAAATATTGAGCTCGGCTCGGGTAGATGTTGGGCATGCGCCGGTAGGGAAGGCGAGGTAGTAATTTGGAGGCTCTGTCGAGTTCATTTATTTCCGCTAGTGCTGGAAGTAGAAACGTTTAACCAAGAAGAGGTAGCTCGTTGGTATAGTTGTAAAACTCCAGCATCTCCTTGCAAAGCATCGAGTACCATTCCGAAGGTTCCCACTAAATAGCGTACATGTTAGAAACTAATTCCAATCCAGATGATATATAATATATGATAAACCCACCTCATTGCAGCCCTTTCTGCAGTGCCCCGACGGCATCGGCTTCTTCGTCGTGAAATGAACAATAACCGCCTCAGGCCAGAGCGCGTCCCATGTCCGGCGATGGTGCTGATACATAATCAGGTTGAAGTTATACTTGTACGGCAGCGCGTGGAACCTGAAGCGAAAGTACGCGTTCAGAAACGCTTGGTCGGCGTCGTTGGGCTTGTGCATGTTGGGATCCGACACCGCAACAACCATGTTGTTGAACTCTTCTATCGATGGGCGGAAGGTGATTACGCCAGAGTTGAAGCGCGTGTCGGTGAGGATGTCCCACCAGGTGTCGGGAGTGCCCGCGATTTCTGCAGATGTCAGTGTTGAGCTTAACAGATTGAGCACAGCTCGTACAGAAAAAGAACATACCTCCAGGTTGATCTAAAAGCTCGGCAATAGATCCTTTGCAGAGAGTATCGGCGTCAATGAAAACTATTCTCTCGTAATGGGTGTATGACCAGAGGTATAGTTTGTTGAGGTTATAACGATGATACGGTCGGATTCTATCCTTATCGACGCCCTCGAACTCCAAATCCTTCTCAACCATAATCTTCCATCCTACCCGTTCAAGTCTCGTAATATTCTGCGGCGTGACCGCGTCCTTCCCCTCTGTCCGCACGAGCAGGATGAGCTCAGCGTCGAGCGCATCGAGGTCGTTGTGTTTCTGCAGCGTGTAGCCGAGCATCATGGCGTACTGCGTGAAGCGGGCGGTCATGACGCTGGAGGAGATGGCGAATCTGGGCGTGCGCTTCATCGTGATGTTTGTGGGTATGTCCGGGATGGAGGACGGGTCTGACATGTTGACGTCGAGGGATCGAATGTGAGGAGGCTGCCATGAGGACTGCAATAGATCCAGGCTGTCGTCTGGGTCTTCGATGGTCACATATTTTGAAGCGCCGTTTTCTGTAAACCTGTGTTAGCTCATGCAATCCTCTATACGACGCGAAAAAAAGAAAGAAGAGAGAACGCACTGTTGAGTGTGAAAAACGCGACTACGAGAGCCACAATTAGAAAAGCCGGAAGCGCCAATCGTTTGCCGGCCATCTTGACGCGTTCCGTTAATACAACTCTGTCACTTTTGGCTTCTGTAGTGAGGCAGCTTCCCGCGCTGTACTGGTAGTAGAAGTGGGTCTGAACACGGGCAGAGCAGGGGCGTGCGAAATGAAGGGTTCAGAGGGTGTAAGGCTGAAAAAGACGACAGCGGAGGAGGCGAAAGCGGTGAGTTTATTTAATGAGAAAACCTTATTTCGGGCTCCTTTGCATTGCCAGACGAGCAGGTGGTGGATTAAGGTAGTAAGAAAGAGTAGAGGAATAGAGGAATAAGAAGTAGATAAGTAAGTATTTGTTTGTCTCTATATTACGGCTTATAGTGGGCGGGGACGGTCGCGGATGCTGCGGGCGTTGTTTTGACCCTCGAACCGAGCCGCGAGATCCTTAAAGCTGCCTAAAAACGCTAATCATCTTCGCTGCGCCGTCAGCCAACAACTCAGACAATTTTCTCTCTTTTATTCACTGTAAACAGCGTAAAAGATCTCTATCAGCTACTCAACAGAAGTTGTAAATAGCAGAAGCATGTGCTCGGCAGTTGATCGACACCGTACGAGCACTGTACTACAACAAATCCCAATCCTCCTCCTCAGAATCTCTTACTCCCTCCACATCACCTGCTTATCCCGCTTCCTTGTGGCAAACCTCTCGGCAGCGGAATCCTGCGTGACTCCCGCGGACCCTGGATTAGATCTCGGCCGTCGCGTGGAACGATCGTCCTCGATCGAGAGACTAGCCTCGGCTGGCTTAGGTTTTCTAGTAGACATAATCACTTAGTCAGTATGCTTATGTAAATTCTTACACATTCCTTATCTAATCGGTCTCGCTTCGCCGAACTTCTACTGCGATTTCCGAAGACCACCCGCACTGTTCATTCCCCCACTTCCGCACACATATCCCCATAATCCACCTCTCTGTTTGATAATTCGACACAATGGCTCCTACCATCGCAATCACCGGCTCAGCCAGCGGCATCGGCGCCGCAATTGCCAAGCTCTACGCGGCAAAGGGCTACAACCTCGTGCTCTCGGACTCTGCGACCGCGGTCCTCAAGAGCACGACCGAGTACATCCAGTCGCAATTCCCGGCCGTGCAGATCCTGTCGCAGCCCACGGACGTGAGCAAGTTGTCTGAGCTTGAGTCGCTGCGCGACGCGGCGCTGGCTAAGTTTAAGACTGTCGATCTGCTGGTTCTTAACGCCGGTGTGCACGGCAACTACAAGACCGAGGAGTTTGGCTGGTGGGGAAATCCAGAGGGCATGCGCAAGTTGTTCGACGTCAACCTTTACGGCATCGTGAACGGCATCTCAGCCTTCCTGCCCACGCTGCGCGCGCAGGCAAAGACGGGCGCTACCTCGCGCGTCGTCATCACGATCTCAAAGCAGGGCATCTCGAACCCGCCCGGCAACCCGGCCTACAACGCATCCAAGGCCGCGATCCGCTTCCTCGGCGAACAGCTCTCGTACGATATGAAGGACGAGAACGTCAAGGTGCACATGCTCGCTCCCGGGTGGACCTACACCGGCATGGTCGGCGGCTCGCCTGGTATCTACATCGACTCCGTGCATGGCGCCAAGAAGCCCGAGGGTGCGTGGTCGCCCGATCAGGTGGCCGAGTACATGGACGAGGGAATCGCAAAGGAGCACGCGTACATCATCTGCCCTGATAACGAGACTTCCTCCGAGACCGACAAGATCAGATTCGAGTGGTCGGCGGGTGATATCACGACCCCTCGTTTGCCGCTCAGCAGATGGAGACCGGAGTATAAGGATGAGTATGCTACTTTCGATGCTGCCAGAAGAAAGTAAATACATAGCTACATGTCATTTGCTTAATATTAAAAGAATCATATAAGTTTTTATTCATCACAACCTAATCAAAAGCTACTCGTCATCATCAGACAGCTCGCCCTCGGTAGGTATATCAGCCTGCGGCGTCAGTCTAAACGCATGCCGACGACTTCCATCCAGCCCAGCCCAATCCACCAAAGCCGAGTGCGTCGCGCGCCGATTATCCCACACCGTAATCGAACCCGGCTCCCACGACGCGCGCACCTGGATATCCGCCGCCCGCGCAGTGAAGTCGTACAAAAAGTTCAAGATGGCGTCGGACTCCTCGCGCTTGAACCCCTTGATGTAGCGCGAGAACTGCGGGTTGACGTAGAGCGCTTTCTTCTTCGTGACCGGGTGCTCGCGAACGAGAGGGTGGAAGTTCTCCACGGGCTCGCGGCGGACGATGCCGCCTGCCGCGCGCGACGCGTTCGCCTGTGCAACGCCAGAGTGCAGGACTTCCAGCCCGTGAAGGCGTTTGCGGAACGACTTTGAGAGACGGTAGTACGCCTCCTGGGTGTCGGTGTAGATTGTATCGCCGCCGGTCTCGGGCCCGTCGAGCATGCCGAGGAAGGTCGTGCCAGGAGGCTGACGCTCGTAGGTCACGTCCGAGTGCCATGCGGTCGAGCTGATGTGCTCGTCAAAGAAGGAGTGCTCGGACGCCTTTGCGGTCGCGGATCTGTACACGAGATGGATTTCCGGGTGTCCGCGCGGCGCACCGGAGGTAGGGTGGATATGGTTCCGGCCAAAGTGCGAAGCGTAGTCGAGCAGCCAGTCGATCGGCTTATCCTTCAAGTCCTGCTCGCGGAAGACGACCACGCCGCGCTCGGCGACGAAGCGCGCGAGCTCGTCTTTTCCCGCGGACGAGAGCTCGGAGAGCTGGACGCCTCTGATCTCGGTGCCGAATTTCGGGGTCAGCGATTTCACTTTGAGATTGGTGTTGGACTTTGACAGGAGGTTGGGGAAGGTGGGGTCGGCGCGGAGGCCGGGGTCCGAGAACTCGAACTCCTCTAGAGGACCGAATTTCTCGTTGGGGTCCCAGGTGGGGAGGAAGTGAGCGTATTTAGACTATGAAGAGAATCAGAATAGGTTGTTGTATAGAAAATGCAAGAGGAAGGTATGGATACCTCAGCATCCTCGCCGGAAAGAACAAGTCTGCCCTTTTCGTCTTTGGAGTAGATCTTTGATTTATCGCCATGGAACGACGAGGCATCAATTGCCTGGATAGTTTCAGTCTTTGACATTGTGTGAGTAGTTGAGCAACACAGAAAAGTATTCAAGAGTGTGGAGCAGAGGTATGTAGCAAAAACAGAAAGACAGTGCGAGCACCCCAGGCTATTATATCCCGGACCGGAGCGATATCTGTCAGAATCCCAAGCTTACAGAGCGAGCCAGCGAGCGACGAGTAACGACTGCGTATTAGCAGCCAAGTATGGCATCATGTCATGCTCTGGGCCTGCTTAGCCTCAGCGTCCGCCTCGCATCTTGCTTTCCGCCCCGCAGTTATCTGATGGCCAACAGTCGAAGCAAGAACCGTGCGCTGATGATCCCACAGAACGAGTCATGCATTTCATCAACAGTCATCATTATCGCTCAATTGCACTGATTGCTAATGTTCACCGACAATTGTTGATAAATCACTTCTGTATTGTCTGCTTGTAGGGACATTGAATAAACAAACAGCACTGCAACTAATCCAAGCGGTGAGCGATTCTACGCCACAGATGACGTGACGAACCCTCAATCTTGCGTGAAATTGCCTTTTCCCCACCGCTCTCATCAACACCTGCAATTGAGTTATAATAACTCTCAAATAGACAGTTAGTTATTATTTACTTTTGCGAGGACGATTTGAATTCGTAGAGTAATCGACTCTCGGGAGGATTCCTTGTTCGTGTTATTGCGGGGCGGGGCTTTTAACCTGTCCTTTTTAGAGATTTAAGCAAGATGGAGAATCCACATCGATCTATTCAAAGCTCTCTATTGTGAGCATAACCAAGCTATCTCAAAAACTGTATATAATAGAAAAATAATACAAAACAAAAAAAAGAAAAATAGTTTATATATAAATAATCCATATACTCCAGAAGAAAATCTCATATATCAAAAACAGATGCAAACTGAACTTTTGCAACCTCAATACTTTGCGCCTTTAGCAGAATTCCGCGCATTCAACGTCCACCGACACTCGCGAATCATATTCTTCGCACCCGCCAGCACAGGATCGGGATAGTTCTGCTTGACAAACAAGTCCAGCACCTGCTCTGCCGCCGCGACCTTGCCGTGCGCCAGGTTGGCCGTGATCATGGCTTCGTAGGTTGACGGGCCGGCGATGCCGTTCGTGTAGGCAATGTCAAAGAACGATTGGCTGACTGCGAGGTTCGTCTGCGCCCAGCCTTCGATCAGCTTGTTGATCACGTACACGCTCACAGTCACGTCGCGGGACTCCATGTCCTTCAAGATCTCGGTCGTCTCCTCCAAGCGGCCGCTCGCGATGCACGCCTCAATCAACTGCTGATACAGGCTCACGTCGGGAGTGACCCGCCCAGAGGAGATGAAATCGTCAAACAGCTTGCGCGCAAGATCGTATCGTTCCTCGGTCCCGCCAAACCCGGCAATCAGCGCGGCGCAGTGCTCAGACTTCACCGCGTACCCGTCGCGCTCGATCGTCTTCATCGCCTCGCGCGCGCCGTCCATATCAACAGGCTCGATCCGTGTATACGCAGAGATCAGCAGCGTGTACGAGTGCGGCGTGAGCTCGACCGGGCGCTGCTTCATCGAGTCAAAGAACTTCAACGCCTTTGCGCGGTCTTTGAGGTTGAAGATGTAGTACTGCAGAATGGTGTTGTACGGCGCCACGCGCGGTCTGTAGTTTGGCAGCGCCTCCATCTCAACCAGAAGTTGCTCGGCAGTCACGATATCCTCAGCCCGACAGCTCGCACTGATCATCGTGCCGTACGTCACCGAGTTCCGCTTCAGTCTGTACTCCTCCATCTCGCGGAAATACATGAGCGCAAGCTTATACTTGCGCGCCTTGCTCAGCTTCGACAGCAGGGCGTTGTAGAGGAACGTCGTCGGGTAAATGCCATACGCGAGCGCCTCGTTGAACAGCAAACAAGCCTCGCGCGCTTCGTCGTGCGATCCCGCGGCCTTCAACTTCACAATGAAGTTCCCGTACGCGTTCGCATCCGGAGCTGAGCCGATCTCAATCAGCTTGTTCTTGAACTCCACAAGCCGCTTCTTGTGGGCCAGCGAATCCCGCTCCTGGCACTGGAAGTACATCTTGATCATCGCAGAGTACACGCTCTTCCACACATGATACAGCGCAGGCCGCTCGTGCACAGGCGGCACAGTGGTCTCAAACAGCGCAAACATCCGCTCGCCGGCGGCAACGTCCTTGCCCTCGCCCGCATACTCAATCATCTTCATAGAAACCTCGGTCGAGATCCGTAGACCCGCGCCGTAAAGCTGCTCGATCGAATCCATCAGCTGCGCGGGCGTCTGGGTTTTCCGCTGGATGCAATGCTCGACGGCCTCGGACTCCTGCTCGTCAAACTGCAGCCGGCCAGTACGCACGGCCGCCTCCATCGCCTCGTCAACTCCCGCATCTTCAGCTTGCATAGTCTGCGCAACGGGGTTGGGCTGGGGAGCAGGCGGCGCAGACACTGGGGTAGGTGGAGCTGGGGCAAAAGACTGCGTAAGTCTCGGCGCCGCCAGCGTAACGTAGTGATTCGATTCAGGCGACAAGATGATTCCCGCCTCGGCGGCGATCGAAAGCAAAGCACTCAAGTGCTTGACGACCGTATTCGAAAACTCCGACAACGGCAGCGCGACCACGGCACGGGCGTGCAAAAAGACAATCGCGTCGAAATCTTCAAGCGGGATAGGCTCGTTATTCGCCAGCCGGGTCCACGCCGGCGCGAACAGGGTCTGCAAAGACACAGGCGGCTGCGGCGCAGAGATGGCGATGCGGTCAAAGTCAAACGGGCACGCGACCGAGTACGCGCGACGCATGAGACCGTCGGCGTCTTCGATCGCGGACCAGTTGACGGAGTTGAGCATGTCGGTTAAAGTGGCGACCAGGAGCGCGTTGGACTCTGCCATTGCTGGTCCGCGGGTCTGCAGCTGCAGCTCCGGCATCGCAGCGACCTGGATCTGGAGAAACATAAACGCCTGGTGCGCCATGTCTTCGTTTGAGAAGGGGTGCTTGAGGAGGTAGACGCCTGCCTTGCGGACCATCGGGAGGTCGACGCGAAGATTCTTCGTCAAGACATCTTCCAACACCGCGAGAAGTCGCTGGGCGCCGACCACGGTGTCGTCGGAGACCAGTCTGATGAAATAATTCGAGACCGCAGACTCAGCTCGTCCGATGTCGCTTCGGTTAAGCAGGCAGTCATAGACCTCGTCAGCGAGCAGGTACTGCTCAGATAGCGAGCATGCCGAGAGCAATTTGCCAATGGTCACGGGCGAAGGCAGCGGAAGGCCATCCTGGAGCATTCTCGAAAGCCACAGCCAAGCCCTTTCGCGTCCGTCAGGTGAGGCGGTCGTAAAGTGCTCGATGACGATATCGGCCAAGGGCGTGAACATTGTGGTGATGTCGAATGACGGAAGGGCAATGATTCGCTCCAAGAGCTCGAGGCCGCCAAAGTCATCGCCAGACTTGAGGTGCACGCGCAGAAGCTCGCTGTAGATCTCGAGCTCCTTGCGATCGGCAAGGGTGCCGACAAGCGACTTGTAGAACTCGTAGATCTCAAGCGCGGCATTGACATCCGTCTGGAAGACTCTCATCAGATGCACAAACGTGTCAGCCAAGTAAGCCACTTTACCTTGCTCGACCGCCGACTCGAGAGCCTTAAAGACGGAGATAGCCTGCTTGGTCTGCTGGGTCGCGGCAAGACACTCGAGCAACCTGTTGTAGACCCAAATCGGGTAAGCTTGCACGCGGACGACGGTACTGGCAAAGAACACGTCGAGCGCAAGTTTCAATGACGGGTCAGTCTCAGCAAGTTGCTCGCCGAGCTGGGGCGCGAGTTGCGAGCTGCTTCTGCCGGGGCGATTGAGCGCGACTCTGCGCATGGCGAGGTACCGGGACGTGAGCGCGTTGATGACGACGGCGTATGTTTCGGCATTCGGGATAACGTTGTTTTGAATCATATACAGATATGTGTCGAGCAGCAGCTGGACGTGCTCGTTGCTCATGACTTGGTCGCGTGCCGTCATGTTTGCGATCGACTCGAGCGTGCACCGGAAGCCGCTGAGCGAAAGGACTTTCTGCTTGCTGCGAAGGTCAGAGTAGATGTTGATGACGGTCTCATAGTCCTTTGCGAGAAAGTACTGGTGCATGACGGCCTCGTCCTCTGCCAGGAAGCGCGCGATCGGGTCCGCGACATATTCAACTTTAGGTAGCTTTTCGAAGATGAAGGGGTCTGTGGGGAGCTCGCTGGAGAGCTCTTGCTTGGGAGTGTCTTCGGATTGTGGTTTTGGCTGTGAGGTTTCTTGGAAATGGTAGTACTGTTTGTACACTTGGACTTGCTGATGCTGCACGTGCCATAGGCTATGTTAGTGGCAAGATCACAGTAGATGAAAGCAAAGATTGAGTCTCACCTGTTCGTTTGCGGCAATGATATCAGCAGCGGTAGCATCGTCGACTTCGACAAGGCGCTCGCCAGTGATAAAGCCGGTAGTGTCGACGCGGTCGTCAAAGGACGATGGCTCACTGTCAGCAGAGGAAGACGAGTGCACGGAGGAAGAGTCATCGCTGTTTGCTATCCGGCGCGAGACAGAGACAGTGCGTATTTGTGAAGTATTTGGCGAGGAAAGAATGTGTGCGTCGGAGAAGTAAACAGCGTTTGTCCGCACGGGCGAGTTCTTGAGTGTGTCGCGGCGGCGGTCGTCGTCGGAGGCGGAGGACGTCGAGACGGAGAGCGAGCCGGCGTTGTAAGAAGGCGCATAGGAAGGGAATGCAGCGCCGTTAGCAGACGGGTGAGAACCAGAGGAGGAAGAGCCCGGACCGGAGGAGAAGGAGTGCTGGACGGAGCGGGAGATGAGTTGCTGCGCCTGGGCGGTTGCCTGCTGACGCGCGAGCTGCTGGGTCGAGACGAAGAAAGCCGGCTGGGCCGAGGTCGCGGTGGAGGCGACGAAGAGATGCTTCGCGAGGGCCGAGTGGCGCGCGATAGCAGCGAAGGACTTGAACACCATTTTGTTGTGCTGTGGTCCTAGGCTGGCATGGCTCGTGGAGGGAGGGAGTGTTGTGGAGAGGAAGAGGGCGGTGGTGAAGGGAAATAAAAAGGCGATGCGAGAATTAGAGTCTGTCGGCGCTGCTACTTCCCGACTTCCCCACCGACGCCCGGGTAGCGGTCCAAGCCCCGCGGTTTTGGCAATACAGCGACTACGAGAGTGAAACTACTTCTGTTTAGCTGATATTTGTGTGTTATAACTACTTACAGTGCTGGTATGTTGCCAGGAAGACGGCCTACAGCAGGCGATGAGCAGGTCGTCAGCCTGGCGAGTCAGCGCGGTTAAGGTTTGGTTAACGAAAAAGAAACGGAGCTCGAGATGATGTCACCGCGTTCGAAGGTCTCCTCGGGATGAGAATACTACCAGATGTTCATATCTTTTGTTGTGTGTTGATATTGTTTGTATTCAGTTTAACTCAGTTTATCTCTGTTTTATACAAAGAAACAGCACTTCTCGTTGCGCTGTAAATTCCTTCTCTTCGGTTCTCTTCCGACTAAGCTCCGATGCCCGTGCGGCTTAGTTCCGGCCATTACTCTCCTATGCGTTTAATAGTAATAGTTGTAGAAGACACGTATATTTATACCAGCCCAACCATGCGGTCCGAATGCACTGAAAGACAATAACTAAAAGACAATAACGACACTAAACAACACTGAATGACATGCAAAATGCCAGGAATGCAAGGGCAACAACATAATATACAGCACAAGACACATGCGCCTAAGATGCAACTAATGCAGATCTAAAAATTAGTCTTGATCTTCCAGCCAACGCTGTAACCCCGCGCCAGCACCAAAAACACCGTCGAGACCATATACGACGCGCCGCAGAAGATGACGAGACCGGTGTAGTCTCCGTTCATCCTGTTCAGGATCTGGCCTGCGATAGGCACGCCCGTGAGCGAGCCGATGCTGGCGAGCGAGTACGCGGTTCCGTACCGCTTTCCGTAATCCTTGATATCGCAGATCTTTGAGAAACACACGGGCGCGAGCGAGATGCCACTTCCGGAGGTGAAACCAAAGAGAATCAAGTACGCGATCGCGCCGCCAAAGTTGCGGCCTTCGGTGGCGGCGATGGGCAGCCAGATTCCGAGCGAGAGCACGCCGCAGGAGAAGACGGTGAGGATGAGCATGTTGAACATGCCGTACTTGTCCGAGACGTAGCCCGGGAGCCAGCGGCCAAACACGGAGGCGGCGTTCATGACCGCGGTGAGTGCGTACGCGAGGTGCTCGTCTACGCCTTTCCAGATCGCGTAGGTGATGAAGTAGGTCGAGGGAATGAGCAGCGCCCATTCGATCAAAAAGTTGCCGATCGCCATGAACGCAAACTTCTTGTCTTTGAACGCGCTGAGGTCGATAGTCGAGCTGTCGCCCGAGCCACCGACAATGCGAGACTTTAGACAGATGACGGAAAAGGTAAGGAAGAATAGCACAAAGAAGCCAACGACGCGCACAGCCCACGCAAATCCAATCTGGGGAATAAGCGACCTCAGCATGAGCGGGAACATGATGCCGCCAAAGGATCCGCCGGTGGCAGCCACTCCGGTCGCGAGTCCTCGGCGGGCAAGGAAGTACTGGCCGACGACAGCGACGCTGGGAGTGAAGATCATCGAGCCTGAGATGCCGCAGAGGACGGCGAAGGAGAGAAAGAATTGGTAGTATTGGTGGCAGAGACTGAACATCATGACTCCGACGACGGTGCCTAATGATCCGCAGATGACGAGTGGTCTCGCGCCATATTTGTCAAAAACGGGTCCTGCACTTTAGTTAGAGTTGTGTCAATGAATATAAAGAAAATTGGAGAACACATACCGACTTGGACTCCGCAGAAAAAGAAAGCAAAAGAATAGGTAGAGAAGATCCAAGAAATTGTGGACTCGTCATACTGAGCGAGATCGTGCTCGACGAGATAGGCTTGGAAGAGACCGACCGAGTTCCAGATGCCAAAGATGGCAAACATGGCGCACCAGGATCCAAAGACGACGGACCACGCGACAGGACCGCCTTCGGGGTAGTCGAGATCAGCGGTTTTTTCGTCTGGCAGCGCGGCCTCGTCGACCAGGGTGCTGGCGGACCGCGAGCGGGATGCGTCGTTGAAGGAGTCTGAGAGGGACTCGGCGGAGTTGTGTTGGGGGTGCTCGGTGGACACGCGTTTTAGAGACGCGGCGTCGGAGGGGATCATGTCTTGGATAGTCATGTAGATGTAGATGCAAAGTAGATGCAGAAGTAGAAGTATAAGTATAAGTATAAGTAGAAGTAGAAGTAGATGAGTAAGATTAAAGACTACAATGAACAGCGGACCAGGCTCTTCTTATAAAAGCACGACCACTCCTCCGGAGGGCAGATTGACGAGCATCCCAGAATTCTCTCGTCATCTGCCTCCAAAGGAAGGTCGCCAAAGGCCCCTGCGCCCGCGGATCTGCCTCGACGCCCGTCCACCGGCCGCCACCGCTGCGCCTGAGGACCGACGCCCGGTTTTAAAGCCATGCGCTAGTCCTAATATAGAATCATTAAACTGTATTAGTATGGCAGGGTTGGCTTTTGGCGCTTTTAGGGTTCCCGCTTGATGCTAAACTATTCCTGTTTCGGAAGGACGCCGGCGCCGACGGGTTTTTATTGCTCGATCTTGCGTAGTTTAGAGTTTGTTTATTTATTTTTTCTTTCTCCGCAGGCTGAGGCTCAGCGAAGGCACCTCAACCTCAGGCAGCCGAGTCGTCATTGTTCCCTTTACTATTAGAACTATGCTATGCTCTACTATTCTCTACTCTATCGCGTCTTCTTATCATCAACTACACCACTCGGCACTAGAACCCACAGCCGCCTCATCATGTCAACAATCATAAACAACGGAATCACAAACGTGGGAAAGTACACCCAAAACAGACCAACCCGATCGCCATCGCTCAGCTCCTCCGGCGACAGATTGCGGAATCCGTACGTGATCTCGATGAGGCAGGCTAGCGTCGTCAGGCTTGCATTCACGCCGTAGACCAGCGTCGGGATATACACCTTCTTGCTATCTGTTGTCATATCGTATATCAGTAACCATCACTGTCTGCAGAGAGAATAGGGTAGAGATAGAGACAGAGTGCGCACCTCGGTAGAACGCTATCGCGCCGACTACAAAAAACGGAAGCTGGAATATCCCCTCAATCACCACAAACGAGACAAACCACGCCGGCGGGTTCTTCAGCAGCGGATCATTGTTCATCGATACATGCAGATCCAGCAGATTTGATTGTATCTTCAGCCGATAGTCGCGCGGGATGATGATTCCGATGTCGATGAATGCTGTGACAAATGCATGGATGATGCTATCGTAGTTAGTATCCCAGAGCGCTGGTGTCAATATCACTTCAATCGTATTCTTACAAATAAATAAAATAAAAGCAATCCAGCGGACGCTTTGAAATACCCTTCAAACTCATCACTGCTGCTGTGTGTTGTGTAGAAACAAGCACCCGAATCTCTGCAACGAGGATGTGGACGCGTCTGAACTTCGACCCTCCTCTAAACCTTAATCCCCTTCCTCCTGAGAAATTTCTCACTCTCCTCCCAGCACCCTCAAACCACATTAATACCACTCCCGCTCTCTTTCTCTACTCTTATTTGAAAAATAAAAAACGCTGAAAAAATGTCCGTCGTGGGAAGCTTGATTTTCTGCAACGACTGCGGAACACTCCTCGACAGCGTCGTGTCCAGCAAAAGCACAATCAGCTGCGCTCAATGTGGTGCCGATTACAACTCTGAGGGTATTCCTCTATTTCTCTGAGCACTTTCCATCTTGAAAAAAGACATACTGACATAAGAACTTGCTTGTAGAATTCGCAAACTTGACTGTGACTACGAAATCCTCAGAGTCGGCGTTCCCGTCAACCCTGCGACAGAAGCGATCGGTCGTGAAAACCTCGCTGGGACGGGACGAGCAGAATGAGGAGGGTGCTACTGTACGATCTACTTTCTTTATTTATTTGAATTTCAGTGTCGAAGTCGTGGATTACGGTGATACTAACATACTTACTACGCCAGATCAACGAGAAATGCCCACAGTGCGGTAAAGATGAGATGCAGTATTACTCCCTGCAACTACGAAGTGCCGACGAAGGTGTACGTTCTATTACCTTCCCCCTTTGCTTCCTCTTTATTCATCCATGCAGAAAACTAACAGCTCGGACATTTATTTAGGCCACGGTTTTCTACACATGCACCGACTGCGGATATAAATTCAGTACAAACAACTGAATGCTTCTGCTTCATCTTTCTATCTTCTCTTAAAAGTTATTCTTCCAGATTTTTTTGTTTAGTTGGCATATAGGCGTCGGGTTTGTTTTATTTTCTTGTCTCGTCTGGTTATGGATAAGAATAGTGTAATTTAGTTGAATATATATATCATTTATAGTCTAATAGCTATATACACACTAACGAAAAATGTACAATGCCAAACAACCACCAACGCCTTCCATTAACAAACATTAACAAACATTAACAAAACTCACAAAAACAACTACAGCGCCGCTGAAGACCCGCCATACCTCCCGCTAATCCAATGCTGATACGTCTTATACCGATTCGACATCTCGTCATCCGCAGCCTTCAGGGTCGTCGCGGCCTCTGGCGCGAGTATAAACTGCACGTACTTTACACTATCTTCGTCGTTCACCTCGTCCATCGCGTTGATCGCGCTCGGCACGTTGCCCTTGACATATTTCTCAAAGTCAATGTGTTGCCGGTTCGTCATTAGTGATTTCTTCTCCGCAGCGCTCAGAGGCGCCAGGTCTGGGAACGCGAGGTATTTCTTGTATTGCTGGGTCTCCGTCGGCGCGACTGAGGGTTTCATGATATGTCCCACGATCTCGGGGATATCCCTGAACTCGCCATGCCGGCCCTTCTCGTCCTTCTCGCCCCCATAACACCACAGCTGATCATCAAACCCATCATCGTTATCCAACGGCATCGCCGCGACCTGACTATAATAATCCTCGCTCCTCGACGACGATATCGACGCCGTCTCCAGCTCCGGCGGAGGCGACGGACTTTGCTCGTCCCGCTTGGACGAAAAGTCAATGAAGCCAATGTCGAGAAACTTGCGCGTGCGCCGGGATGTGCTGATCACGCTGATGATACTGCTTCTGTCGTCGGCGATCTTTTCTCGCTCGGCCAGACCGCGCGCGGCAGAGTGTTGCTCGATGTGGATCTGTCGGGGTTCGAACGGACTCAGGTTGTACTTGTTGTTTCCAACCACGCTAAATCTGTTAGTAAAGAACACCTTCTACTAAAAGAAAAGCAGAACATACATTGACGGCAGATATCGCAAGGTGGAGTTCATGTTATACTGAAACACTTTAGAAAACGAAGACAGCATCTTGGGCTTATAATACTCCATCCAGTAATCATCAAATAGGCCCGACATTGACCTCCTAATCTTCTTCGCGTCCAAGTCCGCCATCTCCGCCGAGATCCCCTCGACTTCCCGCTCCGCAAGCGACTTTTGCAAGTTCACTGGCGTCCACCATTTGCGGTAGCTGCGCCGCGGGGGGTTCGTCGCGTTCCCGGGCACGCCGTGGTGTAGGTAATAGTCGGTGCTCAGGTCCCATAGCATAGGTCTGTCGGCTTCAAAGACGTAGTTGCCTAGGAAGAGATTGATTGCTTCCTGACGCTGGTTGTCGACAAACGAGTTGCTGTAGTACCGTCTGATACTCTCAATCACATCTCGCGAGTGACTGGTCCATTGGTTAATCCGTCGATACGTCTCCATCGTGTTCACGAGATGCGACCCACCGTACTGCAGCGCAATCGTATCTCCATGGTCATGATACATCTCCGTAAGCAGATTAACCGCGTCCGTATCATACTCCACCGTCGTGCCCTTGATCACCCCGAGCGCATGGAGCTGGTACCCGAGCGCGCGCTTGCCAATCACAAACTGCGCCGCGTTCGTGCGATCAAGGCAGTCGATACAATTTGTCCGGCACACGCCAGACTGCGTCGACGAAGGCTCGACCCCGTTCTGGAAAATCTTCACCGTCTTCAAAATTTTATCCGCGTATTCTTCCAAAAACTCAATGACCTCCTGATCACGCCCTTTCGACGCGCGGCTCATGTCCCACGAGGTGTATAGAATCTTGCTTTTCTCGGGCAGGAATTGGTTGAGGTATTGCAGACATTGCTCGAATTCACGGAGCAGAATGGTCTCGCGCGGGGTCCGCTCGCGGGTCTTGATCAGGTTGAAGACTACCACTGGGGTTCCGTAGCGGCGGAACTCGTCATCGAAATGCATCGCTGCTGCGCTGAAGAAGGGATCAACGGCGTTTACTATATATGTCAGTAACTAGTTGATAGATGATTCAAATAAGAAGAACATACGTTCGATTGGAGGCTTTGGCGACATGCTGTTCACGTCCTGAGTCCAGAATAGCGGAATACTACCTCTATGCTGGACAAACGACGTATACGAGCGGTTACCAAACAAATGCCCGTCAGGAGAGTGAAACGACGTAGTGAGCATGTCTGACACGATCTGCTCGGTCTCGACATCATTCGCAACATAGCCCTGGTCGTTCGCCCCTCGTTTGAGGAAGCGCGCGCCGGCAAAGTAATGCGACCGCCGGGCGATGACCGCGATCGACACGTTCCGGCCGTAGACTGAGATGTTGGCCTGATCGATGAACCCATGCACGATCGGCAAGCACCACGTCAAAACATCGATCTTGGACTCATACGCCGGCCGCAGAAGATGATGGTTCCACACAAACATCTCGCTATAGTCCGCGCTAGACTTCCACTTGGACGACGGGATCCCAAGTTTCACGCGCTCGCGCTCGCGGTCGAGATTGCGCTGCAGGGTATGCGTGATATCGTACGAGTAGCTAAAATAGAACGTCTTGCTGAGATCGAGGTTTTGAAACGTGCTCAGGAAGCGGGCTTCTTTGGAGTTGCGGTGGGGTTTGCGGTATGTGGTGCTCGAGCATAGCGGGATTAACTCTGTCGCGTCGATGTGGTAGATGTAGTGGCCGCCGAGGAGCGCGACCGCGCTTCGTTTTGTGATGACGGACATGTAGTAGTACTGTGTGAATCTGATGAAGCCAATAACGCCCCAAGACGTCAAGCGCTTCGTGAGCCCGCCGACGGGGTTTCCGTCTTGGATTGCCTCCAAGAGCTCGATGATTTGCGGATGGGTGTAAATAGTATCGTCCTGAGTCAACGAAAGCGTGTCCTGCTCTGACGTGAGGTCAATTTTCAAGACGCGGAAACGCGTGTCGTTGATGTTGGAGCCAATCAGGTAGAATCGCGTCTTTGTCTCGTAGAGCGTGTACTTGCACATGCGGTTCAGTGATACATCGCTATCGAGATCATCCTCTGATTCACCTTCCTCGTCGATAGACAGCTCACTCAACTTACTCTCTGCGTCGTCTCCCGCCACCGACGCCGTCTCCGCAATCCCATCATAAACCTCCTCCTTTGGAAACTTAGCAGCAGGATTGGAAACCGTCTGCGCCTTGCTGCTCGCAAACTTGAGAAACGGCAGCGGCGAGCCGGGAGGCTTTTGCGACTGCGACGCGCTGCTGCTGCTGTTGGTGCTGTACGATGCCTCGGTCGTCGTGCCCGTGCTGCCTTCGAGCCCAGACATCGTCGAGTAGACGAGCGCAGGATCCATCGAGTCCATCTTGCTGGTGAGGAATCGCTGCCTGCGCGTGGTGCTCTTGATGTTGTCGCTGCTATAACGTCAGCGATAAGCTTCCTTTTGTGATCCTCGTACCTATTTAAGTTTAAATGTCTGAGCACAAGAGCCTTATTGAAGTCATCTTTAACTCAGAACAGTAAGTTACTTAAAGCTTTATCTGCATAAACTGTTTATGCAGATAAACCTCTAATTAAGACTCTGTTGTGCCGCTTTGTTCTTCAACCCTCGTCTCAGCAGCTGCGAGCCCTGGACTCCACCCGCGGGCACCTATAAATTTTTCACATCCGTGCTCTCTTTTGAAAATTTTTCCTTTTTCCCTTTTTTCAAGCAGGAGAAATCCTACTTCAAAGTACTCCAAGACCTGACTCGATACCCGTCGCCGCAGTGTCAGAACTCTCAGCTATTGATCGGTTCCGACCAATGGTAAGCCCGGTGCTGCTTCTGGCTCTGATGACCAGCGTCGTTGTTGAGGTCGGATGCTAACAGACGGAGTAGTCTTTTGCTGCAGCTGCTGCTACGGATGCGCAGAGCTCGGCGCTGACGGGCTCGGCTTCTCGGAAGGAGTGCACCGAGGAGCAATGGGAGCAGAAGGTTGAAGATGTGGTGGTTGCCAAAGCGTAAGCATCTCTTTGTGTTGTTAAGATGACAGCTTCTTGCTCTTCCTCTCTGCGGCAGTTGTTGTGATGATTGTAAACACAAGTTGGGAATCTCTCTGACAATTCCTTGGAGAAAACAACAATTAACTTGATATCTGACTCAATTGATCTGATCGTCAGAGCAAGAGGCTTGTTGAGATGCAATCAGTTTTACTTACTGTTTGTTCCTATAGACGACTGGATGCTTTGGTCATGAACTACCTGATCATCGAAGGCTACCAATCTGCTGCATCCAAGTTTGCGCAGGAAGCAAACCTGTCTTCTTCCGTTGCTTTGGACTCTATCGATGAGCGGATCAAGATCCGGGCGGCTATCCACGCGGGCCGGATTCAAGAAGCGATCGAGCGGATTAATGATCTGAACCCAGAGGTATGCGTTCTCCTCTTTTTTAATTCAGGTGATCTAGGGATTTGATGGTCATGGTATGGTACGGCGTCGCTATGATTAATTTGTTCATGCACCACACATAGTCATCTATGATGAGAAACAGAAACCTTCAGTCTTCAAAATGAGCCAATAGCCTCCATAACCATGGCTATCAATCCAGATCATAACTGCCTAGCATTCTTTTTCGAATTGATTGCTAACTAGTACTACGTTCTAGCTCTTGGACACGAATCCCGAGCTACATTTCGCATTACTGCGACTACAGCTTATCGAGCTGATTCGCCAATCCGCGTCCACACCCGACGGCGACATCACTGCTGTGCTCAACTTCGCCACGACCCACCTCGCCAGCCGTGCGCAGCGCAACCCCGAGTTCTTAGCTGATCTCGAGCAAACCATGGCGCTGATCTGCTTCAGCCCCGACAACCTAGTCCCCCAGCTCGCCGAGCTGATGGATCCCGAGCTGCGCAGACAGGTCTCGATTAAAGTCAACGAGGCGATCCTGGCTGCGCAGGGCGTCATGCAGGAAGCCAAGATTCGCGGACTGGTGCGCGTCTGGGGGTGGGCGGAGAACGCGGTGCGACAGGAGAAAGGCGAGGTGTTGTCGCTTGACTTGAAAAATCTTGCGTGATGCATGATGCATGAATATCGGATTTTGGAGTTTGCGTTCTACCTTTGTGCATGTTTTTTATTTATTTATTTGCGGTCTTTGTTTGGATATGGATGGCTTGGGCGAATAGGGAATCATGTGTATCAGTAGTTTTATAGGCGCCTGGAAATGAGAAATCGGTTGAGTATTACCATTAGTTGATCCTATGATACAGTAGTCTATGTACGTTTGTCTACAGTAAACCCCGGTACGCACTACCCAAGTCATTCACCGCAGCTACCGTGTCCTGCCAACTATCCACCTCCGCTGATGCAGTCTTCGCCTTGAGCAGAGCCACTGTATTCTTCAACCTGCTCTTCAGCTCCGCCATGTCCTCGCCGCCGTCTTCAGACTCGCATGCTTGTTTCCAGCACACCAGCAGCCCTTTCAAGAGCTGGAAGCGGTATGTGGATATGCGAGGGACTGTTATTTCGATTATAACGTCGAGCGCGTCCAGCGTCGTGAACAGCAGAGGGGTATACAGCGTAGCGAACGGATCAGAGAGAATGTCGACGAGCAACTTTGTGCTTGTCTGCAAGTGCAGCACGAAATAAACGTCCATTGCGGCCGCGATCGCGCCGAGTTTGCGCACGAGCAGCTCGGATACCTCAACCTTCTCGCCGCAGAGGGAGAGGGAGTGGTAGATGCCGGTGACGAGGATCTCGCTTAGGTAGCGCGCGTGCTTTTGGTTGTAGGCGCGGGTCGCGCTTGGATCGGGGGTGTGAGCAGCGGTGGTGGAAGCGCGTTTGGAGCCGACGTCTTGTGCGCGGATGGAGGAGAGGGCGAGAAGTGTATCGTATGCTTCGTCGAGGAGCTTTAGAGATTCGGGGAGAGAGATGGCGGATGTGCCGAGGGGAAGATAAGCCAGGCATGCGGTGAGCGAGTCCCAGAAGAGCACGGTGAGGCCGCGGATGAGGATGAATTGGGGAGGAGTTTGGGCGAGCAGGAGATGCAGGATTTGGCAGCCGCGCGTTTTGTAGATCGGGTTGGCGTCGTCTAGGATTGAGAGGGTTGGGGGGACGATTAGGCCCCAGTTTGTGGTGGTGAAACGGTCGTCCTGGATACTGCTGTCAGTACACTGTACGCATATAAAGATAGAGATGGGAGAGAAGAGCTTACTTTAACGTGGCTTAGAACGAAGAGGACAAGCGTGGCCGCCTCAGGCCGCAGAACAGACCATACCTTTGCCTCATCGGTGTCGAAAGACGACTCGAGCTCGTGGTCCCGCGAAGCCGAGAGGGTGCCGACGGAGGTAACCTGTTTTTTTCTCGAGTGCTCAAATACAGGTCTGACTGTTTCGCTCAAGATTGCGTGGCCGATATCAGGGTAGTCAAAGCTCTGGCTGTACGTGTTCAGGAGCGCGGTTGCTAGGTCGGTCGAGTCTGTGGTGCACCAGGGATCGTCGTTGAGTGTGTAGGTCGCTAATGACTGGACTAGTTCGCGCAGATCAATGTCCTGCAAGTCAGGCAGAAAGCTCAGAACTTCTTTGAGAGATCTCAGGAGTACCGTAGCGGTGGCCTTGAATTCCTGCTGCTGCTTCCAGCGAGTCTTTGTCTCGACTGTAGTCTGTCAGTCCGGGGTCGCGACAAGCAAGATGTCATAGAGAGAAGTACTCACCATACGCGTCCTCTGCAGTTATCCACTTCTCCGGGAGTGGACGTAGAAGCCGGCAAATCAGCGGCACAAGTTTTCTAGAGTAAACTATCCACGCGTCAAGATCGATCTGGTCGGTGGGTGCGCTGGCGATGTGAATGTATATGGAAGTGATCACTCGAGCCTTTGAGGCGATGGCACGAAGTACTTTGTCGCTATCAATCGAGATTGTACTGATTTGCTCGAGCGGCAGGATTTTGTCTGGCGAGGTTTCGTGCAAGAGCTGCTGGATCTGTGATCTTGATGCTATAGTTAGCAAGCAGAGTCTTCTTTTGCTCGACGACGAGTCTTTTATTGCAATAGCGTCGACGTACTTGTCCCTCTCGGTCAGTGCACTGTACTCCACGCTTCCAAGTCTCGTCTCGAGAATATCCATAGTTCAGCGCGTTGCGAGTGCCTCAGCATGCGCGTACTTTCTCTTTCGCCTGACGGAAGTAGAAGAGCGGTTGCGAGTAGGTTGCTTGGGCTGGACTACTTGCCGAGCCGCACGGTGCGTGCGGCTTTCCCGGATGGACTTGGCTGGGTGCGGAGGAGAAGTTGCCGAGCTGGTCGGCGGTTGTTGGGTTGGCGGGGTTGTTTTTAAGGTGATGGGAGTGGCATTAGAGGAGGATTACTGATGTTTAGATGGGAGTGTGTTTGAGGAGCGTGAAGACGTTCGTTTGCTACACCTGTGCAGATAGGTGTCTAGTATGAGGTCCTGAGATAAACAGGCAATTTCATTCCACTTCTTTAGGAATAATACAAATGCAGACCCATCTTCCTTCTACTACGCTGCACAGCACAGCACAGCACCAAAGCCGTAGCCGTCAGAGCCGGAGCAGGCCGGATCACAGCCATCTGAGGGTCACAGACCGGGAAGAAAGAGGAGCAGCGCAGTTACCCCGCGATGCCTGCACGAACCGTAAAATAATAATTAATTAACTCCCGATCCCTCTTATTTACGCTCTCCGCTCTCTTCCTCACCGCCTCGCCTTCTTTCTTCCTTTGGTGACTTTTGGTGGGTTCTCGTCCGTGTGGAGTAGAGCTCGGGGGTGGTTCTATGACCGGTTTGGTGTTTTCAGACAGGATATCTGGCAGGATTCTAACATATCGCGGGCTTTCGTCCTCGATATATCGCCCGGTCTGGTCTACATCTTATCACGCACCCACAAGTTCAGCTCTGTCACTCGCCAGTCCGAAAATTTAACCTGCTGAGTCTTTCACTGCTCGCGTCGACTCTTTCCTTCTGCAATAGCATAGCCTGAGCTTCTCTCGAGATCGTCTGGATTACTTCTCTTTCTGTTAGTTCTTTGAATCGTTCACCAGATTCACGACTGGAAGCTTCTGTCTGTCTGCTATGGATCGCCACTTTCGTCCAGAGGTCTTCTGATGACCAGAGACACTCACTGCCTGAAGGTCTCGTGAGGTTTCTGTTCTCGTTACTCCGTGTATAGGCAGACGTCTTGTTCTTCAGATACCTCCCCAGAACGCTCCTTCTAAATACTGTTCCCTTCAGCTGTAGCAGGTCCTTCAGTATGCTGTCTTCGGCCCCGCCCTTCCACAGCACAGCTACCGCACTCTCAGCCTTCCAGCGTCTATTGTCTAGCACGCTGCCTCTGCAAATACCTCTTCGTGTCACCCATCTAATATCCCTGTTCAGGTACACTCCTCATCGGCCGTTCATTCGACTTTCTCGCTCAGATTTCAGTCGTCTTGGTACTTATCTCAGGAGAATCAGATTAGACAGTAATCTCGCTGGTAAAAGGGTATCGCCTACTGATTGGCCGCTGCACCAGCTCCATCTTGATCACATGAACAGAAGACAGTGATATCCGACATATATACATTCCCTGTCCTTGCTGGGTGCGCACGCTGGACCCCTGCTGAGTGCGTCTGTACATCTGAATAGCTGCGCACTGTCGTCATTACTGGATCTCCTGTCTTGAGCAGACTGAGCGATATTGACAGCCATCCGCGCTAGCCGTCCCAGCCTTTGCACAGCAGATATCCGTCTGCCACGGTCTACAAGATCATCTTGGCGGATCTTGGTCTATTTAAATCTGCTCGAATATTTTTCGACAGAATAATGCTGCTGCGTCTGACCCCTGCGGTCTCTTGTGGTCGAGGGGTAGAAATTGGTTACCAGATTGGGCAAATATTTATTCTGTGGTGGCGAGCGATTAACGTTTCAATGTGGTGGTTGTTTAGGGTGGGTCTATGAATAGCTATGTTGGGGACGGTGTTGCTGCTGACACTACTGCTACTTTGTAGTGATATCTGCACCACAACACCGCTTACACCTCCACGGCCCTCGTACCCCAAACCCGCACCACGCCCGCCAGCTCTTCGGCGTTTTAAGCTTTCCGTGTGGCCGTCCGGGTTATCAATGCTGGATCGGTCGGCGGCCGGCGCGAGTAACTTTTCGTGCCTGGCCACGAACGAGCGCACGTAAGGGCTCTTTCTGGACAGAAGCACCAGAGTCCTGATATCCTGCTTCTCGCCATCGCTGCTGTCGAAGCTGCTCCTTTCTTCTTTTATTCCTGGTCGTCTGCACATCCCTGATCGCGAGCTGCCTCTGCTCTTACTAGTATCCGCTATCTCCTCCGGATAATTGAATCCCTGCGGCTTGGTTCCAGACAGATAGGAATCGCGATTAGCTGACCGTAATTCAACATTACTCCTTCTCCATCCCGCAAGACCTCTCTCCGCGATCTCTTCTGTCGTCGATCCTGCAGATTTGGCTTCAATGAATCTGTCGCGGCCTATCCTATTCAACATCATCGCCTGTCGTTTCCGGTACTTCAACTAACCAGTTCACGGAATCGGGTGCACGACTACAGCAGATAGAATAATCTAGCCTCTATTCCTCAACGGAATCTGCATTTATTTCACATCCAACATGTCTCTGCAACCAAATCACTATGGCCCTGAAGAGGCCGCAAATATGCTGCTCAACACCGGCATCGCAAAGGCTTATCAACGCATCGATCTCATGATTTCGCGGAACTTCATCGGCGGAGCGTTGACCTCGGTCGGTGGCATGATCACGCTTTTGGTTAAAGGAGGCTGCAACGGATTATTAGAAAAGAATCCTGCGATAGTCAATTTACTGGCGGGACTTGTCTTCCCGGTCGGCGCGGTCATGTCTACTCTAACCGGTGGAGAACTGTCCACCGGAAACGTGCTCTTCTTATCCGTCGCATTATTCCAGCGGAAGATTCCATTATGGAGAGCCCTTTACTGCTTTGTGAGTTCTCTATATTCTATAGAATCTTTTATTTTCGCGCATACTGACTAGTTCTCAAGATGGTATCATTTTTTGCAAACCTGGCGGGCTCTCTATTCTACCTCCTGATCGCACACTACGGTCACATTCTATCATACGAGCCATACCGACAAGGCACGATTTTATCCGCCGAAGAAAAAGTGATTGATCCCTCGGGCGCCACAGTCTTTGTTCGAGCAATCGGTGCGAACTGGCTCATCTGCATCGGCACATTCACAGCTCTGCTTTCGCGCACGGCGGTGGCAAAAGTGATTGCAATCTGGATTCCTATCTTCGTTTTCGTCGCGGTCGGGTTTGAGAATTCAGTGGCGAATATGTTTTTGGTGCCGATTGCGATGATTAACGGTGCGCCGGTGTCGGTGGGCCTGTTTATATGGAAATCACTTATCCTATCCACGCTTGGGAATATCGTGGGCGGGTTTTTCTTCGTGGCCGGTGCTTACTGGTACATCTACATATTCCCCCAGGTCGCGGCTGAAGACGACGATAATCTGAGTATGGGCAAGGCTCCTGGTCCGCTGCTTCCAATAGCAGAGGGCCACTCACTCCAGCTTGATCCGGTCTTGACCCGAATGTTCACCCGCCAAACGACCACGCGACACTCCACCGCGCTGCCAAATAACTCTGTGGAGTCGTTCAACCGCCGGAAATACATGCAGGACAAGCAATCAAACAGTCAAGGCTCTGCAAGCGACGATCCGTCGACTGATAACGATCGAACAGCGGTCGGCTCGGGTACGGATGACGACAAGACCGAGTAGTATCCTGATTTCTTGAAGTTTGATACTCCTGAAACTATTCTTGTACACTGCCACGACACGACTTCTTCTTCTTTTTTCTAATCTTTTAATCTATTGACCATCTATTCTTCATGCGGCAAGATAGATAGACCTTCACCTTCATCTTGTCGAGGCTATTGCCTGCCTAGCATAAGCATTTCTCTTTTTCTTTTTCTTCTTTTGCATTCTTGGTGGGCTCTTTTTTCTTATTTTACAACTTGTTTTCTGGTGTACCCGGTCATGAAAAATCGTTTTGTTTCTTCCTGTTTTATTCTATTTTAGTAGTTATTGTTGTTGATAGAAAGTCGCAATAGAATAATCAGACGTCCTTAAGCAAAGAAGAAAAGTTGAGGGTTTTGTGTCTACGCGAATCAGTTCGTCCCGAGACGCGTCGGAAGTGGGCGACTTGACTTTAACTCAATTGATGGATGCGATCTAGGCGGGCGTAGATTCGACCCGGTTCAGGTTTTCTTCAATAGACAGGACATTGGTGTTATTGCCAGTGAATTTGGGAATTACAGTAGAGATGGCCGGAGCAGTTCGCGGTCGATATCTGCTACGGAGCATACAGAGCGTCGTCGTCAAAGGCGGTTCGTCGAGGTACTCAGCGATCCTGGTCGCGGCGCGGCGGAGGAGTGTCGTTTCATCTACAGTTCTGCGCGAGAACGAGTGTTTACAAACACAGCTGGGATCGATCTCTTGCTTTTCGACGAGGGCGGGTGTGTGGGATCGAGAGCAGGATGGGGAGGGGAAGACGAAGGGCGTGAAGTCGCCTGATGAGATTAGGCTTGAGACTGATGCGATTATTGCCGGAGCTCAGGATGTTCTTTTTCCGCCGCCAGAGAAAACTACAGCTGGTACGGGTACAACCGCAGCTATTGAACAAAAAGAGTCGCAGACGCCCGCGCAAAAAGACGAGCGAGAGCAGCAAGCCTACCAATCGAAAGAGACGGCGATGCTGCGGAACCTCCCCTCGCAAATCGAAGCGCGGCGGTCGCGGCTCGCGCGCCGGTTTTCCGCAAAACTGGACGAGTTGCAGACGGCGGTGTTTATGGCCGGCCGGACGATAAATGACATCACCGGGTACAGCGAGATCGATGCGTTGCGGAAGGCGATCGAGAGGCAGGAAGCAGCGCTGCTTGAGGCGCGCAAGGAGGTGAAGAACGCAAAGGACGCGTATTCGGCCGCGATCGCGAAGCGGTCTGCGTCGCAGCGGGAAGTCAACGAGCTGCTGCAGCGGAAGCAGACGTGGTCCCCCAGCGACCTCGAGCGGTTCACGATCCTGTACCGGTCCGACCACGCGAACGAGCAGGAAGAGCTGCACGCGGGCGAGCGGTTGAACCGCGCCGAGCACGCGGCGGAGGAGGCACAGGCCGAGCTTGGACGGTCGATTTTGGCGAGGTATCATGAGGAGCAGATATGGTCGGACAAGATCAGGCGGGCGTCGACGTACGGGACGTGGGCGTTGATGGGGTTTAACGTTGTGTTGTTTATGGTTGTGCAGTTGGGGTTGGAGCCGTGGAAGAGAAAGAGGCTTGTGGGCTCGTTTGAGGAGAAGGTCAGGGATATGCTTGACGAGCGGAAGATTATAAGTCCTGAGACGCCCGAGCAGCCTACGCCTGACGTCCAGGAGGTTCTGGATATGCCGGAGGGTTTACTCCCAGACACTCCCTCCGTCGTGCAATCATCTCACAAAGCATTCTCCGCACACTCAGCAAAAGAAGCCCTCCTCCTTCTCAAGCAAATTTTCATCGGCAAAGAACCCGACGGCAAGTCCGTAAGCTCGAGCACGATTTACGAGTCGACGAGAGCAGAGCTGGCGATCTTTTCTGGCGCGAGCGCGGTTGCGGGGGCGGCGGTTGTTGGGTTAGTCGCGGCTTTGATTAGGATTAGTTTTTCGTAGATGTTGTAGATGTTGCATAGATTACGTTTCTGTTTTTGGTTGTAAATACATCATATCATTGCATTAGATACTGAATACTATTAAGAACATCACCCAAACACCGAAAATGCCAAAAAAAAACTTCTACAATGCTAACCAACAAGAGCGACGAACGAGAAAGAAAATCGACAAACAAAAGCCGGAAGAAAAGGACAACATTACACCATATCAGTCTGCGTCAAATCAGACTCACTCTCACGCTTCACTTTCTCGACATTACCGCTCAATTCCGTCTCTGCCGCTTTAAACGCGTTCGGTCTGACGACGCCGTAGTAGAACGTGGTGAGGATGAGGAAGAAGACAATAAAAACGACAGCGGTGCCGACGAGCGCGCTCACGACGCGGAAACCCTCGATGTCAAGTACCTCGCCCAGTTGTCGCGTGGCGAGCGCGTACGTGCCCGGCGGGAAAGTGAGCCCCCACCAGCCGAGGCCAAAGACTCGAGGGCGGTGGTAGATGCAAGCAAAGACTGCCATCACAAGCCAGAACGTTGCGAGACCGACCATGAAGATCGCGACGGCGCAGCCGATGTATTTGAACACCGGCACGCTGGCGAGCGCGGGGTAGTCGTGTGCGGTCAGGTAGTTTTCGAGGTTGACGGCGTTGATGAGGAAGCCGTATGCGCCCTGGCCTAGGGGTCCAATGGGTAAGAAGCAGCTGGTGACGGATTCTCGGGCAGGTAAGCCGTGGGTTAACAGGCGCCAGACGTATACGCCGGTGAACAAGAACGCGAGCAACTCGCCGTTGCCCCAGCAGAGCGCGCAGAGGATGATCATATGCGGCCGCCAGTTGTCGGGGAGATACTCGACGAGGATCGAGCCTGTAGACGCGCAAAGCACGAGCGTGACGACGGGGAGAAGGATGACGGCGTTGAGGTCCGCGGGCCGGAGTCGTGTGTTGCGAGCAAACCCGACAAAGACCATGAGCCACGCGCACAGAAGCGCGAGCACGACGTCGATCCACCAGAGCACGTAGCATGCCCAGACTGCTTTTGCGCCAAAGATGCCGACGGCGTCGGTGATGATTGGGCAGAGTCCCATCGGCATGCAGCCCCAGTATAGCGACTGGGTTGGGTGGAGAAGCGACATTTTGAATTTGCTGGGGAAGAGGAGGAGGCGGAGGACGGTGAAGATTGTAAATATGACGAAGAGCACGGTGCCGGTTCCCCAGAAAGCAATACCGAGACGTCGGAGATACTCTGCCGGGTACGGGTAGTCAACGAGTAGACTGCCCGCCATACCGACGCCCATGGTCATGGCAAACCATCTATTCTTGAGGTCAGTAACGAACGAAGAGCCAGATAAGAAGGAAATGTGCACGTACGAAGGACTAAAATTTTCTATCCTGTAGAGGAAATACTCCCGCGTCCGCTGCATTCTCAACATAAATACAACAGCCCCAATAAACCAAACACGCTGCTCTTATCGCAGCCTTCAACTAAAAAAACAGGAACAGGAACAGGAGGAAGATGGAGGAGGCGGTGCGCGGGTCTGGCGGTGTGGCAAGTGGGGAGAAGATGTGGCGAGTCAGGGTTTGCAGCAGGCGCGGTTTGTGTGGCGAATTCGGGCTGTGCGTGGCGTTGCGGATGGCGGTGGTGGCCGTGACTGCTTTTCAGCCACGGGGGTTTGGCTAATTTGGCTGTCTGTTTTTGCTGCTCTTTTCATGACTATTGAGTATTTGTTGTTTCTGTGGGTTTATAAAAAGAGAATACAACACTTATCATTTGAAAACAGATACTGGTCTTGAGAGAACAGAGATATCCCGCAACATCCAACCATTCACGCATATCAGCCCCCACGCCACACGGGATATCCGGCTCTCCTACTCTTCCTACTCTCCTACTCCCTACTTCTCACTAAACGTCATACATATATCTTCATAATATCACACATATCTGCAAATCCAACCCAGCTACATTATTCCAGCAAAACCTGGAAAACACTCCATACAACAAAGAAAAACGACAGCCACCGCGGGCGCAGTTAAACACCTAACCCGATGCTCTGCCCGCGCTTTATACGTTATCAAGTGATGATTCAAGACTCGTGCGATAAGGCGATAACTAGAAGAAGAAGAAAGTCACGATTGTATTATTATTTTACAAGTGAGAAGCATTGTAGTATGTGAGGCTTCTCTTCCATGTACAGATATGCGCCCGCACATGCAGCCCAGTAATGAATGAAAACAAACAGTAAACTCCAAACCAAAAACCAATAAAGAGCGCGCCTACGAAATCACCTCAAACACCGATCCCTTATACCACAGATCATCGTTCCCCGCGTAACTCTTAACGCTCACCGTCGACCCCACCCACGGATAATACTGCGCGCTCTCGACGCCCTTGAAATCAGCCGCCCGGTGCGCGGGCGGCGTGCGCGAGAGCAAGAACTGCACGAGCAGCATGCCGTTGTTGGCCGGGTCCTCGAACGCGGCGACGCACGCGTACCACATCTTGCCGCCGTTGAGGATTGCAACTTCGGTGTTTGGGCGGAACGGGATGCGGGAATAATAGGACGCCAGGACGGAGGCGTGCAGGCTTCTGAAATTGAACTGGATTATCAAGCGCTCGGGGTCGATACTTTTCATAAGCCGGCGGGTGGGCGATTGCACCGCGTCGTTAAGCTCGACGATGAAGAGCTCGGACTGGGAGTTTAGAAACTCGGCGTCAAACTCGTTTCGAGCATCCTCAAGCTCGACGATCGCCATCTCCCCACAACTCAGAGCGGCGATCTGATTCCCCTCAAAGTTCACGAGCGAACGGATCCGAAACTGGCGCGCGACATGCTTCTTCTGACTCTCCCGCGTCTGAAACACAAGCTGGACAGTCCGACTCAGCGCTCCGTGCAACACCTCGACCACAAACGCACAGCTACCAACGTCCCCGGCCACGGGCGAGAGAACCCGCGCGACAACGCTCGGCGGGTTGTCTGGTGGATTGATTGCGAAGCCCGTGGCGCGGATATCGGTCGACATTGCGCGGCGGTCGGGCGGCAGGTACTGGGACTCGTTCTCGCTAGCGTAGGCGTACAGGTTCAGGAACGAAATCAAGTCCGACAAACCCACGCTATCGTCCTTCTCAGACGATGACGTCTGCACGATCGAGATAACCTCGGGACTCAGTGCGTCGCAGGCTATTGTCTCGGGCGCTTGCTGCAGACTTCCGGAGCCACCGTAATGCTGCACGCGGGGAAAGCAATGCAGCACGTCCTCGAGCGTGTCGAGAAACATGCGCAGGTCGTAGGATACCTGACCGAAAGCCTTTGTTTCCAAATCAAACACGACAACGACTTTTCTCCGCTGCGCAAACCCTGACGCGACAAGAAACGGCCAATGGGGTTCACCAAAGGCAACGAGCAAGATCTGCGGGTCGTAGTCTGTTATCAGGCCCATTTCTTGTATCGCAGAAAACCGGCGCGCGGTCGGCGCGATGTATTGGAACCGAGCAAAGAGCTCGCCGTAGCAGTCGTTGCTGGTGTAATGCACGTAGCGATGACAGATCCCGCGACGACTCTCGATGCAGACTTCGTGGTGGTTTGAGCTAAGTGCCTTCTCGGCTGGCGATAGACGGGGGGCCATATTGATGAATACCTTGACTTCCTGGGCGAAAGAGAGACCGATAGTGCGGGACGTGGTCGATGAGGGGACGCGCGAGGCATCGGTGTCGTCGGATGAGGATGTCGTGGCGCGGTCTGGACTGATACTGTTGCGACGAGCATCAGATACGGCAGGGGTCTGGGTAACAGGACTGTTTGTCGACGAAGAAGGAGAAGGAGAGGTCTTGGTAACAGGACTTTTCGTCGTCGAAGAAGAAGAAGGAGTCGTCGTCGTCGAAGAAGGAGAAGGAGTAGGAGAGTCCTCAGTCGCGGCCTTGCCGAATTTCCACGCAAAGGTCAGTAATCGAACCGGATGTGCCCGCAACCCCGCCAAACACTCTCCATTCACAACCGGCAACAGCTCCCTCATCTCTCCAACCGTCGTCGTCGTCATCGTTGATATCTGCATGCATCCAAAACTATCAGCCAACCCACCCGCGACCTGCATCGCCGGATTCGCGGTCGCTGCTCCCGTGTCGACGGCGGACGTCACTGGCTTCGCGCCGACCGCGCCGAACGTGCTCTGGCTCTTTTGCTCGAGTCGCATGCGTTCTCGGTAGAACCCGTTCAGCTCGGCGTCTGTCTGCTCCGCGAACGCAGGGAAGGTAGTACTCTGTGGCTTGTCGTCCTCCATCGGTCCGAGAGTATATATATATACAGAGAGAGAAAGAATAAATATACAGGGGGGTTAAAGATACCAGACGAAAAGAGAAGAGGAGAGAGAGCAGCGCGCGCGGAGAAAAGAACAAGGGTCGGATTGGCAAACGGGCTGGGAGGGCAATCCACGCCCTCTCTCAATCACCAGGCACCAACAACGAGCAAGGCTCTCTCTCTCTCTCTCGCCTTGCTGCACGCTGCACTCGCTCGTGCGTGAACAAGGCACACCATACTTTTTCCTCGCATGTGATGTGTTTCTTCGGCTCGCTCTTTGTTTCGTGGTGGATGGGCAAGGGGCGCGATGCGAACAAGGCGGGTGGGAACAAGGAGGATGGATGTCCACGTGAGTTGCTGCGGCCGAGGAAAGAAAGCATCTTGTAGCAGATTCGCATCTTGCAGCACAGAATAGTGGGAAATATACAGAAGATTTAAACAGAACGGTCAGAAAACAGGCGATTTATTGTGTAGTGAGGTCTATGTTTGTAGTTGATTCAATCTTGTTTACATCTGAACTATCAAAAGCGTAATCACGTGACTACTCCTTCTTCTTCAGCAGCCCTTGTAGCATATCAAACGAGTTCCCATCCGGCTGCAGCGTGTACTTTCTCCCCGTCGGGCGTCCGTCAAAGCCGAGTTCCTCGACCCTGAGCATTCCGTAGTCGAGCGAGATGCCTTTAATCACCGCCTTTGTGCCGCCGTACATGTCGAGCCTGACGACGGCGTTGTTGTGCAGCCAGCGCGAGTAGTAGAGCTGTTCGAACGGCGCAAAGCCGTGGGTTTTGAAAGTCGTGTACATTTGCTCAAAGAACCTCATGATGCGCGCACAGAGGACCTCGACTTTAAACGGCCTGATCGCCTGCGTCGCCGACCTTCGCCGTTTCTCGTTCAGCGCCGCGACAAGCAAGTTCAGCGACGTCGACGGCGCCTCGTTCGCAGTGTTGATCCCGCACCCGACGACGAGCAGGTACTCGTTGTCCACGTAGTTGCTGTTCACCAGCACACCCGCAAGCTTCACGTACTCCGCCGGCAAGTCCGTTTCGCCGCGCGAGACCGCTTCGTTGTACGCCGGGTTGCGCGCGTAGATGTCGTTCGGCCACTTCAGCCGCACGTCTAACTCCTCGCACCCGGGGCCGTAGGTGCGGATCGCCTCGACGATGGCGAGCGAGGCGATGTACTGGATAAACACTAGCGGTGCGACGGACTGCACTGCGACCGGATGGCGGATCACGATCGAGAACGCGAGCAGGCCGATAGGCGAGACCCATACGTTTCCGCCACGGCCGCGGCCAGCGACTTGGATCGAGCCCACGTTTGTGAAGCCGGTGGGCATGTGTCGCAGGAGCGAGATGTTGCGATCGAGCATGGTCGAGGTCGAGGTCACGACTTCGGCGTACTGCACTATCGCGCCGAACGTCTGTCGGCTGGAGCCCGGGGGTAGGAGTTCTTTGTAGTAGAGCGCGTGGTCAAAGTAGGGGGTCTGGTTGAGCGCGGGGTGGAAGCGGTCTAGTTTGTCCGAGTGCGTGTAGATTACGCTTTTCTTGACGATTTTGTTGAGGTCGATTTCCTGAGGGCTGCCGTCGTCTTTGGTCTCGTCGGGGGTGGTGGTTGGAAGTTCTTTGGCGACAGAGGTCATGTCGAAAATCGAATCGGACGCGTCCGAGAAGAGGAAAGTATCGTTCTCGCCAACGTGCTTGTACTGAACATCCTCTTTTGAGTCGCTATGTGTGGCCGCAACCTGCAGCAGCCCTTCCGCCGCCTTCAAAGAGCTCCACAGCTTGTCAACGTCCTCTTTATACGCCGACGTCACATACAACGTCGTAGGAAACGGAGGCGAGTCCTGACTCAGTCCCTTATCGACCTTCATCCCCAGTTTCAACAACATCGCTTTCAAAACCTCAACCCGCTTGTGATCGTCCGCCAGCAGCCGCTGCACGAGATCGCCGTAGAACGGTGGCAGCGTCGAATCCGATTTCCGCAGCCGCTTGGGCGAAAACTCCGGGTGCGGACCGGTAAGGATAACAGACCCTTCGCCAACCTTGACGTGCACGATCGCCGCGTCGCCCCCTTCAACCTGCAGAGGCTCACGGTATCGTGCAAGAACCGTCACGTTCTTGTTTTTCGCAGCGATACTGTCTGCGTCGACAAACACGCCGCCGCCGTTGTAGTAGCATGAAAACAGAAACCGGCCGTCTTTGTCCTGCGTGGGGTCATTGCTACTATTCTCGTCGTCGGTCGCCAGCTCCGGCAGGGCCTCCTTCTCAACCTCGATCTTTGCCGCGCGCGCGCCGGATTCGGAATCATACACGAACCCCGGAAACGCGGTCCCGCGATCTGTGCCCGGGAAGAATTTGAGCTGGCGCGGGCCGACGACCGCGTAGAGCGGGTTATCCTGCTCGAACTCGACGCGTGCGGAACCGAAATATCCTCCCGCGCAGAAGCCGATGAAGGCGCCTCCGCGACGGACGTAGGTCGAGATCTTTGCGGTGCCGGCTCCGTCGAGCGCGCGGCAGTAGGGCAGGTCTGCGCCGCCGGGGAAGGCGAGGAGGGAGGTTGAGCTTGGCCAGGGGTCGGAGATGAGTGCGGGGGCGTCAATTGTGGAGACGGCGTAGTGCGGCGAGAGGAGGGCGCGTAGGGCGGAGGTGCATTGAGCGACGGACTCGATGGTGGTGCCGGGGCCGGCGTAGACGAGGACGTTCATTGGGAGGTGTGATGTCGCGATGCGGCGGGCGGAGTGTAGTAGTGCAAGGTTCTGAATGTCTGCTGTTACTGCTGGATTAGAATCTGTGTCATCAGAGCTGTGGAGTAGTTCTGAGTGGGATATTCAATCAAGAAAAGCTGACGAGTTGGGATATCAACTTTTCGACGGAGCATTTGAGATGTCATTGTGTGGCGCCCTAACCCGCTAGTTCCCCAACTAGTTCCCCAACGGGGACATCTCGAGTCAACTGCAGCTCGCTGGATGCGTTTGGATATGTGGATATGTTTAGATGTGTTGAGTGAGATGAGAGTGCTAGAGTAGCTGGATATACAACATCTGTACTGGAGTTGTATAAGAAGGCAGCTACTTTTTGTTGTGGAAATCGTCCGAGTTTACCACAGGTGTAGAGTCTATAGTAACTATATGTAATGATCTATCTATATACTCTATAACCCTCTCTATGCTAATTACAATCTAGTCTATCTCAGTATATACAGTCTAATAGTACTTCCCCTTCAACTCCTCAGAGTACGGGTAATCGTTATACCCCTTCGGATCCTTATGCAGATAGAACGTGTCGCGGTTATAATCCGTCAACGGCATTCCCTCGATAATCTTCGCAACGAGGTCCGGGTTCGAGATAAAATGTCGTCCGAACGCAACGAGCGAGTTCTCGTGCTCGTCCGCATACTTAATCGCCGTCTCCGGCGTGAACCCCCCGGCCGTCATCCACGCGCCCGACCAGAGCTTCTTGAACGGCTCCGTCGACTCGCTCTCGTTCGTCGGACGGTCAGAGCCGGCTGACACGCGCGGCTCGACGACGTGCATGTACGCGAGCTTGGGGTGCTTTGCCTCGAGCGAGGAGATCACGTACGAGAACGTCGGGTAGGGATCTTTCATGCCCATGCCCTGGAAGTTACTGAACGGCGAGAGCCGGATGGCTGTCTTTTCGTCGCCGATCGCCGCGCAGACTTTATCCATCACGTTCAGCGTGAAGCGCGCGCGGTTCTCGATCGAGCCGCCGTAGATGTCCGTCCTGTCATTTGACACGTCTTCCAAAAACTGGTCGAGCAGGTACCCGTGCGCGCTGTGGACTTCGACGCCGTCGAAGCCTGCCGCGATGGCGTTCTTGGCTGCGGCCGCGTAGGTGTCTTCGTACTTCTCAATCTCGTCGATCGAAAGCGGACGGGGCACGCTCTCGACGGTGTTGGCTTTGATGGTGCTCGCACTGACGACGTCGGGCACTTTCGTGCCGGGGTTAACCCGACCGAGGGCCCAGAGCTGGAGGAAGATGAAGCCGTTTTTGGCATGGACTGCCTCCGTGACCTTTTTCCATCCCTCGATCTGCTCGGGCGTGTGGATGCCAGGGCAATTGACATATCCGCCCGCAAAATCCGCAATCTCGGTCGCTTCCGAAATCAGAAGCGTGCCGGGGACGAGGCAGCGCGCGGCGTAGTGCTCCGGCATGAGCTCGGGGATTGGCACGTTGTCGTCGTCGTTGCGGTAGCGCGTCAGCGGGGCTAATGCGATGCGGTGCTTGAGCTCGCAGGCTCCAATCTTGATGGACTCGAAGAGGGCTGGCATTGTCTAGTCTTTGTCTGAGAGGAAGAGGGGGGAAGTTTTTCGGTGCAGACGCATGGGCAGGAAGAGGAGCAGGCGATGATAAGTAGTTGTTCGGTTGCTATCAGTAATTTAGTTTAAGGTTTCGGGGATAACGGGATTTGTCATTGATTGGGAAAGGTTGTTTGTAATCAGGGTGAAAGCTTAAAAAGTTGTGTGGCTTTCCTGTGATATGTATTCTATACTGTATTCTATATTGATGTGTATGTATCTAGATCTAATAGTACTTTCCCTTCAATTCCTCAGCATAAGAATAGTCGAGGTATCCCTTGGGATCTTTAGGAAGGTAGAAGGTGTCGCGGTTGTAAGGGGTGAGAGGAATGCCCTCCTTGATCTTCGCGACGAGGTCCGGGTTCGAGATAAAGTAGCGGCCGAACGCGACGAGCGAGTTCTCGTGCTCCTCGGCGTACTTGAGCGCGGTCTCGGGCGTGAATCCGCCGGCGGCGATCCAGGGACCGGACCAGAGCTTCTTGTAGACGTCCGTGGTCTCGCCCTCGTGCACCTCGCGGTCGGCGCCGCCAGACACACGGGGCTCGACGACGTGCAGGTACGCGAGCTTGGGGTGCTTCGCCTCAATCTGAGAGATAACGTACGAGAAGGTCGGGTAGTGGTCCTTCATGCCCATGCCCTGGAAGTTGTTGAAGGGCGAGAGGCGGATGGCGACCTTTTCCTCGCCGATGGCGGCGCTGACCTTGTCGATGATGTTGAGCGCGAAGCGGGCGCGGTTCTCGACCGAGCCGCCGTAGATGTCTGTGCGCTTGTTGGACACGTCCTGCAGGAACTGGTCGACGAGGTATCCGTGGGCGCCGTGGATCTCGATGCCGTCGAAGCCGGCGGCGATGGCGCACTTGGAGGCGTGCACGTAGGCGTCTTCGAATCCGACGACTTCCTCGGTCGTCATCTCGCGAGGGGTGGCGTCGACGGAGTCGTCTTTGATTGCGCTGGCGCCGGTGACGTCGGTGACTTTGTTACCGGGGTTGACGCGGCCGAGGGCCCAGAGCTGGAGGAACATGAAGCCGCCTTTGGCGTGGACGGCGTCGGTGACTTTTTTCCAGCCCGCGACCTGGGCGTCGGTGTAGATGCCGGGGACGTTGTTGTATCCGCCGCCGAGCTCGCAGATGTCGGTGGCCTCGCCGATGATGAGGGTGCCGGGGACGAGGCAGCGGGCGGCGTAGTGCTCGGGCATGAGCTCGGGGATGGGGACGAGGGCGTCGTCGTTGCGGAAGCGGGTGAGGGGCGCCATGACGATGCGGTTGCTGAGGGCGCAGGTGCCGACCTTGATGGGTTCGAAGAGGGCGGGCATATTGTGATGAGAGGTGTGGGTAGAGGTGGGAGAGGTGGTGGGTGTGGGGGAGAAGAGAAGGTGTCGGAGGTGGAGTTGGAGTTGGAGTTGGAGTTGGAGTGCTTTATAAGCCAAGAAGCAACGTAAGCAGAGCGAGTAGAGGAGAGGAGAGGAGAGGAGAGGAGAGGAGAGATGGGGTCGACATCCGAGTGAGTTTGCAATGAGATTATGTTTGTATATGCAATTATTGTTTAGATGAGTGCATTTATATTGTAATAGAGTATATTTCTATTCAATTGTCTTCATAGAGAGTAAAAGGACCGAATAGATCATTGGCGGACAATGCATCTGAGTCCAGGTTAGGAGGGTTATTCAGTATTCACTGCCTCGACCAGACATCCAGACAAGAGCCATAATCCACAATAGTCCAAGTATTCTCTTCCTCTTCCTCTTCCTCTTTCTCTTCATTATCATCACTATCTTCTGCTCATCACAATCTCTTCACAACCAAACAATTTCAACACAAGCACATCCTTATCGGGCAGTCCGTAAACAGGCCACGGCTGGCCAATGGCGACGGTGGAACCCAACCAACCACCGGTGCGTATCGCCAGCAGCAGCCCGCGTAGATCCTGGCACGGCCACTTCCCCAGCGGCGACCCTGATCTCTGTTTTTAGAGCTGATTAGAAGACCATTGTATAATATACAATTACTTCTTCACGTTTATCTGTTCTAAACACTCTACTCCTTCCACGTTGCACTATCCAACAATCCAAGCTCGGAGTTGGCTCTGCCCGCCGCAGGAAAATCTTTGCTATCAGCCTTTTGATCAGCACAAGTCTCCAATCTCAGTCTTAGTTAAAGCCGCATATAAACAAACTGGCCGGATCACGGCCCGAGCCCGCCGCACCGCCTTTATAAAATTTACTGCTCGCCCTCCTCCTCCTCCTCCTCCTCTCCTCTTCCCCATCCACTTCTCTCCTAACCTCCTCCTCTCTACCTTCACCATGATTTTCAACGACCAGGCCTCCTCCACCCTCGAGTGGCTCTCCCGCCTCGACACCTCAAACACCCCTTCGCGTAACTTCCGTCGCACCTGCATTATTGGCACCATCGGTACCCACCTCTTCCTCCTTCTCTATCCTTATTTTTCTCCTCCTCTCTAACTTTCCTCTCCTCCAGGTCCCAAGACTAACTCCGTCGAGAAGATGAACGCCCTCCGTTCTGGTATGTCTCCCTCTTCCTCATCACTCTGCTTCTCTCCTCTCGTAAAATTTTGAGCCGCACCATTGACACTCCCCTCCAGCTGGTCTCAACATCGTCCGCATGAACTTCTCCCACGGCTCCTACGAGTACCACCAGAGCGTCGTCGACAACGCCCGCGCCGCCGAGGCCGCCCAGCCCGGCAGACCCCTCGCGATCGCCCTCGACACCAAGGGTCCCGAGATCCGCACCGGCTCCACCATCGGCGACGTCGACATCCCCATCTCGGCCGGCACCAAGATGATCATCACCACCGACGAGGCCTACAAGAACAAGTGCGACAACACCATCATGTACCTCGACTACGCCAACATCACCAAGGTCATCGAGCCCGGCCGCATCATCTTCGTCGACGACGGCGTCCTCTCCTTCAAGGTCGACGAGATCGCCGACGACAAGAACCTCAAGGTCACCTGCCTCAACAACGGCAAGATCTGCTCCCACAAGGGCGTCAACCTTCCCTCCACCGACGTCGACCTCCCCCCTCTCTCCGAGAAGGACAAGGCCGATCTCCGCTTCGGTGTCAAGAACAAGGTCCACATGGTCTTTGCCTCCTTCATCCGCCAGGGCTCTGACATCACCGCCATCCGCGAGGTCCTCGGCGAGGACGGCAAGGACATCCAGATCATCGCCAAGATCGAGAACCAGCAGGGTCTCAACAACTTTGACGATATCCTCAAGGAGACCGACGGTGTCATGGTCGCCCGTGGCGATCTCGGCATCGAGATCCCCGCCTCCGAGGTCTTCATCGCCCAGAAGATGATGATCGCCAAATGCAACCTTGCCGGCAAGCCTGTCATTTGCGCTACCCAGATGCTCGACTCCATGACCTACAACCCGCGCCCCACCCGTGCCGAGGTCTCCGACGTCGGCAACGCCGTCCTCGATGGCGCCGACTGCGTCATGCTCTCCGGTGAGACCGCCAAGGGCTCCTACCCCGTCGAGGCCGTCTCCATGATGCACGAGATCTGCCTCCTCGCCGAGATGGCCATCTGCTACCCCCCTCTCTTCAACGAGCTCCGCCAGCTCACCCCCCGTCCCACCGACACCGTCGAGACCATCGCCGTCTCCGCCGTCTCCGCCTCGTTCGAGCAGCAGGCAAAGGCTATCATCGTCCTCTCCACCTCCGGCACCACCGCCCGTCTCTGCTCAAAGTACCGCCCTACCTGCCCCATCCTCATGGTCACCCGCAACCCCGTCTCCGCCCGCTACTCCCACCTCTACCGTGGCGTCTACCCGTTCGTCTACAGCGGCGCAAAGCAGACCGACGCCGCAAAGTGGTCCGAGGACGTCGAGGAGCGTCTCAAGTGGGGAATGGACCAGGCCGTCGAGCTTGGAATCCTCAAGCGCGGCGACGCCGTCATCGCCATCCAGGGATGGACCGGCGGTCTCGGCCACACCAACACCCTCCGTGTTTTGGAGTGCGTCTAAGTGCCTCTCCCCAGCTTTAGTCTGTAGCTCTCTTGCTTTTAAAACGAATCGATAGAGCTACTTTCTTCTTATCTTCCTTGTGATCTCCTTCTACGTTTTCTTGTTTTGTAATTCTTGTGTCTGCCGCTCATAGAAAGAAACCGATCAAAGGGATCGTAGTTCGACACGAGTACTGCTGGTCAGATTCCCTTGAACTATCGTCCTCTAGTCTTTTATTTATTATTATTGTCTTTGTATATTCGGAATCTCGAGATTTCTATTTAAATTATTACTGAAATGATTTTTCCAATTTTTATGAGTTCTTATATACATGCAGACTATTATATACATACAACCTAACTCTTCCGCCGTAAATGATACACATCCGTTCTCTAGTTACTATTCTTGTTGTCTTTGTGTATTCGGAATCTCGAGATTTCTATTTAAACTATGTACTGAAATGATTTCCTTTCAACTGCTCCATTTTTAGTATATACAAACTGACTCTCCCGCCGTAAATGATATACATCCGTCCTCAGGTTTTCTATCATTGTTAACTTTGTATATTCGGAATCCGTCGAGATTTCTATTTAAGCTATGTACTGAGATGATTGTTCCAATTCTTATAGCTCTGCGTCATTCTCCTTATATACAAACTAACGCTCGCGCCGTAAACGACATCAGCGCACTGAAATGACTCTTCTCAAATCTTATGAACCTGCTTATATACACTACCTCTTCCGCCGCAAATGATACACATCCAGCGCCGCGTCCGTGACCTCGCTCGGACTTCCAACCAACGGATCCGCACCGGTATGCGTCTTCGGAAACGCAATCACGTCCCTAATCGACTCACTCCCCGCCAACATCGCACACACCCGATCAAACCCCAGCGCCAGCCCCGCGTGCGGCGGACACCCCATGCTCAGCGCGGTTAGGAGATGCGTGAACGGGTTCCGCGGCTGGGCCGCGTGCGGGTCCGGCTCGACGTGCGGGATGCGCAGGATGTGCGCCATGATCAGCCGTTGCAGAAGCGAGTCGTGGATACGCGTCGAGCCGCCGCCGACTTCGACGCCGTTCAGCACGAGGTCGTAGTGTTGCCCCAGCACCGTGCGCGGATCAACTTGCTCGCCACTCTCTATCGCGCTCATCACTTGCGGAAGCGAATCCAGCGCCGGCATCGTGAACGGGTGGTGCGTGGCCGTCAGGCTGTCGTAATCAAACTCGATATGCCCGTCCACGACCTCTGCCTTTTCGAGCGGCGTAAACAGCGGGAACTCGACCACCCACAGCGGCGCAAAGCTCTCGTTGTCGAGCACGCCTGTCTCCCGCAGAATCTGAAGCCGCTCACGGCCCAGGGGTGTAGGGTTCTCGAACGGCATCGATTGTCGCGTGCACGCGTACACCACGTCGCCAGCGCGGAGGTCGTATTTTTCCGCGATCGCGCGCGCGGTGGTTGTCAGATCGCCGGAGGTGAGCTCGAGGTTGAACTTCTGCTGGCATTGCATGAGCCAGGTGGTTACCGAGGCTGGTGAGTCGAGTTGGAAAACATAGGGTGTGCGAAGGGTTGGATAGATGGGGGGTGGTGATGGGTCCGGAAGCGGGGAGGAGGTCGGAAGGGGTCTGTAGATTAGGATCTCAAAGACTGGGTAGTCTTTGTGGACCGTTGCGGTTGCGAATTCGCTGAGATCGATGATCTCCAAAACTGTCAGTATATAGTAGAACTCTGAAAGGAAAAAGAAGTACGTACCTCCATACCCCCGCGAACGTCGGGTTTATCGATTCCATACCTCGTCATCGCCTCAAGATACGTCATCCTCGGAAACGGCACCTGCAACTCCGCCCCCCTCACCTCCCCCCACAACCTCGCCACACACCTCTCAACCACATCAATCACGTCCTCGGCGCCCGCAAACCCCATCTCGAGATCGACCTGCGTAAACTCAGGCTGCCTGTCCGCCCGCAGATCCTCGTCGCGGAAACACTTTGCAATCTGAAAGTACCGGTGCACGCCGCCCGCCATCAGCAGCTGTTTGTACTGCTGCGGACTCTGCGGCAGCGCGTAGAATTTCCTCTCGTTTGCACGCGACGGCACGAGGAACTCGCGCGCGCCCTCGGGCGTCGAGCGGAAGAGAAGCGGGGTCTCGACCTCCGTGAAGCCGTCGAGGGAAATGAATTGGTCGCGCACGATCTTTGCCGCTTTACTCCTGATTGCGAGCGCGCGCTGCAGCTGCGGCGTGCGGAGTTGCAGATACCGATCTTTCGGGTCCCATTCTTTAGCCTCGCGCACTTGCGAGGCGAGGTCGTGAGGGTGGTTCAGCGCCGTGATCGAGATGATCTTGACTTCGTATCTGTTCGTGCCTTGGTGCTGCGACACCGTGCCTTCAACGCACACCGGAGTTTCCTGCTTCATCCGCGCCAGCACTTCTCCATCACGCTCAACCTCCTCCTTCCCGCTCCGGAACTGCACAAGCTGTATCGTATTCTGCTCGTCCGCGTCAACATCAAACTGCACGCCGCGCAACCTCGCAAACGTAAGCTTCTTCGACATCTTCCGCGGCGCGCCATCAATCCATCCATGCAGCACGACCTTCGGTGGTTCGCTGGATGAGGAGGAGGCGACAGATGCAGCGATCGTGGCGTCTCTGTACAGCTCTGCGATCGAATGCGTCGCTTTCTTGAACAAAACTATCCACCCTCCTAGTCAGCAATTACTCCAACCCCCCCCCCCCCCTCACAAAAATAAGACTACAAACTCACATCTCTGCATCAAGCTCGGACTCAACCGCGTCTCGTACGCCGACGGCGTTCGTCCACTCTCCTCACCGCCCTCCGTCTTCCTTCCAGACGAAGAAGAAGCATACTCCCTCACCACCACCATACCCCACCCGCCACCACCACCAATCTTCCTCCGCGTCTGCGCTATCCTGCCGTAGCTGCGTATCCCGCGCGCGGCGATTGCTGCAGCAGACACTGTTCTCATGTCTTTTGCTCAGTTACCTGATGTTCAGATAGTCTACTTTTGCGAGCACGGGAAAAAGGTTCGGGAATAAGTTATTGCGAAGTCGCCTCGGGTTTTAACGTTTGCAGGTCGCATATCCGTCTGTTCTACGCTGCGGATATGCGGAAAGTGTATCGGGTTAGGTCTTGAATTGTATTGCCATATGCCATGTGAGAAGTTGCTCCTTCTAGTAGTAGGAAATTACAGGACGTCGGTGGTATTCCACGACCAGTAATCGACTCTAGCGCCGTTACTCACCAACAGTCCCTGCGTCGGCTTATTACCGTCATGGGTCTCTCTCGAGACGGGTCTGCCGAGCACCGAGCTATACGTCACTCTCGACACAGACTTGTCGAGCACCGCGTTCGACCACTTTGCGACCCTGGGAATGATATCAAACTTCATCTGCGTGAGCGGCGACTTCATCTGCATGCCGGTCCAGACGTTATACAACTTAACTCTGTGCGATTGGTCCGCGACAGCGAGAAGGTTGCTGTCGTTGGAGATGTCGAAGGCGTGGTTGAAGACGTAGTCGTTCTCGTAGCCGTCGTAGGTTATTACTGCTGTGGTGGATTGCTTGCGGTGGTTGATTTGGTTGCGTTTGGTGGGGGAGTAGTCCTGTGGGCGGTTGTGGGAGTTCTGTTTCTGGGGCGAGGGGGGTTGCGATGGTGGTCGGTCTTGGAGCTTGGTGGATCTCAAGTCATAGAGCGCGAGCTGTCTTGCGTTAGTAACAGTGCCCGAGAGTATCAAACAAGAAACTTACAGAGTCCTCGAGACCGCTGACCACAAAATACGCATCTTTCACGATCTTCATCTTTGAGATCGCCGACGGATGCCGCAGCAGCGTCGGATGCCGATGACTCAGCGACCGAATCCTCTCACTCGCAGTCGCAGGAACGCGCGTGTCGAAAATCCTCACCCCGCCATCTCTCAGGCCGGCAAGAAAGACCTGCGGCTGCCAATACTCGAGCGCAAAGACGTCCGACGCAAGCTGATACTTTGCAGTCGGGACCATGCCGTCCTGCGTCATGTGATAGGTCGAAATCACTTCGGATCCGCCGATCGCCATGTCGGTGGTCTCGTCGCAGGCTGCCGAGCACCGCGGCGACGGACCGGAGCGGAACCGCATAAAATGGTAGCAGGTCGCGTGTATGCGGCTGCCAGCTATGCTAAATGGTTCTTTGACGGAGGTCCAGAGGGTGGCGTTGTAGTCGTCGCCGGACGCGCATTCGGCGGTGACACTGGTGCGCGTTAGTCTGTGTCGGGCAGCTTAGAAATAGGGAGTACGTACAGTCCGAATTTTTCTGTCCTGCTTATTGACGTGATCTGTATACACTCTGGTTGTTAGCAACGTCAGTGATACTGTGTAATGATAGATGCGTGTACCGGTCCGCTAAACTCAGCAAACGGCGTCGTCATATCCAACTGACACGACGGCTCATTCAAACACTTTGCGACCGAGTACTCCTTATACACCCCCGACGCGGTTCCAATCCACAGATTATACTGAACCTCCGACTCATTCCACTGAATATCCATACACGTCACCCCCAGATTATCCGTCCGCCCGGATCCCCAGAGCCTAGACTTCAACCTGAGCCCGCCGCAAAACGTGCGCGCCTCGAGATCCCGCCGGTGCCCGCGGCTCGTGTGTCCGGGGTTTCCCATCTCTGTGAGGTGCGGCAGACTCGCGATCGTCATGGGGAATACTTCGGCGGCGAGTCTGAGTCGGCGCGAGTGCCCGTGGGAATGGATCGGTGTCGTGGTCGTGCTTAGTGTTATCCGGGTGCGCCGGTGCACTTTCCTGAGTCTTGTCTCCTGCGGTAGATAGTCAGCACAGGAAGTTGCAGTGAGAGCACAGGGATAAGGTAGTAGTACCTCGGCCTCTGTCTTGAGTCGTTTGTTGACTTTGTCGGTGGTGTAGAAAGAAGCTCCCCCGCCTGCCGACCCAGGCAGCACCTTGAAATATTTCCCTTTCTCCTCGTCTATGTCAACCCGTCAGCTTCTCCACATATATCTTCTCTCTACCGCCTCTCGTAGCAGCAGCATATAAACAAGCGATAAAACCCACCATAGTAAAACCCAGGTATCTCAGGAGCCACCATCACTGCAGTCAGCACCCACCAGCCGCTCTCTTCTCTCAAGTCAAGCTACAAGCAAGCAGGCAATACTCTACTCTCTCAAAATCGTCTTCTCAGCACCGTCTATACCTAGACTCCAACACTCGAACCCTCTGTCTGTGTATATACGCGGGGGTGAAGCAAGCTGCCAGCTAAACTGAATGTTTGTTGTTGATTTTTGGGAGTTGTGGCGATACAACTGCGGTGGCTGATTTATCAGCGTGCCTCACTTACTGTCTTATTCGTGCACCGTGATTTTAACCTAAATTTAGATGCCCTAAACCGCAGCGAGCATCCTGCCAACGCGTGGTGTGTAGAGTACGCGTCTTTGTCTCCTGTTGATTCGGCCTTGCGAGCTGCGATAACACAGCTGAAGAGGATTTTGACTAGGGAATTGGGGTATGGCGCCGAGAGCAGATGCGCTCACGGCGGAGAAGTATCTTGAGTATGCGTACAAGAAGGTGAAGGCGGAGGATACCTCTGCCGCCATCATCTTGTTTACAAAGGTTCGTTCAACTGCCTTTCTATAACTCCTAGTGACCCTTGTACTAATACCAGCAGGCCTTTGAAAAGCTAAAACAACAAGGCAAACCAATCCCCGCAACACACTTAGACTACCGCGCGTCCTGCTTCGAGAAAGAAAAAGAATACGACAAGGCGCTGCGCGACGCGCTGACAATCACGCAGCTGTACCAGCGCGATATCAAGGGATATCTGCGCGCGGGGAAGATATACCAGCTGAAGAAGGAGGATGTGGAGGCGATGAGGGTGTATAAGGTCGGGTTGGAGAAGGTGCCGGAGTCGCATAGGTTGACGAACGTGCGTATGTCTGCGTTGTTTACAGTAGAGGATTGGCTAACTTTGAGTAGTTGATGAAGGAGATGTATGCGCAGGTCGAGTCCAGAGTGAAGAGAGCGAAGAAGTTGGCGGTGGTTTCTACAGACGCAGCGCAGAGCAGACGGGTGAGTATAGATGAAAAGCGAGAGCTGGAAGGATGTGCGCAGGCGGGATCCGGGCATTCGCGACAGACAAGCGGGAGTCACAGTCGACAGCCAAGTGGAGGTCGCGCGCGCCAGATCTCTGGAGGCCACTCTCGCCAGACATCTGGAGGCCACTCTCGCCAGACATCTGGAAGTCACTCTCGCCAAACATCCCGTACAGGATCACTACCGCCGCAGCGCCCTCCTATAGACCTTCTCCAACTTCTCCCCCTCGAGCTCGTCGAGCAAGTCTTCAGCCACCTCCCATTCGAAGACATTCTCCGCCTCCAAACCGTCTGCAGATCATGGCGACAATATATCGCCTACACGCCGCAGCTCTGGTCGCGCGTCGACTTCCGCTCGTGTCAGCGCCAGTGGATATCCGCGCAAACCCTGCAGCTCTATCTCTCCCGCGCGCACGGCGGCACGACAGAGCTGCATCTCCGCCGCGTCAGGTCGAGTGCCGTCGACAGGGTGAGCTCGATAATCAGCGAGCGGTGCACACAGAACCGGCTGCGCGTGCTGACCGCCGACGCGATGTGCCAGCCGTTTGCGAGTCCGAGCCCGGGACTCGTATGGGAGCGGTTCGATAGTCTGAGGACGCTGCGGCTCGCATTGGCGTATAACAACTCGGTGATGTCTGAAGTCATCGTGAACGGCCGGTTTCCAAGCCTGCAGACGCTGCACTTGTACGCAGTCGAGCCGACCGATCGGTTTCTGAATACTCGGATTCCCATCGATCTATTTCACCCTGTGCGGCTAGCAACGCGCCGAGGCGCAAAGCTGGTGCAAAACGCGAATCTGCAACATCTAGTGCTGGACGCGCGGTTTATCAACGTCAACCTGCCTCCAGATTTCGGCCTGCTGGTCGCGCTGTGGCCTAATCTGCGCACGTTGTGGCTTCTTCGTTGTTTTATCGGCACGGATGATTCTGCGGAAATGAGGATTTCGATAGACAAGAGTTGTCCGATTCGGCTGATGCTGCATGAGACGAACAAGCAGCTTCTCGATCTGAACCTGTCGGGGTCGATTCTCCACGCGATGCCGTCTCTACCACCGAGTTGCCAAAAGCTGGTGCTAAGCAAAGCTGAGGGTCCAGGCGCGATTCCACGATGGTTGGAAACCGAAAGCGAGGGCGGCGAGAGGGTCGGTTATAGCAGTGTCCAAGTACTTGAGGACGAGGATCCCTACGATGTCGTGCAGGATGAATATAAAGGACTACGGCACCTCGATCTTTCGTACGGCGGCGAGAGACTGACCAGCGAGGTGTTTGTGAATGTGCTACAGCGCGTCGACGGCACGAGACTCACGCGGCTTGATATCCAGAGCTGTTCCAGGCTGGAGACGGACGTGGTTGACAGAATAGTCGAGCTGGCTCCTCACCTGCGGATCCTCCTCATCGGACTCAATTCGTGGCTGAAAGACGATTCACTCGCGACCCTGCACCGGCTACGAGAGCTCGAATACCTCGACATCTCCAGCACGTACGTGGCCTTCATCGGGATAGTCTGTTTACTAGGCGGCCCGGACCGCGACCGCGACGGCAAGCGGATCAGCATGGCCGCGCTCACGAGCCGGATCGAGGGGATGTACGGGATCGAGCAGCATAGGCGGATGGACGGGCGACGGAGGTTGAGGACGTTGGTGATGAATGGGTGTGAGCGCGTGAGCGTGGATGTGGGAAGGTGGGTGCGCGGGTTGGGGGTTACGGTTGAGCATGATATTTCTGGGATGTATGAGTATGGGCAGAAAAGGCGGAGAGTACAGTAGATCTTGATATAGCAAGAGTACAGTAGATCTGCTTGATATAGCAAGAATACAGTAAATTCACAAAGTCCACATCTATATATCGGGGGTCTCCCTCCCACAACGACAACCCACAAAGTCAGACCCGCCCGACACACTTTTCTTTCCTTTCCGTTCGGCCTTTTCTTTTTAATTTTTCTTTTCTCAAAATCACCTTCGTGGACTGTCGGCAAGTGCGTGCGGAAAAGTCCTAAACCTTGACTGTGGGTGAATGAGATGAGCGAAACTCAATTGCAGGGGGAGGGAAATGAGATTTTTGTTATGATGATATGCTGGCTTTTGTATCATCTTTCTTTGTAACTATTTCATGAATAAAAGAAATATCAAAGTAATCCAACACAAACACTCACATCAATTCAGCTGCTCATCCCACCTCCATCTCCCCATCGCAGTACCCTCCTCTCCTCTCATCTCAAAAGAAAACCCCGAACCTTCCTCTCATCCAATAGCAACCCGTCGTCGGTGGTGGGCACCCGACCGCTACCGCCGACGCCGCCGTTTGCCGTCACGGCGGCGTTGAGCGTTTGTTTGTTCGTGCTGCTGCTGTTGTGCCGCTGTTGGTGGTATTGTTGCTGCTGCTTCTTGGCCTGCCAAGAGGAGGTGGTTGGAACTGTTGAATTGAGAAATAGCGTAGAGAAAAGTCTAGGCAACAACTACTCCATCCTACCTTTTCATCCTACCTCCATCTACAACCCACTACAAGCATCTACACCTCATCCTCTCCAACTGCACTCACGCAACTCTTTCTTTTTCCAACGCCTCCTCAGCCGGCGCACGCCATTAATTTCACAATCTCCCCGCCCACTCATTTCAGCTCGCTTTTCCCGCCTCTCAATTCATGCGCCGTTCTTTATTTACCTTTGCCGAGTGCGGCTGCTGCTCCATTCAACGCTTTTTTTCACCGCCGCCGCCGCCGCCGACGGATGTGAACGAGACTTGCTCGCTGCCAATGCCGATGCCAATACTCTCCCTTTCCAAGACCTTGAACCTCCGCGCCGAGACAATTCGTATTTTTGATGTTCTTCAAGGTTGATGAAACACGAGACATGTAGATATCCAAAACCATCCTCACCACCTCTCTCTCATACTCTCTCTTCCACTCATTCCTCAACCTGCGCTACGAACCCAGAGCTAAGAGCACCTTCCGAAACCAGTAATACCCACACCCTCGGTTCCTCCCTATCAGCTCATCCACCGCACTCCCATCTTTCTCCGTCCTTCTTCCCTCTCTGCTCCTTCCCGTCCTTCCCGCGCCGACCAATCATCTGCGCGCTTTATAATCATTCAAGCAGAGTAAACTCCATGCGTAGCGCCGCCGGGTCAGCTTCTGCTTCACTGGTCTAAAGCCTTCCTAATGCACTCACTCGCTGCTCCTCATGCAGCTTCTCCGTATTCAATCCATTCCTCTATTTCCAATAGTATTTCTGATAGTATTTCTAATAGTTATGGCGTCCCGTTTATTCCAAAGACATATCTCTATAACAAAAGAATGAAAAGAATGAAAAAGAAAGAAGAAACAACCGGGACAACAAACAAAGCAACACTGCCTCAGTTCTAAACAGCAACAAAAACGCAGAGAATAACGTATATACGTATTATTGTATTAAAGTCTAGGAACCTCACGCACATATTACCCCATTACACATAACAAAAAAGGATAATAAAAAGAAAAAACCAAAGAGGATATATAATCGTAGCAACAAAAAGGAAAGTATATATGCGGTTGCGTGCGCGCGCAGAGAGAAACACAAAAACAATTAAAAGTTGCCGACAACATAGGAATCAAAACAAAAAGAACTAGTTGGGTAATTATTTTTCAATTCCTATTATCCACATCAATTATTGCACAAAGCGCGGTATTAAACAAAAAAAGTGATTTAAAAAAAGAAAAGCCAAGTGGAGAAACATAAAAAAAAAAGCACGAATGCGGAAAAAGACAAATTCACATTCTAAGCATAATTAAGACTTTTTCTTTTCATTTCCCTTCCTTTCCTTCCTTTCTTTAGTTGGCCTTCTCGTGCTGAGTCGACACGCGCTGCATCGAGACCAAGAAGTCCTCGAGCGATCGCTGCTTGGGCTTCTCCTTGATACCCTTGCCGTTCATCAGACGGTCGAAACCGACAGACTCAGACATGAGGTAGTAGGCACCACCCAGAATGCAGAAGATACCGAACGAGAAAATCCAGACACGGACGACAGCGACAATCGAAGTCTGGCCACCAACGAACCATCCGAAAACACAGAAGATCGTGGAGATGACATCGACAATGAACACAGCACCAGCCAACTGCCACGAAGGAGCAGACGACCAGAAAGGTCCGGAAGCACGGGTAATGAAAATAAGCCAGTTCTCAGTGAGCGAAATCTGGAGGAAAAGAACCTCATCACGGACACCAAAGTTCTGGATAATACCACGGCCATGCTTTCCGTGAGTGAACATGGTGGTAAGAGTAATCCAGGTACCGATGGCAAGAATGATTCCGAGAACAACAGACATACCCCAGAGACGAGGCAAGTTCCACTTGACGGGCTTGGGAGCGTAAGGAGCGTTATCATAAGCAATAGCGAGAGTGGCGACATCAGCAAAGATGGCAATAAAGACAATAAGCTCAATGTTGAGCGAAGTGTTGAGGATAGCAATCCAGAGACCGAGGAAGAGCTCGAGATGGAGCGAGAGAGCGATACGGTAGACAACGTACGAGTACATACGGTGGAAAATCTGGCGGGAAGTCTTGAGCGCATCAATGATAGCAGAGAGACCAGGAGCCAAGAAGACGATATCGGCAGCAGAGCGGGCGGCATCGGAAGCACCCTCGACGGCAATACCGGTATCGGCACGCTTGAGCGAAGGAGCATCGTTAACACCATCACCAGTCATGGCAACAAGGTAACCACGCTGCTGGAGAATCTCGACGACGTTGTACTTGTGCTGGGGGAAAACCTCGGCGAAACCATCAGCGGCCTCGACGAAATCGTAAACCTCAGAGCCGGGCATGTCACCGCCGCCACCGAGACCAAGGCGCTCGGCGTTGTAGATGTTGGTACCAAGACCAAGCTGGCGAGAAGTCTCACGGGCAATACCGACGGCATCACCAGTCAACATCTTGATGGAAAGACCAAGGTTCTTGGCCTCGTTGACAGTCTTAGCGGTATCGTGACGAGGGGGGTCCATGCAAGGCATGATTCCGAGAATCTCCCAGTGGCCCTCACCGCGGCGACGAGCAACACCAAGCGAACGGAAACCACGGGTGGCAAACTCAGCGACCTTGTTCTTGTAGTCGTTAAGGACCTCCTCGGGAAGAGGGTGGTCCTCCTCGACGGTCTTCAAGACGAAAAGGGGAGCACCCTTAACACAGACAATGCGCTCTCCATCGGGAGACTCGACAATAGCAGTAACCTTCTTGGAGACAGGGTCGAAGGGGTGGAACTCGAGAACCTTGTACTTGGTAAGAGTAGACTTGGCACGGGGGTAGTACTTGAGCGACTTCAAGAAAGCCTTGTCGATAGCATCAAGACCCTTTTTCTTGCGGGCAGCGGCCAAACAGGCAGTAAGCATAAGGTCATCAGGCTCGACACCGGCGACGGTGTAGGGCTCAGAGAGGGAGAGCTTGTTCTTGGTCAAAGTACCGGTCTTGTCAGAGCAAAGAATCTCGACACCAGCGAGGGACTCAATGGCGGAAAGCTTCTGGACAATAGCCTGCTTCTCAGCAAGGTAGGCAGCACCGACAGCCATGGTGGTGGTAACGACAGCGGGAAGACCGACGGGGACACCAATGACAGTGATACCGAGGGTGAAGCGGAGGATATCGACGATAGGGTCGGTACGGTAGAACGAGGCAATCCAGACAACCATGAGGGTGGCAATGACGAGAACCAAGAGAATAGTACCAATACCGTTCAAGACCTCAGTGAAATGGCCCTGGCCACCGGAAGCCTTGTTGACAAGGGCAGCAGCGCGACCGACGAAAGTGTTGTCACCAGTGGCGGTGATGACCATGAAGGCCTCACCACGCTTGACGGAAGAGGAAGCATAGCAGTTGTCACCCTTGTGCTTGTCGACAGCGAGCGACTCACCGGTGATGGCAGACTGATCGACCTGGAGGAAGCAGTCCTCAGTGATGAGACGACCATCGGCAGGGATAATGGTACCCTCATCAACCTGGAGGATATCACCGGGAACGACCTCCGGGGCCTCGACCTCAACAAGGCCACCGTTACGGATGACGGTAGCCTTGAGAGCGAGGGTCTTCTTCAACTCCTCGACAATGGAACCAGCCTGGAACTCCTGGACGAAACCGACGGCAGCGTTAAGCATAAGCAGACCGCAAATGACACCGAAATCGACCCAGTCCTCGAGACCAGCAGCCAAGACAGCGGCAGCCTGAAGTGAAATTGTTAGCAACAATACTAAAGACAGAAAGAGCAAATGCGATTGATAATTACCTCCATGACGAACTGAATGGGACCGACGAAGTACATGCAGAACTTGAGGATCAAGTTCTCCTTCTCTTCACTCATCTGGTTAAGACCGTATTTTTTTCTCCGGGCGGTGACCTCGTCAGACGAGAGACCGTAGCGGGGGTCGGTCTGGAGGAGCTCCTCGGGAACGGGGCGAGCGGAGGCACCCTCGGCAACCTCGTCGTCGTCCTCGAGAGGGTCACCCTCCTCGGACTCGAGATCGGCGATGAGGGCATCCATATCCTCATCGGGCTCCTCGTCCTCGGGGGCGGCGGCGACCTTCTCCTTGGTAGGTTCGGTAGACATTGTTTGTTGATGTGTTGATTGATGATGCGGTTAGAAAGTCCAGCACGGGGGTTAAGTCGGGCGAGACGGACTAGCTTCTGCTTGCTGGCTGAGGAAGAACAACCGAGTGAACAGCAGCGGAAGGGACGGAGCACGAAGAAGAAGAAGAAGGAAAGACAATCAGGCAGGGAGCGGCGAGAATTATATACCAATCGAGCGGGCGGCAGCGACGGCAGCTCGAGTCTGGCTGCGATTGGGCGAGAATGAAATGACCCGGGTTTGGGTGGACCCACGCGAATCTTATTTGGGGGCGCCTGACCCGGGATGATAGGGGAGTCCGCCGCTTCCGGGCAGCTTTGTTAGATTGTGACTTGCTCTGCTGTTGGTGTTGTTGTTGCTGTTTGGTATGAATAGTAATGTTATAGATATATATATATACAGTTACATGCAGAATAGTATTGTTCTACATCTACATCTCAGCATCCTCCACCTACAATTCTCACCACAGGTGCGGCAAGAACGGCCGGCAAATTCTTTCCTCTTCTTTTGTTTTGTCTGCCGCCGCCGCACCGGGGAACTCGCGCTGCTCAAACTGGACGGTCGCTCGCTGCCCGGTCCTCCCGCCGACGCTCACTCGTCCGGCTGGCCCTCATTGTGAGGTTTTTTTCTTCTGTTTTGAGTAGTCTCTACACTCTCCTGCCAGTGCCGAATGTAGAACCGGAGAAAGCATGCCGGAAGTGTAATACGGGCTATTGTAGTGGTTCGGTGCTTATTGTATTCTCTGTCGAGGTGAGAGCGCGGGTGGGCCGGCATTTCGAGTGCCACGGAGTCTGAATAGCTCGATTGCACCTATCCTACGACACCAGACAGAGCAGGAATCATTGCTGATGAATTACTGCCAATTGCTACTATTCTGCTACAACTATCCTCCTCACTCAAATCCCCGACCAGCAATCTCTTCTCAACTCAACTCAATATCTCGTCGGTCGTCATAACAACGCCAATGTTTACGTTTTAGCGACCGAATTGAGTTCTGTTTCTGCCGCCTTTTCCGGGTCGCCACCTCCCGGAGACAGTCTGACCCTCATCTAATGGCGCCTCGGTCCGGGTCAAACTTAATTGCCGTCTGAGTTCTTGAACGAGTTTCGTCTCGAGATTGCGAGTTCTGCTTTGCTTCTGCTTAGCAGTGCACCGCACACTTGTTGCAGTGTGTAGATAGTATTGCTTCTGTTGTTATTGTTGTTGTATATTGTATGAGTATGTAGTGTGTTGATGATACTTCTTGTATTCATTTCTTATATCTACTTCTACTATTCTACTACTTCACATGGCACGCTGCCATGCTCTGGTTGTCGTCATCGTCAACGACTCTTTCACCGAATAACCGAGACGGCTATCGCTAGCCTTCATCCTCCTCTTCCTCAGATATCCACTGCTCTCATCCATACTAGTAACTAGTAACTACTAGCAATCAGTACCCTGCATACGTGGTCTACGCACGCACTCATCGCGCTCACTAGCTACAAGCAAGAATGAGCCGCCGCGGAAGTCAACCAGACCTCGGAATCGGCTATACGGAACCCCAGGCGCATAGCTCTGCAGCTCGCAGCCTGCAGCTCGAAAATGTTCGCTAGTCGACGCCATGGCCATTAGTTTTGCTTTGACTCAATTGCTTGATCTGTTGCTGTTCTTTCTTTTGCTGTTATTTCTTTACTGCTCTTTCTAGATTTGGTTGGGTGGTTAAGAACACTGAAAGTTGTGAGTCTAGTGTGGATATCTACCATATCTAAACACTAAAGGCTAAAGACTAGATAGAGACTGCGGGATTATGCAGTCAGTAGTTCACTTGTTCAACATTATGCTTTGTTTACTTTAGTTGTTTACTTGCTTGTCTCTTGCTTCTTGTTTCTTGTTTACTTTATATAGGACTGCATTATATGATCTGCGTAGATCTACTTTTCATCTCTTTGATAGTGGTAGCATACACTGTTCCACTCCATCTCTTCATTCTTTCATCCTCCACCCACCACCCACGACGGTGGGACGGTGGCCACCACCTATTCTCCTCTCCAAACCACATCACCTCAGGAAATAAATCCCTCTTGAAGAAGCATGAGCATAGACAAGAAGACAACGGGGAGCAAGTGCATGCAGGCGCGCTAGTGACGCGCACTCGGGGCCGGGTCTGGGTGCTGCTATTGTGTGCTGCGCTACGCTTAATGTGGAAGCTGCGATACTGTGTTGCCTGGGTAACTCTGCTACATCAACACAACACCTACACAGTAGTTTAACGACAGAGACAGCGACAGCGACCAACGGTGCTGATATTTGATACTGATACTGAGCACCAGCTCTGCTTATATTTAGTTCTGACGTTTGACCCCTCTTTCACTTCATTGCCGTCAGTTACTATCGTCATCGAGTTGTCCACTGTCTGTCATAACCTAGTTGTTGCAACGGACTTAAAACAGAGATTTATCATCATCATCATCATCATCGAGTTGTCCACTTGCTCCTTTCATACAGCACTAGATATTGATCACAGCAGATTACCATACATCATCCTACATCATCATAATCTTCAAACATGACGTCTCTGATAACATATGACATGCTACAGCAGCACACAACAACATCTACAGTCTACATTCTCTGTATATAGTCACGTGACAACATAACTCTGGTTAGCCGCGGCGAAGAAGTTCCGAGATGAATGAAAAAAATGATTTGATCGTTTTCGATAGAATGTAGAGCTCTGGTGAGGTATATACTCATTGTATCTGTATTATTTCGCAGTGCAGAGTAGATATTCATACACTGCTATATCATTACTCTACGCTCACTCTTCTTTACAGATTACAGAAACTGCCCTCGGAGATTCAGACAATGACGAGGACGTTCGGTAAATTCGGGAGAAGAAGGCGGATTGCGGAGCGCTATCGCCGGGATTGGAGCGGGCGAGCAAGCCACCGAGTACAATCTGTGACTGCTTGTGAGTCCCGAGGATGGGTCCGGACCCGGGCTGGCTTTGAACTGTATTTGGCAAATGTCCCTCATGTTGATTGATATGTGTTTGTTAATACTGTTTGTTGTGTTGTTGTTGCAGTCGGTCAATGCTAGAGATGCTTGTAGAGGATACTATTATCATCACAGTAGTTGTATTCTCCATCCCCAACTCCATCTACATCCTCCTCTCTACATCTCTCCACATCTCACTGCAACAGCCCAATCCGGATCCAAATAAAGTTAAGTCAGTGCGTGTTGTTGTCTTCTGTCTTCTTCCCTTGTTTGAGCCTAGCACCACTTCCTTCCTCGGGTCGTCCTGGCCTGAGCTCTCCTGCCTCTCTCCTGCTCTCTTCGTTGACTCTCTGGCAAAGTGCCGAGTTCCCGGCGTTTTGCGCGGGCCCCCGATGCTGAACTCTTGTATATGTGCTCTTGCTCCTCCTACTCGCTGCGGAATTGCCTTGACTCAACTAATCAATGAAATCCCTGCGCCGTGTTTTCCGTGCCTGCTATTTGCTGTGCTCGTCCTAATTTCCGCGCACGCGAGCAATTCCTGCTGTTCTGTAGTTTGTTGATTATTCGTTCCTCCAATATCATGCACCTGTAGTACTCTGTGTACTCTGTAGCACTCTGTGTACTCTGTGTACTCTCTGCAGTATAGGCTATAGTAATAGCACAGAGCAGGTCTCAGAGATAAGCAAAGCAGCTCCCATTGTTTCATCCACCTTCGGACCATCGGTGTTTCGTCTCAACCTCCGGCGAGGGGTTTTTTTCTCCTCTCTTCTAGGCAACTGCTTCTTCTTTGCTGTGCAGAAGCAGTACGCGGTGATGAACCAATTGCGCCCGTTTGATAAGTGTTCGGTGGCATCAGCCGTCTGTAAACCTTCCGTTAAGCTGGTGTCTGTCAGGGCACTTTTACTTGTTTTTTCTTAGTCTGTGGTATTATTTGTCTGTAGCTCGCTCTACCCTTGATCAATGCTCATTGTCCCTGCTCTCCAACAACTAATCGCATTCACCCTCTCACCTTTATCATTATCACTCTCTACTTATCATTATAATAATCTCCCTATTTTTCTCTAATTTTTTCCTATATTTTTCTCATACCTTCCTCCCCACCTCCCCTCCATAAATCCACCTAAACTTCATCAAAACACTCGCAACCCGCGCGGCGGCGATGCCCATCTCATCAACCATCTCGCACTCATCCAATTTACTCACTCTACTCACTCTAAAATAATCAAATGTCTTACAACCGCTTCTCTCCTTTCTCTCGCAGCCGACCGACGACCACACAATTCCTCCTACTGATAACGAAAATCATGTATTTGGGCTGTAAGGAAGACGGACCCGGGAACCAGAGATAATAAGAAAATAATTAATGTTTTAGTTAACTAGTGTTAGTGTCTTGGTGCTTCTTCTCGAGGAGGAGGATGTTGAGTCAAGGCGCCACTGAGCCCTGTTTATTTCTAGAAACTGTTTTCATAACCAACAGTCATGTTTAATATCATATCTACAGCAAACAAATTATAGAAAATGCTGTGAAAGCTGCAGTGCAGGTGCAGGGAAGAGCCAGAGGAGAATTGGTGTTCAGTCGTGGAGTTCTAGAAGCAATTTACTCCGTCGTCGTCCGGATTAGTGCAGCCCTTTGAAGACAGCAATTCTTGGCGAGAATACACGGATTCTTATCGATGCTCTTCACTTGATGCTTCACTGTAGCTACTCACTGCTGCTTCTATCTTACTCTCTCTGCTCTCTGCTACTCTGCTACAGCAGACATGCTCGCGTGGCAGCCGGAGTTCACCGTGATCGACTACCGCATCACAGCACACAGCACAGCACACAGTCCCGCCACCCTCTCCTCTCCTCTCCTCTCCTCTCCTCATTGTTCCACTCCCATACACCCCCATCCACCGTACTATATCTCCCACGACAACCTCATCTCAGTAGTAAAACACCAGCTAGAATCAAACAACCCCAATAAACACAAACCATCCCACCATTTGGCATTGGCACCGGCACCGGCACCGGCACCGGCTCATCCGGAGCCAAAAGCCACGACCAGATCGTCAGGAACAACCAGTGATGTCAGTAAGCCATCCAGCCATCCATCCCTATCCGCCGCAGTGAAGTCATTCTTTCATTCACACACTCTCTCTGCGTTTTCTGTTCCTGGGTCAGAGTCGAAATCCGCCGCCGCGTTTAACAATAACACAAAACACAAAACACTACTTCCCCATTCGGCCCGCCAGACCCTCTCCGCTCGCTCCTCCGAACGCTTGCCTTCCGTGCTCTTCCGAGCCTGGCCTTGTCCTTGTCCCGCCCCCTTCGCCGGCAGTGTCGGATGGCTTTTTTGAAATCTCAATGTCGTCATCGTGAACAATGCGGTTTACTCATGACCTCACTAACCCATCTTCTGTTCAGCGCCACTCACCTCTCCATAATGGATGATAATGGATGCACCGGATAAATCGAAAATCGCGCAGTACTCTACACCCTTCTTTCCACATCTGTGACCTTTTGTTCTTCTTGTTGTATTGTGCATAGATAATAGATAATAGATAATAACCCATCGGATCATGCATTATCCGTGTGGCACCCACATTATGCATCTATCCAAACAATGTGATTATAGTACTTCCTTTCTACTTCCCACTCGGGTAATTCCCTCTCTCCCTCTTCCTCTCTCGTAAAGTTACCTAATAATATCGATTCAAAGCTATCTGCATAACCCATCCTCAAATTTCAACACACTAAACACAAACAAAATTCACATGTCTGTCTGCACTCACTCGTCGTAAACGTAAATCTCTCGGCCTGACAGCTAGAGCAACTAGAGCAGCGAGACCGTTGACAAGACAGACTTCTTCCATACCATATACGCCATAAGACAATTTCTTGCAAACTAGTACTGTAAAAACACAAGGTTTCCTAATAATATCGATTCAAAGCTATCTGCATAACCCATCCTCAAATTTCAACACACTAAACACAAACAAAATTCACATGTCTGTCTGCGCCCTCAGTCGTCGTCTAACCTCTCGGCCTGACAAATAGAGCAGCTAGACGTTTGTCAAGACAGACTTCTCCATACCATATACGCCATAAGACAATTTCTTGCAAACTAGTACTGTAAAAACACAAGGAAAAATAGAGTGGTGTGCGTGATTGAATAAGATGATCGAGAGATATCGACCATGAGAAGTTCAGACTGGCTGTCCGTTACAAGTCACCCTTGTAGCAGTATAAGCGCAAGTTCAAATGAACTCAAGAGGCACAGCCTACTCCCAATCCTCCTCCTCCTCCTCCTCCTCTCCCGCCTTCGCAGCCTTCGCTCCCTCAGCCCGCAGGTCCGCCTGCGAGTTCGCAGCCGACACCAAGTCATAGCTGCTCTCGCTCGACGGTCTCGAGCTGTTTGGCTTCGACTCAGTGACTGCAGCAGGCGCAGCAGCAGCAGACGCAGCGCTATCCTCTGCCTTCAGAGTCTCGGTGGACGTCGACGCCTTCGACGCCACGCCAGACTTACTCTCCGCAACCTCCTCCTCCTCCTCGTCCTCATCCCAATCAAAGTTCTCCTCCGCCGTGCCCGCCTCCGTGAGCAACTGCTTCCGTCTCGCTTCCTCCTGATTGATCTGCTCGCGCAGGAAATAGTACCGCCGCCAAAACTCGTCGTACGCAATCTTCTCCGGCACAAGCTTCTCCATCAACTTGCGCAGCTCCGGGTAGTGCTCCAAGTCGTTCACGATCGTCTCCGTCTGCGTGTCGGCAGAGAACTTGGCCGCGTACTCGTCGTACGTCGCGTCGCCCGCGTCCGCCGCCAGAAACGGCTCGACCGAGGTATGCAGCGCGTGCAGCTGCGCGTCCAGTCGCGTAGTGTAGATATGTCGCTTGATCTCCTCCGGCACGTCAAACAGCACGTCCTTGGTAACCTGCGCCGACCCCGCCTCCTCGACCTCGTCCTCCCCCGGCGCGATCGTTACCGCGTCCTGCAAAAATAACTTGACGTCTTTCCCAAACTGATCAAAATACTTATTCAAATCCACGTTCTCGAGCTCGTCAAGCCGCGCCTGCGCCTTCCCCTTCAGCACGCCAAACATCTTACTCGTGCTCGCCGGCGCAGTCGTCACAGTCGACCGCACGCGCCGGGCTGCACTCTCGGCGGTAGACGTGTCGAGACTGCGGCGGGTGCTCGTGACAAACGTGGAGGCCTGGCTCGCGGCCTGGCTCGCGACCTGCGTGGCCTGCGACGCGATCGTCGACGTGCGCACTTGCTCGGTGATCATCGTCAGCTCCTTCGCTGCTAGCTCCGAGGCTACCGATATATCTTTCTTTGTCTCCTCGATCGCTATCTCGCCCTGCATCAAAACTCATCGTCAGCCCACACACACACACCAACAACCTAGACGACAAAATCTACAGATCACATACCTGCTTCCGCACCGTCTCCCAAAGCCCACCAATCTTCATCCCCCAAGCAGTACCCTGGAACGTCGCCATCGCGTCATTAATCTCCTCCGTCAACGTCTGCGCCGGCGCAGCAGCAGCACCGCCCTCAGCAGACGCTCCCGCCTCTGCACCGCCGTTCTCGGGATCAGCCGTCGGGAGGTCGGCGAGCGCCTCCTGCTGGATGGCATCGTACGCGGTATCCATAACGTTCTCTTACTATTCCACAAAGCACGAACGAGTCTTCAGTATAGAGAAAGAGCAGTGCCCTCTTACAAAGTAGATCTTATCTAGTACAATAGCGCAGAATAAAGAAAGATCCGCAGACAGGATCTGAAGTCAGGCGGAAGGGAATACGGCACGTTCGTGATTAGTTCTGAGAAGGGTTGGCTGATGTACGTACAAGAGAGCCGCAAGCTCCAAGCCCAAAGGGTTTGTGCTGCTGCACATATTTTAGAGTTTGGGGTTATCCTGCCGCCTGCCTCTGCCTGATCTCTGTGACTAGAGCATGTTTTTATTTCTGTTTGGTTTGGGGATATTGTAGTGTGAAGAGGTTATTGATAAACAGAAGGAGAGCTGGTTGAGTCGGGTGTCGTAGATGACCTTGGTGCTCATGCGGGGGAAGACGGAAGTCGTCGCATGCGCGCGCAATGCACTCGACTCACACCACAGCACCCGCGATAAAAGTCACGGACTAACCAGCATTCCCCACATAAAAAGATAATCAAGAATCATCGTTCGTCATTGTATCTTCTCTGTAACCCTGCCCATCCCTTGACTCAATTCGGCAGCACCGCTAGTCCATCAGATACCCATCCATCTGCAACCTGATCTCTCTCGATATCTCAACCACGACGTCCCACGCTACATTAACCGCCCATCTACTCTTCGACTCGAGCATATCGGAAAGGTGACTCACGCTCGCCATGCCTCCTGATCGCACAATCATCTTCAGCGAGACAAGGGTCGCGAACTAGATCGGGTCGTGTCAGTCACGTTGATGTAGAAGCAGTGTAGAAACAAAGAGTGGCTCGGCTCACCTGGGTCTGGATATCTATAGTCGAATCATACTGCTCTGGCACGATACACTTCAAAATCGCCAGCAATCGCTCATACTCAAACGCCGACGGCGCCAATATCCTCGTATTGATCTACCCTCAAATGTCAGAAGCAGCCTCTTCTACCTCCACAGAGCACGCAAAAAAGAGTCACCCACCTTATCCTTGTATTTAGTGTGAAACGAGTTCCGCGGCCGCTTTCGCATAATCCGGATCCGCGAAAACAGCTTGACGTCGTGTCTCGGCTTGTTGTACGAGGCCAGGTATGCCGCGCACAGCAGGTACTTTGACAGAATCGGCATATCGTGGTACCCATTCTGCTGCACCGACTCCCCGCTGCCGCGAACGCGCAAAAAGAGGGAATTTGAAATCAACTCCTCGGACGAGAGCAGCGGCCGATGCAGTCGATACAGATCGAACCAGCCCGAGTTTAAACTCGCGGGTACGGCGACGGCTCCCTCGACAACGGGCTTTGCGTAGATTGCAAACGCCTTGCGCATCACGGCTTTGAATTGCGCAATGTCGGGCCCGTAGAGCGGGAAGTATGTGTCGACGATGATCTGGCAGTACGTAGCCCAGAGCGAGAACAGTTTCTCGTCTTCGATTGCGAATGCGGTCGTCCCGCGGCGGGGAAGGAGTTTGCGGATCCGGGGGAGTGGCTCGGAGCAGAGGATGGCGGTGGTCTCTTGTTTTGTGTAGGGGGTGAAGAAGATGTGGGGGTATGTAGTCGTTTGCGATTTGCGGGGATCGCTACCTGCTGAGCTGACGAGGATAAATGTCAGGTTAACGTGGTGAAGCTAGACAATCGATAGAAGTAAGTGAGACCGCTACGATACTCCACAAGCACTGAAGAACAAAAACCCACCATCTCGCCCACTTTTGTAAGAAACTGATACAGCGCCTCAACAGGCTCCCCCATCTGATCGATCCTATCCAAGACGACGAAATGCGCCTGCTCAGACCGCAGCTCGGCAAGTATCCCATCGACCTGCTCCACGAACGCCGCAAACGATCCACACGCCACGCCGTAGTCAGACGCGCTCGGCTCGACGTCGTTGGCTTCTATTAGTTGTGTTGTCGTCGGTCGCCGTTTCAGGGCGCGCAGGGAGGCGGTTATTCGCTGTAGAACTACTCGTGTGCTCAGACACTCGTCGACGGAGATCCAGGAGTGGGAGTACCCTGTATCCCTAAAGAACCGTTTCAGCACACATGTCTTCCCCGACGATAGTTGGCCAGTCACGGATAGAAACAGTGGATTGGCTACCGGATCCTATATCGCAATGAATTTGTTAGTCTGAATCCAGGAGGTAAGCACGCGAAGACGATGTCGAAGACTTGATCTCACCGAGGTTAGAAATATGTTCAGCTGCTCAAACTGATAATACCGAGCCGGATACTCTCTCGCCAGCTCCAGCAGCTTCTCTGCGCTCAATTCACCCATGCCAAACAGTTCAATATTCTCTGCACTGTCTTAACAGTTCGACGCGTCCTTTCACTTTGAATTTCCAAACGCGCAGGGAGAGAAGAGCCAAGCCACATCTTGAACTTTGTGGCACAGCACCTCTCCTCGTGGCGGTGCCGCATCACGAAAATTCGCTTTCTTCTCGGGATTCAACCTTCTCACAGCTGCTGCAGCTCGCTTCATATTCCACCAGCAAATTCAGTCGTTTCTTGTCTTTACACACACAAACATCAGGGACAAAGAAAATGTCTTCCGCGTCAACAGCTGCGAGCACAGTGAAGACGGCCATCGCCGCCGTCTCGAAAACCATTATCGGAGGCCGCGTCGCCAGCAAGCCGCCCGCCGAGCGCATGCACAAGCTCCTCAAGACCTCCTGCGACGTCTTCGAGACGTTCTACAACCCGCTCAACTACAGGACCGGAAACAAGGTCCTCCGCAAGAAATTCGCGGGGCCGACCGTGGCGTCGTATTATCCGCAGAAATCGCCAGTCACGATGGGAACTATCCGCAAGGCGTTTCCTGGGTTTGAATTCCCGTTGCCGGAGAACGAGCTGTTCCGGATGTCGATGGCTGAGGTGTATGTTTTTTTGTTTAAATCTTGTGTTGAGAGATTGCGATGGCGTGCGATATGCTAATTCTTTCGTTTCAACAATCTAGCCGCCGACGAAGAGGAAAGGGACCACCAACAAAGAAGGACGAATGTAAGTGTTCAATCAATCCTCAATCCTTCCACTCTCATATTTACTTTTCTATTTCTATCACTGTCGTTTGAATTCGTAACTAACATCTCGTTTCTCAATAGCTGCTCAAAAGTCGAAGCATCGCAGACGGTGAACGAATTCTCTCAACTCTTGAGTTTTTGATGCCTGTCTTTCTTGCAATGCTTTCTCCCTTTTTATCTATCACCGGAGGTTTTCTTTGAATTTGATATTCAAAAGTTCCGGGCCATCCTCTCTTTGAATCGATTACTACGTTCGGTTTACGCATCTCACTTTGTACATATACACATCTACCCACACAAATCTTCTTACCAAGCGACGACACCCGAATTGTCTGTCTGTCTACCTTTGTTTATATGTAAAATATACAATCATTTATGCTATACAATCATCGCGCTCAAGACGTGGGCTTGTAGCGCTGGCTTACTGAATCGCAGATTGGGGTTTATGTAGTTATATGTATTGAACTGCGTTGTAGCAAAAAGAGTGAAAGAAAGTGAAAAGAAACCTCCTACAAACGATTGAGATAAAAGAAAGAAGGAAAAGAAGAAAGAACTACTGAATCGCACTACTCAGTGCACAAAACAAAAAAGACGTAACAGCAAGAATCTCGCCAAACACCTCAAGCTATCTGCAGATAGAATAGAATGAAGAGTAAGAGCACGCGCGCCTTCTCCTTTCGCAAACGACTAGTACTCCTAAAGATGCAGTCGACGGACTACTTTACTCTTAGTTATGCCTGCACCTCCTGCGCGCAACGATTGATGGTCCAGGGAAATCCAGGTCGAAAGGCGAGATAGCAAAGAAAATGCGGTTAATGACCTATCGTCAGGTTCAAGAGCCTGACAGATCAAAAAGCAGTCTACTCAAGACAGAGCGGGACTTGGACCGTGAGGAAAGATGAACCTTTAATGAGATAGAAAATATATTAACAGTCCGTTCAAGATATACGCCGAAACCGAGATAATCCACAATCACCAGTGAAATAACAGCAAAAGAATCACAAAGAGAGAAAACAATGGATTACCTCTCGTACACCTACGAACGGCATCAAGAAAACAAAGACAAAACAAAGACAAATAAGAGACTGTAGGACGTATAGCAGTAGAAGTCATTGAAACCAGCCCGCGCTTGTCAAGCGAAAAAGATAACGCACAAAACTCCACAAAAACTAACAGATTCAAAAAGCAAATAGATACCTTCAAAAGCTCTCGTCGAACCCGAACGTGTTCTCGCCAGAGTATCTGTAGAGGAGGGGGAACGTTAGCTGACTCATTTTGACTGAGATCACGCGGTCGGAACCGGCGGTAGATAATGCGAAAGCGAAAGACTCACGAAATATACAAAAAGCCATCCTCGTCCTTGTGCTCCTCGTAGATAGAGCTCATGAGGGCCGCGGTAGGAGGCAAGACCTCGTCGACGTAGATGAAGATAGCCTTCTCGGCGGCGAGACGGATGCGCTTGCGGATAACGTAGACAAACTGGCCGACGGTCAGATCCGCAGGGACAAGGTACTTTCTCTTGTCGATGGTCGCAATGTCGCTCTTCTCGACCTTCTCGCAGATGACCTGCATGACGATGATAAACTAGTCAGTCTCGAAACTTGACGCGTGGTCCGCTGCTTACGGGGTGCTAGACAGATTGTGAGTAGGCTTACCGGTATGCGATCAGAGTACTTCTGGCGGATACGCTCGGCTTCGGCCTTGCGCTTCTCTGTAAATCAAAAAAAAAACGGTTAGCAGTGAACTAGAAGCTAGAGATGGATGATATCCGATCAGAACGGTGCAGCTGCTGACTATGAGCAATCAGCTAGTCAGGGCAGCTCACGCCAGCTAGATCGGCATCACAACCACCCAACAGCGCAGCGACACGTACCGAGAGGGTGCTCGTCTTTGAATTTCGAACGCATGATTAAAACAGATGAGATGAAAGGTCAGATAAAGATAGAAAGCAGCGCAGGGAGATTGCGGAGAGACAGAGGCGGGCGGTGGTGTTGGGATAGCGGAGGAGAGGCAGAGCGGCAATCGTTGGGAGATTTGGGCGCGCGCGGCCACCAATCACATTGGCTTATGTAAGTATGTTGCAATTGATGACAACCTACTTTTTGTGCTGGACCGTTGCCTGTACTGCTTTGATTTGTGGATATTGTATATTGTTAAATGTCTGCACTATACGACTTCTACTTCTCTTTATTTCAATATCTGCAGACGATTTCGCAGGCTTCAAAGGCGGACATGCGCCCGCAGAGGCCGGTTTGAGTTTCTTATCAGCTCCTTTGGGCAAGGGCGTTGCCTTATTTAGAAACCCGTTCGAGCTGTTTGGCTGCTGGTTGACGGAGCAACGACGATGATCTGATATTAATCGATGTCTGCTGATTGACTGGTTCGACTCAAGAGTGTTATCAAATCAAGAGTGTTTATAAATGTCTTGAGTAGTTGCTTTTCGGTATCTTTAGGCCCACATCAAGAGACTGACGGCAGCTGGATAGTTGAGCGTCGGTAGCCGCGTGTGGATGTCTCCGTAAGTGGTCTCTCTACACTCCTCTAACGTCCTACTACTCGTCTCGGATCTACAGCTAAGCGGTAGTAAATGGTCTTGTAGTATCCAATTTGACAGCAAGTGCAAGAAGAAGTAGAAGTAGTAGTGATCTAACAACACCCTATCCCCACCGTCTTGCCTTCACAGCAGCAGTGCCGCTCGGCTCCTTCGCACCTAGATCCCTTCAAACATCTCCAAACATCCTCAGACATATCTACAAAACATCTAAATACTCCTACACCACATCCCAATCTACAAACACGCGTAGAAGTAACGTGCTCCAGTTCTCATTCGGCCCACGGAGGTGCGGCTCAGAATCACGCGTTGGCCCGAGGACTGCGATGAGCTCGAGACAGGCCACCTTCAGCACGAAATAAAACCCGCCCGAGTGAACGTCTTTGTGCGGGCTGCTTCTTTGTTCAATCCGTTTGATAACTGTACATTGCATTATATTGCTGAATATGTATATCGCGGCCCGTCGACGGATATTAGCCGCCTCGGCGAATCTTCGCAGTAAGCAGTCTTTGTTCGTTGATTGAAAAATGGCTGGCCAACTAATCAATCACGTTAGATGCCACCAAAGTGCGATCATTCAAAACCTCAAGCAAGCCATCGGCTTCATTTCTGACTCCGGGTGTTTTTGCTGTCGGAGCCGGAACCGCTGTCGCCGGTGGTGCTCTCTACCTCAACACCTCAACACCTATCGCCAACGACTCCATCAAACCTGTCCCGCAACCCGAGTACGAACCTGATCTCTCAGTATTCCCCGAGGGCTTGAATTACGAGACTCCATTGCCGTCTCTTGGCTCTGTGTACGATGTAGTCCCGGGCCTGAAGCCCGAGATGATCATGCGGGAGAAAATGGAACTTCTACTAAAGCACTACCAAAAGCAAATCGTGGCCGGCATCGAGCGCGCAGACTCGTCCGGCAAGCAATTCATCATCGACGAATGGACCCGTGGTGAAAACATGGGCGGCGGCATAACCCGTGTCTTCCAGGACGGCCGTGTATTTCAAAAGGGAGGCGTCAATTTCTCCGCCATCTACGGCGAACTTCCCCCGGCTGCTGCTCAGCGTATGCGGGCAAATCACGCCGAGCTCAAGATTCCCGAGAGCGGGAAACTTCCTTTTTACGCCTGTGGCATCAGTCTTGTGATTCATCCCCAGCACTATCTCGCGCCATCCGTGCACCTCAACTATCGCTATTTCGAGACCCTCAACGAGGACGGTACGCCGCAGTCGTGGTGGTTCGGCGGTGGACAGGATCTGAGCCCGATGTACTACAACAAAGACGACGCTACGCATTTCCACAAGCTCATCAAGGAGTTTTGCGATTTCCATGATCCTGGTTACTACCCGCGATTCAAGAAATGGGCGGACGACTACTTCCGCATCAAATTCCGCGGCGAGGCAAGAGGTATCGGCGGCATCTTCTTCGATGACTTACACGACAAGGATCCAGAAGAAATCTTCAAATTCGTCGGCGACGGTCTCTCCAGATTCTTGCCTTCCTATCTTCCTGCAGTCAAACACGCCTACATGCCTCCTGCTGAGGGTGAAGAGCGGCCTACACCCGAAGCTGGTAAACACTGGCAAGGTATCCGTCGTGGCCGCTACGCGGAGTTCAACCTTGCCGTCGACCGCGGCACCCAGTTCGGCCTGCAGACTCCTGGATCAAGAGTCGAGTCTATTCTGATGACGCTGCCGAAACATTGCAGCTGGGAGTACAATTACCATCCGGGGCCGGAAACGTTAGAAGGCAAGACTGTCGAGGTGTTGAAGAACCCGATTGACTATGTCTAGTCGACCGTGGCTTCAAATAGAAAATATCTGCATGTATGTGACGTATGAGTACGTTACAGAAACTCTCTAATTACCTGGTTTTTTGAATAGTTATTAGTATCTAATAAATGCATTTACCAACAAACGCAGTATTGAGACCGTAGCTGTAGTTGAACAAAGTCAGCCGATGACGTCAGTCTCTTGAACCGACGGCTTACAGTTAGCGGGGTGATCATCAAAATCAACTCTTTCTGCTTCCGAGAACTCGAACCTCGAACTTGGGACTTTACAGATCTACAACTCGGGGACATAATCATAGCCTATTATCTAGTCTAGCTTTTGTTTGATCAGAAGCAAATTTTGGAAATCATGGGTGCGATAGAAGAAGTGAAAGGTTGGCTTGGAAGTAGTGAAAGCAGCAATACCAAAAGTTCGCAGCATGCTACTGGAGAACGAGGTAAGCAAGATCTATCTGGCCTCGAATCTACTTTGTCGACGAGGAAAAATTGTACTGTTTATTTTGACCAAATTCTGACTTGCCTGCTTATTCGACAGTAAACGACGTCGAAGCGATGCGGTCGTTTGTGCACACTGATCCAGCGGTCGACTACGTCTTTGACGGATCAGACGAATCCACAAAGCTATGCAAGAGGCGATCCGACAGACTAGAGTACGTATTCTACCGACTTATTCATCCTCCCCTTCAAGCACCAGCTAACCGGGTTTTCTATTCAGTTGTATAACGCTTGGCTTGCCGACCGCAGAAGTGCTGGCTCAAATGCAGAAGTTTGATTTTTACTGCGCTCTGGCTCAGAACGTGAACAGCACCGAGATCACTTGCAAGAAAATCAGTTGATCCGTTCTTCTTTATTCTTCTACCTTGTGCAATATATATATTATACAGTTCACTACCATCAACTCACTCACCCTGTCATCATAACGTACAAATCCCAAATCAAAGAGAGAGCAGCGGATCTAATAGCCCAGAGCCTGCAGTTGTGCCTCTGCAGTCTTCACTTTTAACGCGTCGCGCTCCGCCTCTCTCGTGAGTCTATCCCACGTACTGATAGCCTGTCGCTTCTTCCCTTGGTTCGCCTTATCCTCCTCGGCGATCCTTGCGTATTCTTTCTTCAACCGCAGAATCTCCTTGTCGATCTCAGGGCATATCGAAGGCAGGAGTTTTCCTTGAGAGGGATACCCACTACCACCAGTTGATCTACGCGACAACGACGGCATCGGCGAGACGTAGCTGTTTGTGCGCGAAATCGTGGCTCCGTTGATCATCGCTTTCGGCGCAACCGGTGGTGATCCAGCGGCAGACGCGCCTGGGGTCTGCAGTGGTGAAGCCACCTGCGCAGGCGTCGATTGGCCGCTTATTGACGCGTGGTGCGAGAGATGGGGCGTCGTATGCGTCGACATCGAGTACGTGCGCGGGCCGAGTGGGAGCGGAGTACCTGCAACGACGGGCGAGGACATCGACCCCGTCCGCGCTGGCATCAACTTCTCAGAGCTGCCCAATGATCCACGCGCTCCGCCAGAAGTGGCAGCGGGTATAACCGGCGAATGGACCGGTGTTTGTTGCTGCGAGACCGGTGTGGAATGTACAGAAGGCGAGGAGAACGCCCGAGGACCGGTTTGAAAAACACTGCCACCCGGCTGTGAGTACAGCGGAGAGTCTCTTCGCGGAGAGTCTCTTCGCGGAGAAGACTCACGCGACCTAGGACGCGAACGAGAGGGTGGTGGGCTTCGAGACCGAGGGCGGAATGGGGGATATGACTCGCGCATGCCTCGTCGGTCGCCTGCCGACGATGCCGACGACGCGGCGGTCGCGGGATACGGTGGACTGCGAATGCGTCTGGGTGAGGACCTTCTTCTTGGGTACGAGGAGCCTGCAGGTGCGGACTGATTTGGTGCGATGGATGGCGGAGGAGGCGATGTATATGATGCGATAGAAGACGAGCGCGACGAGCGACGAGGCGGTGGCGGAGAATAGCGTGCTCCTGACGACGACGACGGCGAGAACCTGTCGTTACGATCGTGTATCCGTCGGTCTTCTCGGTTTGGTGAGCGGTGGCGAGGGGGATATGACCAGTCCGTAGGCGCCGGCCTGTATCCTCGCTCGCGGTCTCTATCCCGGTCGCGGTCTCTATCTCTTTCCCTAGCTCGATCCCTTTCACGGTCGCGATCGCGATCCCTGTCTCTCTCCCGATCCCTCTCGCGGTCTCGGATATCTCTCTCCCGTTCCCGGTCTCGCCATTCCCGGTCCCGTTCACGGCCATCCCACGGACTCCGCGGCCGAGAAACAGGCCCCGGCGACCGTTCGCGGCCGCCAAAACTTCCGCGACTGCGCGAACCAGAGCCGGAAAATTGCCGTTCCCGCTCATCGTAGCTCTCCCGGTAGCCTGCGTTATACCCATCCGCAGAGGATGCAGAGCCATGCGATGTCCTGAATGGCGGACGCGGACCGTTATAGCGGTCGTCGTAGGAGTCTGGAAAGCCTCCTGGTCTGTAGGAGGAAGACCTATCGAGCAGCAACGTTAGCACCCTTCCAAACCAAACTCAAGATAATACATTTGACTTGTTCTCACCTTCCAGACACGTAATATCTCTCTTTGTCTGACATTCTCGGTCTACCTGTCCATAGAACATATCCGCTCGCAGGTCGCGATTTGTCTGAAAATTGTGGTTGAGATATTTCACGTGACCCGACAATCTGGTACCAAAATAGCGAAAAGGAGGAAAGGGAGGCTCAGCTGTCGTCATTGGTCTTACCGCAACTCATCGCTCTGAGCTGCTACACTCTCGCTACATCCTTTGCCATCACTAGAATACAGAAACCATGTCGTCCCGTTTATTATACTCGTTGCTGAGTATCACAGCTACTCTGGCCTCACAGGTTGAAGCCGCCGACGCCTACAAGTCGAACCGCGGCATGTCGCGCCGCTGCAGATTCTACTCCGCAGGCATCGTCACAATCATCGTCCTCATCACCGTATTTCTGCTCGCCACAAACCGCATGCCGACGTTCCCGCTCACAAGTAGCGACGCGGCGGCGGCGGCGGCTGCGCAGGCTGACGTCGGACCGGCGGCAAAGTCGGGCGAGACAAAGTCTTACATCGTCACGTTTACAAAGGGCAAGGAAACGCCAGAGAAGTATGTGTGATCTTTGATCTGAGCTGATCTTTTGGTTTTTGGTGGTTTATTAACGCCCTGTTCTCTTGCAGATTTGTGAAGGCTGCTATGACGCAGTTTACTCAGATGGGCGGCAAGATCACTCACGAGTTCGACACTCTCTTAACGTAAGTAGTCTCTTTGTATTGTCCACGCTGAATCTCGTGATCTTGTCTGACGTTCCTCATTTGCGACTCCACAGCGGTTTTACCGTGTCCATCCCTGCTTCCGTTGAGACCGACGTTATGACATTTGCTACCGATGCAAAGAATTTGGAGTTTCCTTTCACCATCGAAGAGGATCAGCAAGTCTCGGTCGCCGACTCGTCAGTCAACTAAGCCTGCGCTTCCTTTGTCTCTGTTTCGCTTAGCCGCTGATCTACAATTTTACCCAACAAAATAAGTAATGTGGGCAGATAGCTAGTATAGCAGGCATCAGGACGGCAGGGGGTTTATAGTGTTATTGTTGGGTCGTGGTTTGTTCATTCTTAAAGGCAACAATTGGGCAGTCCATTTTCTAGGTCTATTATGTGATTGGTTTATTTCTGGCGCGCTGGAATTTCCTTGTGTATTTTTTTATTTTTATAAGTTATTATCCTTTCGTACAGATTCCTTGTTCTTAGTTTGTATTCGTGTGTATCTGGGCTTATTCTTCGGTTTCCATTATATAAAAATGCGGGTCGCCTTTTGGGTGCTTTTGTGAGAATATTTGTATCTGTATATTTACGACTCAGTAGAACAAATAAACGGAATAATCATTCTCCTCGAGACTTTTTAACTGCAGAACTATCTGTGTTGTTTATAAAGTGCCTGTTTGATGATCGATTTAATTCAATGGGATTTAAAGTTGACGAGAGAAGCCGCCCGTGTTCGGATATTCGCGTCTTTGCTGTTCACATGAAAACCACCCAAAAAGGCACTGGAATTCGCCGTCTGCAACCCGCTGCTCATTCCACGCGAGGCTATATTACTTATCCCTAGCAGAAAAATATCAGTGGAATTGAGTGTGAATTCTTTAAGGACTGTGTTTTATTCTGCTGTGCTACCTGCGGCCGCGTTACTTGCCGCAGTACCGGTATTGTGGAATCTGTTCATGGCATCAGGAAACCTGAATTCGGCATAAGTTTGAACTGCTCTCGATATGGCAGACCCGGGCCTAACCGAACGGGCTTTGCTATCCTGGGTAATTATTCCTATTGTTTATGAATTCAATGTACAGGGGCTAACCAGCGACATATAGACGCAAAGCAAAGCAGCAGAGCTACAAATCGCAGTTCCGCAGACCCTGAAATCGCTCTCGACCGGTGTCACGATATCTCAGATCCTAGCCTCAGTTTCCCCCGACGCGTTCTCATCATGCGTGATCTCCGCCCCGAACGACTCACCAGCGTCGTTCATGGCCACCGTGCGCAACCTCAAGAAGCTGTACAAGTCGCTCGCGTCGTTCGAGCCCGAGCTGAGCGGAACCGCGGAGCCGCCGAATATGAGTTTGATTGCAAAGGACGCGGATGCGATTGAGCTCGTCAAGTTTTTGAGACTTGTGTTTGTGACGGCTGTGAAGCATGAGCAGAGTGACGAGTCGATCGAGCGCGTTGATGAGCAAGCTGAGCGGGAGCTGCTCAGAAGTCTAGTGCGGGACGGCGCTGGTAAGGATATAGGCAGCAGCGAGAACATGAAGGAGAAAACCAGCGAGCAAGATGCAGAGCGCGCGCGCATAAAAGCAGAAGTGGACCGCGTCGTATCCCGGTACGCTGCTCTCGAACAAGCCTACACCGACCTCGAGGCCCACAACTCCTCGCTCGAAGAGAGATTCGAGAAGATGAAGCTTGAGAACACAGATCTGAAAACGACAATTGAGACACAATCTAGCAAGTCGAAAATGCAAGCCGAGCTGGCCGATTCTCAGACAAAAGCACAGATCGAGTATCTGCAGAAAGATGTCCAGCAACTCGAAGAACAGATCGGTTTGCGCGATAAGAAGCTTGCGGTAGCGGATGCGAGACTAAAGGAGATGAATGACCAGGTCGAGGAGGTTCATGCGGATTTACAGGGAATGGTCGAAGTTAAGGATATGCTCGACGAGGCGCACCACGAAATCGAACAGCTGAGGAAGGCGAATGCGCAGATGGAAAGGTATAGAAAACAAGCTGATTTGGCGGAAGACCTGCAACGCCAGGTAACCGTGCTGAAGAACGAAAACACGTACCTGATCGAAAAATCAAAACTGCTCGACGAGGATACTCAGCAAGTGTTTGGGCTGCGGAAACAGGTCGAGATCTTACAATCCGAAACGGAGTTTTACCGGCGGAAAGCCAGGGAAGCAGATAACCTGTCGGACAAGCTACGTGACGAACTGGCGACTGTGCGCGAACGCACTCTGGTTCTGGAGGAAGATCATTCGCGAGACGCAGCGATGATTGCGATACTGGAGGAAAAAGTCCGCACGCTGGAAGGCACGACGCAGTTTGCGGGCGGCAGCACGCTGCGAGATGCCCAGGAGAAAGACTATGATCTCACGATCGAAGATTTAAAGCAGGAGAATGAGAAACTGCGAGAGGAGGTATTGAGTCTCCGAGCGCATCAACGCGCCGATGAAAAGTTGGAGTCGGAGAGGCCGGCGCTGGATCACTATACGGCCACCGCTCAAGCTACAGAATCAACAGCTCGCGACAAGGAGCTCGAGGAAGCATTGAAGAATGCAGTTCAGATCAAAGACAAGCTAGAAGAGGACTATATGCAAGTGTATCAGGAGAAGACGGCTCTGCAGGCCCGACTCGAGGCTGTGGAGAATGCAGTAGTTGCAGCTGATACCAGTGATATCACTAGCGAGCTACGTAATTCGTTGAACGAGACAGAAGATAAGCTCAGGGATACAAATGCGGAGCTGGAAGAACTACAGAAACGCCATTCGGCTATCGAAGAGAAGTATCAGCAGGCAGCCCTCGACTGTACGATCATACGTCTTTTGCTCGTAAAGGTGACATTGTGCTAACATCTTATTAGTGACCCTGGTAAACAAGGACAAGAAAGAGATTCTGGCCGCCCTGAAAAATCAAGCCAACAGAAGTCTGCTTGCTCTGCAGTCCGAGTTTGAAAAAGCGCTCGCTCAAAAGTCCGGCTTGGAAGCCGAGATCAGGCGCTTACAAGAGCTCCTGACAAAAGCGCTGCTGGACAAAGACGCGCTTCACGAGAAACTAACGACCTGCAACGAGGAACTGCTCGAAGTGTCGCGGGCAAACACGACGCTGCGGATGTCGCTTGTCTCGCTGGATCCGAACGCGACCAGTTCTGGCTCGGAACTCAAAAGCTGGGTTATCGATTTGCAGAAGAAGCTTGAGGTGCAGCGGGAAAAGATGAGAAAGGCACAGGAGTTTATTAGGAAGCTGAAGGCTGGTAATGAAGTCTTGCGGCGGCCATCTGGGGTTACGCATAAGGTCTGTCTGTTCTGTTACCATTTCGCTTACAGCAACACTGACATGTAATACAGCCCTCCCTGACGCTCGAAGAAGCCGAGATCATGAAACGCGAGCTGCATCTGATGACGAGCGCATGGTACTCCCTCTCCTCGCGCATCCAACAAAACAAAGTCGTTGTCGTGAAAAAAGCCGACGAAGCACCAGCAAGCTGGCTAGGCCGACAACGGAAATTACTCGAGGTATGTGCTGCACAACTTGTTTTGTGGGTCGCGCGGGTCGCGACGGCTTCTCTTCTGTGTGAATGTCTCGTGGCTTTGTACGCACGATGGCGGAAACGGGATGTCGGATTTCATTTAGAGGATATTATACCACTACATCTTTCAACAAAACGGAGATCGAAAAGTTTACTGTCTCGGTTGAGCTGTTTATACCTTACCTTGCAGATCATACAGCAGGCCAGCAAGCCCGTGCTGTTCCTTCCTGCGCTTTAATTTTCATCTCTGCCCTTCTTATTTTCTGTCTTTCATTTTCCTTTAGTTCTCAGTATCCTGTATCATACAACCTCATCAACCAATAAAACCAAAAAGTCCTGTCTATTCCTCATCCCACATACCTGTCAACCATGCCACCCGTCCCACGCAAGAACACTGGAGAGAAGTCGTTGCATCCACCGCACATGCAGACATCCGGATACGTCTTGTTAACTCATTGATTTTATTATGTCTAGGAGCGGCGATAATTTTTGGATCTCTTTCCCCTACTTTTCTTTGTTCATATTGAATATGGTTACCGTTTAATCTCGTTGTTTGGATTGGTTATGGACATTGGCACTTAAATTTTTTTGGATTTGATAACTCAGATAGACGATGTTTGGCACTATATAAATAATATATCTTTATATCTATATATACCGCTCACGAAGACAAATACTGTACATCAAATCATACGCGTACGCTTCCTTCTTCATATCTATAAGCTAAACGATACAACACAAACAAACAAACAAGAACACTGAATGAAAACGACACGAAAACAAAATGAACAAACGACAGAAAATAGCAGACTTTGCGCGAAAATGCAGGAAGATGTAAGCTAAAGCGATGAAACGGACCGTGTTTTTTTTGTTTCCAGCGGGTAAATCAAGAGAGAGAAAGGAAAGAAAGCAAAACCAGACGTCAAAGAAATCCTGCACCAGAAATGGCCCCCCACCAAACGTAAGACTAACAGACAACAAAAAAAAGCCGCTCACTTAAACACAGAACTCGCTAGAATGGAAATGACGACGGATTCTCTGTTTAGTGACCGCCGCCGACAGGAGTCTCGCCGGTGACCTTGGCAACAAACTCCTTCGCAATGTCACCGAGGCCGACCATGCAGACGGTCTGCCAGACGCCGAGTCCGATTCGTGGGGTGACACCTCTGTAGAGACCCTTGATTCCGTTCTGCGAGTAGATGTACTTGAGAGTCTTTCCGACCGTCAAGTTCTTTGGCCGGTTGGGATCCTCGGTCTTGCTCTGCATCTCAATTCTGACGACCTCAATAGGCTGGTTCCAAGCCGACAGACCGCCGCCAAAGACGGAAGCGAGAATCTTCTCGGGAGCAGAAAGCGGGGTGGAGTCTTGCTTGCCGGTGACCCTGCGGATGGCGACTTCAGACAGACGCGAGAGACCGAATCGACTGGCCCAGTTTGTGCACTGTCGGATGGCGACGGCGTTGACGCCCTTATTGATTCCGCGGATTCCCTCTCGTCGGTAGATATCCATAAAGACAGACATTGTGGATGGCGGCTTTACTCCCGAGGCAGCTTGCTTATGACGGGTGATCTCCACGGTCTTCATACATGTGCAGAAGCCGACGGTGAGATAGGCCTGCGCCAGACCACCCATGAAACCACCCGACATACCGGCCATGAAGTTACCAAAGCCGAAAGTCCGGGCATGGTATTCAACTTCTGTGGAGACAAAGAGGAGGACGGCTCCCTTGGTGGATGCTTCAATCCATGCCTGTATAATTGAAGGTTAGCAATCTTAATCTCAGATCAACAGCGGCGATGATTGCGTGTGGTGATCCGCAAACCCTTCTCGCGGCTCGACTGCTTATTCCCGATAGAGTCTCTCCTTCTCCTCGGCCTAACTGTGACTGACCAACGAAAAACCAGCGAATTTGATTTCTCAGGTCCGCCGCAGCTCCGTCCAAAAAGCAACGAGGCGGGGAAACCCACACAGTCTGCGGCCCCTGCGCTCTTGACCTCCGTGCGATTTACCGACCATCAGCCGGATGGTGGTCTGCGCAGGCGCCAAAATGCATCACGTGATGCACAGAGATCCGAGCGCAGAGGCGTTGGAGAAGTTGGGCAACCGACAACGAGGCACGGTGGCCGACAGCGAGGCCGGCGCTGGATCGGACCTGCTTTGATTCGCGGTGGAAAGGCCACAGGACTGCGCCGGATGAAGGATTTGCAGACGGAAGAGGCACGACCAATGAGAATTGGAAAAAATGCCTCGATCAGCTAATCCAAGACCCACAAGGCCAAGCAGAGCATGCGAGAAGCGGTCAAATCGCACGCCAGACGCAATCAAGGCAATTTACAGAATGCAGAAGAAAACAAGATAGAGATGTAGACATACCCATGGAATTAATCCCTGATAGAAACCGAAGACACCGCCGCGGGACCAGACACGACGAACAGCGCCCGGGAGAGTGTCACCTCTGTTGGCAGCCATAGTGGTCTGCAGGATGTATGTTAGCATAGTTCACAGGAAAGTCATACACCTGAAGAGTTACTCTCGACTATGAGAAATACTGACCTTTGTGACCTCTAGAGGCTGACCGAGAGTCGTGACCCTGCAAAGAAGAGAAGTAGTTAGCGCAAGGAAAAGATAGCAACGGCGATTGAGATAGGGATTCAAGCGTACTCAAACATGTTCAATGCAGCTCCAAGGAGAATGTTGGACCATTTGATGGGCTTCTTCTCGATCTGGGGGATCGCAGGAGAGGCGAGGACGACGGACATGCTGATAGGAGATGGAGATGGTGTGGAGGATCAGGAAGTAGGCTACAGGGATCAGGCGGTCGAGGATCTGTGTTCTGATGGCAGATTACTAGACAGTAGCTAGCAGAAGAACAGCAATAGAAGTAGAGAAGAGAGAAGAGGCAGAGGATGAGAAGCAGAAGGTGGAGTGGATGCCAGCCGAGGAGCAGGCGCGGGGAAGCCTTTTTAAATCTGAACGCGCTCAGCGCTGCGATGGCTGAGCCGCACTGTGCTTGAACCTGCGCATGTGTAAATCCGAGAACTCCCCGCAAAACCATCAAAACACTGTGCGTCTATGCCACATACGCTAAATATCACCTGACTTCTGCGTCACGTGCGGCCTGAAAGCTACGCGGCGGCGTCCCCAACTCGCGTCGAGGGACGCACTCAGTGCACGTGTGTCCCCCCGCTGCTTACTCCATCGCTGCTGCTGCTGTTGCTGCCGATATAATTGCTATTTGTCATTCTATTCTAATGATTATAAACTCATCGTATGCACCGAAAACATCGTCTCGAAAATTCCCAATATTTACATCTCAGGTGCTGCGCGGTCCGAGGCTCCAAACCTGTCCCCACCGCTTCCGGTATACAAACCGCTGCGCATGCGGCCCCAGCCCACCACCGTGCAGCCCTCAGCACTAACGACACTCCACCAGTATCCACTCACTCGCCCACAACCGCCCGTATCGTAGCCTCGTCAAACACCGCATCCTCAATAGCCTCTGCCACAATCTCCCGCCATCTCCCGTACTGCAGCACTTCCTCTCTATTACCCGTCACGATCGCGCATTTGACTGCCGCCTCGCCCGCCGCGTCGCGCATCTCTGGATCGTTCTTCAGGAAACTCGCGAGCTTGACCGCGTTCTTGTAGTAAATCTCTGCGTTTTTGCGCAAGATCACCGCGTTCTTCGCCGCGCTCGCTGACACGCGACTCAGATTTGACCGTATCAGATCCACGTCGCCGCGCTGCGTCCAAATTCGAACCTGCGCCAACCGGCTCTTGAGCGTCATCGACGCGCCCACGACCACCGCGCTCGGCGCTGCGTTCTGCTGCAGTAAAGCATTGAGCGCCTTCGACAGCGCCTGCGAGGCAATAGACAGCGATGACCAGGCCATAGCGCCAAACTCGTTTTCGGCGCCTGTCTCGAGCTCAACTGCGTGAGCCGCCGCAAGGAGTCCGAGCTGGGTAAACATCTCGCTCTGCGCGAGGTAACGCTCGGAGATCTCTGGCGCGAGCTCTAGTATATTTCGAAGCGTGATTCTGTGCTCGTTCGTCAGCCCCGGTACCGGCATTGGCTCGATCACGTAGTTGAGCAAGTAAACGTCCGGTGACTCTGCTGTCTCAGCCGAATACCAAATAGCCTGTAACCTCGCCAGATTCCCTGAAGGTCTACACTCCGGTGTCGAAAACGGATATCCACTGACGGCAACATATCTCGTCGCCATCAGCGCCGCGTCCGCAATCGTATCAGCATGCGCCTCGGCGTCAATCCCCAGCTGACCTTGATTAGCCAGCAGCGTCGCGATACGCTGCATAAACACCGTTCCCGACTGTGCAAGCACCTCTGCGTCTTCCTGCGGTCCTGCTGTCGGCGACGGCGACAGCGACAATGAAATAGTGTAGATCGGTATCAAACACGAGAGCTCCGCAGTGGCAGTCTCCAGAAGCGAGGCATACGTCGTCGGCTCAATCACCGTCGCGTACTCCTCCGCCTGCCCGTTCCCGTCCTCGTCGTCATCCTCGTCGCCTTCCATCTTTTCACTCGCTGAATCGCCACCAGAACTCGCAAGCTCGTTTTGCAAAACCTCAAGCTCTGCTCGCTGCGCATCCCAGGTCTGCTCAAACGTCTCCAGAGCTGCGCGATACGGCGCCGCGCTGTATTGCTCTTCTGCAACCGAGAGCTGTACTTGCGCCATGTTGTAAAGTAGATCGGAGGGGGGCGGGAGAGGTTCACCAAGAGGCGCTGCAGCTTGCTGATCGCCCTCCGTGTCGCTCGCTCCTGCTGCTACTGTCGGTTGAGCAACTGGCCGCCGTCGCTGCTGAGCCAATACCAATGCGTGTCTATGATCCTCCAGAATCTTATTCTGCACCGCCAACCGATCTTCCCTCATCGTCCTCATAATCATCGTGAACTCCGGCAGATTGCCGGTAGTACTCGGCGACGGCGTGCTGCTATCGGACAAGATAGACCTTGAGTAGAATAACTGGTATATGTGAAATTCAAGTCTGCACTTGTTATACGCGGCGTCAAAGGAGTTCGGAAACTTGCTCAGACATGTATCGTAGTACTCCAGAGCGTGGATATAAAACCGATGCGCCTACATAACCAGATCAATCAGCCACTGCGACCATATCCTCGTCAAGAGGAAGTACTCTACCTTATCAGGATCACCGATCGTCCACCGATCCCCATGCTCCTCCTCTATCGACCCAACATACAGATAATCGTCCTCGCTTACTGGCACAAACTGCTTCTTGCCGCCTGCCTTCTTCTTGCCGGACGCGCCGTCGCCGCGTTGCTTGCCTGATAGCGACTGCTTGGATTTGCGGGGTGGTGGCATCTAATTGTTTTCACCCTTTCTCTTTGGCTGGGACTTTGCGCCTTGGCTTCAGCAATTGGAAGGTATCTTATAGAAGCTAGTTGATCCGATTATACCACTGCAGGTAGAGGCATGCAAGAGCTGCTAGAAGATGTCGAGGAAATACAATTACACTCGCGACCAACGCCGTAAATTTTTAAGTTCACTTCACCAGTTTCCATCGCCAACCGCCATTCTGCAATTACTAAGACCCCACCTCGATCATGTCTACAGATCTTCAACAATAACAACGTTAAGGACAAGCAACAGCTACGCAGACTCAATATCATGACTTCATAAGAGTATTTATTCGACCCTCACTTCTCAGTACATATTTCCTGACCCTACTACTTCTTTTGATCGTCCGTAGATAAAACAACAACAATTCCTCCATCTTCCTCTTCTTCACAACAAGCTGTATCATCAGGCGTTCTCTGGACAACTCTCAGATAAAACAGCTGCTCGAAAAAGACTAAACAGAAAAAAAGAGGAAAGGCAAAACGGTAGTATACAAAGCAACTATATATATAAAGCACAAGAAAATGAGATAGATAAAAAGCACAAGCGGCATTGTAATCCACAAGACTTTTAAGTAATATTTGACATGAAGCCATGACTCAAATTAAAAAAATAAAATGGTTTGATGCACAGAGTAAATAAAGACAGTATTGCAGGTAAAAAACAAAACAAATCCCACGACCAAGTCAAGAGTACACAAGAGCAAACGGCGACAACACGGACGAAGCTATTAAAATAAATCTTGGTTGTATATAGAGAGTCCTACCTATAGTCTGAAAAAGTGGACTCGTTTGAAGGAGAGAGAAGGCGGGGAAGGACGGCGCCTGGAGGTGGGGGAAGAAGGAGAAAGCGCCGGCCCGCGATGTGTGATTTAGTTGTTTCGGTTGCGGGAGTAGCGGACCTTGCCGAGATCGAAGGGCAGGTATCGGTATTTCATCATATGCTGGATCTGTCTGCGCATCGTGATTGTGAATAGGATACAGAAGTAGATGAGAAGGATGGGCCAGAAGACTATATACCGCAGACCAGAGTTAGAATAGGACGCGTCATCATCAACCGCGAGGAGCGTGAAGACACGTTTTTAAAACCAATCCCCTCTCCCCGCAATGATGCACAAAAAAATAGGCTATAAAAGCAGAAACGTACCTGGAACATCGAATATGGCAAACCAGGTGCAAACAAACGCGATGGCGGTAGCTTTAGTGGCCGAGTACCAGAACTTGAACTCCGGTAGCCGTCGAATGAACGGTCTGAACTCCTCGTCCTGTCGGGTCGGCAACGCGCCTCCTTCCTCGGACTCGCGCTCCTTCATGTCTTGCTCAAGCGAGGGATCGAATTTTGGCTGCAGGAAGGCAAGGAAGAGGTTGAGCAGGTAGATGCCAAGCGAATAGCACACAATGTACCATCCCTGCGAAAGGACAATGCGGAGCATGAAGAAGAAGAGTAGCGTGCCAGAGCCTACCCATCGGTAAAAGACGTATGGCGTAGACTGATCAAGATAGAATTGAAAGCGCTAGACAAAAGAGACTTATTAGAACCGGTCGAAACGAAGAATTCGGCAGCCTGCGATGCAAGGAAACAGCGCGCACCTGGGACAGAATAGTCGTCTGCGCGGCGACATTAGCCAACGGTGTGGTGTTACTGGTTGATGCCTCGGCGTCCATCTTTTTTATATAGCAGTCAAATAACTGATCAGTAAGATAACAATTGATGCGAGCAGGTTGTTGGTCGGAGGTGAAGCGCAGGTGTGTCGTCAAAGTCAGAGGTTTGTTTGTTCGTCGGTGTGTAGGCGCAGCCCGAGATGCGCCCTGTGGGAGTAAATGCCCTTATCCTGATTATGCACCCAGCACCGTCACGCTTATGCCGACTTTCTACTTACGGCAATGAGATGTCCAGCGATATTTACTGTTTACGTGTTTTTGGCATTGGTGTGTTTGCCGTAGACCGTCTTCGTATGTTCAATTAACTCCTGGCGGAACGAGGTAGCCTATAAAACAATTGGCCAGCATTCTATCATAGTTGACCCACATATGCGTAATATCTGCACATGAAAGCAGCAGCAGCAGTCAGTATATCATATCAAAACACAAACTTCGAATTGGGAACCACCTACTAAACAAATGCGTGCCGTCCTTTCCGGCACACCTCATAGTCTCTTTCACTCCGCCTGGGTGGAATCGCAAGTACGGCGTCAGGTTGTACACCTTGCCCCCCAAAGCCGTCCACGCATCCTCCGGTTTCGAGTGCTTCTTGAGCTCTTCAAGCGTAATCCGAACCGGCGGAACGCCCGGCGGCCGCCCGCTCAGATCTTTGCCGCTATTCTTTAAGTTTGCCCAGTCGAGCTGAGAATACCCCGGCTCGAGCGCGACCTTCTCGCGTTTCCGTCGCGCTTGGGCGAGAGATGAGGGTGCTGTAGTTGGAGCGGGGAGACTGGATGAGGACTGTGGGGTTGGCCTGCTCCGCGCTGAAGGAGTGACGTTTGAGAAATTGAAAACCGGAAGCGGTCGCGACCCGTTCGACGGCTGTGAACCCAGGCCTGAAGTAGATGAAGTTGCAGGTGCAAGCCGACCAGGAGGTCCCTGACGAGCTGTTCGTGCTGATGCTTGTGGATTTCGTTGCGGAGCAGGCGTTAGTGAAGGCGGGCCCATGGCTCTGGCAGGACTCTGGCCTTGATCTCGCGGGCTATCGACAACGCGAGCTTCACCAACCGCAGACGCTCGTTGCGCTGAATTCAGTGCTGGAAATGGAGGTGGTGTTTGATCGTCTGCTATAATGTCGACTTCCTCGCTGCTGTCATCAGCTTGCTCTTCTTGATTGTCATTTTGCTCATTCGCCTCAGGCGCTTCTCTGTCCACTTGATCTGTAGACTCTGACTGTTCGGGTCTAATCGACTCCACTATAGATCTCCACAATGAGGCCATCGGACGTAGGGAGCCAGCGCGTGATAATGTCGATCCGCGATGAGCAGATATTATCAGTAATCCTTATTCCACGAAAGGTTTCGCGTTCTGTCTGTCGTTCACTTTGACTAAACCACACACCCGCGTCCACTATCTCAAGACAACGTTTTCCACCAGCTGACTCAACTGAATCACTCTTTGCAATTATCTCACGGCCGAATAATACACTAACCAGAGCAGCGCCGAGCAACAGTTGATAATCGCCAAGTTGCACCGGCCGAGAGCAATAACAAAAAAGTCCACAAGGTTTCGCACGCGCCTCTCGTCATCGCGAAGATTACTAATATTTAGACAGGGTAACCTGAGCCGCACGATTATTAATCCTCGCTGCTCCCGATTGCGACAATCAGACGATAACAGCCGGCTCTATAAGACCTGCTCCACCGCCTTCCTCGCTGCAATACTCTGTCTTCTTCTACCAGTTACAGTCTTCTTAGCTGAAATACACTGACATGGCTACTATCACCGAAACAGTCTCCGCCCCGATCGTCGAGGGTATCCTCAACTTCTACGATCCACCCAAAGACGGCAGCGAGCCCTACAACATCGTCTACGAGGTTCCCGAAGGCACCCCGACTCGCAATTACGGCGACAAGCCTGTCACGGTCAAGATCGAGGACGTCCGCGGCCACGAAGACAACTTCAAGCTTGACGTCAACGGGTTCCAGTTCGAGAAGCGGTTCATTGACTTCAACAAGTGGACAGACGACGAGGCCATCAAAAACGAGTACTACCCCGCTGTGATCAATGCCGTCAAGGAAACCACCGGTGCGCGTGAGGTTCTCATATTTGACCACACTATCCGCACAAAGGATGGCTACCGCAATCCCGTGATGGTCACGCACGTCGACCAGACTCCGTGGTCTGCCGCTGAGCGCGTCCGTGTCCACTGCCCCGACAGAGCGGAGGAGCTGCTCAAGAAGCGCTTCCAGATCATCAACTACTGGAAGCCAATCACCGGACCCGTCCAAGAATTCCCCCTGGCTCTCGGTGATGCCGGAAACATGCTTCCTGACGACATCGTCTGCGTCGCGCACAAATACAGAGAACGCACCGGCCAGACCGGCTCCGTTCGATACAACCCGTCGCAGAAGTTCTATTACCTCTCGGGAATGACAACCGGCGAGGAAGTCTTCATCAAGTGCTACGACTCACTGGAAGGCGTCGCCAAGCGGACTCCGCACACTGCTTTCGATGATCCCACGTCTCCTCCCAACCCGCTTCCGCGCGAGAGTATCGAAATCAGAACTCTTGTCTTTTACGATTAAAGTCGTGATCTTATTTTACTTTATCTTTTGGTGTGGCTTTTTTTCGAGTATTCTGGCTTTTGGGCTAGCTATACTCTCGATATTCTAATTACTTTGGGTTGAGGTGCATGACTATCTTCTAATTTCTATTTTGCATTAATTACATTCTTTTCGGGAGTCTAAGGTTGAGTAAGAGCTGTAGTCTTCTCTAAATAATTCACAAACAGTGACTTGCCTTTTTAGAAGAGATCCTGGTTCCACTTCGCAACAGTAGACCTAGACGTAAATTATTACGAATCTTGCCCAAATACCTCTTTTTTTGAAATCACCGCTGAATATATTTATAACCCAGTTAACTCCTCCAATTCTATGTACAAATCATCGCCAAACGAAAACCTTGCAGACATTTACTCCTTGGGCTTTCGCTCATCGCTGTCAGGCAAATCCGAAAATAAAATCCGAATGCCGTCTTCAGTGACGAAGCCTATTTGCTTCTTCTGCTCTTCGCCCAAATAAACTAGACAGAAGCAACCGACACTGTTAGCAGCTCGTAAGTCCGACAAATGTAAACTGTACTTTACATACCCCGTTTGTACATCATATAACTCGAAATCGCAAACAACGGAACCGACATCATCAAAAGTCGAATACTACATCATCACGAGTGATATCAGTACGCCGCCCTTCATTGCAAACACCGCCCATCCCAAACTTTCAATCAAACAAACTCACCCCAGTAATCTCTGCTTGCCCTCCTTCGACGCATCCGGATTGAATTTCGGCCCTAACTCTTCAGGCGGCGGCCGATTCCGTAGCGAGGGCGGAATAGCCGGTGTAGGCTGCGCTCGCCGCGGTATACTTCGCGGCATTCTTTGTCTTGAAGCATCTCGTAGAGCTCTCAGAAGTCTCATATTTGCTGTATGTGCATGTGAATAGATGCAATGACTGCGTCGACTTTGGAAAGTGGGATTGCGGTCGGGTATTCACGGCCGCATCAATAGCTATCGAACGGAAAATGGGTGAACAGTCTTGTGCGGCTGTAGAGTGAGAGCACAGAGCGTCTGGTCCTGACGTCACTGATCCATAGCCCACTAATAGAGTGAGCCACTGTCTGCGACTTTACTTATCGGCTACAGCTAACTATTTACAGTGAAGTTTGATGCGTGTATAGAGAAATTTATCATAATAGTACAAAACTCATTCTACTTCATCATAGTCAAATCGTCTCGTATAGCTACAGACCGACAAAGTCATAGTCGAAGTAAAGTAGCAGAATGCCGGCTATAGTTAACTCCCTAACTATAAAGGCTCATTAGCGCTACCGCAGACACTCACTCAGTCCTTCAAATCAACAAGCAGCCGGTCCGCCCACATGTGCTCCCGCAGAGCTGGCTTGCTCGCTCGTCCTCAAGCTTCCCTCGCCAGAAAATAGTTCATGACGATGCGAGAGTGGAGGGTGAGTCCATGCTTTTAGACCGGCTGGTAATGCGATTCTCAGGCGATGAGTGCCGCGGTTAGCGCTAGAGACTTGAGATTTCCTGCCGGTGTCACCGTTTTTTGTATTTTGCAGGGGAACGCAGAGATTCAGAGGAGCGCATCATGGTGACTACCGGCATGGCTATAAAGATGTTTAGCAAAATATGGGAGGAAACTCATCGCTCATATAGGGAAAATCAAGAAGAGGTGCTGCTCATGATTAACAGAGGTCATCATCTTAGGAGAGGCTTCTTGGCCTTGTAGAAGAGTGAAGAGTGTGTGAAGAGAAGAGAAAATGAGAGAGGGAGGAGAGAGCGGGAGGGGGGCTTCTTATAGACGTCCGGGAGGGGACTCCATCAACCCTTCTGATGCGGGCTGGCAGACCTTCGGGCATGTGGGCACACCATCTGACCCCGAAACTTCCTGGCCTACATCACTCGCCCATGTACCTTGGTCATTTGTGCAAAAAGGCGAACAAGAAGAAGGATCCATTTCCTAGTCGAGAGCCAGAGGTACAGACGTTACGCGCGGGTTGGACGGTACTCGCACGGCGGAAAAGCAACGAAGGATCCATCTCCTGATCAGGAAGGATTGTTATACATGCTAGGAATGCAAAATCATCCCGAGCATTACGTCATGGTATGAGATCAATACAGCTTCCTGGACGTGCAAAACAGCAGCTTCAAGCCAGAATATCTTCATCAGAAATGCAGAAACATGTCAGTTTCTTTTGACAGAAGTACAGCACGATCCAAGAGCTTTAGATCGATACAGATTAGCGCGTGTCTTAGCACTCAATCTAACGACGTAGGCGAGCACTAAAACGCCACGAACACCACCAATTTGGCCCCTGCCTAGAAACAGGCGTTGAACAGCCGCCGTTCCTGTAGATCATTGACTCATAAGTAGACTTCAGATTATCTCGCCTTTCATCTCCTGTTTCCTTCCTCAAAGTCCCGCTTTTTGCAGTGGGCAAAGCGTGAAGCGCGCAGAGCACCATCAAATTGCACACAGGTCCCCCTCGCATTTTCTCTCTGCGCGAAAGTTTCCGTTTTCGTCCATTTGCCACCCTTCTGTCACACTCGCACAAGCTACGTCATAGAAAGAAACACGAGAAATGAAAATGTAAATCAGCAGAGTGAACAAACAGAAAGTCCCGTGACTGACGAATCGTTCGGGGTCGGTCTAAACTGCACTTAGCCAGCTAAATGCCACACTGGCTGAAGAAGAGCAGCATTACCGGAGTCATTTTGTTGCTAACGCTCAAAATGTAGACTGTTGTAGTTGTGCATTTGAATACAGATATACAGACAGTTAAGTATAAACTCACAACCCCCCTCTGCGACCTCTTCTGCCGGCACGGCAATGCAAAGCAGATATTGCAAAGGGTGCGACCTCTCACAATGAAAGCACAGACATCCTTTCAAACAGCGCACAATTCAAACTTGATAGCATAGTCCAGCATGTGTCTACACGACACCAGAAAACCCACTCAGAAAAACCATGACAGCACAGAAAGTTGACAGAAGCTCGCATCAGATTGTGATCGTGCGCATACAAGTGAAATCAAGCGCTTTCCAACCCATCTAGGACGTTCGTTAAGTCATGAAGGAAACATCTAGAATTTTCGATTGGTCAAGGCAACCCGGGCTCATGCTCTAATCTTGTGGCTTACTTCGGTCGGAGTCATTTTACAAAGTCAAGAACTGTGATCAGACGAAGACGTAGAACGTTGATGTTCCCGCAACCCTGAGAGAGCCGTCAGTACTAAACGGTCGCCCTACTCACTCTAGACATCCAAGAAGTCTTGTCAATCCTACCATAGGATCTGGATACCGGCGGCTTGTCTTGTTGGATAAAGAATAGACTAATTTTATTTTCACAAGAATGCTTCTGTTGTTGTGATTCCTGTCTTACTTTACCCTCTGATATACGGTCTTGCTTATCGCCCATTCGCCTGATTTCAGGACGAGGATGGGGGCTTTGAATGTACCGAAAGTTGGACTGGTCTGTGGCAGGATCAGTTGACTGTTGTACATACAGAAGAGTGAGGGTAATGTGGATTGAAGTGATCCAACTCGACTTGAACGTTGAATAGTTCGTACTGTACTGTTATCGTCTGCTTCTCTGCTGCCTTGATTATGCCATTGCGATTGCCTTTTGTTCAGAACTCTCGAACACTGTCTATACATGAAATATAGAAGAATACTCAACTGTTAAACTGCGCTGAGCTAATACTGAAACTTCAAGTAATCGCATCATCAAGGCTGCTAAACCTACAAACGATGTGCGAGAATCACATACGGCATATTGCAAAACAACATCATCGCGGCATGTCTGATTCTCTGTATTTCTACTTGCGCAGACAGGGTCGTTGAGATATTGCTTTTCTATGCACACATACACAGCCTGGTAAACTCTCTGTTATCTATCGGACGCAGGAAACAGATTTTCTTTCGAAGAGGACTGTTGTCTGGCTGGCTAAGTGCAGGTCCGACTGACCCCGAACGATTCTGGAGTCACGGGATTTGTTTCATCACTCTGTCTGTTTACTTTGTTTTTTTCTATGGGTTTGTTTCTATGACGTAGCTTGTGCGAGTGTGATAGAAGGGTGGCAAATGGGCGAATGGACGAATACGGAAACCTTTGCGCAGTACGAAAATGCGAGGGGATTGTGCGCAAACTGCTGGTTCTCTGGACGCCTCACGCTTTGCCCACTGCAAAAAGCGGGACTTTAAAGAAGGAAACAGGGGATGAAAGACAAGACAATCTGACGTCTGTCTATGAGTCAATGATCTACAGGAACAGCGGCTGTTCAACGCCTGTTTCTAGGCAGGGGCCAAATTGGCGGTGTTCGTGGCGTTTTAGTGCTCGCCTGCGTCGTTAGATTGAGTGCTAAGACACGCGCTAACTTATATCAATCTGAAGCTCTTGGATCGTGCTTTTATTCTGCGAGAAGAAACCGACAAGTCTGTGCATGTTCGAAGAAGATATTCTGGTTCAAAGATGCTGTTTTGCGTGTCCAGGAAGCTGTATCGATCCAATACCATGACGTAATGTTCAGAGGATTATTTAAATTATCAGTTTGTGCAACACTACTTCCTGATCAGGAAATGGATCCTTCGTTGCCTTTCCACCGTGCGAGTACCGTCAAACCCGCGTGTAACTTCTGTACCTCTGGCTCTCGATTAGGAAGTGCATCCATCTTTTTTTCTCAAATGACCAGGGTACACGGGTGAGAGATGTAGGCCAGAGAAGTTTGGGTCACGCGGGATGTCCACATGCCTGGAGGTCTGCCAGGCCACATCAGAAGAGTTGATGAAGCCCCCTCCGGACGTCTATAAAACCCCCCCCCTCCCGCCCTCTCCTCCTTCCCTCCTTTCCTCTCCTCTTCACACACTCTTCTCTCTTCTACAAGAACAAGAAGCTCCTCTCCTCTGGACAAAAGATCTCTTCATCATGAACAGGACAACTTTCAATCCTGAACAAAATTTCTTCACTTCTTCCCGAGATTCTTCCCATTTTCACCACATGAGCGATGAGTTTCTTCCCACATTTTTCTTTCCATGCCGGTAGCCACCGGAACCTCGTTTTCTGAATTTCTGCATTCTCTGCAAAATACATCAAAAACGGTGGCATCGGCTGGAATTTTCAAGACTTTAGCGCTAACCACGTCACTCACCGTCTGAAAATCGCATTACCGACCGGTCCGGAAACATGGGCATAACCTCCATTCTCGCATGCTCGTATTCCGCGGGCCCGCCAGAGAGACAAGGTAGCATACTCACCGAGAGAGAATAGCACATACCGCACCGGGTAGCATTTTCCTAGATGAAAATAGCATATACCTAGAATGGTGACAATCTCATAGAATGGTGCATCCCGCGGCGACGTCAGAGAGTAGCATATGCCTATTTGGCAGCATTCTCATTATTGGCGTCCGCCGAGCATGCGAGGACAGCCTGAGGGCGAGCGGGCAAGCTAGCCGTGCGGAGCTGCATGCGAAAGGACCGGTGCCTGCTTGTCGATTCAGAGGATTTGGTGAGTGGCTGTGGTAGCGCTAATGACTCTTAATAGACCGGCAATTTACCTATAGCGGGCAAATTACAACAGCGATCAGTTCGTCCCGTCTGGCTTGTATGTGTTTAGTGGTTTGCTAACGATAATCAGAGACGTTACTTGACAACGACGTTCACTATTCGACGACTACACTCCTCGTTCAACAGGCTGCACAGACTGCACGCTTTACTACAACAGCTTACAGTCCGTACCTATCTATCTGTCAGTTACCTAGAGCTCAGCTAACTTTCACTATACCAGACAACGACTTCGCGCTGAAGACATCACTCGACATCAATACTGCCTGTGCTTGCTACCTGTACCTGAGCTACTGCTACCTGAGCTACTGCTACTCTACTTCAACCATGGACTTTGC